TCAAGAACCAATGAGGGGTAGTTATCTGAAACAAAAAGATACGCATTCACCTGAAACTAAATTTGAGCAAGTGCATGCTGACGAGGAAAGAAATGCATCGAAACAACGGTGAATCGATTTCCTATAAGTTTAAAACGCATAATTGCTCGAGCTTACGGCAGCTTCTCTCTGGAAAGAAGTAGCAATGAATATTGTTACCATTTTCACTAAGATGCTATGAATAGCAAACGAACGAATAATATAAAATAAATCTGCACTGTAAGAGCTGTTGTTATTCTTAGTCACAAGTATTTACCACTTGCACTCCATTTGCATGCAGGTCAATCTTTCTTAAAGAGATGTAAGGCGGAATGGCATTTTCTTTTCACTTAAAAAGAGAATATCTCCAAAGGAAATCCTCTGTTCTTTTTTTTTCCCCTCTATTTTTTCTTTCAGCATCACTAACTATTTTTGCCACTCAAGCAATCACCAGAGTGAATACACGATTTCTAACAAGAAAGCTTGCCGTTGGGAATTATGCAACCCTCGCTGAATCAATTCTACTCTGTGAACTGTTCTTTTTGTCAAGTAATTTTTTCCCATACGGATAGAAAAGCGCACCTCTATTCTCATACCTTCCCTTATTTGAAGCATCGCACCGTGCACCGTATTATATACTCCCGACTCTCCATTGTACCGAGCCTTATCTCTGGTGAGTCCTGATGGTCGATAACATCTCCACTGTTTGCTTGTAAGATTTTCATCAAAGTCAAAGCGAGCGTATCTCACCGGCTCACAGGACTCATCTCGATCCGTTTGCAGCCCTATAGAAACAATAACGATAACGAGTAATGGTAATAGGACTGATGAGTGAAGTCCAATTCGGTCTGTAATGATACGAGCGATTTGCAAAATCGGGCGACCGCGAAGCTGATTATATTTTATATTGCGCTGTTTCAATAAGCATTTTTAAACGCGCATATGAAAAAAATGAAACGATACAAAACAGGACAAAACGCGCATTACAAAACAAAAATAATAAAAGAACAAACAAACAAAACAGACTAGGATTCTTTATAATATATGTCCTTAAATTTTGACCAATTGACAAAGAACGCAAACAAAGTAATTTTTGTGCACATTAAGGGGCAACAAGATGTAGAACCACTACAAGCTTTTAGTGCCGATCCCCTCCACTAACTACGATACAAAGATGATCAAAAGAAGTACCTGCTCTCTCATAACAACGTTGTACGTCTCTCTTTGCTGCATCGCATACGCATTTCCCACAAATTTCATCACAGTGCTGTCCACGAACGCAAGGCACATCACAAAGGGTGTCTGTCAAGGACAAAGAGACATAGAGACATCACATAAAGGCGAGAGTGACATGTGTACACGTTGAACACGTGACACGTTGTGCACATGACATATATACATGTTATGGACGCGACCCGTGTACTTCTTGTACAAGAGTGAGGAGAGGACTCTGTAAATCAACCGCTGTTCGAAAAATGAGACTATGCTCCACAAAGGAAAAGTCATTCAAAAGACGGGTGGAGTCTATCTGACCAAAAGACATATCTAGGGAATGTAAAAAGGCAAGTGAGAAACATCATAAACATCTCAATCTCGTAGTCTTTACTTTATACCTGTAACAAACGCGCTCCGTAGTTTTTTCATTTACTCCGGCAGACAAGTGATTTTTAGCTATCGATACACAGCTAGTTCGGAAACTAGGAAAAACATTCCTTTTGAGGAGTTTAATGAGGCGCCATGCATAATTCAAAGGAACAACTTCACACTTCGTTCCTCTGAGCAGACGTGCTCCCTGTTGCGTTGCGTGAAGGAGACTAGGGAGCGGTTGATGCATTTAAATAAAACACAAATTTTAAAACAATTCCATTACTCCATTTGCCATATCTTTTGATCTTCTCAATCAACTATAGACTTCAATATAAGTTTTACCTTCTAACCTGCACAACATTGAGCACATTTGTCGAAAAGAGGACCAAGATAGCGCGGTCTTAGCTTGATCTACCCTGATCTTAATCAAATTACTTTACTTCAGTCTCCATAAAAACGTTTTGTTCCCGCTTCTCTCGACTTAACGGTATAGTTTAGCTCCAGCTTACTCTCAAGACTTTTTATTTTACAAATGTTTTTCTCACATACCCAACGGCGAAAGCACTTCCACGTCATCTGCTTCCACGATAGTTCCATTGGCCCCACAAAACAAGTCGCCGTCTTCATTTTCTATGTCATAAACGTGTCCAATGTTAACAGAGAGAGATCTGTTTGTTAAGTTCAATACTAGTTCCTCTCCGAATTGCAGTCTTCCAGGCGCGTAAAATATAGCACGAGATCTTTGAGAGGAAAGCACTGGCCATTTCGCCTCCGAAGATAAGCTCGAAGAAGATTGTAGAGTGAACAGGAAGGATTTAGTACTGGGTATGAACCCAGTGACCGGACCTTTGGAAAGATTCAGAAAAATTAAGTAGCAATCGCGTACCTTCACGTGCTGATCGTTCCAAAGAATCGAGGAATACGTCATTAAAAAAAAAAAAATTTTTACCTTCCCAGGGTTTATCGGAAAATCCGCCAAACAAGCAATCTCCTTTTCTAATCAAGGCCACGGTAGATTTCTTGTTCCTGCACTGAATTTTAAACAAACTTGCATTCCAGCTATCCAGACTTCCGCGGAAGCATGGTACCCAGTATTCATCACCGAGACCCTTCTCGGCTAACCATTCCATCAACGTGTCTTGAAACCACGGTCCATTTTGGAGCAGGTCCGAGCGAAATCCTGATTAAATTAAAGATGATACGAAGAAAATGGCGTGAAGGCGCCTTGGTTTATTCTGGAAAATTGAGCAAAACTTATAACATCTTTCCATCAATACTTGGGTACAAAACGCAGGCGCGAATGAGATATTACACGAGGAAGAATCACACGAAAAATATCTAGCACGATTGATATTTCCACTCAGCACAAACCTGCTATTTCTCGTCGGGCGGTAACAGGTTTAAAAGTACAGGAGTTGTCAAGGCCAAGACTTATATTGTCGACGCCGATGTCACCAGTGTAACTGTCGCCTACTACCCCCTCGAATACGATCTGAAGATATAATAATAAAACGTGACTTGTGAAATTGCGTACGAGTTAGATACACGAACACCGACCCACAGAGAACCTCTTAATGACTTGCGTAATCAGAATTCAAATCTGCATTGATAAAGAAACTTCATTTATTGAATTTTCAGGGAAGCCCTCTCAGTCTGGGGCTGGTTTTCAAAGGGGCTCCGATGATGAATTTACTCTTCTTTGCTCGTTGTATACAGAATCACATCTTTCATTCGTCGACTACCGCGTTCAAAAATTAGCCTGCAGTAATTCAGGCAGACAAGTACAGGGTTCTCCTCCTCGCGTCCTTTAAGGTTGAGTATTTATCACATTTGAAAACCTTTGGTTCGCTGCTTGTAATCTTTTAAAAGCGGTAGGTAGTTTATATGGTTTAGATATCATAGTTCTCCTTCTAAACTGAATTTACCTGATATGGAATTTTTCTTTCGATTGGAACAGTAGCGGTATTCCATTTATTTCCTTGACCTCCAGCCAATCTCCAAAGCAGAGACTCTTCAGAATCGGGCCCACGAATAAACACATTGAGACGTCCGATCGTCGAACCATTCATGTGATAGGCGAAAGAAAGACACTTGTGCGATTCTGTGGCGTGGAGTGTTAACATCCGGGCTTTGTCACCTCTTTCTCGAGGGTACGATGATTCGATGTGCCTAAAGCTATGTTCATCTGGTGGAAAAAGAAAGAACAGTTTTGAGATATACCCATCAATGCAGTAGTGTGGGAATAATGTTCAATGGGATCTAACTTCATCGTATTTATCGTCTTGGCTAAATATTTTGCAAAAAGGTTGTTTCCGTAGCCATTTATTTCTGTGTTGAAGATTAATTCAGGCGAAAAATTGCAAAGACAGTTTCTGGATTTAAGCCCATTGTCTCTTAATTACTAAAATCTAGGAACCTAAAATTTTATAGTCGAAGAAGGGTGATAGGTCCCTCATCAAAGTTTATGGCGTTTTTGCCAAAAGAAAACTGGCTTTAATCAAGCAAAGAAAACCGGCGTAAAGTATTCATAAAGGTATTTGAACTTGCTGGGTAACTTCCTTGAGACAGGCTATGCATAAAGTGAAATCTTAGTTACAGAATCATCCAGTTACAAAAACTGAAATTATAAACATACCCCTGCTGGGTTAAAAACCAAGGTCACACATCATCAACAATGGACGAACAACCAAACAGTCCTGAGTAAAAGTCGATTGCGAAACTATTTCCGTTTGCCGGCTATTACCAACAAATAACTTCCATTCGACAAATATTTCATAATATTTCCCATTCTACAGACAGCTTTCCGAGTGCAAATTTACAAAAAAGCGGTAAGTGGGCTTAAATTCGATTTTGAGCGTGATAGGCGTGGAGGGGTGGGTAGGGCTCCTGTGTCACCGTCAAGATTTTAAAGAATTACCAAGGCTGCATCCGTATAACTCAAGCCTGAGGGAGGGCTGAGTGTACCACGACTTCGGATAGATCCTGAATATCATCCCCGTCGCTAGGATATCGTGCGCCACTACGGTTGATCTGTCAAAGTTTCCCTGGAAATCTCCCTGACAAAAAAAAGATATAGAGACTATTCCATGGAAAATGCGATCAATTTTTATTTTCGATTTACGATACAAAAAAAAAAAAAAAAAAAAAAAAAATGAACGAGAAAGCGCAGAGAACGAGAACGTTTTTTGATGCATCGCAACGAGTGATTAGATTATATTTTTTGGTATATAGTTTTTATTTAATTAAAACTGAGATTTTCATATTTAAATTCAAAGATTGGAAGTAAACTTCTGTGAAAATGCATCGCTCATCCAAACAGATCTAGAGAGACGAACTAGTACTTCACGACGAAAATTTCAGTATGTGTGAAATAAAAGGAGAAATAAAAGGTGCTAGAAATGAAATGTAGGAGGAAGACTAGGATACCTTTCGGAGGTTTGAGCCACTGGTTTGGCGTGCCAGCGGAAAAATTGATTTCAAAAAATTCAAATCGAAAAACGTCCAAGTTTGATATTAAGATTGGAGGAAGGTCTGATTAAGAGGGGCAATAGCAGCTTAACTGTATATCTGTAAGCGAAAACAAAAACTTGATGAAAGTAACCGTAGCATTGATGACCGTTAACGATAACTCGCTAAATGCAAAAGAAATATCCCCAAGCGGCAGTGAGGTCACGTTTCGCCAAAACAACATACTGATAAGATGTGATAAGATGCACTGATAAATCACAAAGCGGTAACTAAGATATATACACCGTTTGCTTGAGAAGATACATCACATAATGCACGTGATGTTATAGAAACAGCTGGCCGCTAAACCGCGCAGTATATCATTTATATTCAAGTACCATTCTCAAATCGTCGATAACTCGCGAGTTTTGCAATAATCGTCGGTTATCATTTTCAAATAGTTTTTAAACAGTACTGAAGATTTATACTCACTTCGGATTCATAATCTAACAAAGGTGAAATCTTTGTTACTTGATATTTTATGGCGTAGCTTTGTACCCATTCGTCTGCATCTGGTCGACCTTGTGTTGAAACCTTGGTAACTCTTGTAAAAGCTCTAAGTTCGACTTGAATCCAAGGATCCAATTCCAGGGTAGACCAACAGCTTAAATAATTAAGTCTGGCATTATGGTTTTCAAATCCGGGTCCACGAACGGAAGATGAAGTAATTTGAGAATCAGAAACAAGACCGCTCTCTAAGCCTAGAGGTGCATTGCATAAAGGCGGAAATTCCCTGGGCGATCCTGAAAAAAGTTGGAATAAATAATCACTAATGTGTCTGGTTAAACAGAAATGAGTTAAAGAGAGATGTTGAATATTTTGCCCTGTCTGGATGTTCTTTGTTTCAGTGGAAGAAGCAGACTCCTTTCGTGCAAACATTAATGTAGCTAACACTTTCACAATATAACAGAACATAAAAGACCCACCATCATCACAAGGACCCGTGTGGCTTGACAATGTACAGGAAGCTCTTAAAATCCAGCGACTAGTCTGCACCGCGCCTTCCGTTTTGAAAGTAGCCTTTTTGATGACGTACCATAAGCCACTGGAAACATTCACTTTGGATACAAAATTAGAAATCATTAACTGTACACATAAGTTCTGTAATGTGATGCAGCAAAGGGAATTATTGCTACTTCGGGATGAGATGCAAGCTAATAACATGTAACATTCGCTACCCTCTCCCATTCCCTAAGCATTTCGCTGATGTGACTCGCCAACATCATTAATGGAGCCTTGATTGGGGAGAAATCAGTAGTGCGAACTGTCGTGCCAAAGAAATTTGAGAACTTTCGATCTGTAGTGCAGCTCTCACTGTAAAGCTTCGGTGTCTCCCAATATAAAATGATGAAACGCAAAAATTCCCAGTTTTGTTCCACAGTCACCGAAAGGAGGTATTTTCATCATCACCTGTGTAACTAATGGATTAGAGAGAGCACGACAAAAGAAAAAGGTAGAGGAGATAAACATATCCACGCAGGTATTTTTTTTCTCCACTACGACGTGAGCATATTTGAGAGAGACCAAACTATGTTTTGTGGATTGTCACAAAAAATTGACGCAGTATTGTACAATAAGTGCTATTGTTTTATGCTTAAGACGCAGGTTTTTAATTTGTAACATCAATAGCAATAAAAATATATTTGGATGATTGACGAGATTCTGTTTTCTGGTTTATAACATCCATTTTTAAATTCCTGGTAATTCTAATCCGATTGGCTCTTATCGGCGCGATGTATTCACGAATCGCCCCATATTTTGCCCTACATCGCATCTTTTTCCCGGCCAATGAGAAAGCCTTACTAAAACAAAACAACCAATCAAATTTCAAGTCTTGTTTAAAGAAACCAAACAAATTGCAGGAAAATGAAAAAAAAACTTTGAAACTTTCTACAAACCAGCTCATTACTTGATCAATAAGACAAATGTGTCGGCTGTATTTGAGCGACTGAAGTTTGCTATTTCAAAATGGTTGTAATAAAGTGATAACTGAACTTCGTTTCGTGCAATTTTGGCCGAAAAATCATGTTTGTCATTTCAAAATCAAATTCGTGTAGTGCGCTCGTTTGATTTTGAAATCACGCGTATGATTTCGGAATTTTGCACTCCACTCAGTTCAATTATCACTATAAATAGCACGACATGACATATTTGCATAATGCTTGACGACAGTCTGTCTGGTGAATTTCTAGAAGCCATGGCATGATTTCATAAAGCGAGTGTATGTATGAGGAGTTAAAATTATTTAATTTAGAGGGTGTCAGGTAATTGAATTCAAATACAAATACATTCCGCCATCAATTTTCTGTATTAATGGAGAAAAAAGAGATCATTGGCGAGGTTTTGAAAACATGATGTGCAAAATTGATGACGTGATTGACTAAGAAAGCTGATCAATTCAAATCGTTTTCTTTTTAAAACCTCACAAAAAGCTTACTTTTTCTGTTTAATTCACTTGATTCAGAATTAAAGTTGACGATTAGAAAATAAAATGAAAATATCACAGCCTTACTTACTAGAGACCTCGTAGTTCGTCCTTGCTTCCTTTCTGGAGACCAATCTTTCCCATATTCTCAAATCAGACATTTGTAAGTTAGTTCCGAGCGATGATGCGTTATATATTTCACTCGTTACTCCACCGATCTCTATGTGTGTAGAAACTATCAAGGTATCATTTAATATCTCCTCAGGCATATTATTTTTCTTTGCGACTTCCCCGTTAATGAATACTTTCAGACCCCACATCTCGTGCCACGAGATCGTCAAATGTGTCCAGTCATGTGACTCTTGTGACATATCGAAAGAGAGACTCCATACCAGGCCCTCCATGGTTCGAACCTGTACTCGGTAGGTTATAGAATCTTGCATCTTAAACATGGCGAGACCAGTGGATGAAGAATTTTCGGAAGATAACGAAATAATGTTGGTTCTGCTCTCTGAAAGAAAGGAAGATTAGGAAGACAGATTAGGTCATCTTCGCTCCGTCTGGGGAACTTAGGGCATCGACTATGAACCTCCGCTGCACCCTACTTTTGGCTCTTTATTTTGCCTCTCCCCAGGATATCGTTTTTCTTGTCGAGGAAGATTAAATGATTGAAAATGTAATTACGAAAAAAAAGCCTACAAACTAACCCTTGTTCGTTTGTTGTAGCAAAAGAGTTCCGGTGAAATCACTGAGAACACGAAAAAGGGTTGCTCTGAGGAAAGGCTCCGACGCTCTGACGAAGAACCTATACCCGAAACGTCCGCTTTGAGAACTCTCTACGGTGGCCAATTTACCTTATCAACTCAGTTTATAAAACCAAACTATCTTCTAATAACCCTACTGGAATATTGCACAACAGTTTTTGTATCAACCTACCCCCTTTGTTCAAAATTGTGTCTCCCGGGTTGAATAAAATAGCTGTCAACTGTCACACATTCACAATTTCATCGTCATGGAAGTTTTTTTCAGACCTTTCTCTTCCTCGAATAACAAAAGTTCGTACAACGCAGACTATTTCTATCAAGTACATGTAATATTAATTACGATGAAATCTCAAGTTTAAATTTACGGAGAAATAATCATAAAGCCTTGGCTACCTTTTATTAGCAGGTAGGCTTCTGCTTCAAGCAAACAAACATCTTCTGAGCATTCATTGGGGATGAACCTCACAAACCGTGCTTCAAAAGGAGAAAGGATGGCGTTTTTCACAACAGTTGCACCTTCCCAGTTTCCATGAAACAACTGAAACACAAAACATAATTTCATATGAAATATTTGGGCCTTTTGGCAAAGACACACTGAGTGAAACTAACTTTAGCCGCAAGAAAGATAATTCCATCAGTTGCATGAAGTGGGTGAACACATTTTCCATTCACTGCAGCCAATTGAAGTCAAGTTAAACGCCAACTCGTGCGACAAAAACACTCATTTCCAGAAAAAAGTATCTCTTTCTTAGGGTCCTCCAAGTTTTAACCTAATTCCCAATTACACCCCTTTTAAACCCTTTACGGCAGAAATTTCCTCCGGGACGTACCCCTTATATTATGGATAGTATACCCAGGTGTACATTGAAAGCAGGCAAAGGACCCTTTTCTGCCCTTTGTGGCTCGCGATAGAGAAAAATACGAACAAGCAGATCCTGTAACTAGTAATCTTAAATTCAACACACTGATAAGATTACCCAGTCCCCAAATTGGCCATCTAACAACTTTTCTGCTAGATTCTGAATACCTTTCTTGATCCGTTTTCTTGATAATCATACCATGTTGAATTATCAACACTGTATGCTAGGTGATAAGAGATCGGGAAAGCGAGTCCGGATTTTGTCGACACGAAACCCACGGAACCAACCTGGCCGATGTCAACCTTTGAAGCAACGCAAAAGTATCAGCGTAAAGGAAAAGGCATGCAAAAACATCACTTAACCACAGGCTTGTTTCCCTTGGCGCCAACAGCATAGTTTCAACTCAATAAATCGATTCCATTTTGGCGTGCGTCTGTTTAGTAATAGATCGCAGATAAAAACCAAACTTGGTAAGGACAGAAAAGTGGCACACGAGGCGCAACCAATCGAGTCGCTGATTTTCTTATCACATTTTGACTTCTTCTGTGATCTTTTACATGTGCAGACCCACGGAAACATAAATGTATTTGTTTCAAACGCTTGGTTTCTTCCTATCGGCGACGTAACATTTCGTATCCTTGCGGTTTTCTGAGTTTCATTTGGAGGTTATTAATTACTAATAAGAGATGGGCTAATAAGGAGCGAACAACGTATGCCTTTGAAGCTTCTAATAAATTAGGAACTGTACCTGAAGCCAAAAGTTTTCGCTTTCCATCTCTGAGTCTCCAGCGACTAAGAAAAAGAGATTTGTGATAATCGCGTGTCCTTGACGAAATTGACAATTTGTTTATGTGCCTAAAGGAAATCATAACCAAGACATTGTTTCTAATTTTAATTCTTCATATTTTTCACGAAGAGGAAGGGTACCAGGCTTCGGTTGAACTTCCAAACTTTAGCCGTTTTATTTTCTACTTCTGAGAAAAAAAGGTATCTTTTCAAGAAAACAATGATCCTTTTATACACTCACAATTATACGCCACAACCCTGCAACATCTTTTCCAGGCCAAAGAGAACGTGTTTTGGACTAACATGGGGTATCTCTTACACAAGTTTCTGTGGAGTATTAAATAATCCCTTGAATCGACCCCTTGACCAGTGTAGCACCAACTCTCGTAAAACACCCACCCTTTATATCCTTTGTGTACCTGCAAAGTTGGGCATTAAGCCTGAAAAAGATCACACTCCACCTTCCCTACTTGGTTTTCACCCTATACTTCACTACTTCGATGTGCGTCTTATGTTCATCTGCTTTTTCAGTGATAATCTGATGGATAGGTTTTTTGGTTTAAACCCCGGTGAATAGAGACTAAAAGTCATATGTCCTAAGCGTATTTATTTACCGTTATTCTGGTCATCTGCGATACTAGTATTCACAAGGTAGTGCGGTACTAAAAAAAAAGCATAAAAAAATAAAATTAGAAGATTCAGTAGATAATTGATTGTTCTATCGTTTCAAATCAATACTTTAGGAGAGTTGTACCCTTAAAGATCTGCTTCCACTATTGCTATCCAACTACGTAAATATCCAAATATCCAACAAGAACGTTCCTGTAAGCTTTATTATATTCTGCGATAAATAGTGACTAAAGTTTTTCTTACCTTCGTATGCAAATACTTCGATTTCATCTGGGATAAAGTTGGCGCTTCCCGCAAGCAGATTGTGTGCGGCGGCGGTATTGGGGTCTATCCCGTCTGGCAGGAGATAGGTTCGTCCAAGTTTACTGTAGGAAAAGATTCCTGTATTTGCCATATCGCTTATTACCAGATCCCCATCGCCAAACACTGGTCCAAGGAGTGGATCACTTAAAGCAGCAATTGTGCCCCTATTTATTGAAGAAGCGTTTATTTCTAGTTTTACAGGTTGTAGATATTCAGGATTCTGAAGACTAAAGAGGAAGGCTGTGGAACTCGTCAAGTTTCGCTCCCCTACATAAAAAAAAATTTAAGGCATAATAAAAAAAAAACTTAAGAGATGATGTTATTCATTGCAGCAATGTCCATATGTGATGCCTTTGCGCAATGATAATATAAATAAAGTTGCGACTCCCATTGGGAGTACTTGAGTTATTTTCTAAGAACGTGTCTGTCATTACTAAAAATATTGCAGGTATCCTCTACAAACCACCACAAAACGCGCTAATCAAAGCAATAACAATCTCATTTTAACTGAAATGAAACTATGCATGAAATTCAACTCTCTAACAACCATTACTCGAAGAAATTTTTTTGCGCCATGGAAAAAGGACGGAGGGAGGGGGGAAAGGCAAAGGAAAATAAATTCCTGTTTGCTTTGGATTATGGTTACTTAAAACCTAAAGGAAAGAGTAGGTGTGCCTGCTGGGGTACAATTATAGAAAAAAAGTACTTGCAACGAGCAAACCGTTAGTTATTTTTGTTATCCCTCTGTAATTTGGCCTTGGGCATGGTGTGTTAATCTCAGGCAGGCAGTGCGACAACAGCAACTATATCATGGCGGGCGTTGTAAGCAACAACTACATTTTGGAACTCCTAACGTAAGTTAGTTACACGAAAGAGCATAAATTCAGCATCGCGCAACCCAACCCCTCTCCCACTCCCCCACAGTGCCTAAGAAAGCAAACTTGAAGGAGACATACCTCCCCATGGTTGATCTAAGAACCCTCCAAATATGTAATCTCCAACTTTTACAAGAGTTACAGTAGGTCCACGATTGTCACACTTTGTATGAAATGTTGACGCCCACCAGCCATGGTCATTGGTGAGATAGCATCTTTTCCAACGAGACGCAATCGGTGTAACATTTAAAAGCCAACTGTTAAGGGCTTCGTGTAGGGCCGAATTTCCACCAAGAATTTGAGAGATAAACTTTGCTGCAAGAATATAAGTAAAATAGATGGACACGTAAAAAATTCCAGCGGGTGATAATGAAAAAAGTCTACTTTAAGTTGGTAGTTAAATCCGTCGGTAAAAGCTTGATATTTATCTGAGGTGACTCAGTTTTATTTAGTTCGTACATGAATCTTTCGTATATTTCACGTAAGTAAAACAGCTCTTCTTAGTCACTCATTAAAAGCACATCCTGCTTGAGGCAAATTGTTATTCCAATACTACGTCATTTTAACATATCAGGGAAACGCAACGCGCAGAATATCAACGACATTACACTGTGGATCAATGCAAAAAACGGGGTGAAGGCAAACATTATTGTAGTTTGTTAGTCTGTAATGTTCTGCGGCGCGACTGTTGAAATCAGCAAGTAAACTTACGTTCGTGTTTTAACCAAAAGCTTACAGTGAATCCGCCTGAACAGACACTTGGATCATTTAAGCAATCATCTCTCGTGGTAGCAAACTTTATTTTAGAATTCCCTTGTATGTTCAACACGTTCATGTTTGCATCTGCACCATCTCCCTCGACAGTTGCCTCTCTTGTTGAGAGCAATTCGGGGAATTTGTTGTCTGATGAAAAGCTTGAAAAGTCAACACGGTGTTTCTCTAGGGTGAGGAAGAAGCGTGAATTATCAACATGATGATGTCCAATAATGTAAGACAAAATCACATTTCAAACCATAACATACCACTTTTACGACACATCGTCAATAACCAGAAAAGGAACGTAACGTGACGAAATGAAACTTATCATAACGTAACATAACATAACCCTGAAAATATAACACTACTAACATGGAACTGGAAGCAGTGCAACGTAAATTGGCATAACTATGCACCTCATAATGCATATGAACGCAAAGTAAAGGTAAGATATACCTGATTCGGTCTGACGAAGAGTCAAAGCTCAAAACTTCAGCTTTAAAAGCTTACTGCGGTGGGCAGTTTACATTATCAACTCAACTGATAATGCCAAAATATCTCGCAATGCTCCTTATAGACCAGACCCGGCACCACAGTTTATTTGAAAACTTATCTCCAGTAAGATAATCATGGAATGAAAGACATAAAGCAAAATTTATGTGACCCAAAAATATCCTTTTACCTCGCGTCTTACATGATGCCGGTTCTTCCATGGACACTTTCTTGGTCCATGCCTTCAAGTCCGGCCACTGGATCAGATTCCCGATTTCTGCTCCGCAACCCAGCGACATTTTCTTGATCTTGTTCTCGGACAGCTCCAAATTCCACATGTTAAAGTGACTCAAATAACCAAAAAAGGCCCTATTGTCAAATTTGCCACCATTGGTCTGGAACTGTCCAATGTACATGGTCCCGGGAATGATTTTTTCCCCCACGGCAAGGCCATATCTTTCTGCCACCTTGCTACCATCCACGTGGATACTCCAGCGCCCACCTGTGCTGCGCCACGTGGCACACACATGATGCCAGAACTGATCACTACTTAAATTCCTTGTAAAAACTTGGCTGTTACAAAAAGAGAAATTAAAAGAAAAAAAAAAAAGCGTACATGAGTCTGATGAGGTTATATATACAAACAAACAAACACGATATATTAAATAGGGCTGACTTGAATATAGAAAAGGACATAAAATTAGTTTCCATATTCTCCATATTTTTCTCTATACATTTTCTTCGCTAAAGACAAGGAGAATTCATTTAGCAATCAAACCGTCTACGTTTGGCGATCATTTCCTATATTCCCATAATCTTAATGAATACTTTAGCGGTATTTCTCCAAGGAGAAATTAGATACTGGTCATCCTTAGGGCTTAGAGGGTTGATAAGGACCTTGATATGTGGCCATTCACGTGGAGTTTCATTGCCAATATGTTGGTTTGCACGAAGGTAAAAGCGTTATTGTTTTGTTTATTCGATATAGAGTAGACGGCCATGGGAACGCCTCGCGGGATCATCCACCAACAGACAGTTGCTTCCACAAAATCAGAGATCTTCAAAGGGCCCACGTAAGTTGTGAAACCATTGTCCTGAAAATGTAGGGTATAGTCCCATTGGCGTTCTGAAAGGAAATAAATAACAGAGTGCACAAGATACAATAGATGGTTTTTGCTTGGGAGTTACATTTGATCGTGCAGTCAAATGGTAGGGGTAAGAGTAGTCCTGGGGAGGACCATTGTCGGTGAGTGACAGAAGTTTCGTCAAACTTGGCGGAAATCATCATTAGTGTCGTCGATAGCCCAGAATGCCGCGGCACAACCGGGACTTGTTAAGACCAACCGTCATCAATCGACTGATTTCTCCCATAGGTGTTAATTTTTATTTCTTTGATAAAATTTATTTGGTTAGCTCAATTGTGAGGTCTAAGTCTTAACTTGTATATCATCCGCAAGTCCAAATGTAAGAATAGGCCATTTTACAGTTGTGTACCTAGTTACCAAGCCTTTAATTTGGAGTGAGGCTGAAGGTGACCTTGTTGTGATAGAGATTAGTAACTAGTTAACACAATAACGAAATAATTTGCATTTGAAAAGCAGCAAGGTTTGTATCATAACAAGGTCAACTTTAGCCTCACTCCTGTTCAAAGGCTTGGCAACCAAGCACAGAAATGTAAAATGGACTATTGTTTGAATTAATGTCAGTATTTGTGAAACTGCGCACCTCCCCCTCCCTCAAACCCAACAACAGTCGACTGAGAACAAGATAGGGTTGATATTGGGCTAGGGGAGGGATAGGAGTGTAGTTGCTCATATACTGTCATCGATCGAATTATTTCATTAAATAGTGAAAACAAAAATCTGTAACGAAAACCCACCTAGGTTAGGTTTTATCATCATTCTTGTTTTACTCACTGCATTTCCTGCCCCAGGCCATGTGTTCCAGATAATTTCATTAAAGCTTTTTGGCATCATGATTCTCATATTTAACGGAGAACCGCCGCAAGTATTATACCACCACCCTCCCCTCCCGGGGGTGGCACAATTTTGAAGAAATTCCAGATCGTTGTCCTCGTCTTTTGTCGTAAATTTCATACCGTGTAGCGCTTGAAAGAAATCCCCGGATGTTCCCGCATACCCCTGAATGTACAACTCGTAGCGCCAAATGATCTTTGATTTGACAGCGAACCGTTTGTAGTACGCATGCGTCACATTTCCATCTGCGTCTTCAAGACTAACCAATAGTTGGAATGGTCCGTTTTTATCAGTAAGAAGAAAAAAGTTTCGATTTCCAAGCCAGAAATCACTTGTACAGTCATCATCGAGCCAGGTATCTCCTGCATTCGCATTATCAATGCAACTTCCAAAACCATCTCGATACTCTTGGAATAATCGATCAAAGCTCACCCCAGAATCAGTTCTTATCATTGCATTCATCCAGCCTCCGCTATTTATACCACTGCAGTAAACTGGCAGATCTCTAATTGGGTTATCAGTTATGTAAGATAGCCTGTCCATTTTTCGACCGAGATGAAGAAAGTCCTGGCAATTTTTTCCTAGTAGATTAAATTGCAGTGCAGTGTTATTTGGAAATATTCTGATCCAAGTTTTTTTTTCTTTCGTCTTTTCATGTAATCTGACCTGGTATTTAGCCACTCACGTTCCAAGATTTCGTTTATTTTGCGACCAAGAAGTCCAAAACTGACTAGATTTTCTTTTTCTTTCTCATAATTCAGCCAAGTTCAAAAAAAGTCTCACTTTCTTGGTCAATCCCGGTATTTGACTGAAAAGACGTTCACCACAAAAGACAATGGCAGGTCTGAAATCTCATATTGACCATTGGGGTGAAATAACTCACTAAACAATTAATACCGCCAGTGTCAGTGAAAGTGGTGGATATCACCTCGCCGTTACAGAGCTCAGTAAATATCCACCACCACCAACTCCATTTCAGTCCACTAACCATGCTTTTACGGGTATATGGCTTCCGCTAAGGCCTTGCGTCACAGGCTCTGATCGAGGGTTCATAGGAGCGTTTAAATTCACCGATTTCAAACATTCCCTGCGACCGCATGAAATAACTAATTTTGGACCTTGTTCGTCCTAATCAAATGTCTGATTTCAGCCCTAGGCTCAGATGTTCGAAAGCTGATTAGCCCTGACCCAGGCTCAAATCTTCATCGGGTTTTCTTTATCTTTTTGTTCAAAAAGCCTTTCCCGGATAGTTATCTCTCTTATTTGAGGGGAATTATATTGAGTTTTCCTTTAAAGCTTTGAGATCTTAAATCAGATTTCGCTCTAACCTTGGGTTATCTTAACTCAGCTTCGACCACCCCGACCCAGTACTTTTCTTTTCTTAACTGACCTCGCTTTCTGGGACATTTGGAATCGGATTTTGAAGAGCTCTGGGCTGCGGATAAAAGCATACTCCATGTCACAGCATTCCCAACTGTCAAACCACAGGTCTGGTACAGCTGATAAATTTGGAAATCACTCAACATCGTATTCCATATGTTGACGTCATTCATTTTCCCTTCGTAGCTGAGCTCTGGGACGAAACGTCTTTCTGTTGCATTCCACGCTTGCCCCAAGTAGAACTTTGCACCAGCCTTTCCCACCTTTGCGTTTCTTTTGAGCGGTCCTCCGCTGGCTTGTAAGACACCGCTCACATATACGTAGTACTCATCCTGCGAAGTTGATCTTGCAAAGCACAAATGTCGCCATTTGGATAGTCCGAGAGCAGGTGTTACCTGTTTCAATCTGTAGAGAAAAAAAAACACAAAAAAAGAAAAAAAAAAGAAAATGCTGGCTTTCTTGTTGTTGCTGTTTTACCTACCAAATTAGCTTCAAAGGTGAAAAAAATTCTATCAAAGACCATTATGTAGAATTCTCCTTGCAGTATTAAAACCAAAAGAAAACTGGTGAGAGTGTTTGATTTGACAGAGAGGAGAATTAATGGAGAGAAATAACTTCTTAGAGGTTGGGGGTTGGGTGGGACGTGGGGAACGTTACTTTTCTTTTTAGGGGTTAGTGGGTAACTTACTGCTCCTCGTCTTCAATTCGAAGACGAACCCATCTTCCTTTGTTGGCGTATCTGATTTCCATTTCATACAAATCACCGAATAAGCAAGAAATCAACCCAACTGTGCGCCCGTCGTCTTGAAATTCAAGCCACATGCAAACTGTGAGGTGTTGAAGTTCTGCAGTCGGCGCATCGACTTGGACGACATTATTGATGTCAATGATGCTATTGTCACTTTGCTTTGAAAAAACGATTTGCTGTGGGACGACTGAAAAGATCAAATTGCATTTTAAAAATCGGCGTAACATGACTCACAAAAAAAATTATATACTTCTTTGCCGCATGATGGTATTTATGTGATAATAAGAATTTTTGCATTTCTTAAGCTTCTTCTGTTAGCACTATTATACAAAAATGAATAATAAAAATTACAACAAAGAAACAAAAAAACAAAACAACAACATATAAACAGAAAGAAAAACACCGACAAATGAAAAAAAACATAAGAAAAATAGCACGCTGTGCTCTTATTTTTCCAACTGGCTGAAATATTCCTCAATGCTAACTCATATTGCTTGAACAACAAAGTGAATCTACTGAGAGTTTAAAATTTCCAAGAAAAGTGTTAAACCTCAAATCTCGCGTGAACAAAATTGTTGTGGCAAAAAAAAAAACATATTTGCATCAGAATTACCGCTACAAGCAAATACCAGTTTTCTTTTGTTATGAACGGAAAAACCCGCAAAGTACGAAAGTTGGTACTATTGGGAATTCAGTAAAAGGCTTGAGAGGAATTCTGACTTCAATCTATCAAGTTTCATCAGAGGTTTCTCTGCTTAAATGTACATAACAAGCGGCTCAAAACGCTCTCCCTTCACCGAAGCTACCAAAATTTAAGATCATCCGAGTGCAATCAAAGGTATTAATTAGTATGCACCTGCCAAGAATGATCCATTTAATCGTTATGGTTTTGTAAGTCATTAATTTATTATTTTTACATACATATCACAGTACCTGAAGAAGTTTGACATATCCATAGACTGAGAAATCCGAGGATACCGAAAGCCTAGCAGAAAAAAAAAACAACAACAATAAAAATGACAAAAACAAAACAAATCAAAATTAAGAAAAAGAAAGCAACTTTACAGTCAGTTTAGAAGAACATCTTCATGCAGCTCTTAGGACACGACAAACTTCGTGTTGTAGAGCTCTCAAAGTGACACCACCAACCTTAAAAGCTACAGTTAGAGATAGCGCCGCATAAAATTCCGAGGATGCTAGCAAGATATTATCTAAAAATGCCATCCCTCGAGCATAATGGTCTATGAAATCAAGAAACAAGAGAAAATGTTCACAACCGTGAGAAACGGAGAGCGGAATCTTCGAAAACCGGATGAGAAATACACAACGAAGAATACCAATTCAGGAAATTGGACGATTTGAAATTTTTGTCAGACTCTCAGCCATTTTTGAAACTAGCTTGAAACTAATTGAATTTCCCATGAAAAGAACTCGATTGGATCTCGAGTTTTTGTTATAGCCGGATTGGGAGAAAAGCAAATTCTTTGTAAGGTAAAATTTGCCGTCCACGTTTTCATAAACGGAGCATTAATCTATCAGATAAAATATAAGACAAAGAAAACATGAAAAAAATTTAGAATACGTTTTCCATCTTGATTGAGTGGTTTGAAAACTTCAGCAAGAATATTTTCCTCAGATGTGAATACGCTTTTCCTTTATAACCTTATCTTTTTCTTTTGAATCAAGGATTGGAGGAGATAGAAGAAAGCAAATAGAACTCGCATCTCTTTACCTTTTAAAAGTTCAAATCGAATTTGTCGGCATTTTTTTCGTCAGTAAAGAATTCTATAGATGAAAAAATTATTCTCTTACCTTTCCCAAAGACATTATTTGAAATCAGCTTCGCACAGGGATAGAAGGACAGCTATCGACCTCCCTTGCGTTAGTGTAGCAGGTAATTGGATTAAACAAGTGTCTCAATTTTACTGTAACTAACCTTAATCCACCGATAATTTTTAAAATAAAAATATGATCTCTCCTTGCTTTCAGCGATACGTCCCATCGCATCTTTGTTCGGAGAAGATGGTTTTACATCAACCAATATCTTGTACTTAACTGTTTAGTTTATCAACACAACTGTGCATTTTAATGAAGCATTGCAATGTCATATCTAATTGGGGAGAATTCAAAATTTTATCGGCGTTAGAACAATTAGAAAGCATCAATCATGAATTAGCGAAAAATTAGTGGGTGAGAATCCACGGATTAGAGGCCAGTTATCGCCGGTAGGGAGGGGGAAAATCAAATAGCTTTCATAGGGAACGGAGGGGGAGGGTCCGTCGTCCCTAACAGAGTACTGAAGGGAGGCCAAAGAAAAATGACTACAACTAAAATAGGATCATTATATTCTTACAGAGACGTGAAGGAGGGACAGGTACATTTCATTTTTTTACAAATTCCCCTTTCTCATAGTAAACCTTGGAAATCAACGAGCTTCCAAAAGTTTCAGCCCCAAACAAATAAAATTTCCTCTGAATTAATAAGTAACGTAAATAATCCTAACTTTCTACGTTACTATATGCCATCAGCAAATAAGTCACGCAATCGCCTTTCGCTCGATTGTCGTCACGGTTCCGTATGGACGTTTGTTGATTAAAATTCGATCTGAACTGGATAATGAAATCGAGATGCAAAGCACAAGAACAAACAGCTTTCCTCGTATAATTTTTCTGTGTGCCGGGCATTGGCCAACGGAACCGGGCCTTTTTTGTTTTTTGTTTTTGTTTTTTGCTTCTCTGGCGTCCGAAGTCGTGCGTGAGAACTCGTTGCGTGACAACAACAAGAAACGGCTACGAGCAAGTTTACTGTAGAATAACGTTTCAGAAATCGTAGTTATGTCAATAGAACACTGTCCTCTCAAATTTTTTCTTATGTTTCTACAATGTAATGCCGAAATCGATATTTTACAGTCGATCAGTTCCAATAAACCCAACTAGAACAACGTAACTTAACTCTGGTGGTAAATGTTGTTTAGTTTAGAGGTTGCAGTCCTTCGGTGTATACCGAGCATGGTATGGCCTTTAGGAAGACTTAAATTCAAAGCGTATCTTTTGTGATATTTTCGGATAAAATGCAAAGAGGTCGAACTTTTAAAATGGCGAGACCCGATATGTTTGTGTTTTTGATGACAAGTTGAAGCTCCACAAGACACCGTTAAACCACTGAACTCGGCCTTTGAAATAATGCGTCATTTTCTGCTGTATATTCACTTAAAGCTTAAGAAAGAAAAAATGCACTGATTTAGATAAGAACAATAACGACTCACCCAGAGCTGTCCGAGAAAGCTGACAATAAAACCTTCCAGATCACTTCTTAGTTCAAAATCACCGCCATAGTAAAACTATCCGTAGCTTCGTCACCAGTGCCATATCGCCGTAGTGGATCCTGAGTCCGCGCGCTTTCTAACCAGCAGTTAGTCGGTATACCTTTTGGTAACTAAACATTATGCATATCTGCCAAATCTCTACTTCCAATTTCTGGCGATGTTTCAATAGAACAGAAAATGTGAATATGAAAGCGATCTTCGCAATAATAAACACTACTTGAGCAGTCGTGAAAATAAGGCCTGAAAAAAATTCAGGCCTGTACGGAATTTGAACCCATGGCTTCTACGATACCGGTGCAGTGCTCTACCATCTGAGCTAACAAGCCAATCGCAACTGGGAGCTGGTCATTATTTTGGTACCAAATAAACCCGTGAAGTGGTGAATAAACGAATGTGAATATATGAAAGTCATATATTTGAACTTCGGATAAAGACGTGAATATGAAAGCGATCTTCGCAGTAATGAACACTACTTGAGCAGTAGTGAAATATATATGACTTCCATATATTCTCATTGGTTTAGTTCAGAAAATGTTTGTTGAATAACAAGTAAATGCAAAGGTCGCAACGCCTCATATCCCTGAAAGCTGACTTGAAGTAGTTCGAGCGCAACTTCCCCTACCCTACCTCGAGAGAAGTCCGAACACAAGTTTGTGGTAACGCACAGTTTATCCACATTTGCGCCCCCCATCAAAAATGGTTACCACCATCAGCGAATACTTGAAATCCTGAAAACACCCGTAATAAATGCACCACACACTTTCACCCACGTTTGCCGGGAACTGAATGTTTTGCAAACGTTAACAAACATTGGCGCGTACGAGAGACAAGTTAATTAACTAGAAGCTTGAAGTTTATAGTATCGTTTGTACTCTGAAATCTTTATTATCGCCTGTGGCTTCAGTGTCATTTCGCAGTTATTAACTCTGTCACAATCTACGCTCCAAGGGTTAAGATCTCCATATGGAGAGACAGTACATGTACTAGATGCTTGAAATAACCAGCTAGAGCTATCTAACAACTAGCGTAAATCAGGATGCAGACAAACCAAGTATCTCTTCTCACGAGCTTACAAAGCTTCCCTTGGTTGCATGTTTCTCATATCTCTTTCTTCACTTAATTTACTTTTCCTTTGATGAAGATTCTAATTTCCCGCCTAAGATACGTTGTTTGACGCACGGTGCCAAAAGTTACTTACTTTCCCTGGACTTAGATAGACTCGCTACGAAACTGATGAAAATTGCTAAGACTGGTTTCGATTCTAGTAAAACTAGGAGCTTCAAGCATCCCAGAAACCTGTGCATGAAAACTGCACCACTCATTTGACTCTACACCTGAGAGGACTCGAAGACATCGGGGAAAAATTTATCATTAGAATTTAAGGTTTCTTGGAGAAAAAGACAATTCTTTGGAAGACTGAGCGAGGTCTTAATAACTCCTGCCGAAAAGTGTGTAACATTTTGGCGCCTGTGGGCACCCAGGGTATACGCATTTTGTGTCAGCAGTGATCTCCATGGGCTGGTCGAACGGAATGCACAAACTCTTTGCCCCCATTGATGGTGCACCAGGCTCTAAATCTTGGTCCCTGAAATAATAAATATAGAGATGTGTGGAAGGTTGAACAAGTAAAAGTCAAAGCAGTAAAACATTTATGTCAAAAGGGTGGGTGTCATTCTAGTGTACATGAAAAATGAGTGTTAGGAAGGAAGTTCCTTACAGAGTTTGCTGTTCACCAGATGGCGCGCTAAGCGGTGAGGCAAATTAAAGCAAATTTTGTGTTCCGAATGCCTACTGAAACGAATCCAGCGCACTCATTAGCTACGGTACCGAAAAGAGTTCTGAGTCCTAAATGGCATCTCATTGTAGCGGCCTTAAAAAATTCGAAGCGTGTCGAAATCTTCTAAAGGCAAAAAAGGTTTTTTTTTCCTCTTTCTCTCTGGGAAATTGTACAGCAATAGACTAATAACCGGCCATCTTGACCTCGCGCTTAGTGAATTACGCAGATTCATTACACTTCCATTGCATCAGGTTGTTTACGACAATATGTATTATTCTCTTGTCATGCCTCTGGCTTCCTACCTTGCACTCTCCTTCTTAATTCTGCCCTCGCAAGAACCGTCGCCACAGAACGGCGCTTGGATGATCTGAAAAGATCGCAATATATGTAATTTTAACTCAACCGAACAGTTGTGTCATAAAAGCTTACAAACCTGTTTAGGTATATGCGGGGAAAACGGAAGAAAAAGAAAACATTAAGTAGAAGAAGGTGGCAATGGATTGAGGGTATCATTTCCACGAATTACAAAATAACCAACTTGAAAAATTCAGCTGGAGTCTTCATTGCAAGTTCATTGCTACATTGTTTTAGTGTTAACTCGAGCGTGCAAAGCAATTTTTAAAGCTTTACTTAGCTCGATCATTCTAAAAGGCGTAGCACGCTTTAAACCAATCGTATACAAAACTAAAATCACGTGTGACTTGGTCAGCCGCGTTTTCCCGCGGTTCAGGCACTCTGCTTGTGGTCAGTCCTTTGAGATCTCATAAGCCCCGGCTGATATTTTTTGGGTATCGGGTTTATCTCGAGCGAAAACAAACCTTTTGTTTATCCAGCATAGCATTGAACTCAGTCCAGGTGTGAGCTACAGCAAGATTTGCATCCAGGTCTTCTTTAGCTCTGTTATAAAATGACATTGAAATAAAAGTTAGTGCCAGCACGTTAACTTCTCCAAAATGACCTTGCCAAAACTGGCGGTTACGGGTGGGGAAGGATAGTTAGATTCTTCTCCCACCCTACTATATCAAGAGTAGTTTTGTCACTCTTCCCATCTTTTGCGGCCAATCATATTTAAGGTGGCCTCTTCATTAAATGATCGAAGTAGATCTTCGAACGCTCGCGATTTTTCTGAAAGATTGCAACTACGCACGTTCTAGAGACAGCAAGGTCTAGCTCTCTCTCATTTTCCTATGAATATTAAAAATTGAAGCCAACATGATATTAACATATAGCAGTTACCTCTGGTACATGTCGGAATGAACACGCTCCAAAGTTTCTGGAATTTCTTTCTCAATACCAGCTTGCTTGATAACACGCTAGATGTTACAAATAAATAAAAAAAAAGGTTTTTTTTCTTTTATGCGTTGTGGATTGAGGATACTGCAGCTGCAAAAGAGATTTTTCATGCTCCTTTTGTTCAACGTACAATTGTTTATATTTTTTGATGCTATTAACCGAAGCATTTCTCTGCGAGTAAAATTATACTTCACGATATGGAAACTACAACATATCACCTTGGCAAGAGAGAAAAGCCCTAAAATCCCCTCACCTTTTCTCCAGTATCTCTCCGTACCAAGACAGCCTGTTCGGACTTCAGATCACGAGGTCCAACTTCGATACGAAGAGGCACACCCTGGAAAAGAAAAATGATTGACATATTTCGAAATCAACGCGGGCTTATTGCTCGAGCTTGGACTAACTGTGGTTTCACATACCTTCAATTCCCAATGATTAAATTTCCATCCTGGAGAATAATTATCCCTGTAGTCGCCTTTGGCTCTCACTCCAGCGGCTTTGAGCCTCTGCTCTAATTGTTTACACTTGTCTAAAAGCTTGGTTTTCTCGTCTTCGGGAAGGTTGACAGTTAAACCACAGGGAACAATCACGGCCTGCAAAAATGAGGTTGAGTGTAACATGCCTGCGACAGAGCGCCATGCGAGATATCTGGATCTGAGGACTAGGATTTTTGTTACTCGTTCGTAACAAATGAGATTTGAATTAACATCTTTCCATAGCTTTTGGTCATAGCTTCAAAAAACCATCCAAAAGTTTACCAGAAGAATCATTTCAAAAAACTTTGGTAGAGAGTAGTTTTTCAATTCTCAACCAATCAGATTCAAAACTAAAACCAAGCGGGACTTGGTCACGGACGTTTACCCGCGCCTGGGGCGGTTTCCTTGTCTTTCTTCGAATTCTCATTGATTCCTTGCGATATTTTCCTTACATCTGGTTGGCTGTTATGGTTATTTGGGTTTGGTTTTACGACAATCACTCCAAATGCAATCACTATAGTGCTAGAGAGATTGCAAAGTTACCTGAATTGACGCAACACGAGGAGGCAGTACAAGTCCTTGATTGTCGCCATGCACCATTGTCATGACACCAACTGTTCGAGTAGTGAGACCCCAGGAATTCTGATACACGAATCTTTTGTCCTGCAAAAAGTAAATGGACACTAAACATTAAACCGTCTACTTTCAATTGCAACCTTTAACTCAATTTGTGTTTTATTTTTATTTTTTTTTTATTTTTATTTATTTCCCTTTTATGTTCCCAATAAGTGTTTACTGCCATGTTGGCTGCCAAGGCAACTCGAAACTGGCATTACGATAACAAAAATGGCAATTAAACAAGTAAAATAACAACTCCTCAATCCTCATCATAAAGCTCGTTTCTTTCCCAAATTTTTCGAACGGGAGCGGGGGGGAAAGAAGAGTGAAAGAAGGGAAATCTTTGCGATGGACTATGATCCTATTTATAGCAAACAAGGATGAGTACGAACCTGTTTTGCTGGATCTGGATCCTCAAATACAATGTCGAACATTTTGGAGAAGTTCTGTCCTAAATGATGAGACGTCGCACCCTGAAATACAGCAAGAGTAAAATCATCGTTAATTACCTACATTTTCAAATCTGTCAGTGGTGCATGAGGCACGCAACACAATCGAAGATAGGTGACTTGACGCCAAACAGATAACCCAAAAAATAAACGCGCCCTGGAAAGTCCCACTCATAATTAGGGCCTGAGACTGCTGGCCATAATTCCATTTAACCTCAGATATCCTAAATCAATTTAGGTCAAAAAGAAACACCATTTAACAAAAATAGTTAACTTTGTCGCGCAGAGTACTCTTGCACCTTAAAATTACCTGAGATAGACAGTTGTTGTTAACAGAAATCGAAGTTTGGGTAAGTTGAGAAAAAGTCACCATCAGAGTTTACAAGAAGAGTGGTCGATTATTTTATCTCAAGAGGAAAGTCGGGTTCGTTTCGACCGATTGGTCAGTTTTAGCCGTGATGTTACTGACTGTTAGAGTCAAAAAACTTTCAGACGACAACACGACGAAATGATAAAAACATAATGTAGATTTTTCATTGCTTAAAACGGCAATCTTGGAATCAACGCAAAACAAACCTGTATTCCTCGTCCACTGGCTGATATGTAAATTTCTACTGTTGTAGTAAAGTCACCTCCTGCGAATTTTTCCTTCTCGGTTTTCTTTCCTTTGATGACTGGAATGGCCAGGAGATCGGTGTAAACTTGACGGTAAAGATCTAAAATTGTGTACACCTGGGCAAAAGAATGAAAATCAACAGCACGAAGGGATTAATTTAAAATGCAACATCGCACAACGGTTCTCTTACAGGGAAGAGCTGACTTTATTGGAACTAACCTACAGATCGAAGATAATTTAACAGTATTTCAAAATTACACAGATGAGATCAATACCAATTATCAGAAAAATCTTTTTAAAAAATACCACAAACAGTCACAACCTTCTACCCAAGGATAGCTTTTCATAACTAAGGTACAGTTATCTTAACTTTCATTGTCACTTTCCAGATAACATCGCATGCCATTACACACAAAAAAAAGATCATTCACTAAAAGATAATGAAATAAATAAAACATAATAGCTACGCTATGTTGGAACTTAAAACGTCGGAACGAAGTGTCATTACGACCTCACCCTAATCCCCTAGAGGGCGGCCTGGGAACCCGAGGGGAGGTTGGGTAAAGGAGTTGGCTGACACTTCGGACTAACAGCTACATAGTAGGTGTGAATAATTTTGTTTAAAAAATGGTGTGGATATAAATGTTTTTCTTACTTCTTCAACAGCTTCATCGTATGTAGCAAAGGCAGAGTGTCCCTCTTGCCAGAGAAACTCGCGAGTTCTAAGGAAAGGCTGAGGATGTTTGAACTCCCATCTCTACAAGAACAAATCATTAGGGAAGGTAAACAAAAACAACAATAACAACAAAACTAGAAGAACACAACTAAAATAATAGCCAGAGAAGAGAAAGTAATAACTTCTAGAAAAGTTTGCCTACAAACCACAACATTATTCCATTGATTAAGTTTCAGTGGCAGATCTCTGTGTGACTTGATCCACTTGGCATAAGCTGGATACATAACTATTTAAAGAAAACAAAAAAAGGCTGCTTTAAAAATAGAACATAACTGTTGTAAGTAGAGACTGACAGTGCAAAGGTTACATGGCTGACCAATTGGAAATAATCATTTAACATCACTATACTTAATCCAAGGTTACCTGTCTCACTGGTTGGTCTGATTGCAATTGGTTCTGCCAGTTCTGATTGGCCAGACTTTGTTACCCAGGCAACCTAGATGACAGCAGCAGTCAGCATTTGGGCAAAAAAAAAAAAAACAACAACAACAACAACAACAACAACAACAAATACCAGTAAGTACATGTATCCTATTCTCAGTTCCACAGCAATAAGAAAAGCCTAGACCCCTCTCTTTTAAATCTCTTGTACTTTAGTTTTATTCTGTTCTCAACACAAATCTTAGAATTGTGATGTCTCCAAAGGTTTATAAGCAAGTAATTAATCAAAGTACTTCCTTCCAACATCATAATGCTTGTAGCCTTAAATTATTGATATCTGTCCCTCCATCCCTTTGTCCTTTTGTGATTATGTCTTACTGAAGGTCTAACCCAAACAGCGGTTTCACGCAAGTAGTGGGCATCAGGGATTTTCTTTGAGAGGGTTGATTTTATGAAATAAATGTCCTTCCACAATTAACCCTTTCACTCCCACAAGTGACCAAGACAGAATTTCTCCTTACAATATCAATACAATGTCAAGCAGGCAGGTGATGAGAATAGAGAAGAATATCAATTATGGGATTATTAGTTGATCCAATACCAAATTCTCTGAACTAACATTATAAGAATAGTATGGCAGATAGTAGGGAGAATTACTAATTAGATCTTAGGAGTGAAAGGGTTCAGCTTTCAGCCCTCCTGATAATGGTCACAAAAATAAATGTTCAGATAAGACTGGCTGAATTGAAGATGGCTAAGAACTCAGTTTTGTTAAGCAACTGCTAAACTTTGTTTAAATAACAGGCCCTATATGTCCATTTGTCTTTTTTAATCTCTCTGTGTTTTCCTTTCTGTATGTCCATCTGACTGTTTGTTTCACCATCTTTATTTTTAAACACTTTTTTGAAGATTTTGTTCAAGTACCTCTGGTGCAAAGTCTGCAATGTGTGTTTTCTCCTTCTCCAGAGCTGACTGGGACACAAACATGGGAAAATACACATTCTCCACCCCAAGCTTTTTTATTTCACTGTCGAAAAAATCTGAGAAGAATAAGTGCAAATTAGTGCATCTGTTTTGAGAAAACTTCTAATCAAAGGAACAATAATGATTATAATTGCATCTTTCTGTTAGAATGGCTACAATTGCAGGAAAAAAAAAAGACAAAGTGACCTAAACCAAGATCTAAGTACATGTAATCAATCTCTCTACTGTCTGCTGTAAAAAAGTAACTCTTGCTTTCTTAATGCAGTACCTCTTATACGCTCCCATATGGCATAGGACCAAGGCCTCAGAATGTAACAGCCACTGACATCATAGTACTCAATCATTTCTGACTTTGTTATGACCTAAAAATGACAACATTAAAATGCTCTTCCAGGAAAACTATTAAATGTAAAACTCACATGCAAGTAAAGCCGACCCTGAGTGAGAAGTTTGATCATCTGAAGCTTTGCAACTTTTATTTTTACAGTATGTTTCCTCCAACCTTCTACCCCTCCCCTCCCCTCAGATGTCTGTGTCACACATTGTACTGGAACTGAATCTGACTGGACTGGTGCTAAGAAGTTAAGAACAAGAAATCACCTCAAATGATCAACAAACACATTCAACATTTTTCACATTCATGTACATGTACACCTTAATGGACAACTAACCAAGAATTAGTTGATAAGTGGGGAAAATAGAGACTGAACCTTCCAGTTTTTCCATGTAATTGCAGACAATTCCACATGATCAGAGATAAAAAAACAGACCAAAATAGTCTTCATCTGTCTACCAAATCAGAGACATACACTTGAAAAAAAAAAATTAAATTCCCAATTGCCAAGGATTTTAAGCACCTTGTATACATACCACCCTTAAGAAGCAGTTTAAAGAAGTTTAGCTGTGCTCTTCCTTAGGTAATGATTGGTGATTGTACAAAACTCTCTTACCTGAGAAAACCAATCACTCAGGTTTTCTTCCTTCTTAGCCTCTAGACCCAGCCTGTAATTTGACAAACAAAATTTCATGCACTCTATTCCTTCAAAAAATTCACAACATTTTTATTTAAGTTAAACCCTTGGGGTGAAAATTGGCTCATCACAAACCTAGTGATTTTCTTAGCTCCACTGTCTGCATCACCATTCTCAGTCACTGTTTTTTCCTGCTTATTAACAGGTTTTGAATCTTTTTTAGCATTTTCTTTTCCACTTTCTTTCTTTTTCTCTTTCTTTCCTCTCCCACCACCAGCAACATCTTCTCCTGTAAGATTTTTATACTCTCCTTTTAACCTCAGTAGCCCTGCAACTGCTGCATCGACTTCCTCCTGAATATTCAGTAATAAATAAATAAATATAAAATAAACAAAATTGATTAAAATCATTTTGTCATAAAATCACATTTCATGGAGAAACTCATAAAAACATAAACATAAGGAATATTCATTGTATATACAATGCTATTGTGCTCTGAGAGAATACTAAACTACAAACATGAACAGCAATTTGTTTGCAAGCCAATCCATTGATGACCTTTTTTAGTTCTCAGCCAGACAATGAAATATCTGGTGCATGTTGAAAATATCAGCCTGTACCTTGGGGGCTCCACCAGACTTGAGATTGCGAACTTTGTCCCCTTGTACAGTTATTTCGCTTTTAAGTTTTTCTACTTGTTCAGGAGATGCAGTAGGCTTTGGGGAGTCTGTTCCATTCATTGCAGCTGATGGTTTGATGCTTTCCCCTTTGTCTTTCTTTTTACTGTCACTCTTCTTCTCACTTTTCTTGTGGCCTCCTGCCTCCTGTTAAGTCAAAGAAGACACATGATGTTATCTCTAAGAGAGACAAGGTGACATTGTGTTTAGGGAAATAGAGACCAGACTGAAAGTTCCTACTGCAAGTCCTGTTGGGGTCTCTTTGATGTGCTCTTGAGCAAAACAATTCACTTTAACAGTTACTCCCTCTCCATTCAGGAGTTAAAAAGGGTATTGGAAAAATGTCTGTAAACTTAGCAAAATGCTGAGAAGGGAAGAGGGGTTTTCTACGATGGACTGTCATCCCCTACTGTGGGGAACAGCATTGATTCCCTTGTGTTTCGAGTGACATAAATACATGGACTACAATGGGTTTCAAGGCCAGTATGTCCATAAATTATATTGCCATTAATATATCAAGCCAATAAAACAAAAGATCATTCAAGACTGCAGACAATAAGAAATGTTTAGAATTTGACACATTCTCTGTTCTTTCAAACTTCCATCTTCAATTACAACAAGTTAACATTCGCCAAAGTGGCATAACAAGAAGTTAATATGCATTACTTTATTTTAAAAATAATCATCAATAAAGTCCTAGGTCTTTAAAAATAGAATAGATTATTCAAAATTTCGCGTTGTATAGCAACGGCAGCGACAGATAATTTGAGATGTGAATCAAATGACATGTTGCTCTAACTTCATTGTAAATACTAGCGATTTCCATAGTTATTAATACAACCAAATAACTCTTCCTTTCGCACCAAAACATAAACTTTTCAAAGCTTTTGGCTCCTAAATACTAAAAGATCCTTACTTAGTCGATCAGCAGAGAACGATCGGAAGCTAAGTTAATAAATTAATTCGAGCATTCACGATCATCTATCTAAGCACTAGCTCGCAAAACAAAAGCACATAGACATGACTCATCTCGCTTGCTAATAGGAGAAAAAAAATCCGATCAAACGTTCTCATATTTACATGGCAACGAGAGAACACTCAACCGAACCCAAAAAACTTTGCATGTTTACAAACCAATATTTTCACGGCATGTAAACAATGGAAACATTCGATACGATCGATTGTAAGAGATGAAGCTAAATTCCTTACCTCTTGAGAAAAATAATTTCCTGATATATATTTCCTAAAATCTTGTCAACGTGCAATACTAATCCAAATTTATTCTACTTAGATGAATATCGTAGAATTATTTCCCAATACCTTGTCTGAGTGTGCGAAACCCCGAGGAAATGTATCCACGTGTACCTCAAAACATATCTCGATCCCAGTCCTAATTTGCCACAGACTGGACATACAAAAAACGCCTGATAGAAATCTACCAAAGGCGGCAGTTCACGATATTTCACGGATGAATTATCCAACAAATAAATTGGTAAAAGTGAACCGATCTCTTTAAAGGAAACATTCTTTTTTTTCCCCTCTTACATTATTAGAGTGCGTCTTTGCAGTTTACCGCTCGCTGGACATGAGAACGAAATCAAGTATGAAAACACGAGCTATTCGACAAAAATCAAGTCGTTAACTTGAATTCGATTTCAAACAGTCACGAAGAAAGAGGTTGCTAATCATCTGGTATTATGAATTACGCTGAATGAGAGGGAAACAGAGTAAACAGTCTGTGAATGAGGCACTAGCTTACAAACGCTGACGTATTTCCAGTTATCTCTTTCCTCCGCTTAATGAAACACCACCAGGATTAGAATAATCACTGCGCTAAAATCTTCACCATCGCACGAATAAGTTTAGTTTTTAAGCACCTGATAGGTTGTTTTATGCAGGAAATTTCCCTCGACATTTTTACCGCTTTTTGGCTCACCACAAGTTCCTGATTGAGGAATAAAAACTACACATACGTCGAACTAATTTAGAAATAGTTTCGACGCTTGGAGACAAGCATCCTATGGGAGTGAAGGGATTGACAACACCAATAAAAACCTCTAGGTGTAAAAGAGAACAATTTTTCTCCAGTTTTGCCCCGCAGGAAACGTATTAAGCCTGTGCACTGAAGTATGATAGATTTTTTTCCCTTAATTCAGGTTAAACCCTAGTTTCCTACTTAGAATTACCTTAGCTTTGGCGCCTCCAGTTGGCGACGGTTTGGTGTGACCATCAGGGACAGAGAACAAGATGCATGGATTTTCACGGCCTGTGTAACGACTGCAACAAACACATCAACAGAACACTATTGCCACACATTAAGTTTTACAACTATGCTCTTTAGCTGATAATCTAGGACCGGCCTTTACACCTTAACATCAGTGTGCATATTCTCTACACTGTTCTCTACGCATTTCCCAGGGTGTCGATAAGGAGAATTTGTTGAACAATCAAGAGCTTTGGTTGGTAATCATTTCCTTAATTCTCCTGACTTTAAGTGTGATTCAGGGATGATAATGGAGGGAGAAATTAGATGCTAGTCTCTCTTCGGGGTCAAATCATTAAGTATTGTTATCAAAACAATTTGTCAAAAATCACAGAGGAGGGGAGCAATTTCTTCAGCATCAAGGGTTCCCCGTAGCCATCGAGCCACCGCCCACCTCCTAATAGTGGAAGGAAGAGAGGGAAACTAAGCAAGCAAAGCAGCAAAGTGTATTGAGCAGCATCCGAAGCTATGACCAGAGAATCTACCCTTGAGCCCGCCACATCAGATTGATGAAACCACAACACGGACTTAGTATCAACCAAGCCTAAATTACATCATAATAATGATAAAAAAAATTAAAAATTTAAAAAAAAAAAAAAAAGACGAGATCAAAGCGATGTTTCTTTTTTTTTTTTTTTTTTTTTAGGTAGCAATTACCTTGGTGGCTCGTAAGGTTGGTCACAAATGAAATAGCCTCGCCGCTGAAGCTGGATAATGTCTCCTTTCTTTAGTGAAGCCATTGCAGGATCTCCAAACATTTCTGTCTCATGCTGTAAAGACCAAAAAACAAAAAATCCATAAAGAGGGATTCGTCTGTTGCTCTCAAAACTTGTATTAATACATCACTACCACCTGTGTTTCGAATTTATCTAAATAAGGGTTTCTTCATGAGACAGTTTAATTTCTAAATGTGGTATTGTTTTTCGCGCGTATGCTGCAAAAACTGAATCGCGTTTTCAATTTTGTGGACAAAACAATCATGTTATCATTTACAAGAAAAACTAGTGACTAGTATTTTAATGTGGTATTCCAAGGAAGTTCAAGCTACTGAGTATGTGAGTGAAACCACATGCGACCATTCAATTGAAAGCTACTAAGAATTTTTTTCATGCGGTACTTTTCACCACACGGTACAATGATTTAAAGAGAGGGACGATTTGAGACAAGTCAGGGAGAAGTTTGCTGGGGGTCTCGTACCAAACTTCTCATAATGTTTTAACAGTCCAGTTTGTTGCGCTGCAGCAGTAAGTTTAAGTGAAAATCGTTGCACAAAACTGTTGCTTTCCACGAGTGCTCAGGTTTCCCACCTTAGAATCTTTGTTGATGTAGTTCTTGAAGTCATCATTCTTTGTGAGAATAGGCTTGGAGATGACGTCATCGAATTCGACCGCGATCGTAGGAAGCAGCGGTGCTTTGGCAGACTCTGCGATCCATGTTAGTTTAGCCGTCTTCTTAAAATCCTGAAAAAATAAAATAACATTAAAAAAAATTAGAATTTTGAAAAATTGGGTCCCGATGTAAACTAATAGTTGTCTAAGTTGTGGAATTATATTGACAAATTTGCTCAAAATCAAATGTGTTAATCAATTTAAGTTTTAGGTTGATCCAATGATTTCCCATACCTTGTTATCGAGATGCAACTCTGCTTCGACTGATTTCACTCCTCCAGATGGATTCCTGAGGAAAAAAGACACCAGAATATAAGAACAGAATGATTTTCGAGTAAGAGTTGGAAATCGGGACTATCCAAGTACCTAGTCTCACAAGCCAGCTCTTGACGACTGAAAGTTTAAAACAGAACAAACTATAAACGAAGAATGCAGGTGTCTTGACGAGGAAACTACCGGTAGCTTGTTCCAAGCGTTCAGTTAATGAAAAGAAGCAAAATAGTAAATGGCACGATAAAACTGGACGAGTTAAAACCCTCATCACTGACTGAATGTCTGGAAGAGGTCAAATTAATGACGGAAATGGTCATGAGGACAAATTTGCTCTTGTTAGCTTGCCGAGACAATTACTTCTACGGCTACGTACCTCGCTACACGCGAAGGAAAACTGTGTATTGGTTGCTTCGACGTAAGCCGAACGTGACACCACTTACTTGTTAATCTTTGTGACCTTAGCGTTGCCCCAGTTCATTAGTGTGACCATTTCCCCTTCAGAAAGCGCGGCAGCATCCTCTCCCTCGATGAAAACTTTTGGCCCGTACCAGACTTCTTTGCTACCCACGCTGGGGTTCTGTTCAGAGACAAAAATAGTTACTTTGATGTCAATCTGGCAAAACCAAAACGGAGTGCAAGTGATTACGGGAACCAATCAGAACAAAGGTGGATATCTCCAAGAGCTAATAAGAACTAAAAGAAAAGAACACGACGACTGCCTAAAGCGCGGGAAAACGCGACTGACGCAGTCATGATTGGCTTCATATGTGCACTTGATTAGTTAGTGGAGTGCAAGTTTTTATGGGCCAATCATAGTGCGAGGTAAAGCAAGGAATCTCTGATTACATTCGACGCCCGACAGTTAATTTCTTCATGATCAAACAGTTCCGTGGTAAATGAAAAGTAGACGTAAACAATTAAAAAAAGTCAACCTCTACACATTTGAGTTGGATTCTTATCAAGAGCGATCACTAGGAAATGCGTAAACTCAGTAAAGAGTCACGATGTCGGATGGTAACAGAATAGCCTTCTCTTAAAACGTTTCGTAGAAGGAAAAAAAATCACATGGATAATTGCAACGTACCTTAGGATGCAACGGGCATAATTTCATCTCCTCTTGGGCCTCAGGGATATACACAGGTACAACATCGCTCTTTGAGAGAGCTGTGTATCTTGGTGCTATGGGATCGATGACCTAAGAGAGAAGAAAAATAAGAGCGAACTTCATTAGAATCAAAACATACAACAAAACTGACGCACCCTTCACTTAACCTAAAAATCCACCTTCGTTCGACAAAGAAAATTTGGTGAAGAAAATGTGTTACAAACAAGATTTTGAGGAATTGAATTCGTTTTTTTTTCCCTTCAAACCTTTTTGTTAAGAGCCCAGATCTTATCCCACTCCATATGAACATTCGCTTTCGATGAACCCTGAAATAAAAAGGACATAAAATAAATTGATGTTACAGTGGAAGGCGTTCCATGAAAGCCATTGCTTTTCGGCCCCATTTTGAAAAATAAGGCATAGCACACACTTATACGATTCACCTAAAAAAAATTAATTATTTCTAGGATTTTTAGCACAAAAAAATCTCAAATCATTTAGCAAACCCCATTCTAAACACACGTAGTAAAGGGTTGTAAGCAAGTAAGCGTCAATCAAAACTCTACAGCCAAACATCAGCGTACATATTCTTCATACTATTCCTTACAGGTTTCCTATGGTAATGACAAGGAGAATTTGTCTAACAATCTAAAGCTTCTTGAGTAGGTGGTCATTTCCTATATTCTCATAACCTTTGAAGCTCCACTCAAAAAATAATGTTTGGAGAAGTAAGATGCTAGTCACTCTTAGGGGTTTAAGTGTTAACGTAATGCAACCTAATGTGCGTCAATTCTTACCAGCAAAACGTCAACTAAAATTTATTCTATTAGGAACGGGTTTTAAACTGCAAACAATCCAACACGATGTTTTTTTCTTTTTTCACTAGTCTATCATATCAGCAATTCTACAATTTTAGGTGATATCCGTAATTTTTTTCAGGAACTAGTCTACAAACTTGCTCATTTGTTTGCAAAATCCTTATCTTACCTGCAACACAATAAACTCTCTCAACCCTTCCACAGTCATTCCTCGTCTGAGCACGCCACGAACTGTGGGAAATCTTGGATCTTCCCTGAGAATGTCATGAAATCAGAAACAAACTTCAAGTTACCTAACTTAAGGCCTTTTGAAGAAGAAATTCCTTCATGTAAAAAGGAGGTGGAATCAGAAAAAAAAGAAGAAGGAAAAACAAATCCAAATAAACAAAAATTGATATAAACAACACAACACCAGCAAATGGTACGAAATAAACTGCACGTAACACTCACCATCCCTCGACATATCCTTGATCTACGAGGTAGGTCAGCTTTCTTTTTGACATGACAGTGTTTTGCAGCGTGAGCCGGCTGAATTCATAAATATATGGCTTTCGGATGCCTGTAAAAAAGAAAAATAATTGTCAGAAGACCTTTGTTTAATTAACTGAATCACATAGCCTCAGGAGTTTATGCCAATTTCCAAAAAACAGTTGGCTAGTCAAACGCACGTTAACCCTGCCTTTCGTCAACATCGCTCTGACGAAGGGCCAACGCTTGAAACGTCAGCTTTTGAACGCCTTACGGTGGCATATTTATGTTACCAACCGAATTGATAATATTAAATTGCCCTGTTATACTCTCCCACCGACGCAGCACCACATTTTCTCTAGAAAATTACCCCCTTTACTCTTTCGTCCACATTCCCTGATAATTTACCAACAGGGGTTTCGATAAAAGCCGGTTACAGGCAGTATACCGCTGACTGTAAGACCTCTTATCGCCGTCAGTCGAGCATGCGTGCAGGCTCTTGTGTTGGGTTTCGCCTTTAGGCCCTTTTCCGGGCAAAACCGCCGATTATATTATCGGCAGCGGCTTATGGAAAAAGTTTTTAAAACCCTCGACTTGTACTCATTTATAACCCTAAGTGGAGGGCAGACACGTCCAGAAAATTCTAAAATCCTCCGATATAAGTAACTGAATTGACATAAGCACATGCAGAGTGTAATCACGGCAGAACTACTTACCCAACTGCTCAATAAACCAATAATACTGTGGATCACGGTCATGGTACTCTGTGGTTCTCAGGGCGTGAGTGACTCCCTCGATACTGTCCACAATGGGGCAAGCAAAATCGTATGTGGGATACACTCTGTTGAAAAAAAAATACGTTATAGTCAATAATCCAATACAAAGGGGCGCTTTCGCCTTGGTGCCCTAATGGCCTTCAGCTCTGTTCACTATCACTTTGCGCATCTTTATTCAACATCAGGACATTCCTAGTCACGTGTGTCAACCTCGTTGAGTTTCCACTGGTTCTTTGCGATATGCCTAAGTTCACTGCGTAAGGTCGTTTAGTTTTCGCGACCAACTTCAGGTTGTGAGTTTGGCTGCTGAAGTGTTTTTATTTCTCGGTTTTTGACGTTTATCTAAATACAAAAGTCCCATCACGGTGCAGTACATCGCGGTTTGGGCATCTCAAAAATTTAAAAATTAATTTCTTTTCATGTTCAATTTGTTTGAATCTTCTTCATCCTCCACAGAAGCCTTCTTGCGATCAAGGGTTGTTTTAAACGTCGCAACCAAGGACTGAAAGCATCGCTGAATACGTTGCGATTTTAGCCCTTTCACTTCCAAGATCTCACGAATAATTCTCCCTACTGTCTGCGATACAGTCGTCATGCGTTATGATGTTAGTTCTGATAATTTGCTATCAGATCAACTAAGAATCCCCTTGCTGATATTTTTTTTATTCTCATCAATTTTCTGCTTTATGTTGTATTGATATTGTAAGGAGAAAGTCTCTCTTGGTCACTCGTGGGAGTTAACTCCCAGAAGTGACGAACATGTAACTTCTCCCTACAATATCCGTTCATTATCCAACAAACAGGTTGTGAGAATACTCAAATTTATCAGGTAGAAGTTGTGACCTATATCTAATACCAAATTCTCCTAACTGATTCACAATGAAAAGTGTAGCAGCTAAAGGGGAGAATTAGTAGTCAGATCTTAGGAGTTAGAGGGTTAAAAGGATAAAGCTGAGGGAACGCACAGAAAAGGAAAAAAGGCGGCCATACTTGTATTTTGTTCCAGTTCGCACATGTTCCTCTGGCTTACATCGATAAATAGTTGGATCTCTCATGCAGCCATTTTCTGACTGATAATCAAGCTTGGCTCTTAGAGCAAATCTTTGGCCATACTCTGTTCCTTTCTTCATCTCTTCCCAAATTTCAAGGTTCTTCTCTACCGCTGAGAAAGCAATTGCAAATGGAATAAATAAGTCCAACAAATGAGAGTTACAGTAAAGTGAAATGTAGAGACAACGAGAAATAAGTATTGTTGTGGTTATGTGAGTATCTCAAAGCGAAGTAACATCATTGTTATTTTTTAATTCGACGACCAAGATGAGCCATTTTCCCAAGAAGTATGGAGGACGTGTGTCGGATGTGTGAACCTAATGGTGGCCTAGCACACTACAGAGATCTCTGTTACTTAAAGGTAGAGCATCGGAGCAACCATTGGTCCGTTTGTGCGTGCATGCGTGCATGCGAGCGCACGTGCCTGAATTTGTTCGTTCGTGCCAGCACTCTCTCATTCGTGTGCGTTACTCTGTTCGTTCATAACGATGAAAACAATGCTGCATGACAATATTTCTAAATTCAATATTACAAAACTCACAGTTATCCCTGTTGGCAGACTTGATACGCTGTTCTCTCTCTTCCTTCATCTTGTCTGCAGCAGTGTCATCCGCATAAGCTTTTCCGTCTCTGATCATCTTCTCAGCAAACGTCATGATTGTGTCAAAGTGGTCTGAAGTGTGCGTGAACATATCCGGTTTGACCTTCAACATTTTGAGATCTTCCAGAATGACCTAGCCAAAAAATAAATGTAATTAAAATACGCCATCATTCATTAATTGAGGGTCGAGAATAAACGATTCTATTTTGGGTCTTGCTATCGGTTCACTGTGCTTTAGCGATACCTTCGTTGGAGTTCAGTCTACCTGCTTTAAGACGGAGTGATTTCAAAGCTTTTCGAACTATTCTTTATAACAAATGAAAAAACCTTAAAAATTTCGGCCTACTGACCATACTTATACAAATTCCATCCACATACATAAAAGTTTACCCACACGACCCGGGACCGACAGATAACCAAAAGATTACCGACTGTGGGCTTACAGGTGTGCTTAGAACTGACAGCCGTATGTCTGCCAAAAGAAACCAACTGTGTGACGACATGTTTTGTTTAGGTTTTTTTTTTTCCCAGGGAGTTGTTCTCTACAGTTGCCAAAAGATGACATTGAGAGAAATCTTGCGCTGTCCTTAAAATCTCAATGAATACTGACCTTCTCAAATTCAGCATTCTCCTTAGCAGGGTTGGTATCATCGAACCTCATGATCATTTTGCCATCATACATGTTCTTGTAATACTGATTTAACAAAGCAGCTTTAGCATGGCCAATGTGAAGATAACTGGAATAAAATATGCAATGTTAATGGTTGTGAAAAAATTATTAGAGAAGGATAAAGCATTTAAAAATAATACACTTTCTGTACAACTCTGACAGGTGCAGTTTCATACTGCAATTGCCACCATGTTTTCAGAATGAACATGGTTTTTAAACCCACTTCAATGTGCTTGAAAAATATGAGAAACATGAGTGTTGGACTCAAGGAGTCAATAGTTCAATTCCTACTTCATTTCCTTAAACTAGCTCTTTTTCATTTGGACTATTGCATGTCCATTGTAGCTCATGGATTTCCTCCTGAGCCTAATTGCCATAAACAATACTGTGTTTCAAATTTTCGTAAAACAAAACACATACACCCAGCTGTAATTTTTCCCCAAGCCACCCCCAGCCAGTGATTCAGTTCCACTTTACCATAATGCTTTTAAACCTGTCCCAGAAGTGACCAACATGCAACTTCTCCCTCTAATATCTATACATTTTGCAGCAAAAAGGTAATAAGAAATTACTCAACCTCATCAGGAACAAGTTTTTATCTTGATCTAACACCAAATTCTCATAACTAATTTACATTGAAATGTGTTGCAGCTAGAGAGAAGAATTAAAAAAAAATAAACAAAAAAAGAAACACAAACATTCTACAAGAAAAATACAAAGTGAACACAATTCTGAACTTACCCACTAGCTTCAGGTGGAAACCTTGTCACCACATTTCCCTGGGATGCTCCAGGAAGATTGACATACTTGCCTTCTGACTTCATTTTTGTCTAAATGTAAGGAACATTGGCAAATTATTGCACCAAAAGCTCAAAAAAGCTCAAATAAAATATTGATGTCTTAATTTGTCAAACTCAAATTTATGAGTTATCATGAACTTCAGATTCACGCTCAAGGTCTCTGCATGATTGGCTGAACTTGGGAAACTCTTTGGGAAACTTTATGTATTGCTAGCCAAGGGCTACCTGTAATAAATTACAGTTACTGTAGCATCTCAACCAGGAAGAACAGCATATACTGATAGTTACTTCCTGCTATAGAAACCAAGACACAGTCTAGTTGTTTACATTATCAACTCAGTTTATAACACTAAATTACCCTTAATAATCTTTTACTGCTGCCCAGTAATTTAACCTTACCGTTGATTCTGCAGATTGTAAATACATCAAAAGATACAACTGATGGTACAATTTGTCATTGTCAAGAGTGTTCAAGTTTGCACAATATAAAACACTTACACCCAATTGAGAAGGATCAGTTTGAGTCTGACTTGGAAGTTTGTCTGAAACATTGCAGAACGGTGGCTGGGCTCCACAAAATGTCAACCATCTGGCGATGTGCTCAAAATTGCAACCTGGTTGGCTCAGGGTTTCAACTTTGCCCTTCACTGAAAAGAAATGAAAAGTTTGAGCAACAAAGTGAACTTAATCATTTTATAATACGCAGGCTTGGGTCATAGTTATATCCATGTTGCAAAGAACATTCAAGGGAAGAAGGAGCCAATAGGAAAGTGGTGTAAGGAGGAAGGGAGAATAGAAAAAGTAGGGGCAGGGAAGGGGAGGAAGTAGGAAGTAGGAAGGAGGATGGAAGGAGGACGGAAGGAGGACAGAAGAAGGAGGAGGGAGGAGGGAGGAGGGAGGAAGGAGAAAGGAGGAGGGAGGAGGAAGGAAGGAGGAAGGAGGAGGGAGGAGGGAGGAAGGAGGAAGGAGGAAGGAGGAAGGAGGAAGGAGGAAGGAGGAAGGAGGAAGGAGGAAGGAGGGAGGAAGGAGGGAGGAGGAAGATGGGGTTAGATGATGGCAAGGGAAGGGGAGGAAGGAGGGAAATGGGGTAAGATGCTGAGAAGTGACGAGGGAGAGAACTAGACAGAAAAGAAGAGGAGGGAGAACGAGGGGAATTGAGAAGGTAAGGGTGGTAGAGAGATAGAAGCTAGCTAGTGGGAGGGTCAGGAGAGGAGTACATAAGAGAAAGGAGTAGGTGAAAGGTAAGATTGGGAGGAGGATCTAGAGGAATAGGGTATAAGAAATGGAAGCAAGAATCAAAGTGACATTATGGTGAACTCATAGACACTTCACTTAGAATATAATTATAACGATTGTGCCAAAGCCAGTGATCCTGCAATTCCAACAAACAGAGAGAAACTGTCACTCACAAACTCTTTAATGATTGCTATAACATCTTTTATGAGATACATACTATCCCCAGACTTCTAACACTGTACTAAAACCGAAAAATGTGCATAATCATAAGCAAAAACCAATCAAATGCCCACATAAGTCAGGAAGCAAGCCGGCAAATGCCTGAGTTTAGCTGGCCACTTGACAACATGTCTCCAGTTATTCTGGACAAAATAATTACCTTTTGGCTCTTAACCCTTTCACTCCCACAAGTGACCAAGACAGAATTTCTCCTTACAATATCAATACAATATCAAGCAGGCAGGTGATGAGAATAGAGAAGAATATCAATGATGGGATTATTAGTTGATCCAATACCAAATTCTCTGAACTAACATCATAAGAATTGTATGGAAGATAGTAAGGAGAACTACTAATTAGATCTTGGAAGTGAAAGGGTTAATTAACTTATCACAGTCACTTACTTTTTCAGAGTCTGGGGATGCCCACTTCAAATAATTTTGAAACCCCTATTTTAGCTTATAGCATCTACATGAAAATTAAGTCAATAATTATCATTTTCAACAATGCTCTTAAAAAAAAAGAAGGAAATAACAACTAAGAATTTTCACACCTTTTAATGCACCCCACACAGCAAAGTCAGCTAGTGTCACAGAGTGCCCAACAAGGAATGCAACTGGTGCAAGGCTCTTGTTTAAGGACTCAAGAGCCTTGCTGTGTGTCTTCTGGTTTTCCACAGACTTTATACTAAACTCCAGCCAGTGGTCAACCTAAAGACGATTTGATTTTCATGAGACATCATTGTGCGCATATTCTACTGGGTTTGCATTTACCTGTAAATAGGAAATCACCCAGAATGGAAGCAATTTTTTTTTTTCACATGAGCACAAGTTGCAATTACACTTGAACTTCAGATGAAGCAATAAATTTGATTACCAAAAAGAGACTAATTTTAAAAATTTCTCTTAAAGGTAAAACATCAAAATGCATCAGACAGTATTTCCCCAAATAAGCACCAACACCTTATAAAGGACTCTCTGCCACATAAGCACCCACACTCTATGACATAATGTCAAACAAGCACCCCTCCCAATAGGCAGCCCCCTTCTAACTGTGGATACAAGGAAACTATGTTTCTATTACCACTTTATTCATAACTTTTCAAGCTTCAATACAGCTGAATCAGTGCAGGTTAAAAGTTTCTTAATAAGCCCCCTCGATTAAGTGCCTTCCTTTCAATAAGAACCCCTCCTTTTAACCAAAAAAAATTGAATAGCACATGGGCGCTTATTCAAGAAAATACAATACTAGGGCTGTATTCTCTGCTCAAAGCATACCCCCTATTTTTACTCAAAAACATTCACTTGAAGGCAGTATAAAACAAGAAATGGAAAAAAAAGACAGAACTTTTGTTCTGTAATCATTGATTTTTCATAGAACATTTAATGTCCCTCCAAATTTCTACCATAATGATCACAATCCTGATGCCTATGGTCAACCTTCAGTGCCATGGATGACAAGCTTGTCATTATTCCAGACCTTGATACAGGTAACAATCAGATTGCCCTTACCTCTGAAGCTTGAAGTGTATCTTTTCCATACAGACCCAGGGCAGGATACTTGCGAGCCAAATATCTTGCAATTGAATGATCACTGCTCAGTATTAGGTCACTGTGAAATAAAGTATGATCAGATTAAATTTTTTTTTAAAAAGAAATCTGCTGTCATCTCAGTAGAGCTTGAAAGTGTCTAGAATTAAGTTTTTATGAAGCAGCCCTGTCACTCCATGGTATTATGTAATGCATTAATCAAGTTGAAGCTTCAACATTCTACTGGCTACCCCATGGACATTTGAACTTACTAGGATTGGTTTTTTCCCCTCCCCCCACCCCTCACACCTCTGGGGCCAAAATTGGGCTCAAATGCCCCATCCAAGTACTGGATTTATGTTCATTAACTTTTTTAGAAAAGGCACAGTGAGCAATTGTGACTCTCTTGAAGACCCTTTTTCCTGAGCCAACTACTCCTTTAAACTCCTCCATTTTAACAGATAAAACACATTTATTCCACTAGAAGTGAAGCTTAAATTGGGCGCTGCATCCAAGTACTGGATTTATGTTCATTAACTATGGTATTGGATCAACTAATAATCCCTAACTTGACTGATATTTTTCTTTATTCTCATCACTTTCATACTTGATGTTGTACTGATATTCTAAGGAGAAATTCTGTCTTGGTCACTCATGGTAGTGAAAGGGTTAAACCTTGTATATCATGACATACTTACTTGGAGATCCTGAGAGACGTATTCTCACCCCACTCTACTGTCACAGGACATTTTTCCTTAAGATGCTCAACAGTAAGAAGTGTTACTGGCAAAAGAGAAATACAAAAAGTTATCAAAAAAACAGCTTGGCTCGTATAGTAAGAGTGTGAGGAGAACACCAAACCAACCTTATCATTTTTTTCCAAGATCTGATATCAAGTTATTCTCTGGCATTATATCAGAGTTATGCTCTCTCGCCAATAAGTATCTACATTCTCACCACCTATTGGCTTGATAGAGTTATCCTTTTGGCAAGGAGAAAATACATGCTAATCACTTGTGAGTGTGAAAGGGCTTACTACTGTAAACAAGTGCTTAATTCTATACAAAATATGACTGCTAAAGAAAAGGAAACATGCACATATTCATATTATTTCACTCTGTCTAAGATGTAAATTGATAAAGGACACTCTGATCACTTTTTTTCTAATTTTGGGGGGAAGGGGGGTGGAGGGGATGCTGAAGTATTTGGCTAATGAGGTGATGCAATATAAATGGTGATATTAACTATAAATAATGGAATGTCACTATTGGTGATATTGAAATGAGTTTCCCTTTCCTTGAGATAAAAATATCGATGTTTTTTTAAAGTGCGGAGTCTTGAGTTTTAAATGTACGAGTTTGAGCTCCGAATAATGCGTTAACTTAAAATTACTGATCATTTCAAACTGTCTTCAATTTTATGAAGCTAATAATGAACTAGCACTGTGATAATTCTAAGGTAATGATACAATTTTTTGGTCGATTCCGTAACGATACCGAGGGGTTTAGGGAAATTCAAATAACTTTAAAAATAATGGTTAATCACCTTTCGTAGAAAAAAAAGAGCGATCTTGAATTCAGCAGATTTTTAGATTATTTCCTTATCTCGTAGGAATGATCACGATTCGATCTTGAGATGCAAAGTTCTCAACAAAATCAAAGTAAGCTTGTAACAATACGTAAACTTCCCTTCAAAGCAGCGTAACAAGGCAAAGTGTTTAGGATGTTTTTACGATAGCTCTTCAAAAGATCGGAGAAATCGAAAAGTTCAAAATTAATCTTCTGGGGATTTTTTTCTTTGGCAATGAATAACATTCAATCGTAGGCTCTGTGCACAAAACCACTTACCAGGGGGAGGCCGAGAGGACGAGACAGTTACTGTAAGCGTCTTCATGACAGCGCTACAAAATTGTGAAAGATGGAACAAAAGACCTGAACAAGAATCTACCAGACCAGAAGGTACAAAAATAACCTGCTTTCGGTTTTACCCAACCTATCTGCATGGGCACGTGAACGACTAAGCCAGGTTTGGATTCCAAGAAGCGCCGTATATAATAGTGAACAGCGGTATCTCCGTGGTGTCATGTTGCACTCCCTGTTGCATCCCTCTTGCATCACTATTTACGACTCGCATGGGCATGCAATCTGCGATCACGGTGCAATCAATTTTCTCGGCAAAGCCAGCATCTCTTGCTCAGTTTACGTAAGAGCTTTATTTATAATGCAGTAAATACCAAGAAGTTTAAGTCACTCCCATTCAACCATTCATTCACCCAAATCAATTCATTATTTTCTTTCCCGCATTCATTCGTGTACTCAATCATTAATTTTTTTCATTTATTTAAATATTCATTAATTTGAACTGGAAAAAAAAATTATAAATACACTCCATGTTCAGTAATAGATGACAGATTACATCGGAATGTGTAAGAAAGAAAAACTTGGCGCATGATTGAGGCACAACCGAGTGTGTCACAAATGTTCCAAACACATTGAAGCGTCTTCTGTGAGACCCACGGCAACATGGAATCCATGTTACAAGATAGAAGAGTGGTGTGTGGTTAATGCTGACATTGCCTATCATTCTGTCCTCTAATAGATCATGTAAGTAAGAACTAATTAACTAATATAATTCAAGCTATCATATAAAAGTAAATACATCATTTCTTCAATAAAAGACCCTTTAATTAATTTTGTTTTTGCAAATAATTCATAGAATGGGAAAACTTTCCACAAACAGTTTTTAAGATAAGTGTCATGTCTCTGATGTGAACAATCTTTAACATATCATCAAGAATAAACATTCTGTATACAAGAATAAAGAAGCTTTTAATATAATTTATTTCTTTTTTGGCATAAAGTACATGTTCTGCTTTCATTTTAAATAATTGTCTCAATAATTTTTATTAGCACAATTAGGACACATATAATAATTAAGATGTTGATGACCACCAAATCTTCCGCACATTGAGAAAAGTTTTTATTCTCAATTCATAAATACTACAAAAAATTCATATTTTCACATTCCCTAAAAGATAATTTTCATAAAATTTTTGAAAAAATTGCAGCAATCTAGTCAATCGGAATGGGATTTTTTGGCTTTGTGAAGTTTCTTGACAATTAAACCAGGTAATAATGCCATAACAGCTATGCCGCAGAGCTTGATGACAACATTAAAAGTAAACAGTTCATCTAGAGATGTCAACTGTGACAAAATACAACCAGTTTGACAGCATATGAAATTGTATGGCATCAGACCTAAAAAGGCAAAAAATAAAAAACAAACAAACAAAGGAAAAAAACAAATTCAGAAATAAAATTTTTGATTTTACTTTCTTTTAGTATTATGTTTGTGGGCTTCACAGAGAGCACAAGGTATTCTATATAAAGCATAATCACTTTTCTCAAAATGTAGTCACTTTCAATGTGAATTGCAACACTTCAACTGCATAGTACAAAATCTTCTTCAGTCAATAAGTTCGACTGTGAATGTGTCACCTTGTGAACTGATGACAGAGGGAGATTTGCAGTATGTGGACAAAACACTGAGATCTACAGTCAAAGTCAATAAAAAGCCAGGGAAAATATTGTAATTGATATATAAAGTGTATTGACCACATTGGCGAACCACAACTTTTTCTATCATACAATATGACTGTACAGCAATAATATAGTGAAAGATTCCATAAGTTACCGTATTTCTTCACCTATAAGCCGAGCAATTTTTTCAGTATTTGACACAAAAGTTTGGGAGATTTTTTCACACGAAACGGGATTCAACTTATAGCCGAGGGTTTGGGATTCAAAAACAAGTACTCATCTAGTTTGGGACACTTGGGAGTGAAACGGTCCATTTCTGCACGTTTTGCAGACATCTTAAGCTTGCCAGAAAGAATTATCACCTGGTCCCTTCTCCAGCATCGCACCATGGACTCACTAAGTCCATAATCTTGAGTGATTTCCGAGCTGCTTTCTACAGCTTCAGCTTCCACAATAACATTTATATTGAAAGCCATAGTGTATGATGAGCAGAACGTTTTGGCATGATGAGAAAAATAAGTGACGAAAGAGATACTCGATTGAAATGTTTGTCAGGTTACAGTAACTGAGAGTATTGTTGTGTTTCTGCAGTCGCGTAGTAGTATTTACATCTTCACTGATTTGCTTTTTTCTTTTGTGTTTATTTGCATTCATAAGCTTTTGTGTTCATTGTGCCATTTCCCAATATTTTACATGAGGTTTGCTCACTCAAATGGCCAGTTACAATCAAGAATTTCACTCTTGGCTTATAGCCAATGGTTTTGCTTTTTCTTTTGGACAACAAAAGTCTGTTGGAAGGTCCCTAACTTTTAAGGTCTCAGCTTATTGGCGAGGTCGGCTTATAGGTGAAGAAATACGGTACTTTTAGTTTACTTTTTTTTCTCAGTCCACTTTTTCTTTCACTGGTCATTTTGAGTACACTTATCCCCCCTTCCCTTCCTTCCACTGGTGTTAAGGGCAATATCTTATCTTGTAAAACTAAACAATTTATTCTTGACTTTGACTTTTCATCAAGTTAACCCTTTAACTCCTAAGATCTCATTAGTAATTCTCCTTAATGTCTGCCAAATGATTCTCATGGTGTTAGTTTGGAGAATTTGGTATCAGATCAATTAGTAATCCCATAATTGATATTTTTCTTTATTCTCATGACTTGTTTGCATATTGTATACTATTAGATATAGTGACAAAAAAATTCTGTCTTGGTCACTCACAGCAGTAAAAGGATTAACCCCAAAAATTCTCATAATTAAACAAACCAAATTAAACAAAATCAGCAAGTCAGGTATCCTTACCAATTACAACTGAGAAAAAGAAATGTGTAATGGGTACTTCCAAAATTGGCGATGACATGTTTAGGAACCAGTTGGGAGACATAGGGAACAATCTCAAGAATAATAAAAAGAAAAACAGACCATCAAGGTTCTCTTGGACCTGAAAAATACAAGAAATGCTCTAGATTACATATTTATTACATATTTGTTAATAGTGAGTGCCTTTCAACAACAATCCTTTTCAATAAAATTGACAAATAGGTTTGATTCAATTTTACCACGTATCACTCAGTAGTAAATCACAGATGACATGATAAACATAAAGCACAGCCTAGTATGTCACTGATGAACTTATCATATTTTGACTTCATCTGTGGTTTACAACATGTGTTTTTTTGGTTTATATGATAAAAGGAAAACATTGTCATTGGTGATATAATTTATGCATCTGTCCTCTCTCACCTTGCCCTGCAAGGCCTGGATTTTGTCTGGAAAATATTGAAGTAAAAGCACTTTGCCAAACGCTTTAGATAACAGATAACAAAATGTGGCTCCACATCCAGTCAAGGTGCAAACCAATGGAAATCCAACCCACATACCAAATATTGCACCAGCTAACAAATTCTGAAAATAAGATTGCACAGGAAATAGGATATTATTAATCTGAGTTTTAATTAACTCTGTTAATTTTTAACCATCTCTCACCCCCTTGGGACAAATTTACTTCTCTCCCCAGCCTTCCCCTGCCATTAAAATCAAAGATGATGGCCATAATTTTCGCTAAGAAAATACTGAGTATTTGCTGGGGAAAATTATTCCTACTCCGCAGACTTTATCTTTTTATTAGAATTTTCATTTTTTAATCTTTTTTTTTCTTTTTAATACCAAGTAATTTTTTTGTTCTTTATTCGTTTACTTATCAACTAATACCTACTTACCTGATCACTTATTTGATCATCTCTCTATTTCTCTTTTAATTTTTTATTTATTCTAAAATCTTAGCTTGTTATAAACACCTACCATAAAAACAGACCCTGGAATGGCAAATGTCTGTTTGTATAAATATGCACTACAGAACAGCAGAATCACATAACCAAAATTATCTTGTCTGTACTGCTTCAATAGACTGGCTAAAGACTTCAGATCCTCAAGGTCACTTGGAAAATGTAGCTCATAACTGAAAAACCAAAATATCATAACAGAACATAATATAACTCCAACATATATGGTCATACTTTCTAGTCAACCTTTAAGCTCTCAAGATCTGATTGTTAATCCTCCCCACTAGCAGTTACAAATTTTCTTGTGAATTATTTACAAGAATTTGGGGTTACATTAAGATAACAACTCCTAACTAATAAAGTGGGTAAGTTTCTAAAGAAACTATGGTGTTGCATTGGTGGGAGAGTATAACAGGGTAATTTAGTATTATCAACTCTGAGTTGATAATGTAAATTGGCCACCATAAAGCATTTAAAAGCTAACATTTTGCATGTTAGCCCACCAGTAGAGCAATTTAATATCATGGTTGTAATTGCAATAACAGTAACCATAACTGCGACTGCAACCATGATATTGCAAGTGTTGCAGTTTTAAAAGCAACTTCTTTATACACCTTTGATCCTCAAAACAATACTCTGTTGTGCCTCTTAGTTTCTTGCTTGGTAAGTATATTGTGTGGCACTCTAAAATCTTTTGTTCTAGTATTGACATGATCTGATGTCAGTTCATACAGCCTATATAGCCACAGAGTATACAGGTCCATTGACAGTCAGATTAAAGCCCTATACCATTCCTAACACTAACATCAGTATGCAAATTTTCCTTAATGTTCCCTAAACATTTCCTAAAGTAACACATGAGATGGCAAAGAGCCGCCAGAGGCTAAAGTTTGACCGCCTACTGATCAGTAAAGAAGAAATTCGGTCACCGACGACAAACATTGGAGATATCAACATTGATCGGACAAAGTGGGTTATGAATCTCTCTGACCACCCTCTTTCTGACAGTGAACGCTCAGTTCTCATGAAAGGTCTGAATTTTAGCGTAACTCCATCAAAGATTCCAGTTGATGAGATCGTGGCAGCCACGGAACTGGCCTGTAATCAACTAAAAGAGAAAAGCCAAGCCGAGAGCCTGAGAAATGAAGTAGTTAAAATCGTAAGCAAGAGCAAACCCCCAAGACCAAACATCAGCAGAGCTGAAAGGGAAGCCATTAAGGCTCTGGCGAAAGACGATTCAATTGTAATCTTACTAGCGGACAAAGGGCGCACTACGGTAATCCTAAACAAACAAGATTATCACAACAAGGTGAAGGCTCTCCTAGACGATACCAATACGTATGAATTAGTTTGTGATCATTTCCTTTATTCTCAATTGACCTTCATGTTTAATTAAAGGTGATACTGTTGGAAGAAATTAGATGTTAATCATTCTTAGGGGTTAAAGAGGTTAAACAAAGCCCTGGTCTCAGAGGCTATCTATTGTTTTGGCTATTGTATTACTTATGCAAGAACTGCATGCACAATGAAGTATGGGGTTGCGTAGAAATCTTGGCACAATGAGCTATGGATTAGGTCGGGAACTTTTTTAAATATAAATCAGTCAGTGGAAATGGAGGTGGATTGGCCACAACAGGGTACAGACAAGAGAATAACCTTACACAAAAAAGTAAAGTGCAAGACCAGCAAAATTTGACTAAAAATTTTCGTAACACTCTCAAAACTTTTCGAACAGTCAAATATACCCCCACATCTCCTATCCTGTAGTCTGCTAGAGCAAAACAGCTATTCATAACAAAGGTTTGCATCATCATTAGCCAGTGAGGACTCGAAACAAAAACAGGAAAACCATTAAAAGCGCGGGAAAACGAGAGAGACCTTGTAACGGCTGGTTATTATTAGGCGTCTGATTGGTTTAGAGGATGGCGCGAATTTTCTGGATCAATCGCAGACCGAAGCAAAGCGAAACCAGTCTCAGATCACTTTTGATACTCAATTGAAAATTACTCTGAATGTCTGGTTTATCTCGAATCCTCATAAGTAAGACCTAAGTCAGAAGAGAATATTGTAGTCTCGTACTCTTATTAATACTCGCTGAGTGAACTGCCTCCGATTTTACTTGCTCACCTTTTACTTTCGTTCGCCCCCGTAGTGAGATTAGCAGAGAACGGTGGTCTAAACATCGACAGTAAGGTAAGAAAAAGGGTAGCCGAAAAAAAAGTAGAACCAATGCCTAGAATACAAAAGAAGGTTCTCTGTGTTTTGGAAAGTGTCCTCATCATTCTACGACGGTGTTCTAGAGTCTGAATCAATGGTCGCAAATATTTCTACAAGTCAGGAAAATGCCGACATGTTGGTTTGTTTGTAACCTCGCCAGGCTAGAATCAGGGTTTATAGACTGGTGTCGAAATTTTTATAATCGCGTGATTTCAACAGTGTCACGCGAGGCTGTCACGCGGAGCTTCGTTTATGTTTTATCGGCAGCACTCTGATATGGAAATTACGTCTTCGCTTTTCAGTTGACAAGCTCAAATAACAGCAAGATTTCTTCACAACAGAAATCGAAAAAACACCGATGAAATCGTCTCGAGTCGATAGTCCTTACACCGCAAAAGATCCATCACACGGATTTTTCCTTTGGAGTGGTCTAACTTGGATGCAGAAGGAAGAGAGATTTTGCGACGTCACTCTTAAAATTGGTAAAGATCGAAAGTTACGAGCCCATCGTGCTGTCTTAGCGCTATCAAGCAAGTACTTCGAAGCGCTTTTCGGAGCGAATTGGGTCGAAGGAAAATCAAACGAAGTCGAACTTCTTGATTTCGACGAAGACGCTATAACGAGTTTGGTTCGATTTGTGTACTCAGGAACTGTCGACATTACCACCGACAATGTTCAATACATTCTGGAAGTCGCGAATTATCTTGGAATCGAGTTCGTGCAAAAAGAATGCATACGCTTCTTGGAAGAAAATCTCAATAAGAACAACTGTCTGAACGCTCTTCAAATCGCAGACACGTTTGCCTTCGAGTATTTGAGGGAAGAGGCGAAATTGGTCGCCGTACGCTATTTCACAGAAATTTGCATGACGCAAGATTTTATTCATCTTCCACATCATTTATTGACGGAGTTACTGAGAGAAGAAAGCATCTGTGTAGTTGTTGATAATTTGATTCCTCGCGCCGATAAGAGAGAGAGCGTTGTTTTACAAGCTGTGTTTCGATACGTGCAGTATGATCTTGGTAAACGAGCAGATTTATTACCGAAACTTTTGGCCCTCGTGAGGCTTCCAACTCTATCAAAGGAGCATCTCCAAGAGGTCTCAAAGCACAGCTTAATTATTGGCTGCCGTTGCGAAGCGATTGTTGAAAAAGCAATGAAGGTGAAATCGGATGAAACTGGAGATGGTTCGACCGATTCAAAGTGGGCCAAAAGAAGGGATTTCGCCAAGTGCGTAGTCACATGGGGTCGAACCTTTGTAGGAACCCAACAAATTCCATCGAAAAAAAAATTCATTACCGGTCGATATTTTCTTGAGGACTCGATTGATGGTGTCAATGATGAAGGCGTCTACATTACAGGAATAACCGTTTGGAGGAACTCTCCAACAGAGGAGCCGCGATCTATTTGTGGATTAGAGGTCTTTTACAGCAATAACTCGAGGTGGTTGTACGGCGTCAAGTTAGGACAAAAACAAAACGAAATCTTTCTCAAAGAAAATGAAAAGATTGTGAAGGTGGAAGTTCAGAGCGGAACGCTGATTAACAGCCTGGCGTTTTATACAAATAAGGATTCTTATGGTGGTTTGAAGTCTTATCGTGGATTTTGCCCCGATTATCAAGGTAGCTGTCAGGGTAGTCACGCGACCGTTCGAAGCCAGAGTCCGCCTGGAATCTGTGGATTCTTAGCTGGCGTTGCCGGCGAAACATGCGAGTTCCAAGGACAGCCGTGTATTACGAGGCTTCAATTTGCATGGAAGACATTTGTTTGCAATGACGTAGCGATCACACCGCGGTTTGAGTATTTTGAGCCGGGTAAGTGCGAAATTGTGAACAGACCACTGCGACCGTGCCAGAAGCAATGATGGTGATGTTAAAGTGAAAGTCGTCGCAAAGATGATGACAATGACCAAGATGGCGAGTGAATGATGTTGATAATGATGACGATGACATTGATAATGTTGAAGAATACCGATGAATGTATATTAGTTACTGCGCACCTACCCCTCTCATAACCTAACAATAGTCAACTGGTAACGACTTAGGGTTAATCTTGGCTCAGGGGAGGGGTAGGTGCGTAGTTGCTTGGATACTACCGGTAACTTTGATACTGGAGACGAGAGAGATGAATGGATGATGATAATGATGGTGAAGGTGACTGAGTGGTTGTTATGGTAACGACATTAAAAACGAATCATTATGACGTTGATAACCAAGAGGATAATTATAAGCGGGTTGACTATGGCGACGATCTTCAGAAAAGAAAAAGGCGGTATTTATGACAACGACAAAGGCTATCATTATCGTAGGCTGTGTACAACCGCCTTCTATCTTCGATAAAAAAAAGCTAGAGAGGGCTCCTTGGCCTGGCAATTTTTCTTTTTAAGGTTACGTAGGTTTGGTTGTACGCAGGCTATCACGATCAATGTGGATCGTATCTTGACGCAGATGTGTGACGTTTTAAAGCTTAACTAGATTTATTGGCCACTTGAAAAAGATAGAATCTTTATTCAGGGGCCACAGTCCCTCTTTAAAACTTCCCTCTAATTCCCATGCTCCCTTTTCTCCCTCGTCAGGACAGGAGAATACAAACCCTGCAAACTAATCTCGTACCCAGATCTTGCCGTGTAACTGTAACTAAATACAACCCCCTGGCCGTGGAAGGTCTAGGTATGAGATACCTGCACCGCAGGGTAATTTTCACGAGGGGAAAAGCATGACTTGGAGAAACATTTCAAGTTTTTATGGCAAGTTGCCAATGACCAGTTTTTGTCCCTATGACTAGACATTAGGTAATTTGTTTACATCACCCGAAGGGAAAAGATGCACGAAACTAGTTTCAGAGACAGATCGTAGAGATGGGTTCCCTCGATTCAATACTTCCGCCTTAAGAAAATGTACATATACATTTATCGCCTGTTTTAAAATATAATTATTTGCCAAGTTAGTCTGAAAGGTTCAGTAATAGTTATCGCTCCCAATGATACTTGCATTGCTCTGGAAAGTGCGATTCTGAATGATGAAGTTTGCGATACTAAAATGCTAATTTTCTGCTGATCCTAACCTTAAGGGGGAGCAAACCTTTACAGGCAGTTTTTAGGTGTAAAAATCAAGCCATTGTTATCTGATAAACATTACTTTAGCAAAGCACTCTCAAATAAATGAAATTAAAGAACTAAAACACTCGAACACTTTGTGATCATGTTTATATTCATACGACACAATGAATATCAGAGAGGGGAAGGAGTACACGAACTTGAAACACTCTAACGGGCAAAATTCCCTGCATTTTTCAAGCTTGCGTGAAATTAAGACCAGTTGAACACGGAGAATGCAGATCGTGCATAAATTATCAACATTGTATCTTCGTAGCTAGAGCTAAACGAAATTTTTATTCACTTCATAACTGGATCCTTGAGGATCTTGTTATGATCAAAAAACTACCAACTCACTGTGAAACGATTTTGATCGTACCGAAACACAACTGATCTCAGGATTGTCAACAGACTTTGGTGCCATTTGTTAAAATTTGTTTAGCAGCGGGATGTGAAGATTAACTGAGCGGAATAATTTTTACTGGTACCCTGAAAATATAATGAAGCAATTAAGAAGACAAGGATTTTCCTGTTAAAAAAATGTAGTGTGTTTCTTTTCCTACCAGCAATGTTTTCATTTGTTAGAGCACATCACCTGTGAAGCTCTGTGTGATTGGTTATCGTTTGTTGACAAACTGAACTAATCACATGACATACCGCCATATTCGTCCGAAAATTATAAACATCAACTTCATGCTCCAGGATCTGCTACCTTTTTGACGTAAATATGAGATAATTTTCTCGTCCTAGGCTCAGATCTCGAAAGCGAAATATCGGAAGCGTTAAAGTGTCAACACCGAAGATTAAATATGCTTTTTGTCAGGTAGAAAATGAAATTTTATCACCATAATGGTTTTATCATGGCCGAACGATCACAAACTCGCTGAAGATGAAGGGTGTTTAACCCAAACGACAATGGAAAGAAAGTCTGAAGTCTGGATCGCTAGTGACTGTTGTTAAAGGACAGAAATATGAACGTAAAAACCGAAGACTTTACGATCACAAGAATCGATTCACTGGATCAAAACAGCGGGCTTTCCCCTGGAGGAAAATCTGTTGGGGATTTCTTGCCAAAATCAGAGAGCGATCAAAGTCAAGCTTCGCCGAACAAAGATCATCCTTCAAATTCGCCTTCTCTGGCCGGTCTTTTACAGCGTTTATTAGGATGTCTGAAACCTGTGTGGATGATTCTTGGTAAGGCTTCAAAAGAGCGGAAATCAGATTCGTGGGTTATTCCATTTGACGAAATTGGCGAGCTGGAATGGTTGGGTTCTGGCGCTCAAGGGGCAGTATTTTTGGGACTTTATGCTGGACAACAAGTCGCAGTGAAGAAAGTTCGTCGCGAGGCCGATACCGACATTAAACACTTGAGGAACATAAATCATCCGAACATTGTCAAATTCAGGTGAGAAAATTTGTTTGTAAATTTGCTTTTCTTAGATGTCAAGGATTATTGTTCGAGTGAAGGTCGAACATTACTGGTACAGACAGGTCTCAAATGAGAAAAAAATTAAAATTTATTTTATTTATATAGCTTTTCGATTGATGGCAGTTTTAGGATTAAAACGGTTCGGTTTATTTTGAATTTAATCAACATATTTAAGACTAAAAAATTAGTCTAAGAATATTTTTTTGACTGCTGCTATATGTAAAATCGTTCATACAAGATTTCCTCGACGTGTTTATAAAGCGTACTTTGATCTTGTTTTTTCTCTTGTGACTCTTTTTTTTTTTCTTTTTTTCTTTTTTCTTTTTTTTTCCTAATGTTTTGATATTTCTGTTTTCTGTTGTCCACTTTTGGGATAAAGATTATAATTTTGCCTTCGCAAGCAAATGATAATGATGAAAGAATAATTTTGCCTTCGCAAGCAAGTGATTATAATGTTAAAAGAATAATTTTAATGTTGTCTTTATGTATGTTAATTGTAACGAAGGAAATCACTTCAACCATTTCACTCCCGATAATTTATCATTGGAACAACTTATATTCCCCTAATTGATATTGTTCTTCATTCTCATCACTAGTCTGCTTGATTTTTTATTGACATTCTAAAGAGAAAATCTGTCTTGATCACTCTTGAGTTTGAAAGGGCTAAGCTAGTGACTCACTGTACCAGGTGATGTTGATGTGTTGATTTCTGTAAATTTGATCAGCAGTAATAATTGTGAGGGAAGTTGACTATGCATGATTTTATTCCATTGTTGTCTTTCCTCTTACAATTTGTGTCAGACTTTACCCTCCCTACCTCATATAACTTTTTCAGCTTAATTTAACTCTTCCCCTCCCAGGAGTGACCAAGACATAATTTCTCATTAAAATATCAACACAATGTCAACCACACAAGAGAATAAAGATGAGAGTAAACAGAATTATCAATTAGGGGATTGTTAGTTGATCCAATAACAAATTCTCCAAATTGGCACTAGAAGAATTGTATGGTTTACAGTAAGGAGACTTATTAATGAGAGCTTGAGAGTAAAAGGCTTAAATTCCATTTCCAAGATCAGCATATAGAGTTTGAAGAAAGATTTTTAGTTTCGGGTAGCCATAATGATGAAAGGTAAGCAATTACTGATTTGATTCAGCTCCTGAATGATTTTGAATTAAATATTATTTTTTCACTCAGAGGAATATGCAATCAAGCTCCAGTTCACTGCATAGTTATGGAATTCTGTCCAAATGGTCAACTATATGAGGTTTTACGTAATGGACGTCAAATCACTCCTTCCTTACTGGTGAAGTGGTCAAAGCAAATTGCAGATGGAATGCATTATCTTCATGTTCACAAAATTATTCACCGGGATTTGAAGTCTCCGAAGTAAGTAACAATTAAAATTTCTCAGAAAATAAATCCTTTTATTCAATATAATTAATATATTTGAAGTATTACAAAGATCACACAATGATTTTTTTATATCATACAATTAAGTTGAAAATAAAAGTGGATACTCATCAAACTGATAGACTTTCTGTACCCTATCAATTTTTTTTCGACACCCAATTCTTGATTTCCTATACTGCCCAAGTTTGAATGAGTTAATATGTTTTGCAGTTTACATTAAGCATTTTTTAAAATAAACTATATTTTGTTCAAAACTGGCATTTTCTTTTACAATTCCCAACCTTCCTATGATGGAAAATTCTCTACAACAAGTGCTCTTTTGTTTGCACCAGTGCATGAGGTGATTGTTGTGGAGAGATTTGACTGTCAGTAACATTCACATCTACATGGTATTCCTACACATTTGGAAAGATTTTATAAATCATTCATTAAAAAAAAAAAACAGTTCTTTAAATGTAACACTTATTACAGGAGATGAAATTGCATGGGTACCAATCAGAATTTAAGGAGAACATGCTGAGTGGTAGATTCCTGTGATGATTTCAAGCCTTTTGTGTTTAATATTCTTTTCAGTGTCCTTGTTGGTGCAGATGACCTGCTCAAAATATCTGACTTTGGTACCTGTAAGGAATTCAGTGAAAAGAGTGCTAAGATGACATTTGCTGGAACTGTTGCTTGGATGGCTCCTGAAGTTATCAGAAATGAGCCCTGCTCTGAGAAGGTTGATGTATGGTAAGATTTCTGACTGTTTTTCAAGTACTTGTAACAGGGTCCTAATCCCCAATCAGTTTCCACTCAATGTAGGTTCCACTATATGACCCCTATTTCTACTCTAAATTAAAAGTATAACAAAATTCTTGAATATAATTGGCTATCACCAGCCTGATTTGAGCACTAATAGAACTGTGTATGTATCATGCTTGTAATTGGACAGTGTAATAGGACAGTTAAAGGGGATCAATATCAGTATCTGGGCAACTGCCCACCTACCCCTCCCCTAACCCAACAACAGTCAATTGATAACAACTTAGGGTGAATGTTGGGTTAGGGGAGGGGTAGGTGGGCCGTTGCCCAGATACTGGTATTGATCTGTGAAAGGGACAGTTAACATGTTATATATGTGTAAGTGGACAGAATGCACCATGTGCGCACACTGGTGTCTCACATTTCATCGAGTTAAGTGTTGTTTTATTTTACGAAAATAATTAACATTTTTCCTCAAATTTTGTCATAGTTTTGATTAATTGTTTACTGGACTCCATGTTGTCCAATTCTGTCCCACTTAGCAGTCGTCCAATTTCATTGATCACTCGTATGATTACAGGCCAAATTGGATACCACTTAGTCCTATTACCTGAACAGGTTTAACTTTTTGTTTTTGTCATTGAAACTTATTCAGGTCATTTGGTGTCCTTTTGTGGGAGTTACTCACAGGAGAAATGCCCTACAGGGTAAGTATAGTTGGCCCATACAATATATAAGCAACAACAACACCTTACAAACTATACCATGCATTTCAAATTAGAACTGTTTTAATATTACGTATTTTATTCAGACATGTTTGTACTCTATGATCAGTCACTTACTTGGATCAATGAATGGTGCTTTCAGTAAGACCAGGCTGCAAGTTTGCATGTCAGCAAATGGAAGATTTTAAATAGAAATGAAATGATCAGTAAAACAATTTTTACAAAGGAGACTAATATTTAATGATCATTTACCAATTGAAAGTTTAACACTGAAAAACTCTGTTTGAAGCCAGTTAACCTTTAACTCCCAAGATCTCATTAGTAATTCTCCTTACTACTCTACCATACAGTTCTTGTGATGTTAGTTTGGAGAATTTGGTTTTGGATCAACCTATCATCCCTTAGCTGATATTTTTCTTTATTCTCATCACTTGTCTGCTTGATATTGTACTGATATTGTAAGGAGAAATTCTGTCTTGGTCACTCATGGGAGTTAAAGGGTTAATTCTGAATGGAACTAGCAGGCTAATAAGAGGGAAATTACTTTTCATATTGTTCTCCAGTGGGTGCTTTACTGAACTAGCCACCTTTTTCAAATCTTATTGAAAGCACTGAATGAGGTCTGTTTTGTTATCACCTCTACACAATTCCATATTTAAGAAAAAAAGAGAATTTAGCTTGAAACACAGCTGAGGTAACAATTGCATTATTTCATGTTACTGATTATGAGATCTTTAAAAATGAATAGTCATTTCACAGTTGCATACTTGGTTGCCAAGCCTTTGAAGCTAAGGGTGACCTTGTTATGATACAATCTTTATTGCTTTTCAATTGTAAATTACTCTGTTATCATGCTAACTAGATACTGGTCTTTATCACAAGAAGGTCACCTTCAGCCTCATTATAAATCTTAGCTTGGTAGCTATGTACACAACTGTGAAATGGCCTATTGACTTTTAATAAAATGTTTATGTAGGATGTGGATTCCTCTGCCGTAATCTGGGGAGTTGGCAGCAACAGTTTACATCTCCCTGTGCCAACCACCTGTCCAGAAGGCTTTAAACTGCTTATGAAACTTTGTTGGTAAAGTTGATGATGTTTTGGTACTTTTGAATGATTTAGTTTGAAGTTGTTAAACTTGACTGATCAGGAAAAAGTCTGTGGATGTCTGTGTTGGAACAATCACCAAATTAGTAACCTACGTTCAGAACCTATTTTCATTATTATGGCTGATCTCCTTGAACATGTAATTGTGAGCATGACTACTCCCCCTGGATGGAACAATTTTCTCCCAAATAGTTAAGCACTTTTTTTAGTGGAATGAGACAGGCCAGTCACCCTGTCATCAATTAAAAAGGTTTAATCTTCAGGTCACCATTATTAATTAATACTTCTGGGTGTAGAGTGGTATGTAATTTTCTGTATTGTCTGCCACACAATTCTTATGATGTTACTATTAAAGCTCAAGTTTTTGTCCTTAAAATTTATCTCTTAGGAATAGTAAACCAAAGAATCGGCCATCTTTCCAACAAGTTCTTCTTCATGTAGACATTGCAGCTGGAGATGTGATCAAAACACCACAGGAGTTTTATTTGAACCGACAAGTGAGTAAAGAAGACATAAATGCAGTTATGCCTGAAACCCCTAAGATCTGATAGTTAACCCTTTGGTGTTAGATCAAGATAACAACTTGTTATTGATAAGTTTGAGTATTCTCCTTACCTGTTTGCTGGATGATGTATGGATATTATAGGGAGAAGTTACCTGTTAATCAGTTGTGGGAGTTATAGGGTAAGGCCAAGAGATATATTCTTGTGCTTTAAATCAGTGTCCCAATTTTGTTTGTTTTTTGTTTGTTTGTTTGGATTACTATTAATTATGGGTAAAAACAAGAGCATTTTTATTAGTAGTTTAAGAGAACTAATAATTTTTGAAGTGAAAAAGCAAAATTTAGATGAGGTGAACAAAGATTCCCACCTTTGTTTTCTTTATCCAAGAACTATATGCAAAATGAAGTATGGGGCTGTGAAGAAATCTTGACAAGTTTGATTTTATTTTTCACAGATAACATGGAGGGGGGAAATCAAGGAACAGTTTGAAAAGATGAAGAATAGAAGCAGTGTACACATGCAGAATCTTCAACAACTACAAAAACTTGACGAGGAACTCATTAGAAGAAGGAAGGAAGAGCTTCGGTGAGAACGAAACAAAAAATAACTTCCTTTCAATTGAAAGTATTACCTGTGAAATTTACCCACCTTATTACACTTTTGAGTCACCGTGAGCTATTGGATTGGTCATTCGAGTGGCCCAGTCTGAGATTTAAAGCTGTTTTTATAGCCAAAGTGTTGCATTGTTTTACAAACTTTGTCTTCTTGGTCTCTTATGTGAGCTAAAGATCCCAGGGGAATCAATAAAAGCCATGAAGTTACCGCTGGTCTATCTCTTATCGCCTTCTGTTTAGCCTGAGTGTAGGCTCTCGCGTTTAGGTTTCGCCTTACGGCAGACGCTTATCACACCATCGGCAACCGCTCATAGGAAAAGTTATCGAAACCCCTAGGAGTTTCCCCTGTCCAATAAAAGTTGGTTCGTGTGTAGCAAGATATCACTAAGCATTGCCTAGGGGTTTGATGATGTAATAGGCGGCTGCGCCCAGAAAAGGGGGCATAAGGCGAAACCCAACACGAGAACCTGCGCGGGCTAAACAGCGGCGGCAAGAGGTCTTTCAGACGGTAGCCAGGTTTGATCAGTCTCAATGGAACCCTTGATTTCCCTCCTTTTGTGAGATGCGGTGCTCGTTCGGAATTTTGTACGACTTAAAGCATACTGGTTACGGCCACAACATTGCCGTAAACCCCACGTTTTAACTCTCCAACTACTCTATTTTTACACTTTTAGCACGTTCTCTGTAATTTTGCTCTAGAGCTTGTAACGTCGTTCTCAGACGTCGTATTCTCTTGATACAAATTGTGAACAAAAATGAAAAACAATCAAACAACTTTTGTAGATCGATGTTATTCTCGCGTTTGATTTCAGACATGCTCAGGATATCCGAGTTCATTATGAGCAGAAGTTGGAGAGAGCTAACAGTTTGTACAAAGAATTAAACGAATGCATGCAGCATCTGGAAGCCCGAGAAAAGGAACTTCTCAGGTGATAATAAAGACTGAAGCTAAAGAGGGATTTAATTTGTTGTGGTACGGGAAAGGAAACAGTCTCAAGTACCCCGCTTGGAATCAAATTTGAGATATGAGATCTTCTCACTCCGATTCTCTATCGCCTTAACATCAATGTGCATATTCTCCATGCTGTTCTCTACACACATCCTTAAGTGCTGAAAAGGAGAATTTGATTAAGAATCAAGAGTTTCTTTAGTTGGAGATCATTTCGTTAATTCTCATAACCTTAATGTGTGATTCAGGGGTGATATCGTAAGGAGAAATCACTTGCTAGTCACTTATAAGGGTCACAGGGTTCATCTACGAATTTATTCTCTCAGTTGTATAGAAAGACCGTCAAAACGAGTGGATAACTGGTTACTAGGTGTTAACCCTTTTCTAAACAACATTATTTTGTCGTTCCTGTGAACTGTCTTTTCAGACGCGAACGTCAATTTCGAGTCCTAAACATCAGGAAGAGGCAGATGAAGGTAGAGCTTAAGGGACGCACTTCTGATGTGGAGAAAGGAGAGCTCGATCAATTGGTCACAAGGCTACCCTCTTCAAGCTGGTGAGTATGGAAAGAAAAGGGGGCGAGATGGAGGGGGGAAGGGGACAGAAATAAGCGGGTGGGCGAGGAGGAGATGAAAAAGCGGAGTGATGGAATTAGCGAAGGAGAGAGTTTGGGGGAGGGGAGGGATAAGTTAAGGAGGAAAAGGTGCCACAAAGATGTGTGGAGATAGACGAATAAAGGGGCTAAGTTTTTGTAGAAACTGTGGTGTTGCGTTGGTGGGAGCGTATAACACGGAAAATTAGCATTCTCAACTAAGTTGATAACGTAAATTGGCCACCGTAAAGAGTTTCAAAGCTGACGTTTCGAGCGTTAGTCCTTCCTCAGAACGAAGAATCGCTCAGTTGTTGATACTAAATTACTACGTAGAGATAGAGGACATAGACGGGAATTGAAGATGTAAGGGTGTGTTTGTGTGTGGAGGAGAAGGGGAGGGTAGAGAGGAAGAGAGAGAGAGAGAAAGACAATGAGTCTGCCTGTGAGTAGGCTCGTATGCTGTAGCACAAGCAGAGAAGCGAGCTGATGAGAAATGAGATTAATGGCTTGCTTTGCCAGCCGTCTGATCTCTGGCGGTTTCACCGGTCATACCACAATGTAAATGGGAGCCAGGAGAAGATCAGGCTTCAGCGGAGAGCAGCAAGGTGGAATGTGAATACGCTGTTGTAAACTCACTTGTGAATCCTTAGGGAGTTTGTCGCTTTAGTTTTTGCAGTTCAATGTCTCGATGACAAGTTATTTTAGAGCAGTTTTCAAGTGAGTATTGTGAGTGATCCTGGATTTTTATGGTCTTGCTTTATTTTGTTCTGTGATTGGTCAAAAACAAAACTTACGCCACATCTCAACTAAGCAAATGCAAAACTAGGACCAATTCCATCTTGATCACTCGTGTTTCCCGCGCTTCAAGCAGGTTACCTGTTTTTACTTGAAGTTCTCAATGGCTAATGATGATGTCAATCTTTGTTATGACTGGTAGTTATGATTGCTTTAGTTTTGGTTTATCGAAACTAAATTGGAAACTATGGTAACGATAAATTAGATTATTGTAGACTCATCTAAGTGTTGTTATTTTCTTTCCTTTTTTTCTTTTTTTTTAGTCCCAACACCTCAAGCAGTTCCAGCAGCCCAACAGAACACGACTGCTGGCCTCAAGAAGCCGACAGTGACGAACAACAGACACAGAGTTACTTTAAAAAGATTAAAAGAAGTCGTGGTTGTTTAAACAAATCAAAGCGTCGTAGATCACCCGGAACACCAAGGGCTCTGACCCAAAATATTAAGGACCTTATGTCCCCAGAGGGCCCAAACAAAGGACACAAAAAGGGGCCTTGTTGTCAGGGTCGTATAGAAGGCACTTCTTGGGGTAATACAGATGAGAGTCCTGGTAGTTGTAGTGACATTGACAATAATCTTGCTACATTAAGCCACTCCTGTAGTGATTGCCCCTACACGCCTGGGTCTCCTGTCATCAATGTCACAGGACGGATAGCGAAACGGAGAAAAAGATGGAACTCAAACTCAGAGAGCTCCTCTGAGAGTAATCATCTTTCACCGCGGAAATGCTCGGCAGATGAAATATCCGACCTCGAGCCAGAGTTTATTCCTAAACTGACGAACGACTCTATGGAACTGACAGAAGATGAACAATTTACAAACGTCATTCTTCAATTTTCAGAATCGTGTCTAGACGAAGAGGTGAGTTTCAACTTACATAGGATCTGTAGACCCAGATAGGCTAAGGGAACTCTCCAGTCATAGGCTTTGCTCGAACTGGGATAAACTGACTTTTACCGGTGTAAATAAAAAGGAAACGTCATTTACTCTCGAATACGCAGGTCGGATATTCGCTTACTCGTGTGGTTAAATGCCAAAAGATTGTAAGATTTCTTTTTCTCACGAAATATTGTCTAGAATGTTCGACACACAAAATGTTCCCGCTTTCCCGCTTATTCAACGCCGGTGACAATGGAAGCGCACCTCTCTTGGTCATAGGGTGGGACCAGGTCGCCGGAACCAGGTTAAACATGTCATTTGTCTCTTAAACGGGGGACAAATACTTGTTTATTTAGTTTAATAATTTTTCATACTCGTTTTCTTCTTTACAGCCTTGCACCCAAGAGGAGAACAAAAAGACAAGCTGTGCAGCCGGAGATAAAACCCTGTCTCTTCCTGATTCATCTGTGTAGAATATTTTAATATACCATAAATAATTAACTTGCTGCTGGGCAGCAAATTTTGACAGAATCCATGCCTAAATGGTACCCAGTCTCTTTGAAGGTCGATTTAGCTGAGAATGGGGCTGAGCTCTACTGAAATGTGGACTTTGTCATTTGAATTGTAACAGAACCTTAAGGCAAATGAACACCTGCTATCGCTTAGCAACGACACATAATTGAATTGCAAATATCGAAGTTTTATCTTTTTTATCGTAAGTTTTAAGCGCTCAAACATTCATAATTTGTGGCTCATAGGCCATCAGCAAGTGTCAATGAAATTTTTATTCTAATTTCTGGTGTTATGATTGTGTCTGCAATATATTTATTACATTGAATCTCATGTTAATCCAGCGCTGGTATTGCACGCTTGTTTATGAAAATAAAACTTATTTTTTTGTATATTATTTTACTTATAACTATTGTGTGTGTGTAAAATTATACGATGCACGATTCTCTTTCCACGGATAGTACTACTGACGGAAGACAGTAAGCTGTAGAATACTCTTGTAATCTCCAACACCGCAACATTTGGAATAGATAAGCACTCGTCAAGTTTTCGAAGACTAACGAAATTGTAATTTGTGGTCTTTGAAATAATCGATGAGTGCTTATGTATTCCAAATTGCAAGAGAAAAATATTTTGATTTCGTATTAATAATCTACACGAAAAAATACGAGATAGCCTATCATAACAATGCAGGAGCAAAACGCGCGCATCAAATGCAAGTGACATTCTGCGTTCGGTCAAACAATAATATGCAATGATATTTTCACATCTTAAAGGCGCAAAAAAGTTCAAAGTCCGGATAAACAGTTCAAGGCATTGTTCAGTCTGTGTCCGAATCACTTTTGATGAAATAGAATCGTTTGCGAGGTTTAACAAAGTGTTTCGCTGAGTCGGCTCGTAATTTTCGATTTCCGATTTCCGTGGCAATTACCTTCTCTAAACACCACTTTTTTTCCAAACCGACAACCAAAAAGCAGAGCTTTTAAAAGTGTTTACGTTGTTAGAGATGTTTTTCAGCTGCTGTATTGTTGTTGCGGTGGCGAAAGAAATAAAACCTACTTAAAATGCCAGCCATTGTTTGCTCGAAAATTTTGAGCGTATCTAAATGTTGCGACATCCAAGGTTCGCATTTGATTAGCTATCTGTGAGTTTCTTTGATTACTGACCAATCAGAATGTCTAGTTTGTTACTTCTTTGCACTGAATTAACCCTCTTCTGCATTGAATTACCTGAAAACTGCATTTATCTTAACCAATCAGAACAGAGTAATTTTTTCTCGTATATTATTAGGACTATTTTATGATTATTATTACGGTCATAATTATGATCGTTATTACGATTATTATTATGATTATTATTATCATTATTATTATCTTTATTATAATTACTATCGTTATTATTATTATTATTATTATTATTATTATCATTGTTATTATTATTGTTGTTATGTATAAGATATAGCCAGAGTAAGAAGCAAAGATTGACTGGTTTTTAAGAATCTTAAGTTCCTCTGCGCGGAATGATGAGTGTATGAAGTTAGTGACCAGGCGTGCAAAGTTTAAGTTAGATCAAGGGCAGGAAACCGTTGGGGGGGAAGGGGTAAGAGTGTTTCCCCCCCGCCCTTTCGTCTGCTCTGTTCTTTCCGATGTTCAAACAAAACGATGCCTTTCGAAATCCGGACAAGAAATGGGCTAAACCTCCGGCAGACCCCTGGCTTGAAGAACTGGGTCGAAATAGGCAAAAATTGTCTCCGCCATTTTGAAACGAGTGACGTCATGAGTTTAGCGCATTTGTTTTATTGCAAAAATCTTTGAAAAGTAACATTGTTTTTCTTTTTAAAATTATACAACAGTGTTTAAGAAAATATGTACAAAATTAACCACGGGTTACAGCTTTCCCGTCATCGGTTTCTGGATAATTGCATTTTTTTTTTCTTCACTACACTTCATCACCGTCCCCTTCCATAGCCGAGCGCCTGCTTCTTCTAGGGGGACTGCGCCTATTAGAACCAGGCTGCTCTCTTCTATTTCTTGTTGCTTCCTTTTCGTCCTCTTTAGAGAGGAAGTGATAAGGCTGATGATAATCAGAGAACAACATAGCCTTTTCTTTCATCAGAAGGTCATCATCAGCAATGTCATCACCGTCCTCTTGGGCACGCCGTGCTCTCTCCTGCAGAAAACAAAATGAAAATCAATGCGCACAGCTCATCTGTGGTCATTTCGCGATCTTCATTGCGTGCAATTTTACGTCAGATTATCGCCACACTCTAACGAGTGGGGTAATACGGGTATGGTGACTAGTGGTTTATTTTATCCTTTCTAAGTTGAGGAATAAAATTTTTTACCGTAATTTGATGGAAATTAGTTCTAAGTAAGGAATGAGTGGTGATTGTCAAAAAAATGAAAAAGGGAGGTTATCGTAAAAAAGAATCAAAATGGTTTCATAAAAAAATGAAGGAAATATCAGCGAAAGGTCCAACTGACAGAGGAGTGACCTTACTTAGGAAGAACTATTACCCTTGAAATGATTGGACACGCAGACAGGTCGAAAAAAAAATAAAGAAAAAAAAAAAAGAAAAAAGATTGGGGAGGGAAGAAATAGACGAGAATATCTTCTTTCCATTTTCGTATAATTTTTCTTTGCACAATGATGGCTGGAAATCTCATTCAAAAGGCTGAGATGATACCTCTTTGTCTAAAGCCATCCGTCGTCTTCTTGCCGCGATCATTTCATCAAACTGACTCGAGTGACTTGATGCTGGGCTGGCGGCCCCCTCACTCTGTAATTAATATCAAAACAATAACTTTGTACGTCATGTTCTAGTCTCGTACACAGATCCTGCCGTGTAATTATAACTGAAATGTAGTCATCAAACTGACTCGAGTGACTTGATGCTGGACTGGCGGCCCCCTCACTCTGTAATTAATATCAAAACAATACCTTTGTACGTCATGTTCTAATCTCGTACACAGATCCTGCCGTGTAATTATAACTGAAATGTAACTGAAGGTGTGGGTACGAGACTAGTCATGTACAAGAACCAACCAAGGTGTTTCAAATAAAATCTAAATTATCGTATAATTTAAACTCCAACCTTTGAGCTACTTGATCGAGATGGCTTGGCACTAGACCGTGAAAGAGATCGTGATCTCCTTAGTCCTGTCCAGTTGAAGAAAAAAGAGAATGACAATGACAGGCTTAGATAGTTTATATGTGCATTTGCACTAGCTCATGGGTGAATTTCACTCCCTTGATATAGGGATGACATCAAATCTATAAATCAAAACAATTAACAGCCCATCATAATATCAAATGCATGCTAATAGGAATCGAGTATAAGAACTTCAGTCTCCTCTTAAAGTTTGCATACACTTCTAAACCACGGTTGTTGGGAAAACTATTTTATCATATGCCTGGGCGGCCTGTGGGCACTTTGATTGAAAACCATTGTATGAAAAAAAAAATAAAAAGCATGGATGAGGGCTGTCATAGTAACACAAGAACTTCCTCTCTGTTCCTGTGTACAGCCCCGCCAGATGCGAGTGGAAAGAGGAAAAGAGGAAAGGAATCGAAGAAGTGGAATGAGCAGCAGTCGTATGATAAAATGTGTTTTAATTAAGAGAGATACGAACGGACAGAAAGACCTACAGACCCAGCCGTGCTCAGTGCGTGATCTCCGGCCAAATGGCACTTGTGGCCCTTTCAAAGTCAATAAGTACATCTACCATTTGATGTACATGTAGGTTTACATCACATTTCAAGCCCCTGTTAAAGATAAATATTGAACTTGAATGTTCTTAAAGATTCCTAGATATACCTCGAGGTCGTGGACGAGGTGTATCTCCCTGCTCTTGTTCTCTTCTTCTTTTCCTGAAACAAGATATCAAGGTGACTTGGATAAGAATGTGTGTGTCATAACAGGGAATGGCAGAGCGTTGCACCATGTGTATAAAGGAGCATGGTATTGTCGAAGTTAATGACATGACATGACATAACATGACGTGATATGTATGGTGTGACATGACTTGCTGGTGGTTAGAAAGGGTAGGCACATGGTTGTAGCTGTGATGGTGTGACAAGACATTCTAAAATGACCTTACAAAACACGCAACGGTATAACAGGGTAATGTGACTTTGTGTGACATTTCCACCAACACTTACCTCCAGTAGAAGAGTAACACAATCGCGATAATGATCAGAACTAACACGGCCAGAATACCCACGAGTATTCCAATCCAACTACGGTCGTGACCTCCCCCTGGTGACGGCACCGACGCCGAGGGGTGCGGAGTCCCAATACCCTGTAAACGAGTAAAATATGTTGCAATAAGTCGTCTGTTTTATGGCATTACTTTTACAATTCAAGAATTCGGAGTGACTGAAGCTAAATCAGTACTAGTTAGCTAAAATAATATTGTAGACTAAATAAACGTGGGGCACCCATAAACCATGAAATAACTCTAACGCATGACTTAAAAGATAACGTCTCTGTCAGTTCAGGTAATCTCCTAGTGCAGTTCTGGATTCGGTATCAAAAGAATCCTCCATTAGCTTATTATCTATTCATAGCACTCTGTGATTGGTTTAGATAACTCGTATCATCCTCTCATCCAAACCAGTTTTGCTTTGGTCACTTGCATTTTCCAGCACTCTTAGCAAGTTTGACTTCTTCATAACTTCGTATGATATTTCCCTTCTTTCTCTTTCGTCGTCGCGATTCCTTAGTTTTTTTCGTCCTCCGAAACTCAATCGCAAAGAGCTTCAGTCCAACTTTATCTAATTCGCGATTTTCCTAGTAGTTGGAAAACCCTTACCTTGTCTTTCTTGTGGTTGGCCATGACAGCAAAATCTGTCATATGGTTACACTCGCATGTGGTGTGAGTCGCATTGGAGCCAGTTAATTTGCAGCCCTTTGGAGACCACTTTCCGCCTCCCTGACTAAAAATACCGTAAGTACAAAAAAAAAAAAAAGGGAAATTAGATTTTTAAAGGCCAAAACACCATATGCTGATATTTATCTAAGAAATTGTCCTACTTATAACCGTGATATAACGTTTAATTCGTAACATTGCGACGCATTAACAACAAAATAAATAATATCACTTTGGTGCAGCCCTCAGCGGTTTGAATGGAACGTTGGATCAATTTTACTAACCCCTCTTTCGTTGTCCAGGCGACACACTCTTGGTGATAATTAATCAGACTGGCCTGAAAGAAAAACATAAATATTTCAACATCTTTCAAAACGTCTGTCCACGGCAAAAATTATGTATTTTTCTGATGTATATTAAGGATGATTTCCTCATCTTTAAGATATGGGAACTTTCCCTAGAAAAATATCTAGGTGCGAGCAAAGCGAGACCTGTTTCTGCGGTTAATTAAAAAAAAAACCTTTGTGAAAGCCCTTTAATGTTCTGTTTACCGTTGATAATGATATAAGGATTTGAGTGAAAAGTTGAACACGTGTTCAATCGATACACGTGCCAGTAACGTGCTTGTGACGCTGTGAGTATGAATTAGGATAAACTTACGTTTAACACCGACAGGACAATCTTCACAGGGGGCACAATTTCATCCGTCACGGCTGGTCTTACTGTGCTCGAGAAAACAGCACTGTTTAAAACCAGCCCACTAAGACGAGAGAAAGACAAAGCGTATGATTCTCAAAACTGCGAGAAAAACTTCAAAAAGAAAAATGCTTGAACCTGACTTTTAGGCTTGTGTTATCATTATGGTCGTGATCGTTATTAAGTAAGCTTGTAGAACTGTTCAATTATTGGGGAATGATGTTTACTCGTCTTGTCACGAGCGTTGTGAGAAAGAAAAAAATTCTGAGTCCTCAGACCTTCAGATTCCGCGCTCCGATGCCTTACCACTGAGCCACATAGTTATCTACGATGAGTGAGATCTATTACGAAGTTCATATGACATGCGTCCTGTATACTGCTAGGATCAGCAATGTCAAGAGCGTCATGTTCGTAAATAGAATAAGAGAGATGGCAAAATTTATTATCTCTCTGATTTTATTCAATGATTTATTGGTTTCGTTCACCACCGTGCCCTAAAACCAACACCACAGATCACTAGCACCATACATCACCAGCTCCACACATCACCAGTACTATAGATCACCAGTGCCACAGATCACCAGCATCAGCACCACTCGGCTTGAGTTTTTTTTTTTTTTTTATAACTATTCGCCGCCGATATTCGCCTCTAATGGCTTACCAACTGAACAAAAACTCCGTCATGGTAAGAGAACACGAGAGAAGTTTCAAACATTCTTCAAACACTGGTTATGTCTGTGACCAATCGTTTTAACAATGAAAATTTTTTTGACTAACCAGAGTGCCCTCAGTTCTTAGTAAGTGGAAAACTTAAGATAATAATAATGATAATAGCATACCTCTCGCTTGCTACCGGTAATAAAAGAGAAACTGTTTTGAAGCTAGAGGTCATGAGATGTACCTGCCCATTAATTCCTACAAAATCAAAAAAAGACAGCCCTTCAGTAGTTGGTTTGTCGTTTGCCTTTCATGAGTTAGTCACTGAAAATGTTCCCAATATCCAACAGAAGATGACTTTGTGATACAAAGACAATTTTTAATATGCCTCGTCCTGAAAACGAAACAAGGCAGAACCTCCCTGCAGATTACCTGTAGCTGCTGAATCAAATATCGCGGGTGCCATGGTTATAGAGTCGTGCCCAGTACTCCAGTTGGCCACCAAGGGGTCAGAATAGTTCGGGAAGATCATTAGCTGAGAAGGGTCTGCGCTGTCCGAGTTAAAAGTGTGAACTCCAACAACTACGAGGAAAATGTCACCAAATGCTGATAAGAAACTTGATCAAGAGTAGAGGTTATTTTTTTTGTTGAAGTCAGAGGAGAGAAATGAAAGACGGATGCAATAAACTTACGAATGTTTTTTGTTATAAGTGGCTTAGAATTGAAGACATTATATGACGCATTCATAACGTGGTCTTGAACTGTCTTTACAAGGTCCAGTATGACTGGTTGGATGTTGCCGTCCTTGTTCTAAACGAGGATGAATAGAATCGTTATTAGTAATTGATTTAAACAGACAGACTGCTATTACTGCTCTAAGAGTCATATTCCTGAATCGGCGAGAAAAAAAAAAAAAAAAAAACCATGTTATTCTATATGCTGCATCCTGGTGTATTCTGATTGAGTAACTCAGAATTATTGCTAAAGTAATCTCACTGGACAAAAGAATAACAGCAAAATATCAAAGACAGCCAATGATATCTCAAAGGAAATACAAATGCACAGCTTACCACTAGTGATCGAATCGTAAGTGGTTGAGAGGGGTTTGCAAGTGGTTTTTTTTTCTTTTAAATTCCGATAGGGAGTGGAAAAGAACTACCATAATAAATGGGTGTCTTTTTCTGACTTAAATCATTAAATCAATACCCGTAAAAAACTAAAACATGTATTTGACGAGGTGAAGTTTTGTTCTTCCACTTACTGTCACCTGTTGGGACTCGTCCCAGTCCCAATTGCTGCTATCTTCCAGGACATTGATACCTCTCTTGAAAAGGACCTCTGCATGCTGCAGAAGATGAAGAAACGTCCATATTAACTTGTGTCTCAAATAAGATATTCGGAAAATTTGTTTGAATGCGATTGTTGCAAACCTTTTGCGCATTCTTCCACTCTTGTTTGTTCTTGAGATCCAGAATATGGCTGCTGGTATTCACGAACAACTTTTGTAGGAAAAAGAACGGCAGGGAAACAGTTAGAAGTTGGTGAAACAAACACTTCCTTTTAAAAAAGAATTACCGACGGAAGACAGTAAGCTGTAGAATACTCTTGTAATCTCCAACACCGCAACATTTGGAATAGATAAGCACTCGTCAAGTTTTCGAAGACTAACGAAATTGCAATTTGTGGTCTTTGAAATAATCGATGAGTGCTTATGTATTCCAAATTGCAAGAGAAAAATATTTTGATTTCGTATTAATAATCTACACGAAAAAATACGAGATAGCCTATCATAACAATGCAGGAGCAAAACGCGCGCATCAAGTGCAAGTGACATTCTGCGTTCGGTCAAACAATAATATGCAATGATATTTTCACATCTTAAAGGCGCAAAAAAGTTCAAAGTCCGGATAAACAGTTCAAGGCATTGTTCAGTCTGTGTCCGAATCACTTTTGATGAAATAGAATCGTTTGCGAGGTTTAACAAAGTGTTTCGCTGAGTCGGCTCGTAATTTTCGATTTCCGATCTCCGTGGCAATTACCTTCTCTAAACACCACTTTTTTTCCAAACCGACAACCAAAAAGCAGAGCTTTTAAAAGTGTTTACGTTGTTAGAGATGTTTTTCAGCTGCTGTATTGTTGTTGCGGTGGCGAAAGAAATAAAACCTACTTAAAATGCCAGCCATTGTTTGCTCGAAAATTTTGAGCGTATCTAAATGTTGCGACATCCAAGGTTCGCATTTGATTAGCTATCTGTGAGTTTCTTTGATTACTGACCAATCAGAATGTCTAGTTTGTTACTTCTTTGCACTGAATTAACCCTCTTCTGCATTGAATTACCTGAAAACTGCATTTATCTTAACCAATCAGAACAGAGTAATTTTTTCTCGTATATTATTAGGACTATTTTATGATTATTATTACGGTCATAATTATGATCGTTATTACGATTATTATTATGATTATTATTATCATTATTATTATCTTTATTATAATTACTATCGTTATTATTATTATTATTATTATTATTATTATCATTGTTATTATTATTGTTGTTATGTATAAGATATAGCCAGAGTAAGAAGCAAAGATTGACTGGTTTTTAAGAATCTTAAGTTCCTCTGCGCGGAATGATGAGTGTATGAAGTTAGTGACCAGGCGTGCAAAGTTTAAGTTAGATCAAGGGCAGGAAACCGTTGGGGGGGAAGGGGTAAGAGAGTGTTTCCCCCACTCGCCCTTTTCGTCTGCTCTGTTCTTTCCGATGTTCAAACAAAACGATGCCTTTCGAAATCCGGACAAGAAATGGGCTAAACCTCCGGCAGACCCCTGGCTTGAAGAACTGGGTCGAAATAGGCAAAAATTGTCTCCGCCATTTTGAAACGAGTGACGTCATGAGTTTAGCGCATTTGTTTTATTGCAAAAATCTTTGAAAAGTAACATTGTTTTTCTTTTTAAAATTATACAACAGTGTTTAAGAAAATATGTACAAAATTAACCACGGGTTACAGCTTTCCCGTCATCGGTTTCTGGATAATTGCATTTTTTTTTTCTTCACTACACTTCATCACCGTCCCCTTCCATAGCCGAGCGCCTGCTTCTTCTAGGGGGACTGTGCCTATTAGAACCAGGCTGCTCTCTTCTATTTCTTGTTGCTTCCTTTTCGTCCTCTTTAGAGAGGAAGTGATAAGGCTGATGATAATCAGAGAACAACATAGCCTTTTCTTTCATCAGAAGGTCATCATCAGCAATGTCATCACCGTCCTCTTGGGCACGCCGTGCTCTCTCCTGCAGAAAACAAAATGAAAATCAATGCGCACAGCTCATCTGTGGTCATTTCGCGATCTTCATTGCGTGCAATTTTACGTCAGATTATCGCCACACTCTAACGAGTGGGGTAATACGGGTATGGTGACTAGTGGTTTATTTTATCCTTTCTAAGTTGAGGAATAAAATTTTTTACCGTAATTTGATGGAAATTAGTTCTAAGTAAGGAATGAGTGGTGATTGTCAAAAAAATGAAAAAGGGAGGTTATCGTAAAAAAGAATCAAAATGGTTTCATAAAAAAATGAAGGAAATATCAGCGAAAGGTCCAACTGACAGAGGAGTGACCTTACTTAGGAAGAACTATTACCCTTGAAATGATTGGACACGCAGACAGGTCGAAAAAAAAGTAAAGAAAAAAAAAAAAAGAAAAAAGATTGGGGAGGGAAGAAATAGACGAGAATATCTTCTTTCCATTTTCGTATAATTTTTCTTTGCACAATGATGGCTGGAAATCTCATTCAAAAGGCTGAGATGATACCTCTTTGTCTAAAGCCATCCGTCGTCTTCTTGCCGCGATCATTTCATCAAACTGACTCGAGTGACTTGATGCTGGGCTGGCGGCCCCCTCACTCTGTAATTAATATCAAAACAATAACTTTTTACGTCATGTTCTAGTCTCGTACACAGATCCTGCCGTGTAATTATAACTGAAATGTAGTCATCAAACTGACTCGAGTGACTTGATGCTGGACTGGCGGCCCCCACCTCTGTAATTAATATCAAAACAATACCTTTGTACGTCATGTTCTAATCTCGTACACAGATCCTGCCGTGTAATTATAACTGAAATGTAACTGAAGGTGTGGGTACGAGACTAGTCATGTACAAGAACCAACCAAGGTGTTTCAAATAAAATCTAAATTATCGTATAATTTAAACTCCAACCTTTGAGCTACTTGATCGAGATGGCTTGGCACTAGACCGTGAAAGAGATCGTGATCTCCTTAGTCCTGTCCAGTTGAAGAAAAAAAGAAATGACAATGACAGGCTTAGATAGTTTATATGTGCATTTGCACTAGCTCATGGGTGAATTTCACTCCCTTGATATAGGGATGACATCAAATCTATAAATCAAAACAATTAACAGCCCATCATAATATCAAATGCATGCTAATAGGAATCGAGTATAAGAACTTCAGTCTCCTCTTAAAGTTTGCATACACTTCTAAACCACGGTTGTTGGGAAAACTATTTTATCATATGCCTGGGCGGCCTGTGGGCACTTTGATTGAAAACCATTGTATGAAAAAAAAAATAAAAAGCATGGATGAGGGCTGTCATAGTAACACAAGAACTTCCTCTCTGTTCCTGTGTACAGCCCCGCCAGATGCGAGTGGAAAGAGGAAAAGAGGAAAGGAATCGAAGAAGTGGAATGAGCAGCAGTCGTATGATAAAATGTGTTTTAATTAAGAGAGATACGAACGGACAGAAAGACCTACAGACCCAGCCGTGCTCAGTGCGTGATCTCCGGCCAAATGGCACTTGTGGCCCTTTCAAAGTCAATAAGTACATCTACCATTTGATGTACATGTAGGTTTACATCACATTTCAAGCCCCTGTTAAAGATAAATATTGAACTTGAATGTTCTTAAAGATTCCTAGATATACCTCGAGGTCGTGGACGAGGTGTATCTCCCTGCTCTTGTTCTCTTCTTCTTTTCCTGAAACAAGATATCAAGGTGACTTGGATAAGAATGTGTGTGTCATAACAGGGAATGGCAGCGTTGCACCATGTGTATAAAGGAGCATGGTATTGTCGAAGTTAATGACATGACATGACATAACATGACGTGATATGTATGGTGTGACATGACTTGCTGGTGGTTAGAAAGGGTAGGCACATGGTTGTAGCTGTGATGGTGTGACAAGACATTCTAAAATGACCTTACAAAACACGCAACGGTATAACAGGGTAATGTGACTTTGTGTGACATTTCCACCAACACTTACCTCCAGTAGAAGAGTAACACAATCGCGATAATGATCAGAACTAACACGGCCAGAATACCCACGAGTATTCCAATCCAACTACGGTCGTGACCTCCCCCTGGTGACGGCACCGACGCCGAGGGGTGCGGAGTCCCAATACCCTGTAAACGAGTAAAATATGTTGCAATAAGTCGTCTGTTTTATGGCATTACTTTTACAATTCAAGAATTCGGAGTGACTGAAGCTAAATCAATACTAGTTAGCTAAAATAATATTGTAGACTAAATAAACGTGGGGCACCCATAAACCATGAAATAACTCTAACGCATGACTTAAAAGATAACGTCTCTGTCAGTTCAGGTAATCTCCTAGTGCAGTTCTGGATTCGGTATCAAAAGAATCCTCCATTAGCTTATTATCTATTCATAGCACTCTGTGATTGGTTTAGATAACTCGTATCATCCTCTCATCCAAACCAGTTTTGCTTTGGTCACTTGCATTTTCCAGCACTCTTAGCAAGTTTGACTTCTTCATAACTTCGTATGATATTTCCCTTCTTTCTCTTTCGTCGTCGCGATTCCTTAGTTTTTTCGTCCTCCGAAACTCAATCGCAAAGAGCTTCAGTCCAACTTTATCTAATTCGCGATTTTCCTAGTAGTTGGAAAACCCTTACCTTGTCTTTCTTGGTGTTGGCCATGACAGCAAAATCTGTCATATGGTTACACTCGCATGTGGTGTGAGTCGCATTGGAGCCAGTTAATTTGCAGCCCTTTGGAGACCACTTTCCGCCTCCCTGACTAAAAATACCGTAAGTACAAAAAAAAAAAAGGGAAATTAGATTTTTAAAGGCCAAAACACCATATGCTGATATTTATCTAAGAAATTGTCCTACCTATAACCGTGATATAACGTTTAATTCGTAACATTGCGACGCATTAACAACAAAATAAATAATATCACTTTGGTGCAGCCCTCAGCGGTTTGAATGGAACGTTGGATCAATTTTACTAACCCCTCTTTCGTTGTCCAGGCGACACACTCTTGGTGATAATTAATCAGACTGGCCTGAAAGAAAAACATAAATATTTCAACATCTTTCAAAACGTCTGTCCACGGCAAAAATTATGTATTTTTCTGATGTATATTAAGGATGATTTCCTCATCTTTAAGATATGGGAACTTTCCCTAGAAAAATATCTAGGTGCGAGCAAAGCGAGACCTGTTTCTGCGGTTAATTAAAAAAAAAACCTTTGTGAAAGCCCTTTAATGTTCTGTTTACCGTTGATAATGATATAAGGATTTGAGTGAAAAGTTGAACACGTGTTCAATCGATACACGTGCAGGTAACGTGCTTGTGACGCTGTGAGTATGAATTAGGATAAACTTACGTTTAACACCGACAGGACAATCTTCACAGGGGGCGCAATTTCATCCGTCACGGCTGGCCTTACTGTGCTCGAGAAAACAGCACTGTTTAAAACCAGCCCACTAAGACGAGAGAAAGACAAAGCGTATGATTCTCAAAACTGCGAGAAAAACTTCAAAAAGAAAAATGCTTGAACCTGACTTTTAGGCTTGTGTTATCATTATGGTCGTGATCGTTATTAAGTAAGCTTGTAGAACTGTTCAATTATTGGGGAATGATGTTTACTCGTCTTGTCACGAGCGTTGTGAGAAAGAAAAAAATTCTGAGTCCTCAGACCTTCAGATTCCGCGCTCCGATGCCTTACCACTGAGCCACATAGTTATCTACGATGAGTGAGATCTATTACGAAGTTCATATGACATGCGTCCTGTATACTGCTAGGATCAGCAATGTCAAGAGCGTCATGTTCGTAAATAGAATAAGAGAGATGGCAAAATTTATTATCTCTCTGATTTTATTCAATGATTTATTGGTTTCGTTCACCACCGTGCCCTAAAACCAACACCACAGATCACTAGCACCATACATCACCAGCTCCACACATCACCAGTACTATAGATCACCAGTGCCACAGATCACCAGCATCAGCACCACTCGGCTTGAATTTTTTTTTTTTTATAACTATTCGCCGCCGATATTCGCCTCTAACGGCTTACCAACTGAACAAAAACTCCGTCATGGTAAGAGAACACGAGAGAAGTTTCAAACATTCTTCAAACACTGGTTATGTCTGTGACCAATCGTTTCAACAATGAAAATTTTTTTGACCAACCAGAGTGCCCTCAGTTCTTAGTAAGTGGAAAACTTAAGATAATAATAATGATAATGGCATACCTCTCGCTTGCTACCGGTAATAAAAGAGAAACTGTTTTGAAGCTAGAGGTCATGAGATGTACCTGCCCATTTATTCCTACAAAATCAAAAAAAGACAGCCATTCAGTAGTTGGTTTGTCGTTTGCCTTTCATGAGTTAGTCACTGAAAATGTTCCCAATATCCAACAGAAGATGACTTTGTGATACAAAGACAATTTTTAATATGCCTCGTCCTGAAAACGAAACAAGGCAGAACCTCCCTGCAGATTACCTGTAGCTGCTGAATCAAATATCGCGGGTGCCATGGTTATAGAGTCGTGCCCAGTACTCCAGTTGGCCACCAAGGGGTCAGAATAGTTCGGGAAGATCATTAGCTGAGAAGGGTCTGCGCTGTCCGAGTTAAAAGTGTGAACTCCAACAACTACGAGGAAAATGTCACCAAATGCTGTTAAGAAACTTGATCAAGAGTAGAGGTTATTTTTTTTGTTGAAGTCAGAGGAGAGAAATGAAAGACGGATGCAATAAACTTACGAATGTTTTTTGTTATAAGTGGCTTAGAATTGAAGACATTATATGACGCATTCATAACGTGATCTTGAACTGTCTTTACAAGGTCCAGTATGACTGGTTGGATGTTGCCGTCCTTGTTCTAAACGAGGATGAATAGAATCGTTATTAGTCATTGATTTAAACAGACAGACTGCTATTACTGCTCTAAGAGTCATATTCCTGAATCGGCGAGAAAAAAAAAAAAAAAAAAAAAAAAAACGATGTTATTCTATATGCTGCATCCTGGTGTATTCTGATTGAGTAACTCAGAATCATTGCTAAAGTAATCTCACTGGACAAAAGAATAACAGCAAAATATCAAAGAGAGCCAATGATATCTCAAAGGAAATACAAATGCACAGCTTACCACTAGTGATCGAATCGTAAGTGGTTGAAAGGGGTTTGCAAGTGGTTTTTTTTTTTTTAAATTCCGATAGGGAGTGGAAAAGAACTACCGTAATAAATGGGTGTCTTTTTCTGACTTAAATCATTAAATCAATACCCGTAAAAAACTAAAACATGTATTTGACGAGGTGTAGTTTTGTTCTTCCACTTACTGTCACCTGTTGGGACTCGTCCCAGTCCCAATTGCTGCTATCTTCCAGGACATTGATACCTCTCTTGAAAAGGACCTCTGCATGCTGCGCAAGATGAAAAAACGTCCATATTAACTTGTGTCTCAAATAAGATATTTGGAAAATTTGATTGAATGCGATTGTTGCAAACCTTTTGCGCATTCTTCCACTCTTGTTTGTTCTTGAGATCCAGAATATGGCTGCTGGCATTCACGAACAACTTTCGTAGGAAAAAGAACGGCAGGGAAACAGTTAGAAGTTGGTGAAACAAAAACTTCCTTTTAAAAAAGAATTACCGATTTTAATTACTGCTGATTGAAATTTATTTGGATTGTCCAAAGAAAGGTACTCTATTATAGACCATGAGCCACTGTGATTCTACGGTAAAGCTAGGCCATACCCAATGTTTCATTCACATTTTTTCCTAAGGCTGAAAGAGCAGTTTCGACGCCAGAGTCAGTTTGGTCATTGTTAATTAAAGTTTATTGTTACCTTTAGATCTTTCTCAGTTATCCTCGCTTTACTCAAGCGCGTAAATTTTTGCAGCTGTTGAAGAATTCCAACAGACAACAAAATATCTCCACCAAACATCGGAACGACATGTTCTTCCTTTTTACCATTTTCAGGAGGAACCACTGCATCGTGTGCTTTGACATGAGAAGCAGGACCTGACATATCTTGAAGCTTGTGCGATAAATCGTTTTGAGGCCCAACTTTCTTTGACCCTGTGTGCACAGGGAGTTCCTTTTGCTTTTGAATTGGGTGAGTCTTCAGGGCTTTCACTGTAACTTTTCCAGTGGTCTTCAGAAGACCAACACGCGGCGTGGTTGGGATGATTTGGACATTTTTTGCGGGGATTTCGTTTGTTCCAGGCTTAATCCTCGATATTGAGGATGGTTTCATAGAATTGACCGACTTTTGTGAAGATTGTATCGCTGGGCTTTGAATTGGGTTTGCTAAGTTTGGCCAGCGTTCCACGGGTGCAGGTTGTCCACCAGCACCAATTCCGGGTTGTGTTCCGTATCCCGGACTATTTCTTACTTGACTTCTACTGTTGGGTGCAGCCTCGTTTACTGACTGTTGACCCGCGGGCGAACGACCCATTCCGAGGGATTGCCGGTATGCCGTCTGCCGCATGTAGCCTCTTTGGTAAGGATTTGCAGCAACCTGGTTCAGTGGACTTTGATAAGAGTTTTGCTGACGTTGAAAGTAATTTCTTGGCTGTTGATAGCTGGTACTGGGAATACCTCTTTGATTTGTCAGGTAGTTTAGTTGCGAAGGATACTGATGCGATGTATACCATAAAGTATTTTGTCTTTTTGTTCGCTTGTCATTTCCATAAATGTCCCGTTTTCTTCTCCCAATGTCGAGTTGATCACTTGAATAGCTCGGAGGAGAGTAACCTCGTCCCCAATTTCCTTGAACTCGGTTTCTCTGCCAGGCTTGGCCACCTGACCAGCGGTAGGGATTCGGTGCAGGAGCGTAACCATGGGAAACTTGCGGATTCGAAGATTGATAAAGTTGCGACCTGTGTAAAGTGCTTTGAAAAGGAGGTGGGTTGTTAGGCTGTAGTCTATTCAAACCAAAATTATTTTGCCTCTGATTGGCCGAATACTGCACTTGAGATCTAGAAACAGCATTAGTTTGAACTCCAGGTGCACCGAAGACCCTCTGTTGCGGAACCACTGGGACACGAGTAGGTATTCTATTAACTTGCACAGGAATACCAGCCTTGTTTCCGACAGAATGCGAGTTTACCACCGCGGTTGGTTGCAAATGAACATTAGTTGTTGGGAAATTTAAACTCTTTCCTTTCAAATTGGAATTTTGAGTAAGCTTTGTTTTCAAATCAGAAAACCACACAGCATTATCATTTTTAGTCTTTTCCGTGGTGCCAATGGTTGGTAGAATTTCGGGTGTCCGTCTCGGAATCTCCGTCACTGGAACGTTTTTGGGAGCTTCCTTATTAACATTCTTCGCGCGTGGTTTGACAAAAGTTGCCTTGTCGTGCACTTTAGAAGTTGACGTTCCTTTGCCCTTCTTAGCAGCCTGAATATTCTCCCGTTGATCGGACAGAGGTTGGTTGTAAATCTCCTCTCGGTAGGTGTCTGTGAAGACCAGCTTCTCTAAACCGGCTATAACCTCACTTGCAGTGATTGGAGTAAAAGGTTTCTTATTTTCTGCTCTGGAGGCCAGATCTTTACTCTATCATGGAGAGAATTCGACGAAAGCTCAGCTTTCTTTATGTAATATCAGGTATACAGGAACTGGTTATTAGTTATCGCCTTGAGGGGGAGAGGAAAGGTCAAATTAATTTTTTTGTGTCATAACAAATTTACCTGATTTTCCCCTTCTCCCCCTCCTTAGGCCCTGGAGTGTTCTAAGGATTTCCCCTCATTGAGACTCAACTCCCTATAGTCTCCCCTCCCTTTAAACTCTGTTAGCAGCGAATAAGCCCCTCCCCTCGTTCCCCCTGAAAACCATGTAATAACCCAAAATCCTTCAAACCCCCCTCCCTTCACACCCATCTCTCCACCAGAGACCTTCAGTCAAATAATCGCAGAAATAGCCTTGAAATGATACTTACCTGTTTATGAAGATTTTTATATGCGGGGGTGACGCATTCGCTAAAGTTTGGTTCCTGCCAAGTCGCGTTCGAGGTTTCGCTTCCAGCACAAAACCTTCTTGTTTGACCTAACAATGAATTAAAAAAGTAGGGATTTTAATCGATCTTTATTAATAAAAAACTGTATGGGAACAGAAATTGAGCTATAATGGTTATGATATTCTCATTCATTAAAGACTCTATAATTTACTGTTTAGCTGATTTATAAGAATATGCTATATAAGAATCATTATTTTGCATGCAGGAGAGAGGTCCTCCAAAAGCGTTTTACATTTAAAAGTATATCAGTTTGTTTCAGCATTATCAACTGAGTAAGTTTAGAAAATGGTGTGAGCCCTCAGAAACTGTTTATGATACGCCAGGCCTTGGATTAGCAGGACATTGAACGATTAAGGCATTATAGAAATCGCTTAGAACTTTGTATAAGGGCGGTTTTCGATTCAGTGTCGTAAAACCAAGACCGATAATCACGACAGCCAATCAGACTAAAACGCAGGAAATTGCGGGTGACCAAGTCGTGATTGGTTTAAGTTTTGAATCTTATCGGTTGAGAAAGTGGCACGAGTATCCTGGACCAATCACAGAGCAAAGTAAAGCAAAAACAATGCAATCTCGGACTACTCAATTATTATTGCTCCAATAGAAATGAAGATCATGTCGTAGGACGATAAAGAATCTTCGTATAATGAAGTTATTACCTTGTGCTTTTCGTGGACATGTCTGATTGTCTGTAGAATTGAACATAATCAGCTTCCAGTTGATGTCATAATCGTACACAGCACTGCATACCAAATTAGCTCCTGAGAAATAGAGAGAGACAATGAGACAAAAAGAGTAAGAAAACATAAAGAAAAGCCACTAGATGAGAAATAACCCAAATTTTACCTAAATTTCTCGAATTTACAGGGACCTTGCGTTAGATTTGTTCAAGCTGTTGCATTTTCGAGATTTTTCGTTCAAATGTAAGTGAAGTATGAAATGAGGTCTAAGCCAATCGGAGAATAGTGCCAGTACCTCAAATACATAGTAACACGCACGTCATTGTGACGTCAGAGAGATTTATCGATTTGGGAAAAAGATTCATTAGCTTTCAAATTCTGGAATAGGGCTCATTTCACCATTTACCATTGGAGGTGATGAAGCGGAAACTTGTATCGCTGACTGAGAAGATTATTGGTGTTCCGTCAATGGATGATTTCAGCTGACCAGATTTGACTGCAGTCAGTAAAGGAGTGAGTACCTCTGATGCTGTTGATTTTTCAGATGCAGTCAATTTAAGATTCGATTGTACTGGGTCAGACCTGTTAACAAATGAAAATGGTATTGTCAGCTTAGACGATTAGAACATTTCAAAAATTAAAAGAATATGATTACTAATATGTTCGCAAATCATATTGATAATCTGTAACTCTTTAAATGAGTTTGCTAAGTGTATGAAAATTTGGGATTTTCCGAATAGTTCTCTGGCACTATAGAGCGGGTAAACAGTCCCACAAAAATCCCCGACCTTTCATTATCTTATTTTTTGTAAAGGACAAAATCTAGAGAGTAGATTCACTCTCTAGGCATTATTGCGAGAACTATGTGACTTTATTTCCTAATATCAAAATTATTGATGAGATGAGCTATCACATTTTTGGCTTTTATTCATTTTTACTTTCTGTTTTCTTCTCCTACTAGAAAACCTGAATAATTGGAGAGGTTTTAACGGAAAAAAATGCTACCGTCTGCTTTCAGTTGTTTTTACTCTTAATTAAAATGAAAGTATTTTTATCAGTTGCAAATGAAAATTGTCTCTGCTATTTCTCTTCGGAGTGTATTTCTGCTGTTGGCAGCAAACATCACACTAAGTCTACCTAAAGTTATTGCGTCATGTTACGAAGTAATCATAGACCGATCAGAATGCCACGCCTTTCTACAATCATATCATACCACTTACTTGAAAGAAATAACCTCAGCTGATTTGTATGATGGTACGTTGACAAAAACAGTAGAAACCTGTCGAATACAAACAGAACACCAAATTATCGCTTTCTTTATTTAATTTCTTTTTTTAGGTTTGTTTTGTCGTTTTCTGCCCTTTTATTATTATATGTTTGATTGTTTCTTTATTTTAACGTCGTGCAAAATAAAGCGGCCTGCAACATTTTGTAGTCTAAAAACCTTAACGACTAACCCAATTAAGAATTATTTAAATAAAGTTTTTCATAAATCTTACCGCAACTTGAAGCTTTTCTGCCAGGTTAAGAAACTCAAGAGACTCTACATCTCTCAACCGATCCGAGAATACTTGATTTGTAAGTGTTAAAAAGACGTTGTACACTTTCTCTGTGAAGAACAAATGAAAGGCTTTTCAGAGTTTGTAACAAAGTAAATGATGATCAGCAACTTGATACAAAATACAATGATAGATAATTTATAAAATTTTAGGAAGATGTTCTTGGTTACTTACATCTGGGAAAGAGAAGGTCAAAGATTTTTGTGTCTAACTGAAGAGTTTTACATTAATTTTTTAACATACCTGTAGTTACTTTACTTCCCGGAATGCCTTGCCTTTCTGCAAGAAAGATAAGATAAAGAGCTCAGTGAAGTAAAATAATACAACTACTTGACTTATTGAGAATTAAATCTTGTTCTGAAGTCCACCTCATCAATCATAAATCTTCCTCAATCTCTTAGTTAGCACGTGCGCCGTGATTGGTCAGCGGGCTTAACTCACTGCAATGGCGTTAAATTCGAAGGGTTGTTTGACTTGAAAACGTCTCTCTCTATTTGAACCTAGAAATATTATAAATTCCATACTAACCTCGTTTTCTGGGTCCGTACTGTAAGTTATGGTAACTCTCTTTCTCCTCTCGGATTTATGACCCACAAACTTCGCGCCTGGGCCATAAGTCCAAGCGAAAAAAAACTCGGCCCGTAACTCACATAACAGACCACAAACCCAGTTAGAAAGAGGTATACCTGCGTGACACTATAAAACTTAACTGCAGCACCAACAATAACAACAAAGGGAAAAAAACGCTACAGAAGTACTTACTTTCGTTTCCAGGATGTTTAGATTTCCCTGTGAGGAGTGTAAGCTGGGACCGAATACCATCTGATGGCTTCCTAACTGTAATACACTTGTCATAACATGATACCGAATAACAGTGATCCCCTAGTAACCAGGCCACCTGACAACTTTGACTTGCGCAGCAATTTTGAATACAAGAGCGCATGTCTTTCGCTCCTGGGAGCAGTTCAAATTTTCCCGCCTTGTGTCCACCTTTCAAACTAACGCCGCTGAAAATGGCACCATGCAAGCATAAGCCTCCATTTGAAGACGAGGTTTTCTTTTTAGCTCTCTTATTCCTTTTTTCTTGGTCTACCTCGTTCGTTGAACGTGTCACGAACGCTAACTGTGATTCCAATTTCGACTCGTGCGCCGGAACTATCTTACAAAGTTCAGGTTTATAGCAATGCAGCGTGTAACAATGATTATTCAACAATAACGAAACATCGCAAGTTTTCTGCCTGCAGCAATGTTTGACGCAAGCATTGATGTCAGGAACTTGTCCGTAATCTGAAAAATCTCCTGACTTAAGTCCTGAGCGAAGAGTAACTTTGCGAAGTATTCTCCTTGCTCGACAGCTGTTGGGGTTTGAGACATCAACGTTTTTATCCTTTATAAGATTTGATTCCAGTTGCACAACCGCTTTTGTTGGAAATGAATCTTGTAATTCGAACTCTGTTTCTTTCTCGTTGCTTTGGTATGATTTTATTGCATTATTCTGATATTTATTTTTGATCTTCTTCGGTACTCTAAGTTTCTGAGAATTATCCTTTCTAAAACTACTGTTAATTTTATCCTCATTCTTTATATTTCTGTCCTTCTCGTGAACAGTGTCCAACGAAGACCTTGTTACCAAAGTTACTGCAACTTTATGGTGGAAAAAAGTTTCATTTTTCAATCGGCACATTTTCTCACTTTGACACTCAACGTTGTAGCAAAAATCGTCCACAGAGAAGGCGAGGTCACAGTTCCTTCGCTGGCAACACAGCTGACCACAATGATTGACGTCCTTGACCCGACCCAGTTTCAAAAACACTCCAGAGGCGCTACCAGCACGCAATGTTACATTGAACTTTGGAGAGTTCGGCTGGCAGGTGAGCGCCTGCGTTGCACGAAAGGCGCTTCCTGTAAAGCAGAATGTAAAAAAAGGATGTGTTAAATCAGTAAAGGCCTGCGTGATTTTGATTTGTTTACATCAGGTGAGAGTTACACAGAGTGAGTGATTTGCACGCGCGAGTGGCACATCCTTCCTGCTAAACGCCTCTCGCGAGTATCGGTTATTTCTTGCGCGCACGCAGAAGCATTATTTCGGGAGACAGCTAATATCGCAACAAATTTAGAAACGAGTCGGCTGCCTTAACCTCAACGCGCGAATGAACTTTATTTGGAGTCCACGGAGCGCTTAAACACGCGTGGAATCTCAAAGACTTGCGTGGATTTGTTTACACGTAAGTGGAGGGCAGGTGAGCTGCACAGCGTACAATGACAACTAAATATTTTTTTTGTTTTGTCTTTTTTTTTTTGTTTTAATTTGCAGCTTTTCTTAGGAAACCTGTAGGATTAAACAGCAAAATGGTGAAACACGTGTGTAAGTCTTTCCTCCAAATCTTTCAATTGTTTTACATAAAGAAACACTCTTTGTTTTCACTATAATCGTTATGTCATTGTGGTATTTTTGTAAAACTTGCAAAAAAAGTAAACACATTTCCATTGTTTTTTTTTCTTCAAAGCACTTTTATAATGAATAAAGGACTTCTTTTAGCTAGCCTTGGGTTAGCACTTCAAACATCTACAACGCACTTCGTAGTTTAAAAAGATTTAACTTGAAGCTACAGGTTTTTAAGACTGTGCTAAGGGATCCATTAAGAAAACTGCCAAATTTGACAGTTACGTCGTAGTAGATTTTACAAACACACAAAGTCACTTACAGTCTGCCATAAAGGTGTTATACGTCCTTTGAGAAAGTTTTGCACAAAAATTATGTAATCAAAGACCGAAATCTTGATCAAGGTTTTTGTTCGAGTTTCCTTTCAAGTTACGGATTGCATAAACCATTTTGAAACAGTGAAACTTGCAGAAGATATGATACGAAAAGTTTAATGTAGGAGTAATTATTACGAGATTGAAGACAGATACGCTATTTTGCCATTAAGAAAATGTTTCATCTTGAATATGTTTTGATTTACAACCATATAGTGAGTTTTGAAGCTCCTTTGTCATGTGCGCTCCCAAGTTAACTTTAGCTTTAACATCATTGTTTACATTTTCAAGAGTCGTTGAAAGTTTTTATTCAAACAGTCTCGTTTCATTAAATGCACAAACGGTCATGAAATGTCACCATAGCTGTCAAAGTCGCTGTCTAATTTCCTCCGCAAATTAATTCTTTTAAAATTAGTAAAACTGGTATCCGTATTCAACGGGTTTAATTTGTTTATGGTTCACTGATAAGTACCTGGTACCAGTTCTAAGATGTCAGAAAACACAGAGACGCCACTTCAAAGTCTTGTCGTATATGAGCTGAATCAAAAAGTTAAAGGTCACATCGGAGTTCAGCAGCCTGAGCAAACGTTATTCTGGGTAAAACCAAAGGATAGCATTTTCTTTTTCGTTTCCAAGATCACATTTTGATCACTGATTCACCCCACGGTCAGGAACAATAATAACATCACCCTGCGAATTAGTGAGTGAATACTGATGGTTGAGGACTGACAAGGCTACTTTCAAAGATGCAACTTCCATATTTCAAGACGCTTCAGATATATAAAGATTCTCGTGGACCTAAGGCACTCGATTCAGGGGGATTGATCCTGGTGGAAATAGAATTGTGATTGTTTTCATTCCATGACAAGAATTTAAGCTGCGATTTTGTTTTTAGTTAAACTCAAAGCATGAACACGTGCAAAACCACTGGAGGCTAAAATGCTGATACATAAAAATAAATGTTTTGCTTCTAATATTTCGGGGAAATTCTTCAAATTAAGTAATACTGCTAGTAGTAATAAAGCAAATGTTTTCGAATTTCATAATCGTCGAGTCAAAACACGCCCACTCGGATACGGTTTTGACAACACGGAAGATAAAACTGTTTGCATCGTCAAAATTAGAAGGTTAACTCGATCGAAAAGCAATAAAGTTGAACAATTACCTGATAGAAAGCCAAAGAAACTGAGGAGAAAAAACAACCAGCCTGTTCTGCTGGGGTCACTGCGAACAACAAGGGTCGAAAATGCTCTGCTAGCCCTCCTTCCAGGCATAGAGTAGAAAAACCGGACCGAAATCACTGCAAATCATTCGTTTGATGTCCTACCGAAGGCCATCTGCAACGGCAGCTTCTTCACAAACCGAGCCATCCATGAGGCAGAATTATGTTAGAAGTGAAGCATTTTTCACGTAATTTCACGGCGCTTCTAAGATGGAAACCACTTCTACGCGAAGGATCATTAACCGACAAGCTCCATCGCGTTGCATTAAAATTTGATTGTATCCATTGAAGGAAAACGCGTATGATGTCATCCGCTAAACATGGTCATGAGAACGCGGGAAATCAACTACTAACAATTTTTGTGGTGTAAAAACAAATCGAGTTCCTTCGTAAGATGTACTTCATTCACGTCTCCGCCAAGTTTGACATTAAACAGTGAGGAACACCTGTCATTTCCATGTTAAATTGATCAAAGTGCTTTGGTCACGTAAAGGTGAACCATAACCTCACTGTGTGTATCTCTGTATGACGTTCCTCTTAAAGGACATTGTAGTTCCTTACCCAGGCTCACTCGTGTCTGTTGGTTCGAGATGCTATCGAAAGAGATCTGAGCAATACATGTGCCATGAACCTCCTTAAAAAAAATTATCTTCTAATGATACTTCTAAGACCGAAACAATCAAGTGGTCTTATTATATTCTCAGATAAAATAAGGTACCCCATGTAGGTGCACACCAAATGAAATGTACCCTATTTACCCCGCGCAGGGGGTGGGGATTAATAACAAAGTTGGACAGCGTGACGTCATAACTAAGATGATTAGCCATTCAAAATGGCGGTGCGTGTAAGGAATTTTGCAGTAGATTTTCATAGGGATCGCAGCAATTTTAGAAGCTGAAAAAGTGGTGTAGAACTCGGCTTAGTGTAAACTTTCTATTGCTGGTTGCAAAAATATGCGGTTTTTCGTTTTCCTTTAAACAATTTAAAGTCAAGAAAATATCAGGATATTTTATTGACACCATGGTAACTGCCCTTAAGCAGGATGAACCTAGAAGTGAGGGCGTTCCTCTGAAGGTTAACACCAAAAAGGTAAGAACGAAGAGAGGAAAAAGGATCCTCTTTTAGTAAGAACTCAGAGAACACAGATAAATAAGAATTGCTCAGGATAGAGAAATTTTGATAAAAGCCGTTGAAAGAGTTTAGAAAAGTTCGACAAAATCTTTAAAATTTAATCATATCTAATCGTATACTGTTCGGTATTGAAAAAATAGTAATAATGACAATAATAAAAATAATAGTAATAATAATAATGATAATAATAATAATAATAATAATAATAATTATGATGATGATAAAGCGACGCTGGAAACTATAGATTTACTGTCCTGCTCAGTTCAACTTTGCTAGCCTGCAGTGCAGGTGTCTTATTAGTGCGAGCTAACATTATAAACTCGCGAGTTATCTTCACTCCCCCACCCCCACCCCTCTCCTTAATTTTGACCGTCGACCGCCCCCCTGGTACAAATTTATTTCTCTCCCCAGCCTTCCGCTGCCATCAAAATCAATGATGGCTGCCATAATATTTGTTATGAAATTACTAAGCACTCGCTCGCCAAAATTACGCCTGCTCTGCGGGCTACAACTTTGCCGACATACATTTCCATTTCACACTTCATGTGGCCGGTTATTAAAACAAAGTTTAACACATTCATTAAAACTGCGTTGACAGTAAACAATCTTAAGTCAAGCAGAAAATATCATTTAAACCTCAAGATTCTACAAAATTGTTGAAGGGGCTCATATTTAGCACTAAAATGAAGAAAAACTCATGGATGATCATGAGGAACTTTCAAAGTAAATTGATCATCAAAAACAGCGGTCCGCGTTGAAGTATCCCATACCATCAGTTTTCAACATATGTTTTGAACTTGTTAACCTTGACCATTTCTGCAGGTTGAGCAAAAATAAATCTCTCAGACAACAATTGAAGAGTCATTTCAGATAAACAATAGAACGTTACAGAGGCTGAACTGAGCTTAGGGACGTGATTGCCTACAGGCAACCAGCTGAAACGGACTTTGTTATGTTTTCTAAGAATCTGAAATACATCCTTGATTCAATTTTGCACGTCGCTAATGCATGTCGTAGTTGTACTTGGCGTCAATGCTGATGGAGTCGCTTTTGGTAAATCTCAAGAAACAAGTTACTTGTTCGATTTGCCTGGATACCTACACCAAGCCCAAAACTATATCATGTCTTCACACGTTTTGCTGTGAATGTTTGGAAAAACATGCAAGAGTAAGCCAGAAACAGGGAAAATTCAGATGCCCCGAGTGTCAGGCAGCGATCGATTTACCAGAAGGAAATCACTTCGACCATTTGCCTAACAGCTTTTTCCATAAAAGTTTGTTGAGTCTTCTTGCTGTTCGACAAAGTGGCGAGGCAAGTAGTATTACTTGTTACCAATGCAGCGCAACCAACCCTCAGATGTACTACTGCTTCGATTGCGGACAATTCATGTGCCCAAATTGTTTCAACGCACATGAAGTGCTCAAGAAGTCTTTTCAGGGACACAAAGTCACGTCAATTCACGACATCAAAACAGAAGATTACGAGGCATTGTTAAGGCGACAACTGTTTTGTTCTCAACCGTTCCACGAGAAAGAAATTACAAAGTTATTTTGCTCGCAGTGTCAAGTTTGCATTTGTGAACTTTGCAGAGCCACGGATCATGGAAACCACAAAGTTGTTGTGCTCGACAAAGCAGCACACGAGGAAAAGGATAAGATCATGTCGGGCGTTAAATCGATCAAGAAAATGGAAAGCAAGTTCCGTGAAGTCGTTAAGCGGTTTGAAGAAACCATTTCCAAGCTGGAAAGCAATATGGCAACAGCCAAGCGAAGCGTTCAGCAAGCAGCTGAACAAATCATTTTAGATATTCGAAAGCGCGAGCGAGAGGCACTGGAATCCCTCGAGGAAACACGCGCGTCGAGACTCGATAAAATTAACTCGGCTAAACAGAAAGTGGAATCCTTAGTAAAACAAATGAACCAAGCCGCTCAATTTGCGGAAATTCTGGTAGAAAGAAGCTCAAGCTCGGATATTATGCAGAACAAAGAAACTTTAAAGACCAAATTTGAAGAGCTTCTGCGAGTTGAAGTTCCAAAACATAAGCAGACGACATTCATTAAATTCACTGCGACATCTCAAAAGGACTTAAAACTGGGTTTTATTGAAGTCACTGAGCGCACCGCAAAGGCAGCTAAATCAACTTTAGAAGGACTGGATAAAACCTTCCAGGCTGGAGTTGAAGCAGACTTTACATTTTGTCCAAAGACATCTGGAGGAGAAATGAATAACCAGGCTGATCTTAAAAGTCGAGTTGAATTGCTGATTAAACCCGTCAGGGATGCGGTGAGAGACGTGACTGTTGAAGAGAAAGAAGACGGCAATCTAAGATTGAAGTTTACTCCCAATGAACCTGGGGCCTACAGCATTGAGGTGAAGATTAATGGCGATAAACTACCAACCTGTCCCACGACTGTGCAGGTTAAAGAACGTGAACTTGTTGTGGTCAATGAGTTGATGTTAGAGCTCTTTACAGGGGACACGTTTGAATGGTTATATGGAATTGCTGTGAATACAGAAGGCCAGATAGTTGTGACAGATAACTTTGGCAACTGTGTTTATGTCTTTGACATAAATGGCAATTGTGTGAGAAAAATGGGAAGCAAGGGTAACAGCACAGGACAATTTCAGTACCCTAATGGCATATCGTTTTTAAATGACAACGAAGTCCTTATTGCAGACTACGGCAATTGCAGGATACAACGACTTAATATTCAGACTGGAACTGTGGTGAAAAGCTTTGGAAAAAAAGGCACGGAAAAAGGAGAGTTCGACAGACCAATAGACGTTATTGTGGATGATCAAAAGCGCATTGTTGTAACCGAGTGGGGCAATGGTAGGATACAGGTGATGTCAAAGGATGGACAGTCTATTTTTACATTTGGAGACAAAGGCCCAGGGAAACTTGATGGTCCAACCTGCTGTATTCTTTGCGAAAACATGTTTCTCGTATCTGATGAAGGTAACCACTGCATAAAAGCGTTTGATCAGACAGGAACATTGTTATACCAGTTTGGCAAACAAGGGTATCAAGATGGACAATTAAAAGCGCCCTATGGTTTGCTTGTAGACAGCTCCAATAATCTTCTGTTATGTGACTCTGGCAATAACCGAGTTCAACAGTTTTCTTTGGACGGTCGCTTCACCGGCAAAAGTATCACTCGTTTATCTTCTCCTGTGGCGATAACAAAAGCGCCAGACGGACGTATTCTTGTTACTAGCCATAATGAGAAAAAAGTGTACATTTTGAAATAGACTTTTGCAAAAGTGAATTTTGCTTCTTGAGCCGCTCCTTACCTGTGTTTTGTTTTATTTTTAATGCTGTTTTATCATTTGTCTGGAAGAGCTCTTAGCGATAATATCAAGAGTCACGCTTACTCTTAGAGGCAAAAAAATCGTTTTGACTTAAAGTAATTAGCCCAGGTCTTTCAGCTTCCAGTTCGTCAGTTTTAAGCCGTTTTAATCTTCTCCGTCCCTCGTCACTTGGCCATCCATGTTCCTTCTCCGTTAATTAATATCCTCTTTAATTGCGTTTTCTCTGATCTAAAGTTTTGCCGGTTTTTTGTTCTTTAAGTTCAAAGTGTTTCTGCGCATTTTCAAAAGCGATTTGAAAAATCTAGACCAAGAAATTTAGCGGCAGGTCCTCAAAAATGTCTAGTGTAGCAAAAAAACCACATGCTGTGTAGAAAAATTTGACAGGTGTTGTAATCATTGATTGATCAGGATAGATTAAGTCCGCGTTTTTCCATCTAAGAAAATATATCTTCAATTAAGCTTCAATTCAAGAACAATTTATGATTGCATAATTTGACATGTATAAGTAATCAACAAGCACAAGAAGGAAGGTGACAACTGTTTTTAAAAATGGGCATCGACTGGGTAATTACGTCATAATTAGAGGTGGTTAGTGATTTTCTTAGTTCTAAACTGTTTTGAAAAATGGTCTTAGGTTTCGTTTCATATAATAAGGTGAGAAAAATTAGAAATGTATTGAATAAATAAGACTTAAAAGATATTTACAATTTGTTGTTTTGAATGATTAGAAAATAAGTTCCAGTTTTAAATTGCAAAATCATCAGTTCCTTGGTTTCCCTGAAAAATGAAAAAAGGTTATGTCGAGTTCATTTTTAATCTAAGGCAAAAACAGGGATAAGCTATGGCAGTAAAGAGTCAATAGCGTTGTAAGATTAACCCTCACAGATTTTAACTTGTCTTTTCGCAACATTTAAAAGTTTTCATACCTATAATCGGCAAAACTGCAGCGATTTCATGCTCATATAAACTCGCATAAAGATTTCTCAGTACATGTCCCTGATTGCCCAACGAACTTGACACTCATCCCGTGGAAGAAGCTGGTTCACAGGATCGGTTCTTAAACCTTGAGAATCGCATTTGCCATAACAATAAAAGCTCTTACACGTATTGCAGACTTAAGGAGCCATGCAGCGATGGTTTGATGGATCACTCTTTGCCGGAATCACATGTCCGGAGAGGTTTGTATTTTTGTTCTTTCGAGCACTACTTTCATCGTAAGATATAATTTTTGAAAAAAAAAAAAAAAAAAAAGTCTTAACGAGTAAATGTAGTGCATTTTCCATCTCTTCTACATGTGCCCTTAGGAAAAATGATATAAATGTTTAGTAACCAAATAAATGAAACGTAATCGAAAAAAATTTCCCTCCCATTTCTTCCATTTGAGTTGAATTTGAGTTTTTATTCGCTCACGATTACCGATGTTGTTGAACAACATACTTTATTAAATAACAAAGGCTACAGCACTTATAATAAATAAGAAATAATTCAAACTGCAAACAAGTAAATTGAAGTATCGAGGTATCATCTTTTTTTTAACCTTCAATTCACTTGTCGCTCCCCAATAACGAATGACGAATGAGTTTACCACAGTTTAACCGACGATCGTCACGGATCCTCTCTTTAAGAATGTCAAGAAACAAGTTATTTACTCGATTTGCCTCGATACCTACACCGAACCCAAAACTATATCATGTCTTCACACATTTTGTTGTGAGTGTTTAGAGAGACATGCAAGAGTGAGCCAATGACAAGGGAAATTCAGATGCCCCGAGTGTCGGGCAGAAATCGATTTACCGCAAGGAAATCGCTTTGACCGTTTGCTTAACAGTTTTTTACACAAAAGTCTGTTAGTGTCCTTGAAGCGGAAGATCGCCGAGCCATTCCGAGGCAGCAACAGGAAACTTGTTCGCAACATACGGAAGAAAGAGTACGATATTACTGCATCTCGTGTGAGGCGTGTATTTACGAAGACCACCGAGGTCACGCGTTTGACTTGCTTGAAAAGCAGTGCAAGAGGATAAGAAAAACATATCGACTGTCGAGACCATCAAGGAAAAGGCAGACTTGTTTCGAGCAGAGTTAAGAAAATTAGAGAAAACATCAGAGGATGTGGAAATGAATATCGCAATCGCTAAACAAGAAGTGTCGGAGGCAATTGAACACGTGATCACAAAGACGCGACAGCAAGAAAAACAGCTTTTAGAGACCTTAGAAGAGACGAGTAGAAAGAGACTAGGGAGAGTTAACTCGGCCAAACAAGAACTGGAATCTCAACTGGATCAACTGTGGATATCATGCAAAACGAAAACAAATTTAGGCAGAAACTTGAAGAGCTTCGTGGAGTTGTAGTTCCAAAACGCAGCCAGGCTACATTTGTCAAATTTACCGCTGCATCGCAACTTTAAACCGGGTTCTATTCAGTCAAGTCCCCGAGAAGCCGGTTATCGCAGCTAGATCAATTTTAGAAGGGCTATATCAAACTTTTCAGGTTGGTGTACAAGCAAAGTTTACGTTGTGTCCACGGACATCTGGAGGAGAGATGAGTGACTAGGTTTTGCGCCTAGGTTTTGTCACATTACACCAATAATGCGCGATTTGCACTGGTTGCCTATCAGGGCACGCATCAACTTCGAGGTACTTCTCCTCACGTTTAAGGCGTTACATGGCCTTGCGCCTCAGTATCTATGGTCCTTAATTAGTCTAAAGACATCATGCTATAATCTCAGGGGTTCTAATACTCTACTCCTAGCTATGCTATCAGTGAAATCTAAGGCCACGCTAGGTGATCGGGCATTCGCCGTTGCGGCGCCGTCATTGTGGTACTCTCTGCCTAGTGAGCTTCGCTCAAACACATGTGTAACTAGTTTTAAAACTCTTATGACCTATATTTTTAGTCTTGCATATACTTAATAGAGATTTTATTAGCATATTATCAGCATTTTCTCTTTTTACATATAATATTCTTTAGTTTCTTCAGTTCTCTATTATATTATGTATACTTTAGGAATGCGCATCTGATCATAGTCATGTAAAGATGTGCACTAGAAATGAATAAAATATTATTAATTATTAATAATCTAGAACAACAAACTCAACGGCGAGTCCTCAAAAATTTACATTGCATCAGAAAAACTACAAAACTAAAAATTTGACTTTTTTTTTTAGGTTGAGAATATATAGCAGGAAAACGTTAAGACCATGTGCGGCTTTTTGTAGTCATTAATTGTCAGGATAGATTAAGTCCACTTTTTTTAAGCCTAAAAATATATCTTTAATTAAGCTTAAATTCAAGAACAATTTATGATCGCATAATTTCACGTGTATAAGTAATCAACAAGCACAAGAAGTAAGGTGAAAACTGTTTTTAAAAATTAAACTCAAGTGTTAGGTTAAAACTGTTTTGAAAAATAGTCTTAGGTTTTGTTCCATATAATAAGTCGAGCCAAGTTAGAAATGCATTGAATAAATGACACTTAAAAGTTATTTACAGTTTGTTGTTATAAATGATTAAAAAATAACTTCCGGTTTCAAATTGAATAACATTTTAAGATAGTTATTTGAAATATTTATCGGGAAACATCATTTCAAAAATTGAAAATTCATCAGATCTTGGTTTCTCTGGAAAATGAAAGAGAGTTTATGTCAAATTCATTTATAGTGTAACTATAATCGGCCATAAGGAAACCGGAGCTGAGGCTACAAAACTCCATACCTCTTCATGCGACAAAAACAGAGATAAGCTGTGGTAGGGAAGAGTCAATAGCGTTGTAAGACTAACCCTCACAGATTTGAACATGTAGTTCTCAGTGCGCTATTTTAAAGTTTTCATGTCAGTAATGGGCTGAACTGCAGCGATTTCATGCTCATATAAAACTCCCTGGAAGATTTCACAGTACATGTCCCTGATTGCCCAGCGAACTTGACACTCATCCCGTGGAGGAAGCGAGTTCGCGGGGTTGGGTTTTAAACATTGTGTATAGCAAGTGTCACAACAATCACAGCTCTTGCACGTATTGCGGACCTAAGAAGCTTTTCTTAAACCTGCAATAATGGTTTGATGGATCTCTCTTTGCCGGAATCAAACCGGAAAGCTTTCCATTTTTGTTCTTTCGAGCACTACTTTTATCGTAAGATATAATTTTTGGGAAAAAAGAAGAAAAGTTTTAACGAGTAAATGTAGTGCTTTTTCCATATCTACTATATTTGCCTTTACCACAGGGAAACTGACTCGAAGATAAGGCAATAAATAAATGAGTTAATAAATGAATCAAAAATGATAAAAAAAGAGTTCTTAGTTATCTCTTACCTCCTTCCACCCACCACCCCCTCCTAATTTCTCGCCAACAAAGTGCGAGCGAAAGGAAAGCGAGGTAAACAAGCGACATGCGGCTAATTTGCATAAATTAGCTCGCGTGCCTTGCTGCATGACCTGGAGATACAAAATTTGAATTCTCAATCGCTTACGACTGCCGACATTGTTGAACAACATTATCTTTCAATAACAAAAGCTACAGCACTTACAACAAATAAGAAATTAATTCAAACTGTCCGTGCATGTTTGATAATCTCACCTCGATTAGCTATTGTCGATTTTCGTAACGTGACGGCGTTTCGTTTCGATAATAAAACTATCAAGTTTGATTTCCATCGTCAACTGAAGCAAGTAAATTGAAATATCGTATTGTTTTGTTTTGTTTTGTTTTGTTTTTTTCAACCTTCAATTCACTTATCCCTTCCCACTTTTCCAAATTTTCAGTGAATGATGTCCTTAAAACCATAAGTGTTTTAATATCTGTGCTTTCAAAGATCCCTGGGAATGACAAAACCGAGGATTGACTTCAAATAAGATGGATGAGAAATATAGTTGAATGTCTTGCCAGAGGAATACAAATCACGAATTATCATCTCGGTCTCAGCTGATGAGGATGTTGTCAGCCAAATTTCCTTTCATGCGAGAAGGGGTTGCCACTGACGACGGAATATCTGCAAAAACACGAAGAATCCGTATCCTACCGATTGAAACTGTAAACGAAACAGCTTGGCAGCGATGAAGGTTAGAAGATTTTACGCGCCTTTCGCGCTTTTTTTAGAATCTTTACACGTTTCTCATTTAAATATTTCCCTCATGCAGCCACGAAGTTTTCTCTTCAGCTAAAATCCCCGAACTCTTTCATCCTTTATCCAACGGTACATTTTCAAACATTTTATGTCTCTTAGAAAGACAACTGTAAATTCAGTCAACCATTTCGCAGAAGATAAACAGTCTAACGTTACAATAGAGGTCAACTGAGCCATGAAGTGACAGCCTTAATTATAAATAAGTCGACGGCTGATTTTTTTCTGTTTTCTAGGAATCTGAAACAAAGCCGGTTTGTTTGAATGTTTTAATGCACTGCCCATCCTTTTCTAAAACTACAGGACTCCTCGAAATGCACATTGATGACAGTCTGAGAACCAAGAAGAACAATCTCACCATGAAATTTGCGGACTTATTGTGAAACGACTGAGTTGTGCAAACTTCCGGGTAAGAGTGGTCCTTAACCCTTAATCTGTGAATGATCAGCATCTGATTTCTCCTTTCAATATCACACATGAATCAAACATTACGGTCACGACAATAAAGAAAATGATAATTAACTAAAGAAACTATTGATTGTTCAAAAAATTCTCCTTGCCAGTACATTAGGAAATGTATAGAGAGCCGTATTAAGAATTTTCGTATTAATGTTTAGGTGTAAAGGGTTAAAACGTCTGTTGTCTGTGACAATGACCAATGTTTCGTTACCCATTCTAGTGCAATTGGACTAAATTTCCTTTTATGATAGATCACTCGAAGATTGATTTGACCACTCACCATAAAGATACGAAAAAAAGCCTCGTTTGCTGCATTGTCCAAATCACATTTATTGAAATTCTTGTCTTTAATTGCTTTTATTTGAAGCAACTTGAATTACCGAAAGTTTGGTTGTCTAAAATCGAGGTTTCATCTCAGTCAACATGGTCTTTTTATCATTACAAAAAGGTCAGCTAAGGCCTGGAATGCGATTGGCCAGAGGAAGTCAGCTGTCATGGACTTAATGCTGTTTTCTCGGAAACTGAAATAATATCTCAGATTTCGTATGAGTGTTTTGACAGGGCTCGTCGCTTGATTACGCGTCAGTCAACTACAATCTTAGGTGATCGTTATGAATCCTCTCTTTAAGAATCTCAAGAAACAATTTACTTGCTCGATTTGTCTCAATGCTTACACCGAGCCCAAAACTATATCATGCCTTCACACATTTTGCTGTAAATGTTTAGAGACGCATGCAAGAGTGAGCCAGAGACAAGGGAAATTCCGATGCCCCGAGTGTCAGACAGAAATCGATTTACCGCAAGGAAATCGCTTCGACCTTTTGCCTAACAGTATTTTTCACAAAAGTCTGTTAGGTGTCCTTGAAGCAGAAGATCGCAAAGCCACTCCAAGGCAACAACAGGAGACTTGCTCGCAACATACGGAAGAAAGACTACGATATTACTGCTCCTCGTGTGAGGCGTGTATTTGTCCAATTTGCGTCACTGAAGACCACCGAGGCCATGCGTTTGACGTGCTTGAAAAAGCAGTGCAAGAGGAGAAGAAAAACATCCTGTCAACTGTCCAGACCATCAAGGAAAAGGCAAACTTGTTTCGAGCAGAGTTAAGTAAACTAGAGAAAACATCAGAGGATGTGGAATTGTTTATCGCAATCGCTAAACAAGAAGTGTCGAAGGCAACTGAACACGTGATCACAGTGACGCGACAACAAGAAAAACAGCTCTTAGAATCCTTAGAAATGACGCGTAGGAGGAGAATAGAGCGAATCAACTCGGCTAAACAAGAACTTAAATCTCTGGTAAAACAGATGAACCAAGCAGCTGAGTTTGCGGAGAATCTGGTGCAGAGAAGATCAGCTGCGGATATCATTCAGAACAAAAACGAGTTGAAACTTGGAGAGCTTCGTGGAGTCGAAGTTCCAAAACATCGCCAGGATATATTTGTCAAATTTACCGCTGCATCGCAACACAACTTTAAACTGGGTTCTATTCAAGTGTCTGAGAAGCCGGCAATCGCAGCTAAATCAACTCTGGAAGGACTGGGTCAAACTTTCCAGGTTGGTGTACAAGCAAAGTTGACGTTGTGCCCACGGACATCTGGAGGAGAGATGAGTAACTGCGCTGATCTCAAAGATCAAGTAGAAATGCTGATAAAGCCCGCCAAAGATGTGACAAACGTGATTGTTGATGAGGAATATGACGGAAAGGTTGGGCTGAAGTTTACTCCCAAAGTACGTGGGGCCTGCAACATTGAAGTGAGGATTAATGGCGATAAACTACCGACTTGTCCCATGACTGTGTGGGTAAAAGAAAGTGAACTTGTTGTGGCAGGTGAGCTGAAGTTAAAACTCTTTCCAGAGGACAAGCTTGAACGGTTATATGGAATTGCTGTGAATACAGAAGACCAGTTAGTTGTAACAGATAACTTAGGCCACTGTGTTTATGTTTTTGACAAAACTGGCAACCGTTTGAGAAAAACTGGTGGCGAGGGTAGCCATACAGGACAATTAAAGTTCCCTAAGAGCATTTCGTTTTTAAATGACAACGAAGTCCTAATTGCAGACTCAAGCAATTGCAGAATACAACGACTTAATATTCAGACAGGAACTGCAGTGAAAAGTTTTGGAAAAAAAGGCAGAGAAAAAGGAGAATTTGATAGGCCAATAGACGTTACTGTGGATGATGAAGAGCGCATTGTTGTAACTGAGTGGGGCAATGGTAGGATACAGGTGATGTCAAAGGATGGAGTGTCTATTTTTACATTTGGAGACAAAGGCCCAGAGAAACTCTGTAGGCCAACCTGCTGCATTCCTTACAAAAACATGTTTCTCGTAACTGACGCAGGGAACCACTGTATAAAAGCTTTTGATCAGTCAGGAACATTCTTATACAAGTTTGGCAAAGAAGGGAATCAAGATGGACAATTTAACCTGCCGCGTGGTTTGCTTGTAGACAGCTCCAATAATCTTCTAGTATGTGACTTTGGCAATAACCGAGTTCAACAGTTTGCTTTAGACGGTCGCTTCACCGGCAAAAGTATCACTCATTTATCTTATCCTGTGGCGATAACAAAAGCACAAGACGGGCGTATTCTTGTTACTAGCAATGATGAGAAAAAAGTGTATATTTTGAAATAGACTCTTTCAAAAGTGAACTTCGCTTCTTGAGCCGTTCCTTTAATCTTTGTTTTGTTTTATCTTTTACGCTGTTTTTTCACTTGTCTGGAAGAACTCTTAGCGATAATATCCACAAGACTTACAATTACTCTTAGATACGAATATTTCTTGACTCCAAGTAATTAGTCTTGGTCTTTCAAGTTCGCCAGTTTCAAGCCGTTTTAATCTCCCCCATCCTTCCTCACTTGGCCATCCATGTTTGTTCTCGGTTAATTATTATCCTCTTTGATTGCTTTTTCTCCGATCTAAAGGCTTTTTTTTTTTAAGGTCAAGGTATTTCTCCGCATCATCAGTGGTGGTTTGAATAATCTAGACCACGAAATTTAAAATGTCTAGTTCAGCAGAACAACTACATGCTGTATAGAAACATTTAACAAATTTGACTTTTTTTATAGCCTAAGAAGATATAGGTGGAAAACGTTAAGACCGAGTGCTGCTTTTTGCAGTCATTGATTGGTCAACTGTTTTTAAAAATGGGCATCTACTGGGTAATTATGTCATAATTAGAGGTGGTTACTGACTTTCCAACTAAGCTTAAGTGTTAGCTCTAAACTATTTAAACTATTTATTTTAAGAAATAGTCTCAGGTTTTCTTCTATGTAATAGGGCGAGAAAAATTAGAAATGCATTAAATAAATAAGACTTAAAAGTTGATTCCAGTTTGTTGTAATGGATGATTAGAAAATATGTTCCAGTTTTAAATATAAATAACATTTTTCAATAAAATTATTTGAAAAAATTTATTGGGAAACATCATTTCAAACTTACAAAATCATCTGTATTTGCTCCCCTAGAAAATTAAAAAAAAAAATTAAGTCTATGTCATTTATACTTTAAATATAATTGGGAAGCAGGAATGTAGCGTTTTTGCCATCTCTTTGGATGTTTTGAGATGCCAAAGCATTAAGTCACCTTTAGCTCTTTCTTTAAGCAGGTAAAATTTTATATTGGCAAGTTAAAAACTAACTAAAAAAAACAAAAAAAAAAGAAACCAACAACAACGAGCAAAAACAAAAGAAAAAATGTGCCTAAATGTATTATTCATAGACATTAAGTTAGAGGAGCTACACTCTTTAGTACCTTGATCACTTTTTGTCACTGGCTTATAATTCCTCTTCACAGTATCACTGTTACATCAAATCAATAAGGTCATGAGAATAAAGGAAATGATCATCAGCCAAAGAAACTCTTGATTGTTAAGCAAATTCTCCTTGTTAGTAAGTTAGGAAATGTTTAGAGAGAGGCATGGAGAATATGCATACTGATGTTAGGGTGTAATGGGTTAATAAGCTATGCACTGTGCATAGAGCAATGACCTTTTTTAAATTAGCTTCAAATGAACGTACAAGTATGTTAGTCTTGTGCAAATAGCTGGATAAAAGACAGACTATAGTTTGTAAATTTTGTAAGTTACCTGGCTGTTTTATTCAGTAGTACCTTCTGTCAACAGCAATTTTTGTTCATACTTATAGTAGAAAGGCAGATCAAATTAAAAATAAGAGTATTTTTAAAAATTAAATATCACAATATATGTATGTACAGTAGTCAAAACTTATCAGTGAATATAAGCCATATCAGAGGACTCAGAGATTTAAAACAGTTGATACAAGTCAACTGCTCTTTTACATCAACATTTAACAATGATTACCATTATGAATTGCCAATTTGTGCACTTAAAAAAAAAAAAACTGCAAAACAACAACAAAAAACCAACTATACTGAGTTTTCTCCTTGTGCCAAAACAATAGATAATGGCGATCATAATAAAAACGATAATGACAATGATATTGACATAATAATAATTATAATTGTAATAACAACAATACTAATGACAGAAAATTGATTAAAAAAAAACAAACCACCAACAACAAAAGTAAACAGACTAGAAAAAAAAAATTATATTCTTAATCACTTCTGGTAATCTATGAAATTCAGTGTGACATACCTCCCTCAAAACATACATACTCTGTGCTTTATTTGAATAATATAATAAGCTGAATTATGCAGGTGTTTTGATTGGTTCTTGCTCATGGTTCATGATTTATTGGAGAACAGATGCATAGATGGCCTTGCCATTGACAAACTTTTGCTTTGTTATCATACAAAACAAATAGATTTCATGTCGCTGTTAGTCTGTATAGTAATAGATCACAGAAGACTTCAATATGTGGTAAGTATTTCTGTGACACACCTGTGTCTCATGCGCCATTTGTTTTGTTTTCACTGCTTTTTGACGTCATCTGTGATATATTACTGAACACGGCCCAGTTGTGAAAAGGGCAGATAACACTACCCAACAGAAAAATTGCCCTCCAGCAGATAAGAGAAAGCAAAATGTACAGCATTATCCAGTGGATGGAAATTTATCCAGTGAATAGCATTACCTAACCTTCCAACAACCAGAGCCAAATGTACAGCAACATGGATGGGGCCAGAAAGGAGTGCTCTTTGATTCAGTAATTTGATTTAAAAACAAAAAAACTGCAAAAGATAATCCGATAAAGGCAAATATAATAAAAATGGACCTAGAATTCAACGCCACTCAAAAACCTTGGCAACAGGATTAATTAAGCCTTGATTGGTTTTACATATACAGTCATGTTACATCTGGCTGGTAGGAAAAGAATTTTGTACACCAAGTGAAAATTGCTCCAACACCCATCCAGAGAGAGAGAGAGAGGCATAAAATTACTGATACAAAAGGCAGATTTACCAGTACTACAAAATTGTATTTAAAGACAGTATGAGCTTGATTACATTTCACAATATTCATGACCAAAAATTTTTGCTAAGTATACTTCTTCTTCTTAAGATCTTCGAATCTCCTAGTAAGATCATCAAAGTCTACATCTTCACTGCCAGCACTGCTCCCTTCTGGAATACTGTCAGGCAAGTCTGTAGGTACTGCAGGAAGGTCTGGGAAACTGGGGCCCGATGAAGGGCGTGGCACACTGGGAGCAGGAGGCTGATGAGGAGCTGAAAAAGAGGCCATGTGTGAGTGCTGAATCAAACATTGAGGTCACAAGAGTAAAAGAAATGATCATTCACTAAAGGAACTCTTGACTGTTAAACAAATTCCTTTTGTCAGTACCATAGGAAATGTATAGAGAACAGTATGGAGAATATGAACACTGACATTGGATGTAAGAGGTTAAGAGAATTTGATATTAATTCAAACACCCTCTAGCAAATAATTTTGCCCTTTTGATATCATTTCCTTCCCACAAGGAATTGCTCCTGATTTTATTAAAAAAAAAAAAAAGCAGCATGCTGAACAATTGTAAGGCATGCAATGTACCCTTACAAAATCAGGGGCAAGTCAGAATAGTCCATTTAACAATTGTGTGCCTGGTTTCCAAGTCTTTGAACAGGAGCAAGGCAAAGGTGACCTCGTTATGTTACAAATGTTGCTCTTTTTTCAAATGTAAATTACTTTGGTATCATGGTAACTAGATACTGGTCTCTGTCACAAGACAGTCACCTTCAGCCTCACTCCAAATCAAAGGCTTGGCAACTAAGCACACAACTGCAATGTGATTTATACTTGCAAAACTGAAGAGAAATACCAAGTTTTAGAAGGTCATCTAGCTAAACATTACAAGAAACCAACATTGTTAATACATACCTGGTGGAGTGGGGGGAAGCATTGTGGTTGTTAAGAGGGCCCCCAGGGTAGGGGGTAGCTTTTTTTCTGAAGGATAACTCAGTAGTACATCTGGCCGTCCAGAGGGGTAGGGTGGGAGATTTCCTTGTTGAGTAAAAAAGATGCAGCCATGTTAATATTATCATTTTCAAATTTGACAAATTGTTACAAATTATTTTGTTAATGTTATGTGATATTTTGAGTGCCTCTCTTCATTTGCATGACTGAGTACTATGCCTTAAAATATTACCCCATCTTATGGTGAAAACCTCCAAAAGTGCTTACCATCAATATCAGTCATAACAACTATATTTAGACTGGAGGCTCCAACAATGTTTCTTCCTCTAAAAACAAGTGCTAGGGGCAATATTAACCCTTTCACTCATATGAATGATGAAGACAGAATTTCTCATTCCAATATCATGACAACATCAAGCAAACAAGTGATGAGATGAAATAACTTGATCCAATACCAAATTCTCTGAACTAACATCTTAAGAGTTGTATGACAGTAAGGAGAATTACTAAATGACATCCTGGGTGAAAGGGTTATAGTGCATCATGCAATATTGCACTAAGTGCCTTTTATGTGTTGCAGAATTGCATAGAACACAGAAACAAAAATGAAAAAGGCATTGCAGCCCTGAAGGGTTCTCTCATTTTCAACAACTTTTTATAACCCCACACCAAAATTAAGAGTGACTACTCTTCCTCAGTTAGTATTTTGAGTGACTTGTGTGAGGCAGCATGCATGTAAGTTAAATGTGCATCTATGCAGTTATGGTGGAACAATGACTTACATGTATTGGTGGAGGGTATGCTGCATATCCCATGTTACCTCCTGTCATGGGTCGAATACCTGGCCTGTTAGAGCCTGCTCCATAGCCCTCAAATCCAATGTGACCTCCTCCACTGCTAGAACCTTCTCCACTGCCAGAACCTCCTCCACTAGGTGGCCTTGGCTTGATGTCATCATCTGGAGGTATCTAAGCTTCCTATTGAAGATTTTACCAATTATTAAAGTGATGTTTCACTTGTGCCACAATCGTTCAATCATGATTCACTAGCCCAGGTATGGACTCCCATCCAGGGTGAGTGGTATGATGTCAGTAGCATGGATAGGGGCATAGCTAGTGGCATTGGCTAGTGGCATTCATTTGGCTAATTGCATGAGCTAATTGGTGGTGGCATATAAGCTGATTGCACCAGGCTAGTGGCATAAGCTAGTTGCTATCTTTTTTTCTGGATAACAATCTGTTATAGTTTAAACCCACACTCTTATTCAGTGAGCAATTTTTTATTTTATTTATATGGTCTAAAGACACAAGTTAAAATTCGGTGTTAATAAACCTACAATGTAAAAGCTATCAGGAATTGTCAAATTACAGTCAAGTTAACACTCACTCTTTGATTCACTGTGCTATTGGCATTGATTGCAGCTTCATATCCAAACTTTTAGCCATAATTCAGTCCTAGGTGGTCAGAGATCTGCATGAAATGACAAAAAACAAAGATATTAAATCAGTTGAATAATAATTTGCAAATTATTCAAAAAGAACTTTCAAGACCTAAATATAATGTTTGCATCATTCTGCCTTGTATAATTTATAATCAATTTTATTAATTAATAATTATCCAAGAATACAAAGTGTTGTCCTTGACTACCACTGTAACTCTTTATTCAATCATCATCATTATTGTTAGTAATAATTATTTATAATACTTAATGCTAATTTAACCTTTTTCCTTTTTTTAATGTTGTGCATCCATTTCAGTGATATATTGACATTATGTGGGTTGAAGAGAATTTGAGACAAAACTATCACTGCAATAAATTTGGGAACTGAGATATGTCTAGAAATGTACGCAGTAATAAAAATGGTGAAAACTTGCTAAAATTGTCAAATCCAGGAACATTCACTCAGTTTGACGAAAATGAATGAACATTCACTTTGTTTAACGAAATTTCATGAAATCTGCTATTTTTGTTACTGCATGCATTTCTGGGCAAAAGTGGGCAGTTGGGAGGTAAAAAAGGGGACATGTTATCCAAATTCAAACATCTTAAGATTTAGGATTTACAGAGGTTTGCATCTGTGCTAGATAATATACAAGAAAATAATTTGTGATCACCATAATGTTAGGTCATTCAATCTATCGAAATCTAGATTCTGCAAAACTGTTGAAGGGGCTAGTATTTAGCACTAAAAGGAAGGAAAACTCACACAGATGATCCTGAGGAGAATTTGAAGTCAATTGATCATCAAAAACAGTCCTCCGCGTTTAGATATTGGACACCATCAGTTTTCTACACATATTTCAATTCTCACAGCTTTCAATTTGAAACTTGATAACCTAATTCTTCTCTAATTTCTTTTAAAAATTGTGTAGCTCTGGAACTTTCATATTTGTGAAGAGGGCATTATTCGCTGCCATGTTTCCCCTCAGCCTCAACTTGATGTTAAATTTGGTTACCAGACTTTCTCGCACAAACAATTCGAAACTGCCCACATACATTGTTTCTACCTATTGTCAATACCGATGGAGTCGCTTTTGGTAAATCTCAAGAAACAAGTTACTTGTTCCATTTGCCTCGATACCTACACCGAGCCCAAAACTATATCATGTCTTCACACGTTTTGCTGTGAATGTCTAGAGAAACATGCAAAAGTGAGCCAGAAACAGGGAAAATTCCGATGCCCCGAGTGTCAGGCAGCGATCGGTTTACCAGAAGGAAATCGCTTCGACCGTTTGCCTAACAGCTTTTTCCATAAAAGTTTGTTGAGTCTTCTCGCTGTTCGATAAAGTGGCGAGGCAAGTAGCATTACTTGCTATCAATGCAGCGCAACCAACTCTCAGATGTACTACTGCTTCGATTGCGGACGATTCATGTGCCCTGATTGTTTCAACGCACATGAAGTGCTCAAGAAGTCTTTTCAAGGACATAAAGTCACGCCAGTTCAAGACTTCAAAGTAGAAGATTACGAAGCATTGTTGAGGCGGCAACCGTTTTGTTCTCAAGAGTTCCACGAGAGAGAAATTACACGGTTTTTTTGCTCGCAGTGTAAGGTTTGCATTTGTCCAATTTGCATAGTCACGGATCATCAAAACCACAAAGTTGTTCTTCTCGACAAAGCAGCCCACGAGGAAAAGGATAACATCATGTCGGGCGCAAAATTGATCAAGAATATGGAAAGCGAGCTCCAGGAAGTCATTAGGCAGTTTGAAGAAACCATTTCTAAGCTGGAAAGCAATATGGCAACGGCTAAGCGAAGCGTCAAGCAAGCAGCTGAACAAATGATCGCAAATATTCGAGAGCGCGAGCGAGAGGCGTTGGAATCCCTGGAGGCAACACGCGTGTCGAGACTCCATATAATTAACTCGGCTAAACGGGAAGTGCAATCCTTAGTAAAACAAATTAACCAAGCAGCTCAGTTTGCAGAAAATCTGGTGCAGAGAACCTCAAGCTCGGATATTATGCAGAACAAAGAAACTTTAAAGACCAAATTTGAAGAGCTTCTGCGAGTTGAAGTTCCAAAACATCAGCAGACGTCATTCGTCAAATTCACTGCGACATCTCAAAAGGACTTAAAACTGGGTTTTATTGAAGTCACTGAAGACACCGCAAAGGCTGCTAAATCAACAATAGAAGGATTAGATAAAACTTTGCAGGCTGGTGTGGAAGCAGAGTTTACGTTATGTCCAAAGACATCTGGAGGAGAGATGAGTAACGAGGCTAATCTTAAAGGTCGTGTCGAACTGTTAATTAAACCCGTCAAGGATGTTAGAGACGTGGTTGTCGAAGAGAAAGTAGACGGCAATCTTAGATTGAAGTTTACTCCCAAAGCACCTGGCACCTGTAGCATTGAGGTGAAGATTGATGGCGATAAACTGCCGCACTGTCCCACGACAGTGCATGTTAAAGAACGTGAACTTGTGGTCAGTCAGTTAAAGTTACAGCTCTTTAAAAGGGACGCGCTTGAACGGTTATATGGAATTGCTGTGAATACAGAAGGCCAGATAATTTTGACAGATAACATTGGCCATTGTGTTTATGTCTTTGACAAAAATGGCAACTGTTTAAGAAAAAGTAGAGGCGAGGGTAGCAATTCGGGACAATTTCAGTACCCGGATGGTATTTCGTTGTTAAATGACAACGAAGTCCTAATTGCAGACTTTGGGAATTCCACAATACAACGACTTAATATTCACACAGGAACTGTAGTAAAAAGTTTTGGGAAAATCGGTGAAGAAAAAGGAGAGCTAAGAAATCCAATAGACGTTACCGTCGACGATGAAGGGCGCGTTGTTGTAACCGAGTGGGGAAATAATAGGATACAGGTGATGTCAGACCAGGGACAGTCTATTTTCACATTTGGAGACAAAGGCCCAGAGAAACTTGATGGTCCAACCTGCTGCATTCGTTACAAAAACATATTTCTCGTATCTGATGGAGGCAATAACTGCATAAAAGCTTTTGATCAGTCAGGAACATTCTTATACAAGTTTGGCAAAGTAGGGTATCAAGATGGACAATTTACAACGCCGAATGGTTTGCTTGTAGACAGCTCCAATAATCTTCTAGTATGTGACTTTGGCAATAACCGAGTTCAACAGTTTTCTTTAGACGGTCGCTTCATAGGCAAAAGTATCACTCGTTTATCTAATCCTACGGCGATAACAAAAGCATCAGACGGGCGCATTCTTGTTGCTAGCAATGATGAGAAAAAAGTGTATATTTTGAAATAGACTTTTACAAAAGTGAACTTTGCTTCCTGAACCCCTCCTGACCTGTGTTCTGATTAATTATTTAATGCTGTTTTATCATTTGTCTGGAAGAACTCTTAGCAATAATATCAAAACTTGCTCTTAGAGACAAAAACCTTTTGACTTGAAGTAATTAGCCCAGGTCTTTCAAGTTCGTCAGTTTCAAGCCGTTTTAATCTTCTCCATCCCTCGTCACTTGGTCATCCATGTTTCTTCTTGGGTCATTAATATCCTCTTTAATTGTTTTTTTCTCCGATCTAAAGTTTTTTTTCTTTAAGGTTAAGGAATTTCTGCGAATTGTCGGTAGCGATTTGAATAATCTAGACCAAGATTTTTAACGGCGAGTCCTCATGAATGTCTGGTGTAGCAGATAAACTACATGTTGTACAGAAACATTAAACAAATTTGACTTTCTGTATATTTAAAATATATAGCTGGAAAACGTTAAGACCATGTGCAGCTTTTTGCAATCATTGATTTGTCGGGATAGATTAAGTCCGGGTTTTTCAATCTAAGAAAATATATCTTTAATTAAACTTTAATTCAAGGACAATTTATGATTGCATAATTTCATATGTATAAGTAATCAACAAGCACAAGAAGTAAGGTGACAACTGTTTTTAAAAATGGGCATCTACTGGGTAATTACGTCATAATTAGAGGTGGTTACTGATTTTCTAACTAAACTCAAGTGTTAGCCTTAAACTGTGAAAAATAGTCTTTTTTTTTGCATATTATAAAGCGAGACGAATAAGAAATGTATTAAATAAATGAGACTTAAAGTCATTTACAGTTTGTTGTTATGAATGATTAGAAAATAACTTTCAGTATTAAATAATATAGATTTAGCCAAGCTTAAAAGCGGAGCTCGCATTTTTTTTTCCCTCACGTCTCAAGGGCACAACGCCTTCCTTTAGCCCAGTGCACTGACCACTAGACTACTGGACAAAGCCGTGGCGTTGGCGTGCCCGCGGTACAGTTGACCACGCATGTTAAAAGTAGCACCTTGTACGGTCGTACGGTCGTACATCCAAATTTTTTCGGCTTCATGGGTTACTACTATTTTGTATAATTATGGGGCTACGCTCTGCGAGCTCCGCTATAAATGACATTTTGAAATAAAGTTATTTAAAAAATTCATTGGATACATTGTTTCAAAAATTGCAAAATTACTAGCAGCTTGGTTTCCCTGGAAAATAAAAAAAGTCATGGCGAGTTCATTTATAGTCTAACTATAATCGGCCATTAGGAACCGGAGCTGAGGCAACAAAACTCCATACCTCTTCAAGGGACAAAAACAGGGATAAGCAGTAGTGGTGAAGAGTCATTAGTGTTGTAAGATAAACCCTCACACTATTTTGAGAAATGCACTATTTAAAAATTTCTACATCCGTAATCGGCTAAACGGTAGCGATTTCATGTTCATATGAACTCGCTTACAGATTTCCCGGTACATGTCCCTGATTGCCTAGCGAACTTGACACTCATCCCGAGGAGGAAGCGAGTTCTCAGGGTTGGGTTTTAAACGTTGTGAATGACATGTGCCACAACAATCACAGCTCTTGCACGTACGTATTTCAGAACTTAATCCTGCAACAATGGTTTTATGGATCACTCTTTGCTGGAATCACATGACTAGAGAGGTTTGCATTTTTGTTCTTGCGAGCACTGCTTTCATTCTGCGACATAATTTTTGTAAAAAAGAAAAAATAAGAAAATTTTTTACAAGTAAATGTAGCGGTTTTTTCATCTCTTGGTAATATTACCCTTTCTAGTGAAAAAAAAATGATAACAATAAAGCAATAGAAAATAAACAAATAAATTCATGGATGAGTTAAAAAAAAAATTTCGAATAAACAAATGAATAAAACGTGAATGAAAATAACTGTCGACCCATTTCTTCCACTAAACCATCAGAAACGCCGGCGAATTGTTGAGTAATTGAATATTTTATACAAAACTAAATGGAACAAACTAAATTAAGTGCTTATTGAACGGGTTAACACGATGGTAAATCAGAAATCACCTCAAATATTTCAATTTTTGCCTGCTTCATTTGGATATTACATAATTTGTCAACGTTTAAATATACATGAATCACTATTGCGGACCTATTTCTGCTGCAAACCTTTGGGTCAGTTTAGACAAATGGGAAGTATCCATAGTTAAGACACGAGAGGATGATCCTCTTTTGATTAAGAGGAATATATCCAGGGCAATTTTTTGTTTCTTGAGATGAACGTCGAATGTATGAAACTGTAACGAGTTCGTTTTCATATAAATTCACCCCTTTGCCGCCTTTAACGGGAAGCGAAATAAACAAGCGGCATGTGGCTAATTTGCATAAATCAGCTTGCGTGCCTTCCTGTCTGACCTGAAGATTGAAGTACAAACTCTAATCCGCTCACAATTTCCGGTGTTATCATGGCCAATTTACATTATCAACTCAGTTGACAAGAACAAATTATTTTGACACTCTGTCCATTATTAAAATTATCAAGTAGGATTTTCATTTTTAACTGAAAAGAATAAATTGAAGTTTTTGTCTTGCTTTTTTCTTAAAGAACCTTAATGATTCGACAGTTCATAAAATTCGAGGATATTGAGAAGCATGTGTTAAAAAAAAAAGTTTGAAGCCGACGGATAAACAGTTGCATGTCACAAACGGAAGAGGTCATGGCAGATTTCCGTTTTGTTTTCTCGGACATCTAAATATAGCCTTTAAAAGCAGCTTTCTAGTTTTTCAAAAGAAAATAATCAATTTTCTGTTTACCTCGAACGATTTCCTCAAAAACATTAGCGTCTTGTCTGCGCTCTCAAAGTTCACTGAGAATAACCAATTAAAGATAGACTCCATATAAGGAAGACGTAAAGTATGGTCGAATGTCTCGCCACAAGAAGGCAAAAAAACCAATTTCGGTCTCAGTTAACGTTGATGAAGAAGTTGAGACAAATTCCCTTTCATGGACGAGAGAGGGGGTAAAGATGAAAGAAATGACCATATTTTGAAGAAATACGAAGGCCAACACATTTCTAAAGTGAGCCTTATATACACGTTTTGCGATTTTCAGATAATTGTCGTTCCTCATTTAAATATTTTCCTCCCAAAACGCCCGAAGCTTTCCCTCCAGTTAAAATCCATGAATTCTTTCATCCTCTATTAACGATAACACTCCAAGGACGGATTTGCAGTTTTTAAAAATAAAGCTATTAGACAACAATAATTCAACTCAATTAAATACAGCAGATAAAAAGTCTAACCTTACAACGAAGACAACTGAGCCAAGGAAAGTGACAGGCCAGAAATAGATCCAATGAAATGAAAATTGCCTTATTTTCTAGGAATCTGAAGCAGAGGCCAACTGTTTGAATTTTTGTAAGTATTATCCACCCTTATGTGGAGTTACATGCAAAAATTTCTTCCTCGAAGTGCGCATCGATAACAGTCAGAGAACTAAAAAAGAAAATCGCACCACAAGATTGTCCGTCAAAGTGACAGACGTTCCTTTATCCTGAGCAGAAGTTATCATTTGAGTAAACACACGAGTTGTTTGCTGGTCAATGTTGTTAGTCTCGTTTTGGGTTTCGTTCCATCAAACATTCGGCTAATTTAACCGGCGATCAGCGGGTTTTCGTTTTTTTTCGGAGAAGTGCAACATCAACGTTAAAAGCTGCGACCGAGTGGCGGAGAGTATAACAGGGAAAATTGAAAATACTTGATCGCAGGTTACTTTTCGAGGGACAAACAATTCTTCCACTGATCATCCTGATAATGACCTGTGCTCAGGTTACGAAACATCAATAACTACTATTGCTAACAGTTCCCCACGGATAAACTCACTTGACACGATCCTCTGTTACGCTCGAGTTCGAATGAGTAACAACAAGAAAAAAACAAAACAAAACAAACTGTTGTACATACTGGACTAGTGCCATTACTTTTTCCCTTCAATTCATGGTTGCTTTAATTCATTAGGCGAAGGTTGATTCGACAGTTCAAAAACAGCCTCTTGCTGCGTTTTTTCAAATCACACTTTGTAACATTTATGCCTTTAGTCGCTTTTATCGAGGCTTCATCGCAGATAACAACGTCTTTTTTATCATTACAAAAAGGTCACTTAAGTCCTGAAGTGCAATTGGCTAGAAGAAGTCAGTTGTCATAGACTTTGCACTGTTTTCTCGGAAACTGAAATAATATCTCTGATTTCGTATGAGTGTTTTGACTAAGCTCGTCGCTTTAATATTGGTAACACATCAGTTAACAACAGTTTAACACGACCGTCATGAATCCTCTCGTTAAGAACCTCACGAAACAACTTACTTGCTCGATTTGTCTCGATACCTATACCGAGCCCAAAACTATATCATGTCTTCACACATTTTGCTGTGAGTGTTTAGAGAGACATGCAAGAGTGAGCCAGAGACAAGGGAAATTCAGATGCCCCGAGTGTCAGGCCGAAATCGATTTACCGCAAGGAAATCGCTTGATAAAGATAAATGATAAAGAACGCATTGTTGTAACTGAGTGGGACAATCATAGGATACAGGTGATGTCAAAGGAGGGAGAGTCTATTTTCACATTCGGCGACGACGGCCCAGAGAAACTCCATTATCCAAGTTGCTGCCTTCCATACAAAAACGTGTTTCTCGTAACTGATGCAGGCAACCACTGCATAAAAGCTTTTGATCAGTCAGGAATTTTAATCTGCTCCATCCCTCGTCACTTGGCCATTCATGTTTCTTCTCGGTTTATTAATGTTCTCCTTAATGGTTTTTTCTTCAATCTAAGGTTGTGTTTTTTTTTTCTTTAAGTTCGAGGTATTTTCGCGCATCGTCGGTAGCGATTTAAATAATCTAGACCAAGAAATTTAACGGCGAGTCCTGAAAGAATTGCTAATATAGCAGAAAAACTACATATAGAAAAACTACATGCTGTATAGAAACATTTAACAAGTTTGACTTTTTTCACAGACTGAGAATATATAGCTGGAAAACGTTAAGACCGTGTGCTCTTTTTTGCAATCATTGATTGGTCGGGATAGATTAAGTTCGGGTTTTTCAATCTAAGAAAATATATTTTTAATTAAAATTTAATTCAAGAACAATTTATGATTGCATAATTTCACATGTATAAGTAATCAACAAGCACAAGAAGTAAGGTGACAACTGTTTTTAAAAATGGGCATCTATTGGGTAATTACGTCATAATTAGTGTGGGTTAGTGATTTTCTAACTAAGCTTAAGTGTTCTTAAGACTGTTTTGAAAAATAGTCTTAGATTTTGTTCCATATAACAAGGCGAGACGAATTAGGAATGCATTGAATAAATGTGACTCAAAAGTTCCAATTTTTTGTTATGAATGATTAGAAAATAACTTCCAGTTTTAAAAGGAAATAACATTTCAAAATAAAGTTATTTGAAAAATTAACGCGGAAATATCATTTCAAAACTCGCTAAATCATCAATACCTTGGTTTCCGTGGAAAATAAAAAAAGGCTATGTCGAGTTTCTAGTGTAACTATAATTGGCAATCAGGAAACCGGAGCCGAGGGAAAAAAATTCCAAACTGCTATATGGGACAAAAGCAGGGATTAGGTCTGGTAGTGAATAGTCACTAGCGTTGTAAGATTTACCGTCACAAATTTGAAAATATCGTCCAAATCGGAAGCGATTTTATGTCCATATAGACTCGCTTAGAGATTTCTCATTACATGTCCCTGCAGCTGATTGCCCAGCGAACTTGACATTCACCCCGTGGAAGAAGCGAGTTCACGGGGTTAGGTTTTAAACGTTGAGAATCGCATGCGCCACAACAATCACAGCTCTTGCACGTATTGCAAACCTAATAAGACGCTTTTCTTATAATCCTGCAACAATGCTTTGATGGATCACTCTTTAGTGCTGGAATCACGTGACCAGAAAGGTTTGCATTTTTGTTCTTTCGATCTCTACTTTCATCGTATGATATAGTTTTTGGAAGAAAGAAAAAAAAAGTTTTTACAGATAAATGTAGCGGTTTTTTTTTCATCTCTTGATAATATTTACCCTTCCTAGTAAGGAAAAATGCATAACAATAAAGCAATAGAAAATAAACAAATGAATTTATTAATTATTAGTTAAGACAAGAGAGGATGATCCTCTTTTGGTTGAGAGGAATATATCCCAGGTAAGTTTTTTGTGTCTTGAGATGAACGTCGAATGTACGAAACTGTGACGATTTAGTTTTCATATAAACTGACCCCTTTCCCGCCTCTAACGGGAAGTGAAAGGGCAAGTGGCTAATTTGCATAAATCAGCTTGCGTGCCTTTCTGTCTGACCTGAAGATTGAAGTACAAACTCTAATCCGCTCACGGTTTCCGGTGTTATCATGGCCAATTTACAATATCAACTCATTTAACAAGAACAAATTATTTTGACACTCTGTCCATTAAAATTAACAAGTAGGATTTCCATTTTTAACTGAAAAGACTAATTTGAAGTTTTTGTCTTGCTTTTTTCTTAAAGAACCTTAATGATTCGACAGTTGATCAAATTCTAGGATATTGAGAAGCATGCGTTAAAAAAAAAAGATAAACAGATAAACAGTTTCATATCACAAACGGAAGAGGTCACGGCAAATTTCCATTCTGTTTTCTCGGAAATCTAAATGTAGTCGTAAAAAGTAGCTTTCTAGTTTTTTCAAAAGAAAATAATTCATTTTCTGTTTACCGTATCTGAACGATTTCCTCAAAAACATTAGCGTCTTGTCTACAATTTCAAAGTTCTCTAGGAATGACTAGTCCATGCAGGATAGACTCCATATAAGATAGAAGGGAAATAGAGTCGAATGTCTTTCCAGGAAAAGCTAAAAAAGAAATTTGGTCTCAGTTGATGAAGACGTTGTGAGACAAATTCCCTTTCTTGCTTTCATGAGCGAGAGAGGGTTGCCACTGACGAAGGAAGGAGGGTAGGGTTGGGGAGAGAAGGAACACATTTCTAAAATGAGTCGTTTATACGCGTTTTGCGGTTTTCAGACCTTTCTCGTTCCTCATCTAAAAATTTTTCTCCCATAACGCTTCAAGGCTTTCCCTCCAGCTACAATTCATGAATTCTTTCATTACAACGAAGTCAACTGAGCCAAGGAATGTGACTGGCCAGAAATAGATCCAAATAAATGAAAAATTTCTTTTTTTCTAGGAATCTGAAGCAAAGGTGAAGTGTTTAAATTGTTTGTAAGGATTATCCATCCTTATGTGAAGTTACATGCAAAAATTTCTTACTCGAACTGCGCATCGATAACAGTCTAAGAACTAAGAAGGAAAATCTCACCACAAGATTGTCATTACAAAAAAGTCAAATTAGTCCTGAAGTGTAACCGGCCAGAGGAAGTCAGCTGTCATAGACTCACTTTGCGCTGTTTTCTCGGAAACTGAAATAATATCTCGGATTTCGCATGAGTGTTTTGACAGGGCTCTTCCCTTTAATATTAGTAACACATCAGTTAACTACAGTTTAAGGCGATCGCCATGAATCCTCTTTTGAAGAGTCTCAAGAAACAAGTTACTTGCTCGATTTGTCTCGATACCTACACCGAGCCCAAAACCATACCATGTCTTCACACATTTTGCTGTGAGTGTTTACAGAGACATGCAATAGAGAACCAGAGACAAGAGAAATTCCGATGCACCGAGTGTCAGGCAGAACGCATTTTACATTTCAATTGATGAAAAGAACGCATTTTTCATTTCAATTTCGAGGTTTTCTATACGTACCTAAGAAAAGTCCATGTACGTTGAAAACCTCGAAATTGACAACTCGCTAAAATGCGTTCTTTTCATCAAAGTGATACGCTGCGGAAGTAAGGTGAGATATTTTCATTAAGAATTTGACGTATTGTTTTGTTCCTTAGAGCGGTCGTAAATATTCCCATACAAACTCTTATAACTCTGCCGTGACTATTATTGCGCAAGATGATCATCTCACAGCTGAAGCTTGGGTCGCCTGTGTTCAGATAAACAATATAGCGTTACAGAGGGTCAATTGAGCTTGGGAATGTGATTGGCTACAGGTAACCCGCTAAAACGGACTTTGTTCTGTTTTCTAGGAATCTGAAATAAACCCTTCATTAAATTTCGAACGTTGCTTACATATATCGTTTGAACTTATTGTCAATACTGATGGAGTCGCTTTTGGTAAATCTCAAGAAACAACTTACTTGTTCGATTTGCCTCGATACCTACACCGAGCCCAAAACTTTATCATGTCTTCACACGTTTTGCTGTGAATGTTTGGAGAAACATGCAAGAGTGAGCCAGAAACAGGGAAAATTCAGATGCCCGGAGTGTCAAGCAGTGATCGATTTACCAGAAGGAAATCGCTTCGACCGTTTGCCTAACAGCTTCTTCCATAAAAGTTTGTTGAGTCTTCTCGCTGTTCGACAGAGTGGCAAGGCAAGTAGTATTACTTGTTATCATTGTAGCGCAACTAACCCTCAGATGTACTACTGCTTCGATTGCGGACGATTCATGTGCCCTGATTGTTTCAACGCACATGAAGTGCTCAAGAAGTCTTTTCAAGGACACAAAGTCACGCCACTTCAAGACTTCAAAGTAGAAGATTACGAAGCATTGTTAAAGCGACAACCGTTTTGTTCTCAAGAGTTCCACGAGAGAGAAATTACACGGTTTTTTTGCTCGCAGTGTCAGGTTTGCATCTGTCCAATTTGCATAGTCACGGATCATCAAAACCACAAAGTTGTTCTTCTCGACAAAGCAGCCCACGAGGAAAAGGATAACATAATTTCGGGCGCTAAATTGATCAAGAAAATGGAAAGCGAGCTTCAGGAAGTCATTAGGCAGTTTGAAGAAACCATTTCTAAGCTGGAAAGCAATATGGCAACGGCTAAGCGAGGCGTCAAGCAAACAGCTGAACAAATGATCGCAAATATTCGAGAGCGCGAGCGAGAGGCGTTAGAATCCCTCGAGGCAACACGCGTGTCGAGACTCCATAAAATTAACTTGGCCAAACAGGAAGTGGAATCCTTAGTAAAACAAATGAACCAAGCAGCTCAGTTTGCGGAAAACCTGGTGCAGAGAACCTCAAGCTCGGATATTATGCAGAATAAAGAAACTTTAAAGACCAAATTTGAAGAGCTTCTGCGAGTTGAAGTTCCAAAACATCAGCAGACGACATTCATTAAATTCACTGCGGCATCTCAAAAAGACTTGAGACTAGGTTTTATTGAAGGCACTGAAAAAATCGCAAAGGCAGCTAAATCAACTTTAGAAGGACTGGATCAAACTTTCCAGGCTGGTGTAGACGCACAGTTTACGTTATGTCCAAAGACACATGGAGAAGAGATAAGTAACCAGGCTGATCTTAAGGGTCGAGTTGAATTGCTGATTAAACCCGTCGAAGATGTTACAGACGTGATTGTTGAAGAGAAAGAAGACGGCAATCTTAGACTGAAGTTTACTCCCAAAGTATCTGGCGCCTATAGTATTGAGGTGAAGATTAATGGCGATAAACTACCGACCTGTCCCATGACTATGCAAGTAAAAGAACGTGAACTTGTTGTGGTCAGGGAGTTGAAGTTAAAGCTCTTTTCAGGCGACACGCTTAAAGGGTTGTATGGAATTGCTGTGAATACAGAAGGCCAGATAGTTGTGACAGATAACAATGGCCACTGTGTTTATGTGTTTGATAAAGATGGTAACTGTTTGAGAAAAATTGGAGGCCGAGGTAGCAGTACAGGACAATTTCAGTTCCCTGCTGGCATTTTGTTTTTAAATGACAACGAAGTCCTAATTGCAGATAATATCAATGATAGAATACAGCGACTTAATATTAACACAGGAACTGTTGTTAAAAGTTTTGGGAAAAAAGGCAGAAAAAAAAAAGGAGAGTTTGGCTGGCCAATAGACGTTACTGTGGATGATGAAGAACGCATTGTTGTAACTGAGCATCGAAATGGTAGGATACAGGTGATGTCAGAGGAAGGAGAGTCTATTTTCACATTTGGAGACAAAGGCTCAGAGAAACTACTTGGTCCAACCTGCTGCACTCTTTACAAAAACGTGTTTCTCGTATCTGATACAAGCAACCACTGCATAAAAGCTTTTGATCAGTTAGGAACATTCTTATACAAGTTCGGCAAACAAGGGAATCAAGATGGACAATTTAACCGGCCGCGTGGTTTGCTTGTAGACAGCTCCGATAATCTTTTAGTATGTGACTTTGGCAATAACCGAGTTCAGCAGTTTTCTTCAGACGGTCGCTTCACCGGCAAAAGTATCACCCGTTTATCTCAGCCTATGGCGATAACAAAAGCACCAGACGGGCGTATTCTTGTTACTAGCTATGATGAGAAAAAATTGTACACTTTGAAATAGACTTTTTCAAAAGTGAATTTTGCTTCTTGAGCCGCTCCTTACCTGTGTCTTTTTTTATTTTTAGTGCTGTTTTATCACTTGTCTGGAAGAACTCTCAGCAATGATATCAAGACTTACAATTACGCTTGGAGACAAAAACCTTTTGACTTGAAGTAATTAGCCCAGGTCTTTCAAGTTCGTCAGTTTCAAGCCGTTTTAATCTTCTCCACCCTCATCACTTGGCCATCCATGTTTCTTCTCGGTTTATTAATATCCTCTTTAATTGTTTTTTCTCCGATCTGAAGGCTTTGTTTTTGTTTTTTCTTTAAGTTCGAGGTATTTTTGCGCATCGTCGGTTGTGATTTGAATAATAATCTAGACCAAGAAATTTAACGGCGAGTCCTTAAAAAAATTGCTAATATAGCAGAAAAACTACGTGCTGTATAGAAACATTTAACAAGTTTGACTTTTTTCATAGACTGAGAATATATAGCTGGAAAACGTTAAGACCATGTGCTGCTTTTTGCAATCATTTATTGGACAGGATAGATAAAGTCCGGGTTTTTCAATCTAAGAAAATATATTTTTGATTAAAATTTAATTTAAGAACAATTTATGATTGCATAATTTCACATGTATAAGTAATCAACAAGCACAAGAAGGAAGGTGACAACTGTTTTTAAAAATGGGCATCGACTGGGTAATTACGTCATAATTAGAGGTGGTTAGTGATTTTCTAACTAAGCTTAAGTGTTCTTAAGACTGTTTTGAAAAATAGTCTTAGATTTTGTTCCATATAACAAGGCGAGACAAATTAGGAATGCATTGAATAAATGAGACTCAAAAGTTCCAATTTTTTGTTATGAATGATTAGAAAATAACTTCCAGTTTTAAAAGGAAATGACATTTCAAAATAAAGTTATTTGAAAAATTAACGCGGAAATATCATTTCAAAACTCGCTAAATCATCAATACCTTGGTTTCCGTGGAAAATAAAAAAAGACTATGTCGAGTTTCTAGTGTAACTATAATTGGCAGTCAGGAAACCGGAGCCGAGGGAAAAAAATTCCAAACCGCTATATGGGACAAAAGCAGGGATTAGGTCTGGTGGTGAATAGTCACTAGCGTTGTAAGATTTACCGTCACAAATTTGAAAATATCGTCCAAATCGGAAGCTATTTTATGTCCATTTAGACTCGCTTAGAGATTTCTCATTACATGTCCCTGCAGCTGATTGCCCAGCGAACTTGACATTCACCCCGTGGAAGGAGCGAGTTCACGGGGTTAGGTTTTAAACGTTGAGAATCGCATGCGCCACAACAATCACAGCTCTTGCACGTATTGCAAACCTAATAGGACGCTTTTCTTATAATCCTGCAACAATGCTTTGATGGATCACTCTTTATTGCTGGAATCACGTGACCAGAAAGGTTTACATTTTTGTTTTTTCGAGCACTACTTTCATCGTACGACATAATTTTTGGAAGAGAGAGAAAAAAAAAGTTTTTACAGATAAATGTAGCGGTTTTTTTTTCATCTCTTGATAATATTTACCCTTCCTAGTAAGGAAAAATGCATAACAATAAAGCAATAGAAAATAAACAAATGCATTTATCATTTAAGGAAATAAATAAAACGTGAATGAAGATAACTGTCGTCCCTTTCCTTCCACTAAACCATCAGAAACGCAGGTGCATTGTTCAGTTATTGAATCTTTTGTACAAAACTAAATGGAACAAACAAAATAAAGTGCTTATGGAACGGTTAACACGATGGTAAGTCAGAACTAACCTCAAATATATCACTTTTTGCCTGCGTCATTTGGTTGTTACATAATTTGTCTACGTTTACAAATATGTATGAATCTCTATTGCAGACCTATTTCTGCTGCAAACCTTTGGGTTCGTTTAGACAAATGGGAAGTATCCATAGTTAAGACAAGAGAGGATGATCCTCTTTTGGTTGAGAGGAATATATCCCAGGTAATTTTTTTGTTTCTTGAGATGAACGTCGAATGTATGAAACTGTGACGATTTAGTTTTCATATAAACTGACCCCTTTCCCGCCTCTAACGGGAAGTGAAAGGGCAAGTGGCTAATTTGCATAAATCAGCTTGCGTGCCTTCCTGTCTGACCTGAAGATTGAAGTACAAACTCTAATCCGCTCACGATTTCCGGTGTTATCATGGCCAATTTACAATATCAACTCATTTAACAAGAACAAATTATTTTGACACTCTGTCCATTAAAATTAACAAGTAGGATTTCCATTTTTAACTGAAAAGACTAATTTGAAGTTTTTGTCTTGCTTTTTTCTTAAAGAACCTTAATGATTCGACAGTTGATCAAATTCTAGGATATTGAGAAGCATGCGTTAAAAAAAAAAGATAAACAGATAAACAGTTTCATATCGCAAACGGAAGAGGTCGTTGCAGATTTCCGTTTTCGACATCATTTCGGGCGCTAAATTGATCAAGAAAATGGAAAGCGAGCTCCAGGAAGTCATTAAGCAGTTCGAAGAAACCATTTCTAAGCTGGAAAGCAATATAGCGACGGTCAAGAGAAGCGTCAAGCAAGCTTCTGAACAAATGATCGCAAATATTCGAGAGCACGAGCGAGAGGCGTTAGAATCCCTCGAGGCAACACGCGTGTCGAGACTCCATAAAATTAACTCGGCTAAACAGAAAGTGGAATCCTTAGTAAAACAAATGAACCAAGCAGCTCAGTTTGCGGAAAATCTGGTGCAGAGAACCTCAAGCTCGGACAATATGCAGAACAAAGGAACTTTAAGGACCAAATTTGAAGAGCTTCTGCGAGTTGCAGTTCAAAAACATCAGGAGACAACATTCGTCAAATTCACTGCGGCATCTCAAAAAGACTTGAGACTAGGTTTTATTGAAGGCACTGAAAAAATCGCAAAGCTAAATCAACTTTGGAAGGACTGGATAAAACTTTCCGGGCTGGTGTAGAAGCTGAGATTACGTTATGTCCAAAGACATCAGGAGGAGAAATGAGTGATCAAGCTGATCTTAAAAGCCGGGTTGAATTGCTCATTAAACCCTTCAAGGATTTTGAAGACGTGATTGTTGAAGAGAAAGAAGACGGCAATCTTAGATTGAAGTTTACTCCCAAAGTACCTGGCGCCTGTAGCATTGAAGTGAAGATTAATGGTGATAAACTACCGACCTGTCCAATGACTGTGCAGGTTAAAGAACGTGAACTTGTTGTGGTCGGTGAGTTGAAGTTAAAGTTCTCTCCTGAAGAAAAGCCTGTAAAGTTTTATGGAATTGCTGTTAATACGACTGGCATGATGGTTTTGACCGATAACTTAGGCCACTGTGTTTATATTTTTGACAAAAATGGCAACTGTTTGAGAAAAATTAAAAGCGAGGGTAGCAATACGGGACAATTTAAGTACCCTGATCGCATTTCGTTTTTAAATGACAACGAAGTCTTAATTGCAGACTTTGGGAATTGTAGAATACAATGACTTAATATTCAGACAGGAACTGTTGTGAAAAGTTTTGGAAAATTCGCTAAAGGAAAAGGAGAGCTAAGTAGGCCAATAGACGTTACTGTAAATGATGAAGAGCGCATTGTTGTAACCGAGCGGGACAATAATAGGATACAGGTGATGTCAAAGGAAGGAGAGTCTATTTTCACATTTGGAGACAAAGGCCCAGAGAAACTCTGTAAACCAGCCTGCTGCATTCCTTACAAAAACATGTTTCTCGTATCTGATAGAGAGAACCACTGTATTAAAGCTTTTGATCAGTCAAGAACATTCTTATACAAGTTTGGCATAGAAGGGAATCAAGATGGACAATTTAAATGTCCCAGTGGTTTGCTTGTAGACAGCTCCAATAATCTTCTAGTATGTGACTTTGGCAATAGCCGAGTTCAGCAGTTTTCTTTAGACGGTCGCTTCACCGGCAAAAGTATCACTCGTTTATCTAAGCCTATGGTGATAACAACAGCACCAGACGGGCGTATTCTTGTTACTAGCTATGATGAGAAAAAAGTGTACATTTTGAAATAGACTCTTTCAAAAGTGAACTTTGCTTCTTGAGCCGCTCCTTACCTGTGTTTTGGTTAATTTTTTAATGCTGTTTTATCACTTGTCTAGAAGAAGTCTTAGCAATAATATTAAGACTTACAATTACTCTTGGAGACAAAACCCTTTAACTTGAAGTAATCAGCCCAGATCTTTCAAGTTCGTCAGTTTCAAGCCGTTTTAATCATTTCCATCCCTCGTCACCTGGCCATCCATGTTTCTTCTCGGTTTATTAATATTCTCTTTAATTGTTTTTTCTTTGATCTAAAGGCTTTGTTTTTGTTTTTCTTTAAGTTCGAGGTATTTTTGCGCATCGTCGGTGGTGATTTGAATAATAATCTAGACCAAGAAATGTAACGGCGAGTCCTGAAAGAATTGCTAATATAGCAGAAAAACTAAATGCTGTATAGAAACATTTAACAAGTTTGACTTTTTTCACAGACTGAGAATATATAGCTGGAAAACGTTAAGACCATGTGCTGCTTTTTGCAATCATTGATTGGTCAGGATAGATTAAGTACGGGTTTTTCAATCTAAGAAAATATATTTTTTATTAAAATTTAACTTAAGAACAATTTATGATTGCATAATTTCACATGTATAAGTAATCAACAAGCACAAGAAGGAAGGAACAGGCATCTACTGGGTAATTTCGTCATAATTAGAGGTGGTTACTGATTTTCTAACTAAGCTGAAGTGTAAGCTCTAAACTGTTTTGAAAAATAGTCTTAGGTTTAGTTCCATATAATAAGGCGAGACAAATTAGGAATGCATTGAATAAATGAGACCTAAAAGTTATTTCCAGTTTGTTGTTATGAATGATTAGAAAATAACTTCCGGTTTTAAATTGAATACTAATTTGAAACAATTATTTCAATTGGAAATTTATCTCGAAACATCATTTCAAAAATTGCAAAATCATCAGACCGTGGTTTCCCTGGAAATAAAAGAAAGGTTGTATCAAATTCATTTGTAGTCTAACTACAATTAGCCATCACGAAACCGGAGCTGAGGTAACAAAACTCCATTCCTCTTCATGCGACAAAAACAGAGATATGCTGTGGTAGTGATGCGTCGATAGCGTTGTAAGACTAACCCTCACAGATTTGAACATGTAGTTTTCAGTGCACTTTTTAAAAGTTTTCATATCTGTAATCGGTTTTACTGCAGCTATTTCATGCTCATATAAACTCAGTGCACTATTTAAGAGTTTCATACCCGTAATCAGCTGAACTGCAGCGATTTCATGCTCATATAAACTCCCTGAAAGATTTCTCAGTACATGTCCCTTAATACCCAGCGAACTTGACACTCATCCCGTGGAAGAAGCGAGTTCACGGGGTTGGGTTTTAAACATTGTGAATCGCAAGTGCCACAACAATCACAGCTCTTGCACGTATTGCAGACCTACGAAGCTTTTCTTAATCCTGCAATAACGGTTTGATGGATCACTCTTTGCCGGAATTAAACCGGAAATTTTTCCATTTTCGTTCTTTCGAGCACTACTTCTATTTTAAGATATAATTTTTTGGGAAAAAAAAGAAAAGTTTTAAGGAGGAAATATAGGGCTTTTACCATCTCTTCCATATTTGCCTTTACTACAGAGAAAATGACTCGAAGATAGGGCAATAAATATATGAGTTGATATATGAATCAAAAATGATAAAAAAATATATCTTATTTATCTCTTGCCTCCCTCCTTCCCCCCCCCCTCCCCCCTCCCCCCTCTCTCTCCTGAATTTCTCGCGAACGAAGTGTGAGCGAAACGGAAAGCGAAATGAACAAGCGAGATGAGGTAATTTGCATAAATTAGCTTGCGTGCCTTGCTGCATGACCTGAAGAAGCAAAATTTGAATTCTCTTTTGCTTACGATTACCGATGTTGTTGAACAACAGACTCTATTCAATAACAATAGCTACAGTACTTACAACAAATAAAAAATCAAATCAAACTGCCGTACATGTTTGATAATCTCACCTCGATTAACTATTGTCGATTTTCGTAAAGTGACGGGGTTTCGTTTCGATAATAATTCTGTCGATTAAAACTATCAAGTATGATTTCCATCGTCAACTGAAGCGAGTAAATTGAAGTATCGTATTGGTTTTTTTTTTTTTATTATTAATATTTTTTGTAACCTCAAATTCACTTATCGCTTCCCAGTTTTACAAATTGTATCTGGCTTTAAGAGCCTTAATGATTCGACAGTTAATAAAATTCCAGGCTATTGAGAGGAATATGTTTGAAAAATAAAATACAAGGCGACAGATAAACAGTTGTAAGTCACAAACTGAAGAGGTCAACTAATCTATTGAATTTGATCAGTCAAGTCATTACAGATTTCCGTTCTGTTTTCTCGGAAATCTAAATATAGTCGTAAAAAGTAGCTTTATGGTTTTTCGAAAGAAAACTATTTATTTTCTGTTTTCAGTCAATGATGTCCTCAGAACCAAAGTGTTTTGATATCTGTGCTTTCAGAGATCTCTGGGAATGACAAAACCGAGGATAGACCTCAAATAAGACAGATGAGAAATATAGTTGAATGTCTCGCCAAAGGGATGCAAATCATGAATTATCATCTCGGTCTCAGCTGATGACGTTGTTTTCAGCCAAATTTCCTTGCATGCGAGAAGGAGTTGCCTCTGGCAACGGAATATCTGCAAAAACACGAAGAAGGGGAAGAGAGGGGGAGGGGAGGGATGGAAAGACACATCTCGTACCCAGATCGTACCCTAATCTCGTACCCATATAATCCTACCGCTTGTAACTGCAACTGAAACAGCTTGGCAGCAACGAAGGTTAGAAGATTTGAAAAATTAATCTTTTACGCGCTTTTTTAGAATCTTTACGTTTCTCATCTAAATCTTTCCCTCTCGTGAGGCCCCAAAGTTTTCCCATTTGTTAAATCCATTAACTCTTTCATGCTTTATCCAACGGCAGATTTTCAAACATTTTAAATCTCATTGCAAGACAACTGTAAATTCACTTCAATCATATCGCAATAGATAAACAGTCTAACTTTACAATAGAGGTCAACTGAACCATGAAGTGACAGCCTTAATTATAAATAAGTTGACGGCTGACTTAGTTCTGTTTTCTAGGAATCTGAAACAAAGCCGGTTTGTTTGAATCTTTTTATGCGCTGTCCATCCTTTTGTAAAGCTACAAGCAATTAATCATTTCTTCCTCGGACTCCTCGAAATGCACATCGATGACAGTCTAAGAACTAAGAAGAACAATTTCACAAAAAATTTGCGGTCCTATTGTGAAACGACTGAGTTCTAAAAACGTTCGGGTAGAAGAGGTCCTTAACCCTTTAATCCCTGAGAGTGATCAGCATCTGATTTCTCCTTTCAATATTACCCATGAATCAAACATTAAGGTCTTAAGAATAAAGGAAATGATAATGAACTGAAGAACCTATTGATTGCTAAACAAATTCTCCTTGCCAACACATCAGAGACCAGTATGAAGAATGTGCATACTGATGCTAGGGTGTAAATTTCCTTTTATGATAAATTACACGAAGATTAATTCGACCATTCACTTTAAATATGCGAAAAAAAAGTATTGTTTGCTGCGTTTTTCCAAATCACTTTTATTCCAAATCTTGTCTCTAATTCCTTTTATTTGAAACAACTTTAGTCACCCAAAGTTTAGTTGTCTAAAATAGAGGTTTCATCTCAAACAACAAGGTCTTTTTATCCTCACAAAAAGGTCAGCTAAGTCCTGGAATGCAATTGGCCAAAGGAAGTCAGCTGTCATGGACTTTGTGCTGTTTTCTCGGAAACTGAAATAATATCTCTGATTTCGTATAACTGTGTTAACAGGGCTTGTCGCTTGAATTACGCATCAGTTAACAACAGTTTAAAGCGATCGTCATGAATCCTCTCGTGAAGAACCTCAAGAAACAACTTACTTGCTCGATTTGTCTCGATACCTACACCGAACCTAAAACTATATTATGTCTTCATACATTTTGCTGTCAGTGTTTAGAGAGACATGCAAGAGTAGTGAGCCAGAGACAAGGGAAATTCCGATGCCCCGAGTGTCAGGCAGAAATCGATTTACCAGAGGGAAATCGCTTCGACCTTTTGCCCAACAGCGTTTTTCACAAAAGTCTGTTAGGTGTCCTTGAAGCGGAAGATTGCCAGGCCATTTCGAGGCAACAACAGGAGACTTGCTTGCAACATACGGAAGAAAGACTGCGATATTACTGCTCTACGTGTGAGGCGAGTGTTTGTCCAGTTTGCGTCACCGAAGACCACCGAGGCCATGCGTTTGACTTGCTTGAAAAAGCAGTGCAAGAGGAGAAGAAAAACATCATGTCGACCGTCGAGACCATCAAGGAAAAGGCAGACTTGTTTCGAGCAGAGTTAAGAAAATTAGAGAAAACATCAGAGGATGTGGAAATGATTATTGCAATCGTTAAACAAGAAGTGTCGGAGGCAACGGAACGTGTAATCACAAAGACGCGACAACAAGAAAAACAGCTCTTAGAGTCTTTAGAAATGACGCGTAGGAGGAGAATAAAGCGAATCAACTCGACTAAACAAGAACTGGAATCTCTAGTAAAACAAATGAATGAAGCAGCCGACTTTGCGGAAAACCTGGTGCAGAGAAGATCAGCTGCAGACATCCTACAGAACAAAAACAAATTGAGGGAGAAACTTGAAGAGTTTCATGGAGTTGAAGTTCCAAAACATCGCCAGGCTACATTTGTCAAATTTACCGCCGCATCGCAACACAACTTTAAACTGGGTTCTATTCAAGTCTCCGAGAAGCCGCCAATCGCAGCTAAATCAACTTTAGAAGGACTATATCAAGCTTTTCAGGCTGGTGTAGAAGCAAAGTTTACGTTGTGCCCACGGACATCTGGAGGGGAGATGAGTGACCACGCTGATCTCAAAGATCAAGTCGAATTGCTACTAAAACCCGCCGAAGATGTGACAAACGTGACTGTTGATGAGGAGTACGACGGAAATGTTAGCCTAAAGTTTACTCCCAAAGTACCTGGAGCCTACAGTATTGAAGTGAAGATTAATGGCGATAAACTACCGACCTGTCCAATGATTGTGCAGGTGAAAGAACGTAAACTTGTTGTGGTCGGTGAGTTGAAGCTAAAGCTCTTTCCAAGGGACACGCTTAGATGGTTATGTGGAATTACTGTGAATACAGAAGGCCAGATAGTTGTGACAGATGACTTTGGCGACTGTTTATATGTCTTTGATAAAGATGGCAACCATTTGAGAACAATTGGAAGCGAGGGTAGCAATACAGGACAATTTCTTTCTCCTGATAGCATTTCGTTTTTAAATGACAAGGAAGTCCTAATTGCAGACTCAGGCAATTGTAGAATACAACAACTTAATATTCAGACAGGAACTGTTGTGAAAAGTTTTGGAAAAGAAGGCAGAGAAAAAGGAGAGTTTGATAGGCCAATAGACGTTACTGTGGATGATGACGAACGCATTGTTGTAACCGAGTGGGGCAATCATAGGATACAGGTGATGTCAAAGGAGGGGGAATCTATTTTCACATTTGGAGACAAAGGCCCAGAGAAACTTTTATGGCCAAGCTGCTGCATTCTTTACAAAAACATGTTTCTCGTATCTGATTTGGGCAACCACTGCATAAAAGCTTTTGATCAGTCAGGAACATTCTTATACAAGTTCGGCAAAGAAGGGAGTCAAGATGGACAATTTAACCCGCCGCGTGGTTTACTTGTAGGTAGCTCCGATAATCTTTTAGTATGTGACTCTGGCAATAACCGAGTTCAGCAGTTTTCTTTAGACGGTCGCTTCACCGGCAAAAGTATCACTCGTTTATCTAAGCCTGTGGCGATAACAAAAGCACCAGACGGGCGTATTCTTGTTGTTAGCCATGATGAGAGAGAGGTGTACATTTTGAAATAGACTTGTTTTATTTTTAATAGTTTTATCACTTGTATAGAAGAACTCTCAGCGATACTATCAAGACTTACAATTCCACTTGGAGATAAAAACCTTTTGATTTGAAGTAATTAGCCCAGATCTTTCAAGTTCGTCAGTTTCAAGCCGTTTTAATCTTCTCGATCCCTCGCTACTTGGTCATCCACGTTTCTTCTTGGTTTATTAATATCCTCTTTAATTGTTTCTTCTCCGATCTAAAGCTTTGTTTATTTTCATGTAAGGTCAAGGTATTGCTGCGCATTGTCGGTAGCGATTTGTTTAATCTAGAGCAAGAAATTTAACGGCGAGTCCTGAAAAATGTGTAAAGGTAGCAGAAAAACTACATGCTGTATAGAAACATGTAAAAAATTTGACTCTTTTCATAGCCTGAGAATATATGGCTGGAAAACGTTAAGACCATGTGCTTCTTTTTGCAATCATTGATTGGTCGGGATAGATTAAGTCCGGGTATTTCAATCAAACAAAATATATCTTTAATGAAGCTTTAAATGTATTATTCATAAACATTCAGTTAGAGGGGCTACATATTTAAGTACCTCAATTACTTTGTGTCACTAGCTTATAATTTCTCCTTACAGTATTACCCTTACATCAAAAGTTAAGGTCATGAGAATAAAGGAAATGATTACCAGCTAAAGAAACTCTTGATTGTTAAACAATTTCTCCTTGTCAGTACGTTAGGAAATGTTTAGAGAACAGTATGGAGATTATGCATACTGATGTTAGGGTGTAATGGGTTAATAAGCTAGGCACTGTGCACTGAGTAATAACCTTTTTCAATTAGCTTCAAATTAACTGTTAGTCTTGTGAAGATGGCTGGATAAAAGACAGACTATAGTTTGTAAATTTTTTAAGCTACCTGGCTGTTTAATTAGTATCTTCTGTCAACAGCAATTTTTGTTAGCACTTAATTAGTAGAAAGGCAGATCAAATCAAAAATAAGAGTATTTTCAAAAATTAACTATCACAATATATGTTCCTATGTTTGATGAATGTGGTAGTCAAAACTTATCTGTGAATATAAGCCATATCAAAAGACTTAAAACTTTAAAACAGTAGATGCTAGTAATCTGCTCTTTTACATCAACATTTAACACGATAATGATGACAATTATGAATAACCAATAAGTGCAATTAAAAAAAAAACAAAACAAAACAAAACAAAAAAACTATACTGAGTTTTCTCCTCATGCCAAAACAACAGATAATGATATTGATAATAATAATAATAATAATAATAACAACAATACTAATAACAGAAAATTGATAAAAAAAGACAAAACAAAACAAAGAAAAACACTAACAAACATTGAAAAATATAAAAAAAAACATTTTCTTAATCACTTCTGGTAATCTGTGAAATTCAATGTGACATCCCTCCTTCAAAACATACATACACTGTGCATTACTTGAAATTATATAATAAGGTGAATTATGCTGTATTTTGATTGGCTCTTGCTCATGGTTTATGATTTACTGGAGAACAGACGCATAGATGACCTAACCATTAAAAAACTTTTGCTTTGTTTTAATATAAAACCAATAGATTTTATGTTACTGTGAATCTGCACAGTAATAGATCACAGATGACATCAGAAGGTGGTGGGAACATAAGTGACACACTACCCTGCACCTCATATGCCACTTTTCTGTCTTCACCAGATTTTGACATCATCTGTGATATATTTCTGAATAGATGTACATCTTCACAGATGGAGGCCAAAAAAGAATGCTCTTTAATTCATTAATGTAGTGTAAAAACAAACATAATAACAACTGGTAATCAGAGAATGGCAAATACAATAACAAAGGACCCAGAATTCAACATAAGTAAACAACCTAAACTACAGGATTAACTAAGCCCTGATTGGTTTTACATATACAGTCATGTTACATCTGATTGGTTGAGTGAGTGTTACATCTGATTGGTTGAGTGAATGACACAAGTTTTGTAGACCACTCAAATGGATTCCTTTGTGCACCAAGTGAAAATTGCTCCAAAACCCATCCAGAGAGAGAGGCACAAAATTACTGATGCAAAGGGCAGATTTACCAGTGACTACAAAATTGTATTTAAAGATAGCATGAGCTTGATTACATTTCACAATATTCATGAACAAAAATTTTTGCAAAGTCTACTTCTTCTTAAGATTTTCAAATCTCCCAGTAAGATCATCAAAGTCTACATCTTCACTGCCAGCACTGTTTCCCCCTCGAATACTGTCAGGCAAGTTTGGTAAATTTGTAGGTACTGCAAGAAGGTCTGGGAAACTGGAGCCTGATGAAGGGTGTGGTGCACTGGTGAGAGCAGGAGGCTGATGAGGAGCTAAAATGAAAGAAGCCATGTCATCATTTTCTCAATATATCCTATAGAAAACAATAATGACGTTGTACCAATTTAACTTCCAAAATCTAATAACGAATTTTCCCTTCTACAATCACATAACTACAGTTGAAGCTGTATTAAGCAGCACTGTATAATGTGCCCATCCTGTATTAGCTGGTCAGCTTTTAAAGTCCGAGCCCCCCTCCTGAACCCCCCCCTCCTCATCCCTTTGATTGTTGGAATTTTAACCTCTATTAGACAGTCATGGTCACCCTTAACTGAGTCTTAATGGCCTGTTTGTATTGTCTTCCACTTGCATTAAACAATCCCTTAAAGTGCAAACGCTGAAGTAAAACTAAGAGTAATCTCTCAAGTAAAATCTAATCCATGTTTATCCCCCAAATCAATGTTTAAAGCGTTCTATGCAAGTTTTTGTGCACAAAGTGGTCAGTTATAATATAAAATGCGGTTTATTATTATCATTATTATTATTATTATTATTATTATTTTAATTTATTTTTTATTTTTTTAATACATCTATTCTGTGAAACCTGTATTGAGCAGTCAAACTGTATTATGTGGTCACCTCACCATTCCCTGTGGGTGACTGCATAATAAGGGTTCTACTGCACTCAATATTTTCTTGTAACTTTAATGAGAAATTAGAAGTCAGTCATCATTAGAGGTTTAAGGGTTAACTCCTTAGCTAAACAGTACAAGAAACCAACACTGTCAACACGTACCTGGTGGGGAGGGGGCAGTATTCTGGTTGTTAAGAGGGCCCCCAGAGTAGGGCAGGAGGGTGGGACATTTCCCTTTTGTGTGAAAAAATGGCCATGTGAATATTACAATTTTCATATTTGACAAATTATAACAAATCATCTTGTAAATGTTGTGTGGTATTTTGAGTGCCTCTATTTCCCCAGTTGCATGACTGGGTACTATGCCTATGCTATGTTACCCCATCTTATGGTGAAAACCTCCAAAAGCGCTTACCATCAATATCAATCATAACAACCATATTTTGACTGGAGGCTCTAACAATGTTTCTTCCTCTAAACACAAGCACTACAGTCAATATCAACCCTTTCACTCCCATGAATGACCGAGGCAGAATTTCTCCTTGCAATATCAACACAACATCAACCAGACAAGTGATGAGATGAAAGGAAAATATGAGTTGGTCCAATACTAAATTCTCTTAACTAACAATAAGAGTTGTACCCTTGCAAACTGAATTCCCAGTTTTCTGGGAATTCCTAGGAATTCCTAGGAATTCCTAGGAATTCTCAAAAATTCCCAATTATGCAAATGACCCTTGCAAACCGATTTCCCAGTTTTCTGGGAATTTCTGGGAATTCCTAGGAATTCCTAAAAATTCCTAGGAATTCCTAGGAATTCCTAGGAATTCTCAAAAATACCCAACTATGCAAATTAACTCTGGTTTAAAAAGCTTGGAATTACTGGGAATTTCTGGGAAAGGAAGACTCCAGTTTGTGAGGACTTGGAATCCCTAGGAATTCCTAGGAATTCTCAGCTTTACAAACTACCTATAATTTAAGAAGTGTGGAACTCTTGGGAATTTCTGGGAATTGAATTTGAGACAATTTTAATACCCTGAGGTCCACATAAATTCTAAGAAATTCTCAATACCTTGAATGTGAAGGTTTTAAGAAAAAGAGTAATTTCAGAGGCTTAAAACTTTGGCTCAATAAAAGGTATGCTATACAAAACTTACCAAGAGATATACATACATGTACATGTTTATAACTTAAAGATCATGAAATTTATTACTCAAACTAAGTTTTAGTAAATCTTTACATTAATATGGATTTTCTCATGAACCAGCTGTCAGTTATGTTAAATGGAAATTGCCAACTTCCACAATAATTAACAATAATTACATTGTTATCTTACTTCCCTAACCTACATTACTGGTTGCCTTTGTTAGAAAACCTTGGAACAGTCAAGCTCAGTTGCCTCAAATGCTGTCTGAGACTTTTTGTTGACAATACTTTTAGTAGAAATTTCATGCCTTAGACAAACAAATTCAACACCTAATTAATCTTTCTTTTTTCATGATTGTTGTTGCTGCTTTTTTTTTCAGTTTTTTGCTCTATTTTCATGACCAATTGCTGTAATTTGTTTTGCTGTTTTTATTCTTACAAAACATTTTTGTAAGAAAAGGGGAACATTGACTACCTCTGTCTTGTCTGCATGCCAAATGTTTGCAAAGTGTGGATGATCACGAGTATTGGAGGGTACTATGCCTATGCTATGTTACCCCATCTTATGGTGAAAACCTCCAAAAGCGCTTACCATCAATATCAATCATAACAACCATATTTTGACTGGAGGCTCTAACAATGTTTCTTCCTCTAAACACAAGCACTACAGTCAATATCAACCCTTTCACTCCCATGAATGACCGAGGCAGAATTTCTCCTTGCAATATCAACACAACATCAACCATACAAGTGATGAGATGAAAGGAAAATATGAGTTGGTCCAATACCAAATTCTCTTAACTAACAATAAGAGTTGTATGACAGTAAGGAGAATTACTAAATGAGATCCTGGGGGTAAGAGGGTTAAAGTACATCATGTTATATTGCACTAGGTGCCTTTTTTGTGTTCCAGAATTGCATGGCACAGAAACAAAGTGAAAAAGGCTGCATTTGCAGCCCTGAGGAATTCTCTCATTTTCAACAAATTTTTTCCTAATGCAATTGCACAATGCTGCATTAAGAGCAAAAGCTCCTGATCAATGAGCCACTTGGCTCCAATACATACTTAACCTTTTCCTCATTCAACGGGAATTCATCACATTTGAGTTATGGCAAGTATCTTCTTACCCCTATCACTGATGGGTACACCATGACTGCGAGCAATCTCGATCAAAACATTTTCCACTCACATCTTTGGTGGTGGTCTAGGATCAAGTTTCAGGATGAGCTACAAATAAAAGAAATTTCACAGAAAAATGTTTCAGATTTGAAACCTTTCATGGTGGCAAAACTATATACATGGAACACCTGCGACCAGTAAAACTTATTGTTTATTTGCAGATTTTAGATGGCTGCAGACTTCATTTATCTTAGACTAGAGCAGGAACAGGATTCCAAAAACTTCATTACTGATATTATCAATTGAAGTGTTACTTCATGATGAACCAATTATATTAAATGCCATAAAACCCTTTACATTATCACTCTGTGCCCATGTTATGTATCATTTGAATGACATAGTCAAAAGATTGATACCAAAAAAAATAAGGTTACTGATAATGTACTCTGATTCCAGAACTGATAGTATGTTGGACTTTATATAATTCCAAAAAGAGCAATGTGTGCACAACCATATATATAATGACATTTCCCACTGGACACCCATCCATTCTCCACACTTTTTCTTGAATCAAGAGATATCTGTAGTTTTCAGCTAGAGTACTCTGTCTGGTAAATATCTCATTTTTTGTTCTGGATAACAATCTTTCATAGTTTAAAGCCAGTCACTCTTCTTCAGTGAGGAATTTTTTCCTTTTTTAAATTTTCTGGTTTAAAGAAACGAGATAAAATTCAGTATAAAGAAACCTACAGTTAAAAGCTATCAGTAATTTTCAATTACAGTCAAGTTAACACTCACTCTTTGATTCACTGTGCTATTGGCATTGATTGCAGCTTCATGTACAAAATGTTTGCCATATTCAGTCTTAGCTAGTCAGAGATCTGCATGAAATGACAAATTAAAACCAATAATAAAATTAAATTAATTGAATAATAATTGGCAAATTATTCAAAAATAACTTTCAAGACCTAAACACATTTGAACAATGTTTGGATCATTCTGCTTTGATTAATTTATAAATCAATATTTTCACTTTTATTCATGAATACAAAATATTGTCCTAATGACTACCATTGTAACTCTTTATTCAATAATCATGATCATTTTTGTAATAATTATAATACAGTAATTTGATTTTTCCTTTTTAAACGCTGTGCACCCATCTTAATTAGTGATATTGACTTTATGTGAGTCTTAGAGGATTGAGGCAAAACAGTCACTACAATAAATTTGGGAATTGAGATATGTCCAGTAATACATGCAGTAATAAAAATTACCATGGTAAAAATTTGCAAAAATCATTAAATCCATGAACATTCACTCAGCTTGAAAAAATCTATGGACATTCACTTGGTTCTACAAAATTTCGTGAAATCTGCTATTTTCGTGACTGCATGCATGTTCTTTCTTCCTTTCAGCCTGGACTGGGGGTTTTCCCATAAACTGCAAAGCTACATATGAAGGGGCAGCTTCCAATTAAGTGTTATAAAAGTTCTCTTGGAATCAAATAATTGGGTGAGATTATCAAAGCACAAAGGGTTAAAGTTGTGTGGTTTTGGACAATCAACTATTTTTCAAAAATCTGATTTTTAAAATTGAAAATCTTCCATTGGAAAAGTATTTTCTGTAAATCTTTTTCTGTTTCACCCTGAGGCAAATAACTGAGATGCAAGTCTCCAGCTCATTTCTTCCAATTTAAGTTGCTTCCAAATCGAACAGAGCAGCGGCTGTATGTCCACATGCCCCATAAGCGTTATAAAAAGAAATAAAATGACAGGTCACTAATCTCCTATACCTTAAAGAGTCAGTTTATTCGTACAGAAACGCAAAATATCAAACAAAATTGGAAAACCATTAGCTCGTTCGCTTGTACAGAAAATTGAAAAAATACAGCACACACATGTGACTTTGACCCGCCTTTACAAGCACAGTAAGCGTAGGAAATGCTTCCAATATTTCTAAGCACGACAAAGCCCCAGTAGAATTCTTTCCATCCTCGGTTTTAGATCTTTCATTTAATTTCACTTTGAACTGGAAATAGCAGTATCCAGTCTGTTTACCGGTCCCCATCGTGACCATCATCAATTATATCATAGTACTTCAGATCCTTCACATGCCCGTCAACAAACAAGCGAAAACCCTCAGGACTTTTATACGACCGTAAACAATCTTCATCGTAACCATCTTTTCCAACCAGATAATGGTAAATATCGGAAAATCTGAAGTCTGGAATACCAGTGAACTCATGAATCCAAAACTTATGAGAAAGTGGATGGGGAAGTAATTTTCCTCTTAGCAATGTTGTTATCGAATTAATCAACTCGTCGCGCTCCAGCGTTTCCTTCTCAAGTTCTTTCAAAGCTCTAGTAGTTCGGCCCTTTTTCTACTCTTACCGATTAACCCTACTTCTGCTGGTTAAAAAACGCACAAATTTTTCCACATTCAGTTTTTAATTCATATCTCAACAAATATTTACAGGAATAACACCTACAATATGTCATTTTAAAGTGTATAGAATGGGCTTCTCAGGGAAAAAAAAATTCATCATTGAAACTCAGGACTTTCCTAAAAAGTAAAATTTAAAACACAAAATAAGTAAGACATAGTGTAAAACTTGAGGTAAAAGTCACTTTTCCTCATAGGTATAGGTTACTTAAGATTAATTGATAGCAGAAGTTAATTATTAACATGTCAGCAACATTTCCTGAAAATCTGAAAGAAAAAGAATAAATAATGAATTTTTTATGAATTTTTATGTGCACCCATGTCATTCCAAAAAAATTAGCAAAAATTTGTCCACATTCAGTTTTCAATTCATATCTCAACAAATATTTACAGGAATAACACCTACAATATGTCATTTTAAAGTGTATAAAATGGGCTTCTCAGGAAAAAAAAATTCATCATTGAAACCCAGGACTTTCCTAAAAAGTAAAATTTAAAACATAAAATAAGTAAGACATAGCGTAAAACTTGAGGTCAAAGTCACTTTTCCTCACAGGTATAGGTTACTTAAGATTAATTGATAGCAGAAGTTAATTAAAGAAATCTGAAAAACCCTTTCTTTTAAAAACTTGTGTAGTTCTGGAACTTTCATATTTGTGAAGAGGGCACATTTCCTGCCATGTTCCCCCCAGCCTCGACTTGATGTTAAAATTAGTTACCAGACCTTCTCGCGCAAACAATTCGAGACTAGCCCACATACATCACAATTTACGGTCAACACTGATGGAGTCGCTTTTGAAAAATCTCAAGAAACAAGTTACTTGTTCGATTTGCCTCGATACCTACACCGAGCCCAAAACTATATCATGTCTTCATACGTTTTGCTGTGAATGTTTGGAGAAACATGCAAGAGTGAGCCAGAAAAAGGGAACATTCAGATGCCCCGAGTGTCAGGCAGCGATCGATTTACCAGAAGGAAATCGCTTCGACCGTTTGCCTAACAGCTTTTTCCATAAAAGTCTGTTGAGTCTTCTCGCTGTTCGGCAGAGTGGCGAGACAGGTAGTATTACTTGTTATCAATGCAGCGCAACCAACCCTCAGATGTACTACTGCTTCGAATGCGGACGATTCATGTGCCCTGACTGTTTCAACGCACATGAGCTGCTCAAGAAGTCTTTTCAAGGACACAAAGTCACGCCACTTCAAGACTTCAAAACAGAAGATTACGAAGCATTATTAAGGCGACAACCATTTTGTTCTCAAGAGTTCCACGAGAGAGAAATTACACGGTTTTTTTGTTCGCAGTGTCAAGTTTGCATTTGTCAGATTTGCATAGTCACGGATCATCAAAACCATAAAGTTGATCTTCTCGACAAAGCAGCACACAAGGAGAAGCATAACATCATGTCGGGTGCTAAATTGATCAAGAAAATGGAAAGCGAGCTCCGGAATGTCATTAAGCAGTTTGAAGAAACCATTTCTGAGCTGGAAAGCAATATGGCAACGGCTAAGCGAAGCGTCAGGCAAGCAGCTGAATACGTGATCGCAGATATTCGAGAGCGCGAGCGAGAGGCGTTAGAATCCCTCGAGGCAACACGCGTTTCGAGACTCCATAAAATTAACTCGGCTAAACAGGAAGTGGAATCCTTAGCAAAACAAATGAGCCAAGCAGCTCAGTTTGCGGAAAATATGGTGCAGAGAACCTCAAGCTCGGATATTATGCAGAACAAAGAAACTTTAAGGACCAAATTTGAAGAGCTTCTGCGAGTTGAAGTTCCAAAACATCAGCAAACGACATTTATTAAATTCACCGCGGCATCTCAAAAGAAATTGAAATTGGGTTTTATCGAAGGCACTGAAGACACCACAATGGCAGCTAAATCAACTTTAGAAGGACTGGATCAAACTTTCCAGGCTGGTGTAGAAGCAGAGTTTAAGTTATGTCCAAAGAAATCTGGAGGAGAGATAAGTAACCAAGCTGATGTTAAAGGTCGAGTTGAATTGCTGATTAAACCCGTCAAGGATATTACAGACGTGATTGTTGAAGAGAAAGAAAATGGCAATCTTAGGTTGAAGTTTACTCCCAAAGTACCAGGGGCCTACAACATTGAAGTGAAGATTAATGGCGATAAACTACCGACCTGTCCCATGACTGTGCAGGTAAAAGAACGTGAACTTTTTGTGATCAGTGAGTTGAAGTTAAAGCTCTTTCCAGGGGACAAGTTTGAACGGTTATATGGCATTGCTGTGAATACAGAAGGCCAGATAGTTGTGACAGATACCTTTGGCCACTGTGTTTATGTTTTTGATAAAGATGGCAACTGTTTGAGAAAAACTGGAAGCGAGGGTAGCAATACAGGACAATTTCAGTACCCTCATGGCATTTCGTTTTTTAATGACAACGAAGTCCTAATTGCAGACCTAGGGAATTTCAGAATACAACGACTTAATATTCAGACAGGAACTGTAGTGAAAAGTTTTGGAAAATTCGGTAAAGAGAAAGGAGAGTTAGGTAATCCAGTAGACGTTACTGTGGATGATATAGAGCGTATTATTGTAACCGAGAGAGAAAATAATAGGATACAGGTAATGTCAAAGGAAGGAGAGTCTATTTTCACATTTGGAGACAAAGGTCCAGAGAAACTTCATGGTCCAATCTGCTGCGTTCTTCACAAAAACATGTTTCTCGTATCTGATAAAGGAAAGCACTGCATAAAAGCTTTTGATCAGTCAGGAACATTCTTATACAAGTTTGGCAAAAAAGGGAATCAAGATGGACAATTTAACTTGCCGCGTGGTTTACTTGTAGACAGCTCCAATAATCTTCTAGTATGTGACACTGACAATTACCGAGTTCAACAGTTTTCTTTAGACGGTCGCTTCACCGGCAAAAGTATCACTCGATTATCTAAGCCTATGGCAATAACAAAAGCACCAGACGGGCGTATTCTTGTTACTAACCATGATCAGAAAAAAGTGTACATTTTGAAATAGACTCTTTCAAAAGTGAACTTTGCTTCTTGAGCCGCTCCTTACCTGTGTTTTGTTTTACTTTTAATGCTGTTTTATCACTTGTTTGGAGGAACTCTTAGATAATATCAAGACTTACAATTACACTTGGAGTCAAAAACCTTTTGACTTGAAGTAGTTCAAGCCGCTTTAATCTTCTCCATCCGTCGTCACTTGGCCATCTATGTTTCTTCTCGGTTTATTAATACCCTCTTTAATTGCTATTTCTCTGATCTGAAGTTTTATTTGGTTTTTTTTAAGGTCAAGGTATTTCTGTGCATCGTCGACAGCGATTTGAATAATCTAAACTAAGAAATTTGAGAGAGAGTCCTCAAAAATATCTAGGGTAACAGAAAAACCACAAGCTGTGTATAAACATTAAACAACTTCGACTATTTTATAGGCTGAGAATATTTGAGTAGAACACGTTAAGACCATGTGCTGCTTTTGGCAATCATTGATTGGTCAGGACAGATTAAGTGCAGGTTTTTCAATCTAAGAAAATATATCTTTAAGTAAGCTTTAATTCAAGAACAATTTACGATTGCATAATTTCACATGTATGAGTAATAAACAAGCACAAGAAGTAAAGTGACAACTGTTTCTAATAGGTCTACTGGGTAATTACGCTATAATTAGAGGTGGTTATTGATTTTCTAACTAAGGTGAAGTGTTAGCTTTAGACTGTTTTGAAAAATAGTCCCAGGTTTTGTTGCAGATAATAAAACGAGAAAAATTAGAAATGCATTGAATAAATAAGATTTGAAAGTTTTATCCAGTTTTTTGTTATGAATGATTAGAAAATAACTTTCAGTATTAAATATAAGTAACATTTTGAAATAAAGTTATTTAAAAAATTCATTGGATACATCTTCTCAAAAATTGCAAAATCATCACCACTTGGTTTCCCTGGAAAATAAAATAATAATTTGTCTATTCATGAATAACTATTGCGGACCTATTTCTGCTGCGAACCTTTGGGTCCGTTTGGAGAAATGGGAAGTATCCATAGTTAAGACAACTGAGGATGATCCTCTTTTGATTGAGATGTACGTCGAATGTGTGAAACTGTAACGAGTTCGTTTTAATATAAACTCACCCACTTCCCGCCTTTAACGGGAAGCGAAATAGACTTGCGGCATGTGGCTAATTTACGTGCCTTCCTGTCTGACCTGAAGATTTTAGTACAAACTCTAATCCGCTCCCGATTTCCGGTGTTATCATGGCCATTTTACATTATCAACGCAGTTGACAAGAACTAATCATTTTGATACTCTGTCCATTAAAATTATCAAGTAGGATTTTCTTTTTCAACTGAAAAGAAAAATTGAAGCTTTGGTCGTGCTTTTTTTCGTTAAGGACCTAAATGATTCGACAGTTAATCAAATTCCAGGAATTGCCGCCTTTAACGGGAAGCGAAATAAACAAGCGGCATGTGGCTAATTTGTATAAATCAGCTTGCGTGCCTTCCTGTCTGACCTGAAGATTGAAATACAAACTCTAATCCGCTCACGATTTCCGGTGTTATCATGGCCAATTTACATTATCAACTCAGTTGACAAGAACAAATCATTTTGATACTCTGTCAATTAAAATTATCAAGTAGGATTTCCATTTTGAACAGGAAATAATAAATTGAAGTTTTTGTCTCGCTTTTTTTTTCTTTAAGAACCTTAACGATTCGACAGTTGATCAAATTCTAGAATATTTAGAAGCATGCGTTAAAAAAAAAGGATAAACAGATAAACAGTTGCATGTCACAAACGGAAGAGGTCATGGCCGATTTCCGTTCTGTTTTCTCGGAAATCTAAATATAGTCTTAAAAGGCAGCTTTCTAGTTTTTCAAAAGAAAATAATTCATTTTCTGTTTACCGTATCTGAACGATTTCCTCGAAAACATTAGCGTCTTGCCTACACTTTTAAAGTTCTCTGGGAATTACTAGTTCATGCATGATAGACTCCATATAGGATAGAAGGGAAATAGAGTCGAATGTCTCGCCAGGTAAAGCAAAAAACGAATTTTGGTCAAAGTTGATGAAGACGTTGTGAGACAAATTCCCTTTCATGCTTTCATGAGCGATAGATGGTTGCCACAGACGAAGGAAGGAGGGGGAGAGGGTGGGGAGAGAAGGACTGACCACATTTTAAAGAAATACAAAGGCCAACACATTTCTAAAATGAGCCGTTTATACGCGTTTTGCGATTTTCAGACCCTTGACGTTCCTCATCTAAATATTTTCCTCCCATAACGCCCCCAAGGCTTTCCCTCCAGCTACAATCCATCCAACGAAGTCAACTGAGCCAAGGAACGTGACTGGCCAGAAATAGATCCAATTAAATGAATAATGTCTTCTTTTCTAGGAATCTGAAGCAAAGGCGAAGTGTTTAAATTGTTTGTAAGGATTATCCATCTTTATGTGGAGTTACGTGCAAAATTTTTTTTCCTCAAAATGCGCATCGATAACAGTTTAAGAACTTCTGGTGCGACTAGAATCAATTTCGTTCTATAATAAATTGAGTGCACGAAGCTTCGTTTGCTGCGTTTTTCCAAACGATATTTAGTCAAATTTTTGTCTTTAATTGCTTATATTTCAAGCAACTTTAATTACCCTGGGTTCAGTTGTCTAAAATCGAGGCTTCATCTCAGGCAACAACGTCTTTTTATCATTACAAAAAAGTCACCTTAGTCCTGAAGTGCGATCGGCCAGAGGAAGTCAGCTGTCATAGACTTTGCGCTGTTTTCTCGGAAACTGAAACAATATCTCGGATTTCGTATGAATGTTTTGATAGGGCTCGTCCCTTTAATATAAGTAACACATCAGTTAACTACAGTTTAAGGCGATCATCATGAATCCTCTCTTGAAGAGTCTCAAGAAACAAGTTACTTGCTCGATTTGTCTCGATACCTACACCGAGCCCAAAACCATATCATGTCTTCACACATTTTGCTGTGAGTGTTTACAGAGACATGCAATAGAGAACCAGAGACAAGAGAAATTCCGATGCCCCGAGTGTCAGGCAGAAATCGATTTACCACAAGGAAATTGCTTCGACCGCTTGCCTAGCAGCTTTTTCCACAAAAGTCTGTTAGGTGTCCTTCTTCAAGCGGAAGATTGCGAAGCCATTGCGAGGCAACAACTGGACACTTGCTCGCAACATACGGAAGAAAGAGTGCGATATTACTGTTCCTCGTGTGAAGCGTGTATTTGTCCGATTTGCGTCACCGAAGACCACCAAGGCCATGCGTTTGAAATGCTTGAAAAAGCAGTGCAAGAGGATAAGAAAAACATTATGTCGACTGTCGAGACCATCAAGGAAAAGGTAAACTTGTTTCGAGCACAGTTAGAAAAAACATCAGAGGATGTGGAAATGATTATCGCAATCGCTAAACAGGAAGTGTCGGAGGCAACTGAAGACGTGATCACAGAGACGAGACAGCAAGAAAAACAGCTCTTAGAGTCCTTAGAAATAACACGTAACAAAAGAATAGAACGAATCAACTCGGCTAAGCAAGAACTGGAATCTCTAATAAAAAAAATTAACCAAGCAGCTGAATTTGCGGAGAGTCTGGTGCAACGAAGATCAGCTGTGGATATCATACAGAACAAAAACAAATTGAGGCAGAAACTTGAAGAGCTTCGTAGAGTTGAAGTTCCAAAACATCGCCAGGCTACATTTGTCAAATTTACTGCCGCATCGCAACACAACTTTAAACTGGGCTCTATTCAGGTCTCCGAGAAGCCGGCAATCGCAGCTAAATCAACTCTAGAAGGACTGGATCAAACTTTTCAAGTTGGTGTAGAAGCAAAGTTTACGTTGTGCCCACGGACATCTGGCGGAGAGATGAGTGACCACGCTGATCTCAAAGATCAACTCGAATTGCTAATAACACCTGCCAAAGATGTGACGAATGTGACTCTTGATGAGAAATATGACGGTAACGTTAGGCTGAAGTTTATTCCCAAAGTACCTGGGGCCTACAGCACTGAGGTGAAGATTAATGGCGATAAACTACCGACCTGTCCTATCACTGTGCAGGTTAAAGAACGTGAACTTGTCGTGGTCGGTGAGTTGAAGTTAAAGTTCTTTCCAGGGCACACGCTTGAACGGTTATATGGAGTTGTTGTGAATACCGAAGGCCAGATAGTTGTGACAGATAACCTTGGCAACTGTGTATATGTTTTTGATAAAGATGGCAACTGTATGAGAAAAATCGGAAGCAAGCGTAGCCATACAGGACAATTTCAGTTTCCTAAAGGCATTTCGTTTTTAAATGACAACGAAGTCCTAATTGTAGACTTAGGCAATTGCAGAATACAACGAGTTAATATTCAGACAGGAACTGTAGTGAAAAGTTTTGGAAAAGAAGGCAGACAAAAAGGAGAGTTTAGCGGGTGCTCTTTTTAATCCTGCTGAAATGGTTTTATGGATCACTCTTTGCCGAAATCACATGACTGGAGAGGCTCACATTTTTGTTCTTTCGAGCACTACTTTCGTGGTAGGATATAATTTTTGGAAAAAAGAAAAAAAAGAAAAGTTTGACGAGCAAATGTGGCGGTTTTTTTTCTTCTCTTGGTTACCCTTCCTAATGAGGAAAAAGGCATAAAAATAAAGTAATAGAAAATAAACAAATAATTTTATCAACAAATTTAAAAAAATTGTTGCATAAACAAATTAATAAAACGTGATTGGAATTAATTGTCGTCCCGTTTCTGCCACTAAACCATCAAAAACGTAGTCGCTTTGTTAAGTAATTGAATCTTTTGTACAAAACTAAATGGAACAAACTAAATTAAGTGCTTATTGAACGGTTAACATGATGGTAAATCAGAACTAACCTCAGATATTTCACTTACTGCCTGCTTCATTTGGTGATCACATAATTTGTCTCCGTTTACAAGTATACATGATGAGTTACTATTGCGGACCTATTTCTGCTGGAAACCTTTGGGTCAATTTAGACAAATGGGAAGTAGCCGTAGTTAAAACAAGAGAGTATGATACTCTTTTGGGTAAGAGGAATATGTCCCCGACAATTTTTTTTTTTTGTAGAGATCAACGTCCAATGCATAAAACTGTAATGACTTCGTTATATAACCCACCCACCTCGCTCCCCCTTCCCCCCCCTCCTCCTTACCCACGCTTCCCGCCTTTATTTCACAGTTAGAACAGGAGCGAAATAAACAAGCGGCATGTGGCTAACTTGCATAAATCAGCTTCGTTTTTCAATCGGGACATTTTCTCACTTTGACACTCAACGTTGTAACAAACTTCCTCCACAGAAAAAGAGAGGTCCCAGTTCTGTTGCTGGCAACGCAGCTGACCACAATGATTGACGTCCTTGACTCGACCCAGTTTCCAAAACACTCCCGAGGCGCTACTAGCGCGTAATGTTGCATTCAACTTTGGGGGTTCGGCTGGTAGGTGTTCACTTGCGTTGCAGGAAAGGCTCTTCCTGTAAAGCAAAATGTAAAAATCAGTGAACGCCTGCGTTGTTTTAATTCACTGAGTGATTCACACGCGCGAGTGACATATCTTTCTTGATAAGCACTTCTCTGGAGTGTCGGTTATCTCGCTCGCGGAAAGTAGAGCATGTAGCAGATAATTTCGGGAGACAGCTAATATTTCAACAAATTTAGCAACGAGTCGGCTGCCTTAACTTCAACACATGAATGAATCATGACTTTATCTGATGTCCACGGAGCGCTCAGACATGCGTGGAATCTCACAGACTAACGTGGATTTGTTTACACGAAGGTGGATTTGTGCAAACTCATATCTAGTAAGAACTTTCCGGCAGGTCAGCCGCACCGCGTACAATGACAACTAATGGTTTGTTTGTTTTTAATTTGCAGCTTTTCTTAAGCAACCTGTGGGATTAAACAAGAAAATAGCGACACACGAATGTCCAAATCCATATCTCCCAATTGTTTTATATAAAGAAACGCTGTTTGTTTTCACTATAGTCGTCATGTCGTTGTGGTATTTTTGTACAATTTGTAAAAACAGTAAAAATATTGGATTGTTTTTTTTCTTCAAAGTACTTTTACAATGAACAAAGGACTTCTTTTAGCCTCTGTTTGTTACCTCAAAAATCTGTCGCGAATAGTGCAAGGCACTGCAAGGCACAAGCTACAGGTTCTTAAGACTGTGCTAGGTGATCCATTAAGAAAACTGCCAAATTTGACAATTACGTCAGAGTAGATTTACAAACACACAAGGTCATATTCAGTCTGCCATGAAGAAGTTAAACGTCCTTTGAGAGAGTTTCGCGCAAAAAGTATGTAATCAAAGATCGAAATTTTTATCAAGGTTTTTGTTCGAGTTTATTTTCAAGTTACGATGTGCATACACCTTTTTGAAACAGGGAAACTTGCAGTAGATATGATACGAAAAGTTTAATGTAGGGGCAATTCTTACGAGATTGAAGATAGATACGCTATTTTGCCATGAAGAAAATGTTTCGTCTTGAATAATTTTAATTTACAACCATATAGTAAGCTTTGAAGCCCTTTTTTCACGTGCGTTGCGTTCCCAAGTTAACTTTAGTTTTAACATCATTGTTTACTTTTCAAGAGTCGCTGAAAGCTTTTATTCACACAGGGTCTTAATTCATGAAATCTACAAAGGGTCATGGTGTCGAAGCCCCTGTCTAATTTACACCACAAATTCGTATTCAACGGTTTTATGTGTTAATGCTTCAGTTATACTTCCCTGGTACCAGTTCTAAGATGTCAGAAAACACAGAAACGCCACTTCAAAGTCTAGTCGTATATGAGCTGAATCAAAAGGTTATAGGTCATATCGGAGTTAAGCAACTCAAGCAAACTTTCTTCTCGGTAAAAGCAAAGGAAAGAATTTTCTTTTTTTTGAACCGTAACCCAGTCACCGTGTGTATCTCAGCGTGACGTTCCTCTTAAAAGACATTGCAGTTGCTTACCCAGGCTCACTCGTGTCTATTGATTCGAGATGCTACCGAAATAGATCTGGGCAAGGCATATGCCACAAACCTCCTTAAAGAAAATCATCTTCTAATGATACTTTTAAGACCAAAACAGTCGAGTGGTCTTATTCTCAGAGAAAGAGAGGTATCCTGTGTAGGCGCACACCAAATGAAATGTACCCTATTTACCCCGCGTGAATTATTTGCTATTCAAAACGGCGGTGCGCGTGAGGAATTTTGCGGTATAAGTTTTCATAGGGATCGAAGCAATTTTGGAAGCTGAAGAAATAGGTTTAGACCTTGACTTGATGTAAACTCTCTGCTGCTGTTTACAAAAGTATACGATTTTTCGAGTTATCTTGTCCTTTAAACAATTAGAACTAAATCAACAGAATGTAGTGACATTTTATCGACACCATGAACTGCCGCTAAGCAGAAGGAACCTCGAAATGAGAGCGTTCCTTTGAAGGTTAACACCAAAAAGGTAAGAGCAAGGAGAGGAAAAAGGATCCTCTTTTAGTAAGAACACAGAGAACACAGATAATTAAGAACTGTTAAGGATGGAGAATTTAAATAAGAGCAATTGTTAGAGTAAGGTTAAAAAAGGTCGACAAAATGTTTGAATTCTAGTTATGTCTGATCGTATGGTGTTCGTTATCACCAGAAAAAAAAATTATGATCAAAAATCCACGTTGCAAATTATAGATCTATTGTGCTGCTCACTTCAATTTTGCCAACAAACATATCATTTCACACTTCATGTAAATGGTTATTAAAACAAAGTTTAACAGTTATTCATTCAAACTGCGTTTTCAATAATCAATCTTAAGTCAAGCAGAAATATCACCTAAACCTCAAGATTCTGCGAAATTGTTGAAAAAGCTCATGTTTAGCACTAAAAGGAAGAAAAACTCACAGATGATCATGCGGGAACTTTCAAAGTCAATTGACCATCAAAAACAGCGGTCCGCGTTTAAATATCCGGCACTATCACTTTTCAACATATGTTTAAATTCTCATAACTAACAATTTAACACTTGTTAACCTTGATCGTTTTTGCATACTGTCAAAAAATAAAGCTCTCAGACAACAAGACTCATTTCACATAAACAATAGAACGCTTCAGAGCTCTAACTGAGCTTAGGAACGTGATTGGCTACAGGCAACCAGCTGAAACGGACTTTGTTCTGTTTTCTAGGAATCTGAAATAAACTCTTCATTTAATTTTACACGTCGCTTACATACATCGTTTGTACTTATTGCCAATACTGATGGAGTCCCTTTTGGTAAATCTCAAGAAACAAGTTACTTGTTCGATTTGCCTCGATACCTACTCCGAGCCCAAAACTATATCATGTCTTCACACGTTTTGTTGTGAATGTTTGGAGAAACATGCAAGAGTGAGCCAGAAACAGGGAAAATTCAGATGCCCCGAGTGTCAGGCACCGATCAATTTACCAGAAGAAAATCGCTTCGACCGTTTGCCTAACAGCTTTTTCCATAAAAGCTTGCTGAGTCTTCTCGCTGTTCGACAAAGTGGCGAGGCAAGTAGCATTACTTGTTATCAATGCAGCGCAACCAACCCTCAGATGTACTACTGCTTCGATTGCGGACGATTCATGTGCCCTGATTGTTTCAACGCACATGAATTGCTTAAAAAGTCTTTTCAAGGACACAAAGTCACGCCAGTTCAAGACTTCAAAACAGAAGATTACGAAGCATTGTTAAGGCGACAACCGTTTTGTTCTCAAGAGTTCCACGAGAGAGAAATTACACGGTTTTTTTGTTCGCAGTGTCAAGTTTGCATTTGTCAAATTTGCATAGTCACGGATCATCAGAACCACAAAGTTGTTCTTCTCGACAAAGCAGCACACGAGGAAAAGGATAACATCATGTCGGGCGCTAAATTGGTCAAGAAAATGGAAAGCGAGCTCCAGGAAGTCATTAAGCAGTTTGAAGAAACCATTTCTAAACTGGAAAGTAATATGGCAACGGCTAAGCGAGGCGTTAAGCAAACAGCTGAACAAATGATCGGAAGTATTCGAGAGCGCGAGCGAGAGGCGTTACAATCCCTCGAGGCAACACGCGTTTCGAGACTCCATATAATTAACTCGGCTAAGCAGGAAGTGGAATCCTTAGCAAAACAAATGAGCCAAGCAGCTCAGTTTGCGGAAAACCTGGTGCAGAGAACCTCAAGCTCGGATATTATGCAGAACAAAGAAACTTTAAGGACCAAATTTGAAGAGCTTCTGCGAGTTGAAGTTCCAAAACATCAGCAGACGACTTTCATCAAATTCATTGCGACATCTCAAAAGGACTTGAAACTGGGTTTTATTGAAGTCACAGAAGACACCGCAAAGGCAGCTAAATCAATTATAGAAGGACTGGATCAAACTCTCCAAGCTGGTGTAGAAGCAGAGTTTACGTTATGTCCAAAGACATCTGGAGGAGAGATGAGTAACCAGGCTGATCTTAAAGGTCGAGTTGAATTGCTGATCAAACCCGTCAAAGATGTTACAGACGTGATTGTTGAAGAGAACGAAAACGGCAATCTTAGATTGAAGTTTACTCCCAAAGTACCTGGTGCCTATAGTATTGAAGTGAAGATTAATGGCGATAAATTACCGACCTGTCCTATGATTGTGCAGGTTAAAGAACGTGAACTTGGTGTGGTCGGGGAGTTGATGTTAAAGCTCTTTCCAGGGGACACGCTGGAGCGGTTATATGGCATTGCTGTGAATACAGAAGGCCAGATAGTTGTGACAGATAACTTTGGCCACTGTGTTTATGTTTTTGACAAAAATGGCAACTGTTTGACTAAAAGTGGAGGCAAGGGTAGCTATACGGGACAATTTCAGTACCCTGATGGCATTTCGTTTTTAAATGACAACGAAGTCCTAATTGCAGACCTAAGGAATTGCAGAATACAACGACTTAATATTCAGACAGGAACTGTAGTGAAAAGTTTTGGAAAATTCGGTAAAGAAAAAGGAGAGTTAAGTAATCCAGTAGACGTTACTGTGGACGATGTAGAGCGCATTGTTGTAACCGAGAGAGAAAATAAAAGGATACAGGTGATGTCAAAGGAAGGAGAGTCTATTTTCATATTTGGAGACAAAGGCTCAGAGAAACTCCATTATCCAACCTGCTGCATTCTTTACAAAGACATGTTTCTCGTATCTGATGGTGGCAACCACTGCATAAAAGCTTTTGATCGGTCAGGAACATTCTTATACAAGTTTGGCAAAGAAGGGAATCAAGATGGACAGTTTAAAAGGCCGGGTGGTTTGCTTGTAGACAGCTCCAATAATCTTCTAGTATGTGACACCGACAACAACCGAGTTCAACAGTTTTCTTTAGACGGTCGCTTCATAGGTAAAAGTATCACTCGTTTATCTCAGCCTATGGCAATAACAAAAGCACCAGACGGACGTATTCTTGTTACTAGCCATGATCAGAAAAAAGTGTACATTTTGAAATAGACTCTTTCAAAAGTGAACTTTGCTTCTTGAGCCGCTCCTTACCTGTGTTTTGCTTTATTTTTAATACTGTTTTATCGCTTGTCTGGAAGAACTCTTAGCGATGATATCCGGACTTACAATTACACTTGGAGACGAAAACCTTTTAACTTGAAGTGATTCAAGCCGTTTTAATCTTCTCCATCCGTCGTCACTTGGCCATCCATGTCTCTTCTCGGATTATTAATATCCTCTCTAATTGCTATTTCTCCAATCTAAAGTTTTGTTTATTTGTTTGGTTTTTTTTTAAGGTCAAGGTATTTCTGTGCATCGTCGACAGCGATTTGAATAATCTAAACCATGAAATTTGAGAGAGTCTTCAAAAATATCCAGTGTAACAGAAAAACCACATGCTGTAGAGAAACGTTCAACAACTTCGACTTTTTTATAGGCTGAGAATATATAGCTGGTAAACGTTAAGACCATGTGCTCCTTTTTGCAATCATTGATTGGTCAGGATAGATTAAGTGCAGGTTTTTCAATCTAAGAAAATATATCTTTAATTAAGCTTTAATTCAAGAACAATTTATGACTGCATAATTTCACATGTATAAGTAATCAACAAGTACAAGAAATAAGGTGACCACTGTTCATAAAAATGGGCATCTACTGGGTAATTACCGTTACGTCATAATTAGAGGTGATCATTGATTTTCTAACTAGGCTTAACTCTAAACTGTTTTGAAAAACAGTCGGATCAATATCAGTATCTGGGCAACTGCCCACCTACCCCTCCCCTAACCCAACAACAGTCTATTGATGACAAGTTAGGGTTAATGTTGGGTTAGGGGAGGGGTAGGTGGGCAGTTGCCCAGATACTGATATTGATCCAAATAGTCTTAGGTTTTGTTGCAGATAATAAGTCGAGGCAAATTAGGAATGCGTTGAATAAATGAGACTTGAAAGTTATATCCAGTTTGTTGTTATGAATAATTAGAAAATACCTTTTAGCATTAAATATAAATGACATTTTGCAATAGAGTTATTTGAAAAATTCATTGGGAAACATCATTTCAAAAATTGCAAAATCATTAGCTTGGTTTCCCTGGAAAATAAGAAAAGTCATGGCGAGTTCATTTATAGTCTAGCTATAATTGGCCATCAGGAACCGGAGCTGAGGTAACAATACTCCATACCTCTTCGCGGGACAAAAGCAGGCATAAGCAGTGGTAGTGAAGAGTCACTATTGTTGTAAGATTAACCCTCACACAATTTTGAGAAATACATTATTTAAAAATTTTCATATCCGTAATCGGCTAAACTGTTGCGATTTCATGCTTATATAAACTCGCTTAGAGATTTCTCGGTGCACGTCCCTGATTGCCCAGCCAACTAATTGATACTCATTCCGAGGAGGAAGCGAGTTCACAGGGTTGGGTTTTAGACGTTGTGAATCGCATGTGCCACAGCCGCCATCACAGCTCTTGCACGTACTTGAAGACCTGAGAAGCTTTTCTTAATCCTGCAGCAATGATTTTATGGATCACTCTTGGCTGGAATCATATGACTAGAGAGGCTTGCATTTTTGCTCTTACGAGCACTACTTTCATCGTACGATATAATTTTTGGAAAAAAGAAAAAAAAGAAAAGATTTGACTGGTAAATGAAGCGGGTCTTTTTTCATCTCTTGGTAGTATTTACCCTTCCTAGAGAGGAAAAAAGGATAGCAATAAAGAAATAGAAAATAGACAAATAAATTCATCCATAAATTTTAAAAAATTTCGAATAAACAAATAAATAAAAGGTGAATGGAAATAACTGTCGTTTCATTTCTTCCAGTAAACCATCAGAAACGCCGGCGCATTTTTTGAATAATTGAATATTTTGAACAAAACTAAATGGAACAAACTAAATAAAGTGCTTATTTAACGGTTAACACATGGTAAATCAAAACTCACCTCAAATATTTCACTTTTTATCTGCTTCATTTGGATATTACATAATTTGTCTACGTTTACAAATATATATGAATTACTATTGCGGACATATTTCTGCTGCAAACCTTTGGGTCGGTTTGGACAAATGGGAAGTATCCGTAGTTAAGACAAGAGAGGATGATCCTCTTTTGATTAAGAGGAATGTATCCCGGGCAATTTTTTTGTTTCTGAGATGAACGTCGAATGTATGAAACTGTAACGAGTTCGTTTTCATATAAATTCACCTCCTTCCCGCCTTTAAAGGGAAGCGAAATAAGCAAGCAGCATGTGGCTAATTTGCATAAATCAGCTTGCGTGCCTTCCTGCCTGACCTGAAGATTGAAGTACAAACTCTAATCCGCTCAAAATTTCCGGTGTTATCATGGCCAAGTGACAATATCCACTCAGTTGACAAGAACAAATTATTTCGGCACCCTGGCCTTTAAAAGTATCAAGTAGGATTTCCATTTTCAACCGAAAAGAATGAATTAAAGTTTTTGTCTTGCTTTTTTTCTTAAAGAACCCTAATGATTTGACAGTTAATCAAACTCGAGGATACTGAGAAGCATATGTTAAAAAAAAAACAAAACAAAAGTTTGAAGGCGACGGATAAACAGTTGTATGTCACAAACGGAAGAGGTCATGGCGGATTTCCGTTCTGTTCTCTCGGAAATCTAACTATAGTCTTTAAAAGCAGCTTTCTAGTTTTTCAAAAGAAAATAATTCGTTTTCTGATAGAGAAGCACTATTAAATGTTGTCTATTTTCTGGAGTTCTACGTATCCAAATGTTTTTTTTAAGCATAATTCGAAAGTACATGATTTCTCTGTTGCCACATAAGATGAAAAGCCTGGATAAGACCTTTACCCTAGTCTCGGCAGGATTTGAAACATGTCAGGATCGACAAAGGAGACTGCTTTTTCACGAAAAAGTGGTCATGTGACAATCACGTGACATGCTGTCGTACCATGTGAACACTGAAATTGTAGGCAGGTACATGATAATCATTTTTTCAGAAGGGTTTGGGGCACTTCAGTGGAAGAAGATGAAATTTGAGGTCAATTTCTGTTTGAGCCTCGTTTCCATGCTGAGTGCCATACCATGGTATAAAGCCCCATTTATCTCGTTAGCGGTACCACAATTCGGGACTACATAGTATCTTATCTTAAAGAGCAGGTATTGGTCTATCAGAATCAGGTGTCAAACCTTTTCTGTCGGGTGGGTTGAACCAACTCGTTAAATAAGGCTTTTTCAGAAAATAGCTCCTTGACTACAGCTCTTGCACGTATTGCAGACCTAAGAAGCTTTTCTTAATCCTGCAACAACGGTTTGATGAATCACTCTTTGCCCGCGAATCACATGACCGGAAAGGTTTGCAGATTTGTTCTTAAGAGTACTACTTTCAAAAAAACAGCGTTCCGCCTTTAAATATTCGACACCATAAGTTTTCAACATATATTTAACTTCTCATAGCTTTCAATTTAACACTTGTTAACCCTAACCATTTTTGCAGTCCAAAAATAAAGCTCTTATAGAACAGGTGAAGACTCATTTCAGATCACAGGCGGCCCAAGCTCCAGCTGTGAGATGATCATCTTGCGCAATAATAGTCATGGCGGAATTATAAGAGTTTGTATGGGAATATTTACGACCGCTTTAAGGAATAAAACAATACGTCAAATTCTTAATAAAAATATCTCACCTTACTTCCACAGCGTATCACTTGTTATCTGACCGCTTACCTTGATGAAAAGAACGCATTTTACATTTCAGTTGATGAAAAGAACGCATTTTTCATTTCAATTTCGAGGTTTTCAACGTACATAAGAAAAGTCCATGTACGTTGAAAACCTCGAAATTGACAACTCGCTAAAATGCGTTCTTTTCATCAAGGTAAGCGGTCAGATAACAAGTGATACGCTGTGGAAGTAAGGTGAGATATTTTTATTACAGAGGGTCAATTGAGCTTAGGAACGTGATTGGCTACAGGCAACCAGCTGAAACGGACTTTCATCTGTTTTCTAGGAATCTGAAATAAACCCTTCATTCAATTTCGTACGTTGCTTACATATATTGTTTTTACTTATTGTCAATACTGATGGAGTCGCTTTTGGTAAATCTCAAGAAACAAGTTACTTGTTCCATTTGCCTCGATACCTACACCGAGCCCAAAACTATATCATGTCTTCACACGTTTTGCTGTGAATGTCTGGAGAAACATGCAAGAGTGAGCCAGAAACAGGGAAAATTCAGATGCCCCGAGTGTCAGGCAGTGATCGATTTACCAGAAGGAAATCGCTTCGACCGTTTGCCTTACAGCTTTTTCCATAAAAGTTTGCTGAGTCTTCTCGCTGTTCGACAAAGTGGCGAGGCAAGTAGTATTACTTGTTATCAATGCAGTGCAACCAACCCTCAGATGTACTACTGCTTCGATTGTGGACGATTCATGTGCCCTGATTGTTTCAACGCACATGAACTGCTCAAAAAGTCTTTTCAAGGACACAAATTCACGCCAGTTCAAGACTTCAAAACAGAAGATTACGAAGCATTGTTAAGGCGACAACCGTTTTGTTCTCAACATTTCCACGAGACAGAAATTACACGGTTTTTTTGCTCGCAGTGTCAAGTTTGCATTTGTCAAATTTGCATAGTCACGGATCATCAAAACCACAAAGTTGTTCTTGTCGACAAAGCAGCACACGAGGAAAAGGATAACATCATTTCGGGTGCTAAATTGATCAAGAAAATGGAAAGCGAGCTCCAGAAAGTCATTAACCAGTTTGAAGAAACGAGTTCAATATGGAAACGGCTAAGCGAGGCATCAAGCAAAAAGCGGAACAAATGATCGCAAATATTCAAGAGCACGAGCGAGAGGCGTTGCAATCCCTCGAGGTAACACGCGTGTCGAGACTCCATAAAATTAACTTGGCCAAACAGGAAGTGGAATCCTTAGTAAAACAAATCAACCAAGCAGCTCAGTTTGCGGAAAACCTGGTGCAGAGAACCTCAAGCTCGAATATTATGCAGAACAAAGAAACTTTAAGGACCAAATTTGAAGAGCTTCTGCGAGTTGAAGTTCCAAAACATCAGCAGAAGACATTCATCAAATTCACTGCGACATCTCAAAAGGACTTAAAACTGGGTTTTATTGAAGTCACCGAAGGCGCCGCAAACGCAGCTAAATCAACTTTAGAAGGACTGGATCAAACTTTTCAGGCTGGTGTAGAAGCAGAGCAGAGTTTACGTTATGTCCAAAGAAATCTGGAGGAGAGATGAGTAACCAGGCTGGTCTTAGAGGTCGAGTTGAATTGCTGATTAAACCCGTCAAAGATACTACAGACGTGATTGTTGAAGAGAAAGAAGACGGCAATCTTAGACTGAAGTTTACTCCCAAAGTAGCTGGCGCCTATAGCATTGAGGTGAAGATTAATGGCGATAGACTACCGACCTGTCCCAAGACTGTGCAGGCAAAAGAACGGGAACTTGTTGTGGTCGGTGAGTTGAAGTTAAAGTTCTCTCCCGGAGACAAGCCTGTAAACTTTTATGGAATTGCTGTCAATACGAATGGCACGATAGTTTTGACAGATAACTATGGCCACTGTATCTATGTCTTTGACAAAAATGGCAACTGTTTGAGAAAAAGTAGAGGCGAGGGTAGCAATAGAGGACAATTTTGGTACCCTAATGGCATTTCCTTTTTAAATGACGACGAAGTCCTAATCGCAGATAACGGCAATAATAGAATACAACGACTTAATATTCAGACAGGAACTGTTGTGAAAAGTTTCGGGAAAAAAGGCAGAGAAAAAGGAGAGTTTGGCAATCCAATAGACGTTACTGTGGATAATAAAGAACGCATTGTTGTAACCGAGTGGGGCAATGGTAGGATACAGGTGATGTCAAAGGAAGGAGAGTCTATTTTCACATTTGGAGACAAAGGACCAGAGAAACTTGATGGTCCAACCTGTTGCATTCTTAAAAAAAACATGTTTCTCGTATCTGATGGAGGCAATAGCTGCATAAAAGCTTTTGATCAGTCAGGAACATTGTTATACAAGTTTGGCAAACAAGGGTATCAAGATGGAAAATTTAAAGCGCCGTATGGTTTGCTTGTAGACAGCTATAATAATCTTCTAGTGTGTGACTTGGGCAATAACCTAGTTCAGCAGTTTTCTTTAGACGGTCGCTTCACCGGCAAAAGTATCACTCGTTTATCTCAGCCTACGGCGATATTAACAGCAGCAGACGGGCGTATTCTTGTTACTAGCTATGATGAGAAAAAATTGTACATTTTGAAATAGACTCTTTCAAAAGTGAACTTTGCAGTTTGAGCCGCTCCTTACCTATGTTTTGTTTTATTTTTAATACTGTTTTATAACTCTTATGGAAGAACTCTTAGCTATTATATCAAGACTTACAACTACACTTGGAGACAAAAACCTTTTCACTCGAAGTAATTAGCGCAGGTCTTTTAAATTTATCAGTTTCAGTCCGTTTTAATCTTTTCCACCCCTCTCCACTTGGCCATCCATGTTTCTTCTCGGTTTATTAAGTTCTTTTTTAACTGTTTTTCTACGATCTGAAGTTATGTTTATTTTCTTAAAGGTCAATGTATTGTATGTTTTGTTCCATATAATAAGGTGAGACGAATTAGAAATGCATTGAATAAATGTGACTTAAAAGTTATTTACAGTTTGTTGTTATGAATGATTAGAAAAATTTTTAATTTTAAAATTGGCTGAGGCAACAAATTAGAAAGGATTAAAAATTATATTTTTTATCTTTTCCCTTTTTCAACCCCCCCCTCCTGATTTCTCGCGAACAAAGTGCGAGCGAACCGGGAAGCAAAATAAACAAGCGATATATGGCTTATTTGCATAGATTAGCTCGCTTGCCTTGCTGCATACACGATTACCCATGTTGTTGAACAACATACCCTATTCAACAACAAAAGCTACAACACTTGCAACAAATAACAAATAATTTAACTGTCCGTGCATGTTTGATAATCTCACCTTAATTCACAATTGTCCATTTTCGTAACGTGACGGCGTTTCGTTTCGATAATAAACTGTTTATTAAAGCTATTAAGTATGTCAAGTCCTGACAGATTTCAGTTCTGCTTTCTCAAAAATCTAAATATATTCGTAAAAAGTAGCTTTTTGGTATTTTAAAAGAAAACTACTGATTTTCTGTTTTCAATGAATTATGTCTTCAAAACCATAAGCGTTTAGATAACTGTGTTTTCAAAGATCTCTGGCAATGACTAAACCGAGGATATAAACTTCAAGTAAGACAGATGAGAAATATAGTCGAATGTCTCGCCAAAGGAATGCAAATCACGAATTATTGTTTCAGTTTCAGCTGATGACGTTGTTGTCAGCCAAATTTCCTTTTCTGTTAGAAGAGGCTGCCACTGCGAAGGAATAAGTCTAAATTCTGAAATGCGATTGGTCAGAGGGAGTCAGTTGTGATGGACTTTGTGCTATTTTCTTGGAAACTGAAATATTAACTGTTATTTCGTAGAAGTGTTTTGAAAGGGCTCGTCACTTGAAAAACGAACCAGTTTACTACAGTTTAAGGCGATCGTAATGAATCCTCTCTTAAAGAGTCTCAAGAAACAAGTTACTTGCTCGATTTGTCTCGATACCTACACCGAGCCTAAAACTATATCATGTCTTCATACATTTTGCCGTGAGTGTCTAGAGAGACATGCAAGAGTGAGCCAGAGACAAGGGAAATTCAGATGCCCCGAGTGTCAGGTAGAAATCGATTTACAGCATGGAAATCGCTTCGACCGTTTGCCTAACAGCTTTTTTCACAAAAGTCTGTTAGGTGTCCTTGAAGCGGAAGATCGCCAAGCCATTCCCAGGCAACAACAGGAGACTTGTTCGCAACATACGAAAGAAAGAGTGCGATATTACTGTTCCTCGTGTGAGGCGTGTATTTGTCCAATTTGCGTCGCCGAAGACCACCGAGGCCATGCGTTTGACGTGCTTGAAAAAGCAGTGCAAGAGGATAAGAAAAACATCATGTTGGCTGTCGAGACCATCAAGGAAAAGGCAAACTTGTTTCGAGCAGAGTTGAATAAATTAGACAAAACATCAGTGGATGTGGAAATGATTATTGCAATCGCTAAACAAGAAGTGTCGAAGGCAACTGAAGACGTGATCACAAAGACGCAACAGCAAGAAAAACAGCTCTTAGAGTCTTTAGAAATGACGCGTAGGAGGAGAATGGAGCGAGTCACCTCGGCAAAACAAGAACTGAAATCTTTAATAAAAAGAATTAACCTAGCAGCTGAATTTGCGGAGAATCTAGTGCAGCGAAGATCAGCTGCGGGTATCATACAGAACAAACACATATTGAGGCAGAAACTTGAAGAGCTTCGTGGAGTCCAAGTTCCAAAACATCACCAGGCTACATTTGTCAAATTTGCCGCAGTATCGCAACACAACTTTAAACTGGGCTCTATTCAAGTCTCCGAGAAGCCGGCAATCGCAGCTAAATCAACTCTTGAAGGACTGGAGAAGACTTTTCAGGCTGGTGTAGAAGCAAAGTTTACGTTGTGTCCACAGACATCTGGAGGAGAGGTAAGTAACTTCGCTGATCTCGAAGATCAAGTCGAATTGCTAATAACACCCGCCAAAGATGTGACAAACGTGACTGTTGATGAGGAATGCGACGGAAATGTTAGGCTGAAGTTTACACCCAAAGTACCCGGGGCCTACAGCATTGAAGTGAGGATTAATGGCGATAAACTACCAACCTGTCCCATGACTGTGCAGGTAAAAGAACGTGAACTTGTTGTGGTCGGCGAGTTGAAGTTACAACTCTTTCCAGGGGACACGATTGAACGGTTAAGTGGAATTGCTGTGAATACAGAAGGCCAGATAGTTGTGGCAGATGCATTTGGCCACTATGTTTATGTCTTTGACAAAAATGGCAACCGTTTGAGAAAAACTGGAGGCGAGGGTAGCAATACAGGACAGTTTTGGTACCCTAATCGCATTTCGTTTTTAAATGAGAACGAAGTCCTAATTGCAGATTGCGGCAATAGCAGAATACAACGATTTAATTTTCAGACAGGAACTGTGGTGAAGAGTTTTGGAAAATTCGGCGAAGAAAAAGGAGAGCTAAATAATCCAGTAGACGTTACTGTGGATGATAAAGAACGCATTGTTGTAACTGAGTGGGGGAATAATAGGATTCAGGTGATGTCGAAGGAGGGAGAATCTATTTTTACATTTGGAGACAATGGCCCAGAGAAACTCCAATATCCAAACTGCTGCATTCTTAACAAAAACATTTTTCTCGTATCTGATGGAGGCAACCATTGCATCAAAGCTTTTGATCCGTCAGGAACACTCCTATACAAGTTCGGCAAAGAAGGGAATCAAGATGGACAATTTACAACGCCGTATGGTTTGCTTGTAGACGGCTCCAATAATCTTCTAGTATGTGACTCTGGGAATAGCCGAGTTCAACAGTTTTCTTTAGACGGTCGCTTCACCGGCAAAAGTATCACTCATTTATCTAAGCCTAAAGTGATAACAAAAGCACCAGACGGGCGTATTCTTGTTTCTAGCCATAATGACAAAAAAGTGTACATTTTGAAATAGAATATTTTCAAAAGTAAACTCTGCTTCTTGAGCCGCTCCTTACCTGTAATTTGTTTTGTTTTTAATGCTTTTTTATCACTTGTCTGGAAGAACTCTTAGCGATCATATTTAGACTTACAATTACTCTTAGAAACAAAAACCTTAGTCGAGGCATTTCTGTACATCGTCGGTAGCGATTTGAATAATCTAGAGCAAGAAATTTAACGGCGAGTCCTCAAAAATGTATAGTGCATCAGAAACTAAAAAACTAAAACTTTGACTTTCTTTTTAAGGTTGAGAATATATAGCAGGAAAACGTTAAGACTATGTGCTGCTTTTTGTAATCATTCATTGGTCAGGATAGATTAAGTCCGCTTTTTTTAAGCTCAGATAATATATCTTTAATTAAGCTTAAATTCAAGAACAATTTATGATTGATAATTTCACATGTATAAGTAATCAACGAGCACAAGAAGTAAGGTGACAACTATTTTTAAAAACTAAGCTCAAGTGTTAGCTTAAAACTGTTTTGACAAATAGTCTAAGGTTTTGTTTTATCTAATAAGGCGACAGAAATTAGAAATGCATTGAATAAATAAGACTTAAAAGTTATTTATAGTTTGCTGTTACAAATGATTAGAAAATAACTTCCAGTTTTAAATTAGATAACAGTTTGAAATAGTTATTTGAAAATTCATCCTGAAACATCATTTCAAAAATTGCCCAATCTCAGACCTTGGTTTCCCTGGAAAGTGAAAGAGAGGCTATGTCAAATTCATTTATAGTGTAACTATAATCGGCCATCAGGAAACCGGAGCCGAGGCAACAAAACTCCATACCTTTTCATGCGACAAAACAGGGATAAGCTGTGGTCGGGAAGAGTCAATAGAGTTGTAGGATTAACCCTCACAGATTTGAACATGTAGTTCTCAATGCGCTATTTTAAAGTTTTTATACCCATAATAAAGGCTGAACTGCAGCGATTTCATGCTGGTATAAACTCCTTGAAAAATTTTTTCAGTAGATGTCCCTGATTGCGCAGCGAACTTGACTCATTCCGTGGAGGAAGCGAGTTCACGGGGTTGGGTTTTAAACATTGTGAATCGCAAATGCCACAACGATTACAGCTCTTGCACGTATTGCAGACCTATGAAGCTTCTCTTAATCCTGCTATAATGGTTTGATGGATCACTCTATGACGGATTCAAACCGGAAAGTTTTGCATTTTTGTTCTTTCGAGCGCTACTTTTATCGTAAGATATAATTTTTGGGGAAAAAAAAAAGAAAAATTTTAAGGAGTAAATGTAATGCTTTTTCCATTTCCAACCGAGAAAATGACTCGAAAATAAGGCAATAAATAAATGAGTTAATAAATGAATCAAAAATGATAAAAAAAAAAAACAACATTTGTCTCTGACCTCGAAAAGCTATTGTCGATTTATCGTAAGGTGACGGCGTTTCGTTTCGATAATAATGCTGTCGATTAAAACTATCAGTTATGATTTCCATCGTCAACTGAAGTAAACTGAAGTATTGTCTCATTGTTTTTGTTTGTTTTTTTAACCTTCAATTTATTTGTCTCTTCCCAGTTTTACAAATTGTATCTCGCTTTAAGAGACTTAATCAGGATTCGAGAGGGAATCAAATTCCAGGATATTAAGAGGAATATGTTTAAGAGAAGTATCAGTAATTTTCGAGAATCCGGCGACAGAAGCAAAAATTCAACTTTTTTTTTATTTGCTCCAAAAGACCCTTTTGGTGAATCGTTTTCAAAAACAATACTCAAAAGTTCCAGCGAGTTTTTATTTTGGAAAAAATACGAAAGTTCGAAATCGGCCAAAACGTACCCAATTTGCATAATTTCTATTGGGCTTTCAGTGCATTTTCACAACGCTCGTACAAGACAAAGAAAAATTGTCTTGGATTCATTTTTTCATAAGTTGTTTTTCATCCCTCGGAGTAGCTTTGCAACTATATTTCATTTCTAACTGAACTTTCTTTCGTTTGAAACCACCCGCGTGAAATACACTATATTTTCTATTCCGTTTGTACGCTGAATTTTGCTATATTTCAGACGACCATAACATCGGGGGTATACAAATGTACATAAAATAAAAGAGCTCTTTTCAACGAGAAATTATTCGTGTTTATCATGTAAAAATATTATTTTTGGCCCGTGAAAAGCGAGTGCGCCAGACCAAAATATATAGCATGCATTTTCACGGAGTTAGGCCATTTTTCTTGCTGCACTCCTACTGCAAATCGCACGCTATTGGGATAAAACTCGACGTGTTTGATCTCTACTTCAGTTTTGATTCATTTAAATATATCCATTTTAACTTAAAAATTAACCTACCTTTATTGTTAAGTGAACAAACCACCGTTTTAGGGAAAGTTTTTGAGTTGGCTTTTCTCGAGTGGTAAATAAACAAATCGCTGTTTATAAAGATACCAGCTCTGTCGATGTGTTTTTAGCTGAAAAATCGATGGGAAAATCGTAGCGTTTCTTTCTCCTGTCGTTTATTTCTTTAAAGATTTGCTAAAATCAGGAAATAGGGCACTTGTACAAAACCAAAACATTCATTAGTCTACAATTTGATTGTTTATTATCATTATCGCACAGTTCACAATAAGGAAACTGTAACAGGAGAGGAGATTTTAAATTCACATGCCGCGTGCTTGTTGACGTACAAGTTCCCGAGTGTAACAATTTCGGCTTTTCGGGAAACTCTGCCCCCCTTATTTGATAGGAAATATCAATAGCCCCATAAAATTTATTAACTGCACCATGTTTCCAGAAAATAAGACTGGAAAATGGTTTTTCCACTTTCCACCATAAAGAAATTTCACGTAGAAATAGTATTTGTAGCGTGACTGCGTGACCTTTCATGAGAAGTAAAATTGTTTTTCTTTTTTTTAAGAAGACACCTCCAGAAAGTTCTTTATCCTTCTCTCATCTTATTTGCCTGATTTTTGACTGCAAATATCATCTGCATTTGGCATTATTTTCGCTGATTGTCATGGCCTTTCCTGCGTGCACGTGCGAGCAAGTTCATATACAGCACTCTTTCGAGTTTCTTTGCGTGGTGTCGAGCATAAGTGTGTAGGTCTGGCTCAAAAGATATCTGCGCGCCGCAACACGGGTTTCTATGTTTTCTCCTTTTTCTTTATTTGTATTTTTATTCTCCTCCTTGCATTATCACACATGTATGTTTTTTTTAATCCTTCGGCGCGTTCCCTCAGATTTGGAAGTAGGCTATGAAAAGTCAATATTGACCAGAACTGAAACCTTTTCTATCACTATTTGTTTCAAAGAACCCCTGTTATTTATAACTTTATTTCTCAAGAGAATAAGGTTTTATTTGCCATTTACTTCCATTAGTACATGAAACTAGGTTCCAATAAGTTTTTTCGTTTCGTGACTCCCAAAAGCTGTTTGCGACAACATCAGTTGAGAAATCAAAAGCAATTACACCTGAGAAATTCGCTTGTAGCCTTCTACGCGCAGAAGGCATCTAAGTAATGAAGCTTTCTGAGACCTCTGTAAACTAGAGACATTACGTGATGTCGAGGGGTCAAATATTTACATTAAATCTGTGACCCTCAAACAGATTACGTACTCGTACATGTAACGTCCGAAAAATGTCACGCATGTATAACACCGTAGGCGCACCTGGCGAATTATATCCACTAGCTTCAATAGTAAAGAGACAACTTATTTATTATTTGTATATGAGCAAGCCTATTTACCCTACTTGTAAAACTCCTTGATGAAGTCTACTATTGTCAGACGAAATGCGTGAGAGATAAATACAAGTTTTTACTTTCTCAGTTCGTGCAGTGAGTTCGACAGAAAAATTAAGCTCACCCTGTCATAATCAATGATTTGATACCGTAAGTACCAATTTAGGTACATCATTGGGCTTTGATCACAATAATGAAAAAAAATGTGCGTTTCCCCACGCTCGCCACATTTATTCTTTGGAAAATTATTTTACTGGAGGGCGATGTCACTTAGCTTGGTGCGTCTTGACTCTGGCCGACGAAAATTATCGAGGTAAACCCCATGAAGTTCTTGTCAAATGTTTTATAAATTTTGTCTACCCTTGATTTGCACGCAATAAAAGGCAAATTCCGAACGCTATTTCAAAATATTTTATTCGCTGGTCAATTTATGACTGGTCAATTTTCTGTGACAGCCAAAGATAGACATCTCTGAAAAGTCTCTGAAACTCTTAAAGAATTTACACTGCCGGTAATATTTTCCTCCTTCTCGCAACAGCGCAACAGACATTGTTAATCCTATGTAGTGTAGGTTTATCAGCTGTATTACGTCTTCATAGTGATGCCGTATAAGAAATCGAGTGTCTAAAAGGCTCTCAATTCTCGCGCTGGCTAGGGACGGCAACAGCTCACACGTCTAAACTCGTGGGTGTACAGCATAAAAGAAAAAAAAATTGAGAGACGTCAATGTATCCCAAACATGCGTTTCGTCCGAGAAGAAGCTTATTCTAGCGCGTATTGGCTTATTTGGAGATTAAGGCCGCGATTTCCCGATATATCTCAAATATAGTGCACAACTTGGTTTGAGATTCAGACCTTCGGGTTTGTAGATGCCAGTATCCTCGTCATAAAAATCGGAGAAATAAAGTTGAGAGAGAGGTGAATCTGAAGATGGCAGAAGAAATCAAAGCTGGTGGCAAGTCTTCCTGGTGGCAAGGTGACTGTAAACCTAATAGAACGCGTACTGTAACTGCTATCTTAGAGTCAGCAACGAATAAGGAAAAAGGGCAAGAAGAGCGCTTATCTGAACATCAGTTTCCCTAACTAATGATTTGTGACTGAAATGAACTTTATATCATATGATTGCTTGAGATACGCAGGTACTGTAGAGACACTCACATAAATAGAGGTGGGCGACCCTCCCTCTGACTTTCAAACTGCGACAAGTTTATAGCGCAGACCAGCTGGCACAGTTTGGAGCACCTCAGGGTCTCACTAGGCTCATCGCATTAGAAACCTTCAGCAAACTAATCGTAAAAGTGGGAGGTTATCAGCAACGTGCACAGATCCCTGAACGCGGGTCATTGCGAGAACTGTAACCAATCCGTCACAGACAGAACAAGAAAGCGAGATATTCTTGTAAGAGGAAGGATGTATCAAGACGTTTCAGTCATTGGCTGCCATCCAAAAGCACCCTAACAAAGGCAAACACAGTGAAGCTGACAAAAAAATCCGCCTATGATAAGGTCAAGAGAAAATGGACGAAGACCGGCTTGCCATTTTAAAGGGGGTGGCTACGTTCAAGGTCGGACCTCAGGTAAACTTCTGACGAAACATCCCTAACTAGCCAAATGGACTTTGCATGGGCTCTTTGGAAAACACAAAAACCAGCCACCTTTTCTCAGAAAGCAAAGAATTATCTCCTTGACATGAGCTGGACAGGGGAGGAAACTAGTAAGGCAACCGCCTCTAACAAGACAGAAGATAAGGAGTAACCTTGCAAATTTAGACGAAGACTGCAGGAGAGGGTACAGCTGCTATTAAGCTAAAAAAAATAATAAAGATCTTTGCATCTCACTTTTCAAAGTTGTCAAATATTTGGATGAATCGAAAAGTCTAAAAACTCAGTCGTTTATTTGCCTCTGTTGATTGACAAGCCGTCAATCAAATTGACTGATACTTGAGGTGGACATTAACTAAGGATCAAGAAAAACCGGGGGGTGGTCTATATCCCCCCGGAAAAAACCAAAACAGAAACCAGTTTGTCGTTTTTAGTTTTGGGGTAGATCCTTTAAACTGGCAAAGTTTCGTTGAAATCGGTGAGATGGAATGTGCACGACTGCCCGGTGCTACATGCCATTTTTCTCGGATTTCTTCGACAATTTTTACCAACAGAATTCCAACCTGCAGTTGATTTGAAAATGTATCTAAACAGGTGAACTACACAAACATACTATTTTAATTAAAGTGACAGTGATAGAAATCTATAAAAGCAACCGGGCAAAACACCGAAGTTCATGCACAATTAAGCGAGTATTTTCATGCGACAACTAAATGTTTCGAATATTTTATGTGTGCGAAGATTTTATTTAGCTCACGCTCACGTATTTACAACAACATTTATAGTTACATGTAATTTACTCTAAAGTCATGCCAGTGGGATAGATTGTAAATTAAAGAACAATATATGCGACAGGCCAATTTCAGCTAAGAACACGTCGACAGAGCTGGTATCTTTGTAAACAGCGATTTGTTTATTTAGCACTCGAGAAAAGTCAACTCAAAAACTTTACTAAAACGGTGGTTTGTTCACTTAACAATAAGGGTAGGTTAATTTTTAAGTTAAAATTGATATATTTAAATGAATCAAAACTGAAGTAGAGACCAAACACGTCGAGTTTTGTCCCAATAGCGTGCGATTTACAGTAGGAGTACAGCAAGAAAACTGGCCTAACTCCGTGAAAATGCACGCTATATATTTTGGTCTGGCGCGCTCGCTTTTCACGGGCCAAAAATAATATTTTTGCATGATAAACATGAATAATTTTTCGTTGAAAAGAGCTTTTTTATTTTATGTACATTATTATATCCCCGATGTTATGGTCGTCTGAAATATAGCAAAATTCAGCGTACAAACGGAATAGAAAATATAGTGTATTTCACGCGGGTGGTTACAAACGAAAGAAAGTCCACTTGGAGATGAAATATAGTTGCAAAGCTACTCCGAGGGATGAAAAACAACTTATGAAAAAATGAATTCAAGATAATTTTTTGTTTGTCTTGTACGAGCGTTGTGAAAATGCACTGAAAGCCCGATAGAAATGATGCAAATTAGGTACGTTTAGGCCGATTTCGAACTTTCGTATTTTTTCCCAAAATAAAAACTCGCTGGAACTTTTGAATATTATTTTTGAACACAATTCACCAAAAGGGTCTTTTGGAGCAAATAAAAAAAAAGTTGAATTTTTGCTTCTGTCGCCGGATTCTCGAAAATTACTGACAACCTCTATTAACAATCAAGCTCCTGTACTTGTTGATCATTTCCGTTATTCTCATGACCTTAATGTTTGATTCAGGAGTGATATTGTGAGGAGAAATTAGATGCTAGTCACTCTTTGGGGTTACAAGGTTAAATTAATAAAATTACTGGGGTATCTATGAATATACAATGGTTTGCATCACTGCACAAAAATATCTCTTTTTCTTTTCTTTAAATGTGTTTAATTAGGGATATATAACCACAATATTTCTTGTCAAAAGCCTTGCAAGAAATTTCTAAAAACTTAAGCTTAGAAAATCTTCTTTTCCAAGTCACATATTAGTTTAAAAGTCTCTTGAATTGGCTGACTAATAACCTTTGAAAAGGATTAAGAATTTCCTTGAAGAACCAATCGCGTTCGAAACCTTGGCTTGTTCACTATAATAATGACTTCGGAACTCTTGAACTTAGATGTCTGATGAGAATTTTACAGAAATGTCTTCCTCTGTGTATCGGTTCGAGTTGTCCTTCTTTTACAGGCTAGTAATTAAATAGTTCAGAGCTTTACTGAGTCTGGTTCATTCTCCTACAGAGGATTTATCCAAGTCATGCCTTTTAAGGTACGTTAGGCACCGGCCAATTTCCAAATCAAATTTCACGTTGTCGCCTATGATCATAAATGGCGCCCATTGAGAAACTTTGTCAAAACCGTTGTTTCTCATCCACTTTCTGGCCTTATGGAGAGATTCACTGACGCTTTCACCGCGGAACAAATGTCTGTAGAAACATGTCATGAACTGCTCTGTGGCTGTGTCATCCAGGGCCCATCGTGCCGCTAACACTGAGCGAGCTCCGGCTCCTAAGAACGCTCGGGCAATTCCGATAACTCCCTCGGTTCTAATGTGTCCGCGAGCACTGTGACAACAACTAAGAACCACTAGTTTAGCTCGCAACCTAGTTTTTGAAATATCCGCCATCGTCAAAAGATAATCTCCTTCTCGAGGTAAAGGTGAGAGTGGGGAAGGGTGCTTAGGAGAAAGAACAATCTCCCCTCTTTCGGCATCACCATGGGCAGCAATGTGTATCAAGCTCACTGAATTTATCGTTTGAAGTACAGAATGCTTTGTCGCGGAATATCCTATCCAAGGCGTTACGCCAAGAAGTCTTCCAATCATCTCTGCTTCCTTTCTTGCACACGGCAATGGTGCTATATTTCTGCGCCTTCCCTTGTAAATCACCTCTCCAACCACAGGGTCACCCACTATCAGTGCCCCGGTCTGACTGTGATATTCTGGAGGACTGTCTTGAACAAGCTTAAGAGTGGTCAGAGAGGGAACTATCCGAATCCTGCATGTCTCTGATAAATACTTGCCTCCTTCGTCAGCCAAGGCTGCAAATGGCACTTGGTACACACAGGAATCAGGGACAATTATGATCTCGGGCTGCTTCAGTAAACTGGCTACAGGAGCGATGATTATCTTGTAACACAAGTCAAGACTTGTTTTGAAATCTTTGGCATCATAGTCACGCAGCACTGAGCGCTTGTCGTAGGGAAGTGACGTCAGTTCGGTGTCATCTAAAGATCGATCTTCGCAATTCTCTTCGGGTAAAATGGCTTGGCTGCGGAAGGCTTCTTTAAAAAACTCATCTAACTCAGGGACTATTCCGGTCACCTTGTTTTGGTCCAGGTTGACTTTCTTTTCTAAAAATTGAATGGCTCCCGTTGCTTTAATTATCCAAAACCGTACATCATTTTGACCAACCGAAATGTACAGGCATGCACATTCTGCTTCTTTTGTGATGATCCCTTGAATGCCACACCAAGATTGTGGATCGCTTGAGATCTGCTCTTGAACAGAGTACCGAGCTGCCATCAAGTCGGCCAGGCCTCTTGCCCTTGTCAGCTCTTCGACGTAAAGGGCATCTTGCGACTTTCCAGTGGAAGAAAGCAACCAACTGAGGAACTTGTAGGGAAAGGTGCCGTGCTCTTCTAAAAAAGATATTTGAAACTGATCGTTTTCTTTAAGAAAACCTCTCAAAGTGTCGAATTTTTGGATGGCTTGAAAAAGATGAAAAGAAGCCTCTTCACGATTACCTTGTGACGCCTTTAACACCGATAGATTACAAAGACACTGAAACTCCTCCAAGTTGAGTCCAATATCCCTACTTAATAGGAGAGCCTGTTTAAGGTATTCTTCAGCCATGTCATATTTACTTTGCGATTGGAAACAGAATCCTAAATTGCTGTAACTGGCTAGTAGTCCTTCTCTCTCACCGATTTTCATGTAAATTCCAAAGGCTTTCTTGAAATATTCTAGAGCCTTGTCGTATTCACCACGCTTACAAGAAATTAACCCGAGGTGTCTGTAATCTGCTGCTTCTCCGCTGCTATCACCGATACCCTCTCTAACTGCCATTGCCTTATTTAGATATTTATCAGCCTTTGCATACTTGCCGAGCGAGAGAAAAAAACCAGTAAGGTTTCTATAACTTGTTGCCTCTCCTCTTTTTTCACCAATTTTCTTTTTGATACGAAGTGCTTTCTCCATACACTCTTTAGCTTCGCTATGTTGACCAAGGCATGCGAAAAAAGTTCCTAGGTTTCCGTAGATTGTTGCTTCTCCATCCTTGTCGCCAATTTCTATTTTGATAGCGAGTGCTTTCTCCTGATATTCTCGGGCCTTGTCATAATGACCAAGTGATTGGAACAAAGTTCCTAGGTTTCCGTAGCTTGTTGCTTCTCCATCCCTGTCGCCAATTTCTATTCTGATAGCGAGTGCTTTCTCCTGATATTCTCGGGCCTTGTCATAATGACCAAGTGATTGGAACAAAGTTCCTAGGTTTCCGTAGCTTTTTGCTTCTCCATGCCTGTCGCCAATTTCTATTCTGATAGCGAGTGCTTTCTCCTGATATTCTCGGGCCTTGTCATAATGACCAAGTGATTGGAACAAAGTTCCTAGGTTTCCGTAGCTTGTTGCTTCTCCATGCCTGTCGCCAATTTCTATTCTGATAGTGAGTGCTTTCTCCTGATATTCTCGGGCCTTGTCATAATGACCAAGTGATTTGAACAAAGTTCCTAGGTTTCCGTAGCTTGTTGCTTCTCCATGCCTGTCGCCAATTTCTATTCTGATAGGGAGTGCTTTCTCCTGATATTCTCGGGCCTTGTCATAATGACCAAGTGATTTGAACAAAGTTCCTAGGTTTCCGTAGCTTGTTGCTTCTCCATGCCTGTCGCCAATTTCTATTCTGATAGGGAGTGCTTTCTCCTGATATTCTATGGCCTTGTCATAATGACCAAGTGATTTGAACAAAGTTCCTAGGTTTCCGTAGCTTGTTGCTTCTCCATCCCTGTCGCCAATTTCTATTCTGATAGCGAGTGCTTTCTCCTGATATTCTCGGGCCTTGTCATAATGACCAAGTGATTGGAACAAAGTTCCTAGGTTTCCGTAGCTTGTTGCTTCTCCATGCCTGTCGCCAATTTCTATTTTGATAGCGAGTGCTTTCTCTTTATATCCTCGGGCCTTGTCATAACGACCAAGTGATTGGAACAAAGTTCCTAGGTTTCCGTAGCTTGTTGCTTCTCCATCCCTGTCGCCAATTTCTATTCTGATAGCGAGTGCTTTCTCCTGATATTCTCGGGCCTTGTCGTAATGACCAAGTGATTTGAACAAAGTTCCTAGGTTTCCGTAGCTTGTTGCTTCTCCATGCCTGTCGCCAATTTCTATTCTGATAGGGAATGCTTTCTCCTGATATTCTCGGGCCTTGTCGTAATGACCAAGTGATTTGAACAAAGTTCCTAGGTTTCCGTAGCTTGTTGCTTCTCCATGCCTGTCGCCAGTTTCTATTCTGATAGCGAGTGCTTTCTCCTGATATTCTCGGGCCTTGTCATAATGACCAAGTGATTGGAACAAAGTTCCTAGGTTTCCGTAGCTTGTTGCTTCTCCATCCCTGTCGCCAATTTCTATTCTGATAGCGAGTGCTTTCTCCTGATATTCTCGGGCCTTGTCATAATGACCAAGTGATTGGAACAAAGTTCCTAGGTTTCCGTAGCTTGTTGCTTCTCCATGCCTGTCACCAATTTCTATTCTGATAGGGAGTGCTTTCTCCTGATATTCTCGGGCCTTGTCATAATGACCAAGTGATTTGAACAAAGTTCCTAGGTTTCCGTAGCTTGTTGCTTCTCCATGCCTGTCGCCAATTTCTATTCTGATAGCGAGTGCTTTCTCCTGATATTCTCGGGCCTTGTCATAATGACCAAGTGATTTGAACAAAGTTCCTAGGTTTCCGTAGCTTGTTGCTTCTCCATGCCTGTCGCCAATTTCTATTCTGATAGCGAGTGCTTTCTCCTGATATTCTCGGGCCTTGTCATAATGACCAAGTGATTGGAACAAAGTTCCTAGGTTTCCGTAGCTTGTTGCTTCTCCATGCCTGTCGCCAATTTCTATTCTGATAGCGAGTGCTTTCTCCTGATATTCTCGGGCCTTGTCATAATGACCAAGTGATTGGAACAAAGTTCCTAGGTTTCCGTAGCTTGTTGCTTCTCCATGCCTGTCGCCAATTTCTATTTTGATAGCGAGTGCTTTCTCGTTATATCCTCGGGCCTTGTCATAACGACCAAGTGATTGGAACAAAGTTCCTAGGTTTCCGTAGCTTGTTGCTTCTCCATCCCTGTCGCCAATTTCTATTCTGATAGCGAGTGCTTTCTCCTGATATTCTCGGGCCTTGTCATAATGACCAAGTGATTGGAACAAAGTTCCTAGGTTTCCGTAGCTTGTTGCTTCTTCATCCCTGTCGCCAATTTCTATTCTGATAGCGAGTGCTTTCTCCTGATATTCTCGGGCCTTGTCATAATGACCAAGTGATTGGAACAAAGTTCCTAGGTTTCCGTAGCTTGTTGCTTCTCCATGCCTGTCGCCAGTTTCTATTCTGATAGCGAGTGCTTTCTCCTGATATTCTCGGGCCTTGTCATAATGACCAAGTGATTGGAACAAAGTTCCTAGGTTTCCGTAGCTTGTTGCTTCTCCATCCCTGTCGCCAATTTCTATTCTGATAGCGAGTGCTTTCTCCTGATATTCTCGGGCCTTGTCATAATGACCAAGTGATTGGAACAAAGTTCCTAGGTTTCCGTAGCTTGTTGCTTCTCCATCCCTGTCGCCAATTTCTATTCTGATAGCGAGTGCTTTCTCCTGATATTCTCGGGCCTTGTCATAATGACCAAGTGATTTGAACAAAGTTCCTAGGTTTCCGTAGCTTGTTGCTTCTCCATGCCTGTCGCCAATTTCTATTCTGATAGGGAGTGCTTTCTCCTGATATTCTCGGGCCTTGTCATAATGACCAAATGATTTGAACAAAGTTCCTAGGTTTCCGTAGCTTGTTGCTTCTCCATGCCTGTCGCCAATTTCTATTCTGATAGCGAGTGCTTTCTCCTGATATTCTCGGGCCTTGTCATAATGACCAAGTGATTGGAACAAAGTTCCTAGGTTTCCGTAGCTTGTTGCTTCTCCATCCCTGTCGCCAATTTCTATTCTGATAGCGAGTGCTTTCTCCTGATATTCTCGGGCCTTGTCATATTGATTAAGCGATTGAAACATTGTCCCGAGCCTTATGTAACATATTCCCTGGCCATGTGTGTCTCCAATTGTTTTCATGATGTTGACTGCTGATTCGTAAAATTTCCAGGCCTCTGTGAACTTACTTTGTACCCGAAGTATTTCTGCCAGTTTTAAATGTAGCCATCCTTTTTCAACGGTGTCATGAGAGTCTAGGCAGAGGAGAAGTTCTTTAAGAACGTTTTCTGTATTTGCGTAATCGTTTATATAATCGTAAGCACAGATTAATTTCAAGTAGATGGCACAGAACATAGTGTTTGCCAGTGAAATATCGATTACCAGCACCTGACTATGTATTATAATCAAACATTCCTTGTATACTTCGATGGCTTGCAACACGCGACCAGTTTCGCGAAGGAAGTCGGCGACCGCCATACCTGTGAAGATAGCTGGTATAGCTTCTTTTATGCTGTCCATCTTGACCCTGTTTCTTCTCAGTTTGAAAAAAAAAGGAGAAATTAGTGAAAACTTAAACACAGATTGTTTGCAAAAAATCTTTTAAGTTTTAAATTTCAAATTGCAATTTTTATCTTACTCTCCCTGCCTTGTATTTTTGTTTTCGTATTCACAGGCGGTGCACGTGATTTCACAATTAGCAAATCATGTCGAAGAACTCTAACCTTGACATTGGAAAACTGACGTGGACATTTTTGGCGTGGTTTTGTTGCTTGTTTTAACGGACTTTAGATAATTGTTTTTGAGGTTTTGTTCGCGCTATTTTTTTAACCCTTGGTATAAAATTTTGAGAAATTTTTATTTAAGCAAAATGTTGTGGTTCATTTAACAAGTTTAAAACATATTTTCTGAGGAGTTTGGACTCTAGCGTCTTTTTTTTGTAAATGGATTTTTTACATTGTCCGTCAAAGAGGAACACACCTTTGCCCTCTGTTCTACTGGAGTGTTCGTTACACTGTCACGCCAGTCACGCAAATCAGAGACCAACTGGAAAATTTAACGGCTAAGAGAACGCAACAAGTTTCATTTGACCTGCTGATTCCTACTTAGTTTACAGTAGCTCAATTCAATTGTGTGAGAGGATGCTCTTAACCAAACCGATTTACTGGGCTCTCAAGGGAGCTATTGTTGCAGAAATTGAATAAGAAAGCAGGTTTCCTTTGATCCGTGCTTCCTAAATTAAAAATACATTGTGACTCATAGATTTTGCATGTGTTCGGGGAATGTTCCATATTAGCTACCTCTGTGTGAAGGTCCTGTATTTTACGGAGGGTTTGTAAAAAATTTCCGTGCATAATCAATAATAATCAAGGAACTTTATTTGATGATCTTGCATTTTGATTGTGTATATCCTTGAAACAGATGCATTATTTGTCGGTATCGATATATAAACAATGATGTTTTTTTCCTAATATATCTCATTCAATAGAAGAACTCGTGGTTTCTTTTTAAACAGGGAAGGGAACAGTGAGATTTCTATATGCTGTTAATGTTGTTATTCTTATGATTTAATAACGATACTAGTGTTGTTTGGATTTCTAAAACAGTCAGCATCGATGCAAATTACCTTTTGAAGTTAGAAACGTTACTTATTCATATTGATGAAGGCAAAGGGACTTGTATAAGATCTTCCGAAGGAGATCAACTTTTTCCTGGAAGAAAAGAAGAAAAAAACCATGGTGAAAAGTCGGGAATTTATCAAAATTGTTTTTTTGTCCCTTGTCACGCCATCAAACTGAAAATAACCGGAATGAATCGGCTTAAAGCCAAGAAGCATCGAGAATATTTATACCAACCTGGCAAAGTCTTTCTTTCGGAGTCAATTAATTTGCACTGAATAGGCGATCGCCCAAATTTCGGACAAAATTTGATGGGGTGCAGTTTGAGAGGCCAATTTTGTTCCCTTTCATAAACTGCAAATGTAATGAGCGTAAATGAAGTTACGTTTTAGCAACGGGTAACCTATACCCACCCCACGGGTCCTATACCCACCCAGGAGCCCATTATACCCAGTAATGGGCTCCTGACCCACCCCAACCATCCATTACTATTGGAAAGGGAAACTTGCGGTAAATTCCGAGTAATCAGGAGTACCTTTGAAGGATCTTTGAAGGAAGTTTCGATAAGATTTAGGAAAAGAGTCTGTGGAAAAAACTTGACCTATTCAGAGAAAGGCTTTTCAAGAATTTGAAAATAATTTTTAAATTTCTTGAAAAATATCAATGTGTTATCTTTTAAGGGTACAACACTTATCAACCCGGCCGTTCCTCTTATTTACAACTTTGTCTTCGATGACGCAAATCACACTTACTGGAAAATGAATAGCTTATGAAGAGATAGTCATCGAGCACAAATAGCTTACCGTTTCAAGACAGAAGCTCCGATTCAGTACTGTAACAAGTCTTGACTGTAATTTTGTGTTAAAAATCCAACGGTTCTTTCAAAACAATGTATACTGAGACCGGATGTTACCTACAGCCAAAGTGAATTGTTTCATTTTTGCATGCTCACATACATCATCGGTAAAAAAGTTTGACGAACAAAACCGAAATACATTTACGTAGATTAGATGGCGCCGCTTTAAAAATAGGATAACAAATATCCTCTATCCTTATCTTTCCTTAATTAGAAGGAACACAATGAATTTCATTTAAGCTTTTATAATGGACATTGGGAAATCATATTTTTCACATAACGGTTGGAATTCTGCACGAGGTTGATGCGTTAGTGGAAAAAAAACTTCATGGTGCAAAGTCGGAAATTTATCAAAATTACTTTTTTTGTCTCTTGTCACGCCATCAAACTGAAAGTAAACGGACCGAATCGGCTTGAAGCCAAGAATCATCGAAAAAATTTATACCAATGTGGCAAAGTCTTTATTTCGAGGCCAATTATTTTGCACTGAATAGGCCACCGCCCAAATTTCGGACAAAAATTGATGGGGTGTAGTTTGAGGGGGCTAAAGTGAATTGTTTCATTTTTGCATGCGTCCGTCATCGGTAAAAAAGTTTGACGTAAAAACCGAAATATATATTCATCAGATGGCGCCCTTCAAAAGTAGGATAACAAATATCCGTCTCTCCTTATCTTTCCTTCATTGGAAGGAGCATAATGAAGGTTCATTTACGCTTTTGTAATGGACATTAGGAATTCGTATTTTTCAAATAACGGTTGGAATTCTACTCGAGGCTGGAACGTTTGTAGATAACCCTTCGGCTAACTCAGAGGATGTCGGAATTTAATCTCCAGAGAAGGTAGCTTGAAAGAAATCATCTTGCCCAGCGTCGGTTAAAAAATAAAATACAAGGCGACAGATAAACAGTTGTAATTCACAAACCGAAGAGGTCAACTTATCTATTCAATGTTATCAGTCAAGTCATGACAGATTTCCGTTCTGATTTCTCGGAAATCTAAATATAGTCGTAAAAGTAGCTTCATGGTTTTTCAAAGATCTCTGGGATTGACTAAACCGAGGTTAGACTTCAAATAAGATAGATGAGAAATTTAGTCGAATGTCTCGCCAGAGGAATGCAAATCGCGAATAATAATCTCGGTCTCAGCTGATGACGTTGTTGTCAAGCAAATTTCCTTTCGTGCGAGAAGAGGTTGCCACTGACGACGGAATATCTGCAAAAACACGAAGAAGGGGAAGAGAGGGGGAAGGGGAGGCAGAGAAAGACGCATCTCGTACCCATATGGTAGCCCTAATCTCGTACCCAGATCCTACCGATTGTAACTTTAACTGAAACAGCTTGGCAGCGATGAAGGATAGAAGATTTGAGACCTAAAAGTTACTTCCAGTTTGTTGTTATGAATGATTAGAAAATAACTTCCGGTTTTAAATATAAATAACATTTTGAAATAAAGTTATTTGAAAATCTCAATGAGAAACATCATTTCAAAAACTGCGAAATCATCAGTACCTTGGTTTCCCTGTAAAATATAAAAAAGTTTATGTTGTGTTCATTCGCGCTTTAAATTTAATTGGCCATCAGGACAAGGAAACTCCATACCTCTTCATGCGACAGAAACAGGGATAAGCTGTGGTGGTGAAGAGTCACTAGCTTCGTAATTTTTAACCCTCACAGACTTGAACACGTCTTTTTTTTCTATTTAAATTTATTAAAACCTGTAATTACCAACATTGCAACAATTTATTCCCATATAGACTCGCTAGAAGATTCCCAACTACATATTACTGATTGAACAGGGAAATTGACGAAAATCGAAAGAAACAGTTCCTTTTCTTTATTTTACTTCGGAAAAACAAAGCTAAGAAGGTCTATTCTTTAATGGGTCGAGCTTTTACGGAAGTCCCGGCCGTCAAAATTAGAGTTTTACTTCATTAAAGAGGTACATATATCAGAGGTATCATGCTTGGAAATAGAAGTTTCAATAAGCAAATGAAGCGGTTTTTTTTTCTTCTTTTGGTAATATTTACCCTTGTTAGTGAGGAAAAAGGCATAACGATAAAGCAAAACAAAATAAGCAAATAAATTTATCAACAAATAAAAAAAGTTTGTTGAATAAACAAATAGATAAAACTTGATTGGAAATAATTGTCGTCCCATTTCTTCCACTAAACCACCAGAAACGCTGGTGCATTTTTCAGTAATGTATTTCACGTTTTGCCTGCTTCGTTTGGTGATTATATAATTTGTCTCAGTTTACAAATATGCATAAGTTACATATTGCGGACCTATTTTTGCTGCAGACCTTTAGGGTAGTTTAGAGAAATGGAAAGTATCCATGGTTCAGACGAGAGAGGATAATCCTCTTTTAGTTGAGAGGAATATTTCCCCGGCAATTTTTGTTTTTGTTGAGATGAACATCGGATGAATAAAACTGTATGAGTTCGTTTTTATATCTGATACAATTTTAAATATAAATACATGACTAATATGTTAAGTAAGGAAAAAAAAGACTTAAAGTAAATTTTAAAATCTGTTGACTTTGATTGAAATAGGTCTGGGTTTTTTTTTTTATTTTTTTTCAGCAGTGATAATCCATATCCACGCTTTTTTTTTTTTTTTTTTCAAACATTCGACTTGCCAAATTTTTGCAAATCACCAAATTTTGTCCAATTTCCTAAGGATCCGATGTCCTGCCCCGCCAGTCTTGTTTGGCGGGATTTTTGTCGTCCACCTGACTGACCCTTTTTCTTTCGAGTGAGACGAATTTGAGTGCCACTTTAACTCAAATGTCTGTGACTCGTACCCTGGGTCCGGTTAAACCAGCAGCAGTTTGGAAAATTATGTCTTCAACGAGAGATTCTCCTTCGGTTGTGATTACTGAAGCCAGTGCAAGTACCACACGTCTCGACCAAAACGCAAAAGATCAGCGGGAAAAAAGGTCTGCTCCTCCGTAACAATTTGAACAAGATTTTTCTTTTTCTTTTTAGAGCGAGATGGGTTTGTGATTGGCGTATGATACAATCAGTGAAGTTCAAGTCGAAGGAAATTCGTTTGATGCGACCGCCGCCAAAGGTTGGAGAGTGTGAAAATTCTGCCCAATTTTGGTTCGTGAAAAATTGGAAAATATGTGAATGTCCTATTTTCTCTCACGAAGGGCTGACGCTCAAAACGTCAGCACTTCAAACTCTTTACGGTGGCCAATTTACAATATTAACTCAGTTGACAAGACTGAATTATTTTGATACTCTGTTCATTAAAGTTATCGAGTAGGATTTCCTTTTTCAACAGAAAAGAATAAATTAAAGTATTTCTCTTGCTTTTTTTCTTTAAGAACCTTAATGATTCAACAGTTAATAAAATTCTAGGATACTGAGAAGCATATGTTAGAAAAAAAGTTTCAAGGCGAGGGATAAACAGTTGCATATCATTCATTTGTTAGCTCTAGGGTGTTTTGAAAAATGGTCTTCGGTTTTGTTCCATATAATAAGGCGATACAAATTGGGAATGCATTCAATAAATGGGGCTTAAAACTTGTGTACAGTTGGTAAGAATGATTAATTTTAAATATGAATAACATTTTGAAATAAAGTTATTTGAAAAATTATTTGGGAAACATTTAAAAAAATTCTATATCATTAGTACACTGGAAAATAAAATAAAAGTTATGTGGAGTTCATTTATTTTCTAACAATAATTGGCCATCAGGACACCAGAGCTGAGGCAACAAAACTCCATACTTCTTTATGCGACAAAAACAGAGATAAGCTGTGGTATTTACTACTAATCCTCACAGATTTGAGCATATTTTTCTGTGCTATTTAAAAATTTTCATACCCGTAATCGGCTGAACTGCAGCGATTTCATGCTCATATAAACTCGCATAAAGATTTCTCAGTACATGTCCCTGGTTGCGCGGCGAACTGGACATTTACCCCGTGGATGAAGCGAGTTCACAGGGTCGAGTTTTAAACGTTGTGAATCGCATGTGCCACAACAATCACAGCTCTTGCACGTATTGCAGACCTAAGAAGTTTTTCTTAATCCTGCAAGAATGGTTTGATGGATAACTCTTCGCCGGAATCACATAACCGGAAATTTTTACACTCTTGTTCTTTCGGCCACTACTTTCATGGTAAGAAATAATTTTGGAAAAAAAATGAAAAGTTAAAAAGAGTAAATGTAGTGCTTTCTTCATCTCTTCTATATTTGCCTTTACTACAGAAAAAAAATGACTCAGGGTTAAAGCAATAAATAAATAACTGAATAAATAGATGAATCAAAAATGATGATAAAATATTTAATAGACATATAAATGAAACTTCCCTCCCATTTCTTCCACCAAACTATCAGATACGCAGACACATTGTTCATTAACTGAATCCTTTGTGTCAAACAAAATGGAACACGTTAATGAAAGCGCAGTGCTGAATGGACAGTTGACATCATGGAAAATAAATTGTCCCATCTTAGTGCTTTATTTGGTGATCAGATAATTTGTCTGCGTTAACAAATAAACATGAATTACTATTGCAGACCTATTTCTACTGCGAAACTTCTAGTCAGTTGAGACAAATGGGAAGTATCCATAATTAATATGAATATTTCAATGGACATTTTCATTTGTTGAGATAAGATAACCCCCCCCCCCCTCCACTTGTTTCAAGCAGAGTTAAGAAAACTAGAGAAAACATCAGAGGATGTGGAAATGATTACCGCAATCGCTAAACGAGAAGTGTCGGTGGCAACTGAAGGCGTGATCACAAAGATGTAACAGCAAGAAAAACAGCTTATAGAATCCTTAGAAATGACGCGTAGGAGGAGAATAAAGCGAATCAACTCGGCTAAACAAGAACTGGAATCTCTGGTAAAACAAATTAATGAAGCAGCTGAATTTGCGGAGAACCTGGTGCAGCGAAGATCAGCGGCAGATATCATACAGAACAAAAACAAATTAAGGCAGAAACTTGATGAGCTTCGTGTCATTCGTGGAGTTGAAGTTCCAAAACATCGCCAGGCTACATTGTCAAATTTGCCGCCGCATCGCAACACAACTTTAAACTGGGTTCTATTCGGGTCTCCAAGGAGCCGCCAATCGCAGCTAAATCAACTCTAGAAGGATTGGATCAAACTTTTCAAGTTGTTAACGTTGTGCCCACGGACATCTGGCGGAGAGATGAGTGACCACGCTGATCTCAAAGATCAACTCGAATTGCTAATAACACCCGCCAAAGGTGTGACGAATGTGACTCTTGATGAGAAATATGACGGTAATGTTAGACTGAAGTTTATTCCCAAACTACCTGGGGCCTACAGCACTGAGGTGAAGATTAATGGCGATAAACTACCGATCTGTCCCATCACTGTGCATGTTAAAGAACGTGAACTTGTCGTGGTCGGTGAGTTGAAGATAAAGCTCTTTCCAGGACACACGCTTAAACGGTTATATGGAGTTGTTGTGAATACAGAAGGCCAGATAGTTGTGACAGATAACCTTGGCAACTGTTTATATGTTTTTGATAAAGATGGCAACTGTATGAGAAAAATCGGACGCAAGCGTAGTCATAGAGGACAATTTCAGTTTCCTAATGGCATTTCGTTTTTAAATGACAACGAAGTCCTAATTGCAGACTTAGGCAATTGCAGAATACAACGACTTAATATTCAAACAGGAACTGTGGTGAAAAGTTTTGGACAAGAAGGCAGGGAAAAAGGAGAGTTTAGCAGGCCAAAAGATGTTACTGTGGATGATAAAAAGCGCATTTAATAGTGTCGTTTGCTCCCTTGACTCTGATGATCCCTTGACTCTGATGATGACTTCCGCTCAGGTCGTCGAAACGTCAGTCACCACTACCGACAACAGTCCTTCTCAGGACTACACTCACCCGGACGATCAAACTACACTATTACATGCTACCCCCGGGTTCAAACCATTTACTGTAAAAAGCGCATTGCTGTAACCGAGTGGGGCAATGATAGTATACAGGTGATGTCAAAGGAAGGAGAGTCTATTTTTACATTATTTCTGTGCATCGTCATTTGAATAATCTAGAGCAAGAAATTTAACGGCGAGTCCTCAAATATGTCTAGTCCAACAGAAAAACTACATGCTGTATAGAAACATTTAACAAATTTGACTTTTTTGTAGGCTGATAATTTATAGCTGGAGAACGTTGAGACCATGTGCTGCTTTTTGTAATCATTAGTTGGTCAGGATATATTAAGTCCGCGTTTTTCAACCTAAGAAAATATGTATATCCCTAAGTAAGCTTTGTCTCAAGAACAATTCATGATTGCATAATTTCATATGTATAAATAATCAACAAGTACAAGAAGTAAGGTGATAACTGTATTTAAAAATGGGCATCTACTGGTTAATTAAATTATAATTAGAGGTGGTTAGTGATTTGCTAACTAAGCTTAACTGTTAGCTCTTACCTGTTATGAAAAATAGTCTTAGGTTTTGTTCCATATAACGTGGCGATACAGAATAGGAATGCATTTAATAAATGAGACTTACAAGTTTCCAGTTGTTGTTATGAATGATTAGAAAATATCTTCCAGTTTTAAATAATTATAAATAACATTTTAAAATAAAGTTATTTGAAAATTTGATTGGGAAATATCATTTCCAAAATTGCAAAAACCTTAGTTTCCCTTGAAAATAAAAAAGGTTATGTCGAGTTCATTTATGCTTGAAATATAATTGGCCATCAAGAAACTAGAGCTGAGGCAACAAAACTCCATACATCTTCAGAAAAAACAGGGATAAGCTGTGGCAGTAAAGAGTCAATAGCGTTGTAAGATTAACCCTGAGAGATTTGAACATGTTTTTTCTACACCATTTAAAATTTTTCATACCCGTAACCGGCTCAAATGTGGCGATTTCATTCTCATATAGAATTGCTTAAAGATTTCTCAGTACATCTCCCTGATTTCCCAGCGAACTTAACACTCATCCCGTGGAAGAAGCGAGTTCACAGGGTTGGGTTTTAAACGTTGTGAATCGCACGTGCCACAACAATTACAGCTCTTGCACGTAGTGCAGACCTAAGAGGGTTTTCTTAATCCTACAGCGATGGTTTGATGGATCACTTTTTGCCAGAATCACATGAGCGGAAAAGTTTATATTTTTGTTCTTTCGAGCACTATTTTCATCGTAAGATATAATTCTTAGAACAAAAAAAAAACAAAAAAAGAGAAAAGTTTTAAAGAGTAAATGTAGTGCTTTTTCCATCTCTTCTATATTTGCCTTTACTACAGAGAAACTGACTCGAAGATAAGGCAATAAATAAATGAGTTGATAAATGAGTAAAAACTGATAAAAAATGTTTAATAAACAAATAAATAATAGGCAATCGGAAAAAATGCCCTCTCATTTCTTTCACCAAACTAACAGATATGCAGACACATTGTTCATTAACTGAATCTTTAGTGTAAAACTAAATGGAACAAATTAACGAAAGTGCTGATTGGACAGTTGACCTAATGGAAAATAAATTACCTCATCTGTGTCTTTCCCTTTTGGTGCTTCATTTTGTGATCAGGTCATTTGTCTGCATTAGCAAATATACATGAATTACTATTGCGGACCTATTTCTGCTGCGAAACTTTCAGTCAGTTCAGACAAATGGGAAGTATCCGTAATTAATATGAATATATCACGGTCCATTTTCATTTACTGAGATAAAGGTCTAGCGCAAAAAAATTTATAGAGTTTGATTTCATCTCTTCCCCGCTTCCACCCCCCCCCCACCCCTGATTTCTCGCGAACAAAGTGCTAGCGAAACGGGAAGCGAAATAAACAAACGACATGAGGCTAATTTGCATAAATTAGTTCGCGTGCCTTGCTGCATGACCTGTAGATACAAAATTAGAATTTTTATTCTTTCACGATTACCGATGTTGTTGGCCAACATACTCTATTCCAAATAGCAAAGGCTACAGCATTTACAATAAAATAAGAAATAATTCAAACTGTAATAAGTAAATTGAAGTATCGAAGTATCGTCTTATTTTGGCCTTCAATTCACTTGTCGCTTCCCACTTTAACAATTGTATCTCGCTGTAAGAGCCTTAATGATTCAACAGTTGATCAAATTCAAGGATATTGAGAGGAATATGTTTAAAAGATAGTTTCAAGGCAGCAGATAAACAGCTAAAAGTCACAAACTAATCTATTGAATGTTATCAGGCAAGTCGTGACAGATTCTCCGAAATTTAAATATAGTCGTAAAGAGTAGCTTTATGGTTTTTCAAAAGAAAACTATTTATTCTCTGTTTTCATTGAATGATGTTTTCAAAACCGTAGGCGTTTTTATACCTGTGTTTTCAAAGATCTCTGGGATTGACTAAACCCAGGATAGACTTCAAATAAGATAGATGAGAAATATAGTCGACTGTCTCGCCAGGGGAATGCAAATCACAAATTATTATTTTGACCTCAGCTGATGACGCGCCGAATTTCCTTTCATGCAAGAAAGGGTTGCCACCGACGACGGAATAACTAATTCTAAATTCTAGGATGCGATTGGTCGGAGGAAGTCAGTTATCATAGACTTTATGCTGTTTTCTCTGAAACTGAAATAGTATCCCTTTGATGACGTGTTTTGAAAGGGATCGTCGCTTGAATAACGAAGGAATTTACCACAGTTTAACCGACGATCGTCATGGATCCTCTCTTTAAGAATCTCAAGAAACAAGTTACTTGCTCGATTTGTCTCGATACCTACACCGAGCCTAAAACTATATCATGTCTTCATACATTTTGCTGTGAGTGTTTAGAGAGACATGCAAGAGTGAGCCAGAGACATGGGAAATTCAGATGCCCCGAGTGTCAGGCAGAAATCGATTTACCGCAAGGAAATCGCTTCGACCGTTTGCCCAACAGCTTTTTTCACAAAAGTCTGTTAGGTGTCCTTGAAGCAGAAGATCGCCAAGCCATTCCGAGGCAGCAACAGGAAACTTGCTCGCAACATATGGAAGAAAGAGTACGATATTACTGCTCCTCGTGTGATGCGTGTATTTGTCCGATTTGCGTCGTCGAAGACCACCGAAGTCATGCGTTTGACTTGCTTGAAAAAGCAGTGCAAGAGGATAAGAAAAACATTATGTTGACTGCCGAGACCATCAAGGAAAAGGCAAACTTGTTTCGAGCAAAGTTAAGAAAATTAGAGAAAACATCAGAGGATGTGGAAATGAATATCGCAATCGCTAAACAAGAAGTGTCGAAGGCAACTGAACGCGTGATCACAAAGACGCGACAGCAAGAAAAACAGCTTTTAGAGTCCTTAGAAATGACGCGTAGGAATAGATTAGACCGAGCTAACTCGGCTAAACAAGAACTGGAATCTCTGGTAAAACAAATGCTCCAAGCAGCTGAATTTGCGGAGAATCTGGTGCAAAGAGGGTCAACTATGGATATCATACAAAACAAAAACAAATTGAGGCAGAAACTTGAAGAGCTTCGTGGAGTTGTAGTTCCAAAACGTCGCCTGGCTACATTTGTCAAATTTACCGCTGCATCGCAACGCAACTTTAAACTGGGTTCTATTCAAGTCTCTGAGAAACCGGCAATCGCAGCTAAATCAACTCTACAAGGACCGGATGAAACTTTTCGGGCTGGTGTAGAAGCAAAGCTTACCTTGTGCCCCCGGACATCTGGAGGAGAGATGAGTGACTACGCTGATGTCGCAGATCAACTCGAATTGCTAATAACACCCGCCAAAGATGTGGCAAACGTGACTGTTGATGAGGAATATGACGGAAATGTTGGACTGAAGTTTACTCCCAAATTACCCGGGGCCTACAACATTGAAGTGAAGATTAATGGCGATAAACTACCGACCTGTCCCATGACTGTGCAAGTAAAAGAACGTGAACTCGTTGTGGTCGGTGAGTTGGAGTTAAAGCTCCTTCCGGGGGACACGCTTGAACGGCTATATGGCATTGCTGTGAATACAGAGGGCCAGATAGTTGTCACAGATAACTTTGGCAACTGTGTCTATGTCTTTGATGAAAATGGCAACTGTTTTAGAAAAAGTAGAGGCGAGGGTAGCAATACGGGACAATTTCAGTACCCTGACGGCATTTCGTTTTTAAATGTCAACGAAGTCCTAATTGCTGATTACAGCAATAATAGAATACAACGACTAAATATTCAGACAGGAACTGTAACTAAAAGTTATGGGAAAAAAGGCAAAGAGAAAGGCGAGTTTGGCAGGCCAATAAACGTTACTGTGGATGATGAAGAGCGCATTGTTGTAACCGAGCGGGGCAATGATAGGATACAAGTGATGTCAAAGGAGGGAGAGTCTATTTTCACATTTGGAGACAAAGGCCCAGAGAAACTCCGAAATCCAACCTGCTGCATTACCTACGAAAACATGTTTCTCGTATCTGATGAAGGCAACCACTGCATCAAAGCGTTTGATCAGTTAGGAACATTCTTATACAAGTTTGGTGGAGAAGGGTATCAAGATGGACATTTTAACACGCCGCATGGTTTGCTTGTAGACAGCTCCAGTAACCTTCTAGTATGTGACTTTGGCAATAACCGAGTTCAGGGGTTTTCTCTAGATGGTCGCTTCACCGGCAAAAGTATCACTCGTTTACCACTCCCTACTGCGATAACAAAAGCACCAGACGGGCGCATTCTTGTCACTAGCAATGATGAGAAAAAAGTGTACATTTTGAAATAGACTTTTTCAAAAGTGAACTTTGCTTCTTGAGTCGCTCCTTATTGTGTTTGGTTTTATTTTTTTTATGCTGTTTTATTATTTGTCTGGAAGAACGATAATATCCACAAGACTTACAATCACACTTGGAGACAAAATCCTTTTGACTCGAAGTAATTAGCCCAGGTCTTACAATTTTGTCAGTTTCAAGCCGTTTTAATCTTCTTCATCCCACTTCACTTGGCCATCTATGTTTCTTTTCGGTTTATTAATATCCTCTTTAATTGTTGTTTCTTCGATCTAAAGTTTTGTCAAATTTTTTTTTTAAGGTAGGGTATTTCTGTGTATCGTTGGTGGCGATTTCAATAATCTAACCCGAGAAATTCAAGATTCAACGGCGAGTCCTCAATAATGTCTAGAGCAGCAGAGAAACTACATGCTAACATTTAACAAATTTGACTATTTTTAATAGGCTGAGAACATATAGCTGGAAAACGTTGGGACCATGCGCTGCTTTTTGCAATCTTTAAGTGGTCAGGATAGATAAAGTTCAGGTTTTTCAATCTAAGAAAATATATCTTTAATTATGCTTCAATTCAAGAACAGTTTATGATTGCATAATATCACATGTATAAGTAATCAACAAGCACAAGAAGTAAGGTGACAACTGTTTTTAAAAATGGGCATCTGTTGGGTAATTACGTCATAATTAGAGGTGGTTACTGATTTTCTAGGTAAGCTGAAGTGTTAGCTCTAAACTGTTTTGAAAAATAGTCTTCGGTTTTTTTCTATATAATATGGCGTGACAAATTAGGAATGCATTGAATAAATAAGACTTAAAAAGTTATTTCCAGTTTGTTGTAATGAATGATTAGAAAATAAGTTCCAGTTTAAAATATAAATAACACTTTGCAATAAAGTTATTTGAAAAATTCATTAGGAAACATCACCATCTTAATTGCAAAATCATCAGTCCCTTGATTTCACTGGAAAAGGTTAAGTCGAGTTTTTTTTTTTCATCTCTTTAGATGTTTTGAGATACAAAAGCATTAAGTCACTTTCTTAAGCCCTTTCTTTAGGCAGGTAAAAGTTTTAACGGTTTTGGCAAGTTAAAAACTAACTAAAAAAACAAAAGAAACAAGCAGAAACAAAACATAAAAAACAAATGTGCCTAAATGTATCATTCATAAACATTTAGTTAGAGGGGCTACATCCTTTAGTACCTTAATCACTTAGTGTCACTAGCTTATAATTTCTCTTTACAGTATCACCCTTACATCAAACAATAAGGTCATGAGAATAAAGGAAATGATCACCAGTTAAAGAAACTCTTGATTGTTAAGCAAATTCCCCTTTTCAGTAAGTTAGGAATGTTTAGAGAACAGTATGGAGAATATGCATACTGATGTTAGGGTGTAATGGGTTAATAAGCTATGCACTGTGCATAGAGCAATAACCTTCTTAAATTAGCTTCAAATGAACTTACAAGTATGTTAGTCTTATGGCTGGATAAAAGACAGACTACAGTTTGTATATTTCGTAAGCTACCTGGCTGTTCTATTAGTACCTTCAGTCAACAGTAATTTTTGTTAGCACTTATAGCAGAGAGGCAGATCAAATTAAAAATAAGAGTATTTTCAAATATTAATTGTCACAGTATATGTACATACGGTAGTCAAAACTTATCTGTGAGTATAAGCCATATCAGAGGACTCAGAGCTTTAAAACAGTCGACAAAAGTCAACTACTCTTTTAACAATGATTATCATTATGAATTGTCAGTTAGTAAACCTTACAAAAAAAAACAAAGCTAACTACAGAACAACAAAAAAACCAACTATACTGAGTTTTCTCCTTATGCCAAAACAATAGATAATGGTGGTCATAATAAAAACAATAATGACAATGATATTGATAATAATGATAATAATAATAATAATAATTATTATTATTATTATAATGACAATAATGATAATTATTAACAACAGTACTAATGACAGAAAATTAATTAAACAAAAACCGAAAAATACCACCAAAAACAAATTAATTTAAAGAGACTGAAAAAAATAAAAAATTCTATTCTTAATCACTTCTGGTAATCTGTGAAATTCAGTGTGACATACCTCCCTCAAAAGATACATACTCTGTGCATTATTTGAAATTATATAATAAGCTAAATTGTGCAAGTATTTTGATTGATTCTCACTCATGGTTCATAATTTATTGGAGAACAGATGCATAGATGGCCTTGCCATTAACAAACTTTTGCTTTGTTTTCATTTGAAACAAATAGATTCCATGTCGTTGTCAGTCTGTATAGTAATAGATCACAGAAGACTTCAATATGTTGTAAGAACTTCAGTGATATACTTAACTGTGCCTCATGCACCATTTGTTTTGTTTTCACCACATTTTGACATCATCTGTGATATATTACTGAACAGAGCTCAGTTGTAAAAAGGGCAGATAACACTATTCAACCAAAAAATTGCTTTCCAGCAGATAGGAGATAGCAAAACGTACAGCACTTTCCAGTGGATGGAAATTTATCCAGTGAATAGCATTATCTGACCTTCAAACAGCCAGAGCCAAATGAACAGCAATATGGATGGGGGCCAGAAAGGAGTGGTCGTTGATTCATTATTGTGATATAAAAACAAAAAAACCACAAAAGGCAATCAGATAAAGGCAAATAATATAATAACAATGGACCTAGAATTCAACACAACTCAAAAACCTTGGCTACAGGATTAACTAAGCCCTGATTGGTTTTACATAGACAGTCATTTTACATCTGACTGGTTGAGTGGATGATATAAATTTTGTAGACCAATCAAATGGTAGGAAAAGAATTTTGTACACCAAGTGAAAATTGCTCCAACACCCATCCAGAGAGAGTGGCATAAAATTACAAATACAAAAGGTAGATTTACTAGTGACTACAAAATTGTATTTAAAGACAGCATGAGCTTGATTACATTTAACAACATTCTGGGAAACTGGGGCCTGATGAAGGGCATGGTGCACTGGGAGCAGGAGGCTGATGAGGAGCTGAAAAAAGAGGCCTGTGTGAGTGCTGAATCAAACATTGAGGTCATGAGAATAAAAGAAATGATCATTCACTAAAGGAGCTCTTGACTGTTAAACAAATTCCTTTTGTCAGAACCATAGGAAATGTATAGAGAACATTATGGAGAATATGAACACTGACAGAGGTTAAGAGAATTAAGTCAGAATAGTCCATTTAACAATTGTGTGCTTGGTCACTAAGTCTTTGAACAGGAGTGAGGCAAAGGGGACTTTGTTACAATACAAATGTTGCTCTTTCTCAAAAGTAAACTACTTTGTTATCATGGTAACTAGATACTGGTCTTTGTCACAACACTAGGTCACCTTGAGCCTCACTCCAAATTAAAGGCTTGGCAAGTCTAAGTACACAACTGTAATGCGATTTATACTTGCAAAGCTGAAGAGAAATGCCAAGTTTTAGAAGGTCATCTAACTAAACATTACAAGAAACCAACATTGTCAATAGTCATACCTGGTGGAGAGGGGGCAGCACTGTGGTTATTAAAAGGGCCCCCAGGGTAGGGGGTAGCTTTTTTTCTGAGGGATAATTGGGTGGTAAATCTGGCAGACCAGAGATGTAGGGTGGGACATTTCCCTGTTGAGTAAAAAAGATGCAGCCATGTTAATATTATCATTTTCAAATTCAACAAATTTTATCAAATTATTTTGTAAATGTTATGTGATATTTTGAGTGCCTTTCTTTCCCCAGTTGCATGACTGAGTACTATGCCTCAAGATATTACCACATCTTATGGTGAAAACCTCCAAAAGTGCTTACCATCAATATCAGTCATAACAACCATATTTAGACTGGAGGCCCCAACAATGTTTCTTCCTCTAAAAACAAGTGCTATGGGCAATATTAACCCTTTCACTCCCATGAATGACCAAGACAGAATTTCTCATTACCATATCAAGACAACATCAAGCAGATAAGTGATGAGATGAAATAAGTTGATCCAACACCAAATTCTCTGAACTAACATCATAAGAGTTGTATGACAGTAAGAAGAATTACTAAATGACATCCTGGGTGAAAGAGTTATAGTACATCATGCAATATTGTACTAAGTGCCTTTTATGTGTTTCAGAATTGCATAGAACACAGAAACAAAAATGAAAAAGGTTGCATTTACAGCCGTGAAGGGTTCTCTCATTTTCAACACCTTTTCATAACCCCACAACAAAATTAAGAGTGACTTTTTTCTCTGTCAGTGTTTTTAGTGACTTGTGTAAGGCAGCATACATGTAAGCTAAATGGTGGAATAATGACTCACATGTGTTGCTGGAGGGTATGCTGCATATCCCATGTTACCTCCTGTCATGGGTGGAGTACCAGGCCCATTAAAGCCTGCTCTGTAGCCCTCAAATCCAATAAGCCCTCCTCCACTGCTAAAACCTCCTCCACTGGGTGGCCTTGGCTTGATGTCGTCATCAGGAGGTACCTGAGCTCCCTATTCCCTATTGGGAAAGACTTTAACAATTATTAACATGATGTTTAACTTGTGCCACAATCATTCAATCATGATTCACTAGCCCCAAGTATGGACTCCTGTCCAGGGTGAGTAGCATGATGTTGGTGGCATGGTAGGAGCATAGGTGGTGGCATTGGCTGGCAGAATTCATTTAGCGTAGCTGTATAAACTAATTGCTAGTGGCATTAGCTGATTGCACCAGGCTAATGGCATAAACTAGTTGCTCTCTTTTTTTCCTGGATAACAATTTGTCTTAGTTTAAACTCACACTCTTATTCAGTGAGCAATTTTTTATTTTTATTTTTCTGGTTTAGAGACACAACTTAAAATTTGGTATTAATAAACCTACAGTGTAAAAGCTATCAGGAATTGTCAAATTACAGTAAAGTTAACACTCACTCTTTGATTTACTGCACTATTGGCATTGATTGCTGCTTCATGTCCAAACTTTTTGCCCTACTTCAGTCCTAACTGGTCACAGATCTGCACATTATGACAAAAAAAGAAAACAATATTAATAGTAAATCAATTGAATAATAATTGGCAAATTACTCAAAAATAACTTTCAAGACCTAAATACAGTGTTTGCATCATTCTACTTTGTATAATTTATAAATAAATTCAATTAAGTAATAATTATCCAATAATACAAAACATTGTTATTGACTACTACTGTAACTCTTTATTCAATCATCATCATTATTATTAGTTATAATTAATAAAAATACAGTAATTTTCTTTTTTTTTTCTTTTTAAACATTGTGCATCCACCTCAGTGGTATTGACTTAAGGTGAGTCTAAGAGAATTTGAGGCAAAACAGTCACGGCCATAAATTTGGGAATTGAGATATGTCCAGAAATGCATGCAGTAATAAAAATGGAGAAAACTCGCTAAAATTGTCAAATCCAGGAACATTCACTCAGTTTGACAAAAGTCCATGACCATTCACTTCATTTAACTAAATTTAGTGAAATCTGCTATTTTTGTCACTGCATGCATTTCTAGACAACAGTGGGAAGTTGGGAGGGAAAAAGGGGACATGTTATCCAGATTTAAATATCTTAAGATTTAGGATTTACAGTGGTTTGCATCTGTGCTACAAAATAATTTGTGATCACCAATGTTAGGTCATTCAATCTAAATTCTGCAAAACTGTTGAAGGGGCTCATATTTAGCACTAAAAGGAAGAAAACTCACAGATGATCATGAGGAGAATTCAAAGTCAGTTGATCATCAAAAAAAGCACTCCCCGTTTAGATATTGGACACCATCAGTTTTCTACACATATCTCAATTCTCACAGCTTTCAATTTGAAACCTGATAACCTAATGACAATTTTTGTAGACCGTCCAAAAATAAAGAAAAGGCCAGACCTCAACTTTTTTAAGTTTCCAGGTGAAAAGAGACTAAGTGAGAACTGGAGAGCCTTCTGTTGTCATGGTGATAAGGAGTTCACATCCATCAAGAACTTACATGTATGCTCTGAACACTTTGAGACAAAACAAATCAATTGAACTGGACACTTTTTGGGATGAAAAGGTTAGCACACAGCACAGTTCTATCAATATTTAATCAGTGAACAGTCCCTAGAAGTCCAAGTCAATACAAAAAAAAGGTCCAATTAGCTGAGAAAATGAAGACAGCAAAGAAGTAATTGCCATGTGTCAACTGATATTGCTCTGAAAGATAATGATTATGTCCTTGAGGGTCAGTAATTCATTAACAGCTTCACTGTCTTTTTGGAATGGGAAGGCCCTTTTATGTGGCATATTTTGTAAAAATTGGAGGCTGTTATCCTTCCTGCCCTCTGTGAAAACCTTAATTCTGAATTACCAGTACTTTGACTGAGTGTTTTTTGAAATATTACCTCAGTAGCAAACTTTGAATGATGTAGAAATTTCAAAAAGGTACTACATTACTCGTATATAGGATTTGGCAAACTTTCAAAATTTTATTTTGAGCAATAAAATAATATGTCAGCTAATTCTTTAATTCTTTCTGCATATTCTATAATTTCCTCATGATCAATGTTGATCGATGCGATCTGGTCCAAGAGTTCTTTCTTCCTTTCTGCCTGGATTGAAGTTTTTGCCATAAACTGCAAAGCCACACGTCAAGGGGCAGCTTCCAACAAAGTATTATAAAACTTCTATTGAAATTGAATGATTGGGTGAGATTATCAGATCCACAACTATTTTTCCAAATTCTGATTTTTGAAATTGAACATCTTCCATTGGAAAAGCATTTCTGTGAATTTTTTTCCGTTTCACCCTTAGGCAAGAAACTGAGGTGCAAGTCTCCAGCTAATTTCATCTAATACTTGCTTCCAAATCAAACAGAGCTGCAGCTGTATGTCCACATGCACCATCAACATTATAAAAAGAAATAAAATGAGAGGTCACTAATCTCCTATACCTTAGAGAGTCAGTTTATTCGCACAGAAAATCAATATAACAAAAAAAATTGGAAAAACACTGGCTTGTTCGCTTGCACAGAAAATTGAAAAAAAATTACAGCTGACACATGTGACTTACCCGCCTTTACAAGCACAGTAAGCATAGGAAATGCTTCCAATATTTTTAAGCACGATAAAACCCCAGTAGAGGTCTTTGCATCTTCGGTTTAAGATCTCTCATTTAAAATCACTTTGAACTGGAAATAGCAGTATCCGGTCTGTTTACCTGTCCCATCAGAAATTAAATCGTGGTACTTCAGATCCTTCACATGCCCGTCAACAAATAAGCGAAAACCCTCAAAGACTTTTATACGACCGTAAACAGTCTTCATCGCAACCATCTCTTCCAACCAGATAATGGTAAATATTGGGAAACCTGAAGTCTGGAATACCTGTGAACTCATGAACCCAAAACTTCAGCGAAAGTGGATGGGAAGTACTTTTCCTCTTGGCAATGTTATTGTCGAATTAATCAACTCGTCGTGCTCCTCTGTTTCCTTTTCAAGTTTTGGAAGTTTTATATCGCCACATTCTTGCAAAGCTCTTGCATTTCTTCTCCTCCTCTACTCTTACCGATTAAAGAAATTTTAATATCCCTTTCTTTCAAAAACTTGTGTAGTTCTGGAACTTTCATATTTGTGAAGAGAGAATCATTCGCTGCAATGTTTCCCCCCAGCCTCAGCTTGATGTCAAAACTAGTTACCAGACCTTCTTGCACAAATAATTCGAGCACGTCGTCAATAAGCTTCTTTGATGCTGATACTGATGGAGTCGCTTTTGATAAACCTCAAGGAACAAGTTACTTGTTCGATTTGCCTCGATACCTACTCCGAGCCCAAAACTATATCATGTCTTCACACGTTTTGCTGTGAATGTTTGGAGAAACATGCAAGAGTGAGCCAGAAACAGGGAAAATTCAGATGCCCCGAGTGTCAGGCAGCGATCGATTTACCAGAAGGAAATCGCTTCGACCGTTTGCCTAACAGCTTTTTCCATAAAAGTTTGCTGAGTCTTCTCGCTGTTCGACAAAGTGGCGAGGCAAGTAGCATTACTTGTTATCAATGCAGCGCAACCAACCCTCAGATGTACTACTGCTTCGATTGCGGACGATTCATGTGCCCTGAATGTTTCAACGCACATGAATTGCTGAAGAAGTCTTTTCAAGGACACAAAGTCACGCCAGTTCAAGACTTCAAAACAGAAGATTACGAAGCATTGTTGAGGCGACAACCGTTTTGTTCTCAACAATTCCACGAGAGAGAAATTACACGGTTTTTTTGTTCGCAGTGTCAAGTTTGCATTTGTCAAATTTGCATAGTCACGGATCATCAAAACCACAAAGTTGTTCTTCTCGACAAAGCAGCACACGAGGAAAAGGATAACATCATTTCGGGCGCTAAATTGATCAAGAAAATGGAAAGCGAGCTCCAGGAAGTCACTAAGCAGTTTGAAGAAACCATTTCTAAGCTGGAAAGCAATATGGAAACGGCTAAGCGAGGCGTCGAGCAAACAGCTGAAAAAATGATCGCAAATATTCGAGAGCGCGAGCGAGAGGCGTTAGAATCCCTCGAGGCAACACGCGTGTCGAGACTCTATAAAATTAACTTGGCCAAACAGGAAGTGGAATCCTTAGTAAAACAAATGAACCAAGCAGCTCAGTTTGCGGAAAACCTGGTGCAGAGAACCTCAAGCTCGGATATTATGCAGAACAAAGAAACTTTAAAGACCAAATTTGAAGAGCTTCTGCGAGTTGCAGTTCCAAAACATCAGCAGACGACATTCATCAAATTCACTGCGACATCTCAAAAGAACTTAAAACTGGGTTTTATTGAAGTCACCGAAAGCACCGCAAAGGCAGCTAAATCAACTTTAGAAGGACTGAATCAAACTTTCCAGGCTGGTTTAGAAGCAGAGTTTACGTTGTGTCCAAAGACATCTGGAGGGGAGATAAGTAACCAGCCTGATCTAAAAAATCAAAGATGCTACAGACTTGATTGTTGAAGAAAAAGAAGACGGCAATCTTAGACTGAAGTTTATTCCCAAAGTACCTGGCGCCTATAGCATTGAGGTGAAGATTAATGGCGATAAACTACCGACCTGTCCCATGACTATGCTGGTAAAAGAACGTGAACTTGTTGTGGTCAGGGAGTTGAAGTTGAAGTTTTTTCCAAGGGACACGCTTAAAGGGTTGTATGGAATTGCTGTGAATACAGAAGGCCAGATAGTTGTGACAGATAACGTTGGCCACTGTGTTTATGTATTTGATAAAGATGGCAACTGTATGAGAAAAATTGGAGGACAATTTCAGTTCCCTAATGGCATTTCGTTTTTAAATGACAACGAAGTCCTAATTGCAGACTCGGGCAATTGCAGAATACATCGACTTAACATTCATACAGGAACTGTTGTGAAAAGTTTTGGAAAAGAAGGCAGACAAAAAGGAGAGTTTGAGGTGCCAAAAGACGTTACTGTGGATGATGAAGAGCGCATTGTTGTAACCGAGTGGGGCAATAATAGGATACAGGTGATGTCAAAGGAGGGAGAATCTGTTTTCACATTTGGAGACAGAGGCCCAGAGAAACTTGGCCATCCAACCTGCTGCATTCCTTACAAAAAGATGTTTCTCGTAACTGATGCAGGCAACCACTGCATAAAAGCTTTTGATCAGTCAGGAACATTCTTATACAAGTTCAGCAGAGAAGGGTATCAAGATGGAAAATTTAAATGGCCGCATGGTTTTCTTGTAGACAGCCCTAATAATCTTCTAGTATGTGACTCTGGCAATAACCGAGTTCAACAGTTTTCTTTAGACGGTCGCTTCGCCGGCAAAAGTATCACTCCTTTATCTACGCCTGTGGCGATAACAAAAGCACCAGACGGGCGTATTCTTGTTACTAGCAATGATAAGGAAAAAGTGTACATTTTGAGATAGACTTTTTCAAAAGTGAACTTCGCTTCTTGAGCCGCTCCTTACCTGTGTTTATTTTTAATGCTATTTTATTACTTGTCTGGAAGAACTCTTAGCAATCATATCAAGACTTACAATTATACTTGCAGACAAAAACCTTTTGACTTGAAGTAATTAGCCCAGGTCTTTCAAGTTCGTCAGTTTCAAGCCGTTCTAATCTTCTCCATCCCTCGTCACTTGGCCATCCATGTTTCTTCTCGTTTTATTAATATCCTCTTTAATTGTTTTTTCTCCGATCTAAAGGCTTTATTTTTGTTTTTTCTTTAAGTTCGAGGTATTTTTTGCGCATCGTTGATAGTGATTTGAATAATCTACACCAAGAAATTTAACGGCGAGTCCTTAAATAATTGCTAATATAGCAGAAAAACTACATGCTGCATAGAAACATTTGACAAGTTTGACTCTTTTCATAGACTGAGAATATATAGCTGGAAAACATTAAGACCGTGTGCTGCTTTTTTCAATCATTGACTGGTCAGGATAGATTAAGTCGGGTTTTTCAATCTAAGAAAATATCTGTTAATTAAAATTTCATTCAAGAACAGTTTATGATTGCAAAATTTCACTTGTATAAGTAATCAACAAGCATTAGAAGTAAGATGACAACTGTTTTTAAAGATGTGCATTCACTGGGTAATTACGTCATAATTAGAGGCGGTTACTGATTTTCTAACTTAGCTTAAGTGTAAGCTCTAAACTGTTTTGAAAAATTGTCTTAGGTTTTTATTCCATATAATAAGGCGAGACAAATTAGGAATGCATTGAATAAATGAGGCTTAAAAGCTATTATCAGTTTGTTGTTATGAATGATTAGAAAATAACTTCCGGTTTTAAATTGAATAACAATTTGAAATAATTATTTTGAAAATTTATCTTGAAACATCATTTCAAAAATTGCGAAATCATCAGACCTTGGTTTCTCTGGAAAATAAAAGAGAGGTTATGTCAAATTCATTTATAGTCTAACTATAATAAGCCATCAGGAAACCGGAGCTGAGGCAACAAAACTCCATACCTCTTCATGCGACAAAAACAGGGATAAGCTGTGGTAGTGAAGTGTCAATAGCGTTGTAAAATTAACCCTCACAGATTTGAACATGTAGTTCTCAGTGCGCTTTTTAAAAGTTTTAATATTTGTGATCGGCTGAGCTGCAGCGATTTCGTGCTCATATAAACTCTCTGAAAGATTTCTCAATACATGTCTCTGATTGCTCAGCGACCTTGACACTCGTCCCGTGGAGGAAGCGAGTTTACGGGATTGGGTTTTAATCACTGTGAATCGCAAGTGCCACAACAATCTTAGCACTACTATTATGGTAAGATATAATTTTTGGGAAAAAAGAAGAAAAGTTTTAACGAGTAAATGTAATGCTTTTCATCTCTTCTATATTTGCCTTTACTACAAAGAAACTGACTCAAAGGTAAGGCAATAATTAAATGAGTTAATAAATGAATCAAAAGTGATAAAAAAGAGTTCTTATTTAGCTCTTACCTCCTTCCTAGGAATGACTAAACCGAGGGTAGATTTCAAATAAGACATGAGAAATATAGTCGAATGTCTCGCCAGAGGAATGCAAATCACGAATCATCATCTCGGTCTTAGCTGAGGACGTTGTTGTCAGGCAAATTTCCTTTCGTGCGAGAAGGGGTTGCCACTGACGACGGAATATCTGCAAAAAACACGAAGGAGGGGAAGAGAGGGGGGGAGGGGAGGGAGAGAAAGACGCATCTCGTACCTATATCGTAGCCCTAGTCTCGTTTCAGTGAGTAAATGAAGCGTTTTTTTCTAATCTTTGGGTAACATTTACACTTGTTAGTAAGGAAAAAGGCATAACGATAAAGCAAAAGAAAATAAGCAAATAAATGTTTTATGCATTCGATGATCATGTGGCCAGTTTTTAAGACAAAGTTTAACATTTATTCATTCAAACTGCGTTCTCAGTAAACAGTCTTAAGTAAAGCAAAAAATATCACCGAAACCTCAAGATTCTGCAAAATATTAAAAGGGCTCATATTTAGCACTAAAAGAGAGAAAAAACAGCAGTCCACGTTGAAATATTCGACACCATTAGTTTTCAACATATATTTAATTCTCACAGCTTTCAATTTAAAACTTGTCAACTCTGACCATTTTTGTAGACTGTCCAAAAATAAAGTTCTCAGACAACAAGTTGAGACTCTTTTCAGAAAAACAATAGAACGTTACAGAGGCTCAACTGAGCTTAGAAACGTGATTGGCTACAGGCAAACAGCTGAAACGGACTTTGTTCTGTTTTCTAAGAATCTGAAATAAACTGATCATTCAATTTCGCACGTCGCTTTCATATATCGTTTTTACTTATTGTCAATACTGATGGCGTCGCTTTTGGTAAATCTCAAGAAACAAGTTACTTGTTCCATTTGCCTGGATACCTACACTAAGCCCAAAACTATATCATGTCTTCACACGTTTTGCTGTGAATGTTTGGAGAAACAGGGAAAATTCCGATGCCCGGAGTGTCAGGCAGTGATCGATTTACCAGAAGGAAATCGCTTCGACCGTTTGCCTAACAGTTTTTTCCATAAAAGTCTCTTGAGTCTTCTCGCTGTTCGACAAAGTGGTGATGTGAGTAGTATTACTTGTTATCAATGCAGCGCAACCAACTGTCAGATGTACTACTGCTTCGATTGCGGACGATTCATGTGCCCTGATTGTTTCAATGCACATGAACTGCTCCAAAAGTCTTTTCAAGGACACAAAGTCACACCACTTCAAGACTTCAAAACAGAAGATTACGAAGTATTTTTAAAGCGACAACCGTTTTGTTCTCAACAGTTCCACGAGAGAGAAATTACACGGTTTTTTTGCTCGCAGTGTCAAGTTTGCATTTGTCAAATTTGCATAGTCACGGATCATCAAAACCACAAAGTTGTTCTTCTCGACAAAGCAGCACACGAGGAGAAGGATAACATCATGTCGGGCGCTAAATTGATCAAGAAAATGGAAAGCGAGCTCCAGGAAGTCATTAAGCAGTTCGAAGAAACTATTTCTAAGCTGGAAAGCAATTTGGCAACCGCTAAGCGAGGCGTCGAGCAAACAGCTGAACAAATGATCGCAAATATTCGAGAGCGCGAGCGAGAGGCGTCTGAATCCCTCGAGGCAACACGCGTGTCGAGACTTCATAAAATTAACTTGGCTAAACAGGAAGTGGAATCCTTGGTAAAACAAATGAACCAAGCAGCTCAGTTTGCGGAAAACCTGGTGCAGAGAACCTCAAGCTCGGATATTATGAAGAACAAAGAAACTTTAAGGACCAAATTTGAAGAGCTTCTGCGAGTTGCAGTTCCAAAACATCAACAGACGACGTTCATCAAATTCACTGCGACATCTCAAAAAGACTTGAAACTGGGTTTTATTGAAGTCACCGAAGGCACTGCAAAGGCAGCTAAATCAACTTTAGAAGGACTGAATCAAACTTTCCAGGCTGGTGTAGAAACAGAGTTTACGTTATGTCCAAAGACATCTGGAGGAGAGATAAGTAACCAGGCTGATCTTAAGGGTCGAGTTGAATTGCTGATTAAACCCGTCGAAGATGTTACAGACGTGATTGTTGAAGAGAAAGAAGACGGCAATCTTAGACTGAAGTTTACTCCCAAAGTAGCTGGCGCCTATAGCATTGAGGTGAAGATTAATGGCGATAAACTACCGACCTGTCCCATGACTATGCAAGTAAAAGAACGTGAACTTGTTGTGGTCAGGGAGTTGAAGTTGAAACTCTTTCCAGGGGACACACTCAAAGGGTTGTATGTGATTGCTGCGAATACAGAAGGCCAGATAGTTGTGACAGATAACAATGGCCACTGTGTTTATGTGTTTGATAAAGATGGTAACTGTTTGAGAAAAATTGGAGGCCGAGGTAGCAGTACAGGACAATTTCAGTTCCCTGATGGCATTTTGTTTTTAAATGACAACGAAGTCCTAATTGCAGATAATGACAATGATAGAATACAGCGACTTAATATTAACACAGGAACTGTTGATAAAAGTTTTGGGAAAAAAGGCAGAGAAAAAGGAGAGTTTGGCATGCCAATAGACGTTACTGTGGATGATGAAGAACGCATTTTTGTAACCGAGTATAGAAATGGTAGGATACAGGTGATGTCAGAGGAAGGAGAGTCTATTTTCACATTTGGAGACAAAGGCCCAGAGAAACTACTTGGTCCAACCTGCTGCACTCGTTACAAAACATGTTTCTCGTATCTGATACAGGCAACGACTGCATAAAAGCTTTTGATCAGTTAGGAACATTCTTATACAGGTTCGGCAAAAAAGGGAATCAAGATGGACAATTTAACCCACCGCGTGGTTTGCTTTTAGATAGCTCCGATAATCTTTTAGTATGTGACTTTGGCAATAAACGAGTTCAGCAGTTTTCTTTAGACGGTCGCTTCACTGGCAAAAGTATCACCCGTTTATCTAAGCCTATGGCGATAACAAAAGTACCAGACGGGCGTATTCTTGTTACTAGCTATGATGAGAAAAAAGTGTACATTTTGAAATAGATCAGACCAGACAAAGTGAATTTTGCTACTTGAGCCGCTCCTTACCTGTGTTTTTTTATCTTTAATGCTGTTTTATCACTTTTCTGGAAGAACTCTCAGCGATAATATCAAGACTTACAATTACACCGTACTTGGAGACAACAACCTTTTGATTTGAAGTAATTCGCCCAGGTCTTTCAAGTTCATCAGTTTCAAGCCCTTTCAATCTTCTTCATCTTTCGTCATCCATGTTTCTCCTCGGTTTATTAATATTCTCCTTCATTGGTTTTTCGTCGATCTAAAATTTTGTTTTTGTTTTTTCTTTAAGTCTGGGATATTTTTGCGCATCGTTGGCAATGATTTGAATAATCTATACCAAGAAATTTAACGTCGAGTCCTGAAAGAATTGCTAATATAGCAGAAAAACTAAATGCTGTATAGAAACATTTAACAAGTTTGACTTTTTTTGTAGACTGAGAATATAAAGCTGGAAAACGTTAAGACCACGTGCTGCTTTTTTCAATCATTGATTGGTCAGGATAGATTAAGTCCGGGTTTTTCAATCTAAGAAAATATATTTTTATTTAAAATTTAATTCAAGAACAATTTATGATTGCATAATTTCACATGTATAAGTAATCAACAAGCACAAGAAATAAGGTGACAACTGTTTTTAAAAATGGGTATCTACTGGGTAATTTCGTCATAATTAGAGGTGGTTACTGATTTTCTAACTAAGCTTAAGTGTAAGCTCTAAAATGTTTTGAAAATAGTCTCAGGTTTTGTTCCATTTAATAAGGCGAGACAAATTAGGAAAGCATTGAATAAATGAGACATAAAAGTTAGTTCTAGTTTTTTGTTATGATAATTTATATAATTAGGAAATAACTTCCAGTTTAAAAAGAAATAACATTTTAAAATAAAGTTGTTTGAAAAATTAACGCAGAAATATCATTTCAAAACTTGTAAAATCATCAGTACCTTGGTTTCCCTGGAAAATAAAAAAGGCTATGTCGAGTTTCTGCTGTACCCATAATTGGCAATCAGGAAACCGGAGCTAAGGGAAGAAAAATCCAAACTACTATATGTGACAAAAGCAGGGATCAGGTCTAGTAGTGAATAGTCACGAGCGTTGTAAGATTTACCGTCACAGATTTGAAAGTGTTTTTCTGTACTATTTAAAAGTTTTCATACTCGTTATGGTCCAAATCGGAAGCGATTTTATGTTCATATAGACTCGCTTAAAGATTTCTCAGTGCATGTCCCTGATTGCTCAGCGAACTTGAAATTCATCCCGTGGAAAAAGCGAGTTCACAGGGTTGGGTTTTAAACGTTGAGAATCACATGCGCCACAACAATCACAGCTCTTGCACGTATTGCAGACCTAAGAAGCTTTTTTTATAATCCTGTAACAATGGTTTGATGGATCACTCTTTAGTGCTGAAGTCACATGACCAGAAAGGTTTGCATTTTTGTTCTTTTAAGCACTACTTTCATCGTACGATGTAGTTTTGGAAAAAAGAATAAGTTTTAACCTGTAAATGTAGCGGTTTTTTTCATCTCTTGGTAATATTTACCCTTCCTAGCGAGGAAAAAGGCATAACGATAAAGCAATAGAAAATAAACAAATGAATTTATCAACAAATTAAAAAATGTTGAATAAACAAATAAATAAAACGTAAATGAAAATAACTGTCGTCCCATTTCTTCCACTAAACCATCAGAAACACAGGCGCATTATTGAGTTATTGAATCTTTTGTACAATACTAAATGGAACAAGCTAAATAAAGAGCTTATGTAACGGTTAACGCGATGGTAAAACAGAACTTACCTCAAATATTTCACTTTTTGCCTGCTTCATTTGGTTATTACATAATTTGTCTACGTTAACAAATATATATGAGTTACTATTGCGGACATATTTCGGCTGCAAACCTTTGGGTCAGTTTAGACAAATGGGAAGTATCCATAGTTAAGACAAGAGAGGATGATCCTCTTTTGGTTGAGAAGAATATATCCCGGGCAAATTTTTGTTTCTTAAGATGAACGTCGAATGTACGAAACTGTAACGAGTTCGTTTTCATACAAACTCACCCCTTTCCCGCCTTTAACGGGAAGCGAAATAAACAAGCGGCATGTGGCTAATTTGTATAAATCAGCTTGCGTGCCTTCCTGTCTGACCTGAAGATTAAAGTACAAACTCTAATCCGCTCACGATTTCCGGTGTTATCATGGCCAAGTTACAATATCAACTCAGTTGACAAGAACAAATTATTTTGACACTCTGTCCATTAAAAGTATCAAGAAGAATTTCCGTTTTCAACTGAAAAGAATAAATTAAAGTTTTTGTCTTGCTTTTTTTTTCTTTAAGAACCTTAATGATTTGACAGTTAATCAAATTCTAGGATACTGAGAAGCATATGTTAAAAAAAAAAAGTTTGAAGGCGACGAATAAACAGCTGCATGTCACAAACGGAAGAGGTCATGACAGATTTCCGTTTTCCGATAGTCTTTAAAAGCAGCTTTCTAGTTTTTCAAAAGAAAATAATTCATTTTCTGATGCACATCGATGACAGTCTAAGAACTAAGAAGAACAATCTCACCATAAGATTTGCGGTTTTACTGTGAAGCGACTCAGTTGTACAAACGTCCGGGTAGGAGTGGTACTTAACTCTTTCACTCCCAAGATCTAATTAGTAATTCTCTTTACTATCTGCCATACAATTCTTATGATGTTAGTTCAGAGAATTTGGTATTGGATCAACTAATAATCCCATGATTGATATTCTTCTCTATTCTCATCACCTACCTGCTTGATATCATATTCATATTGTAAGGAGAAATTCTGCCTTGGTCATTTGTGGGAGTGAAAGGGTTGACTCTTTAATCCCTGAAAGTGATCAGCATCTAATTTCTCCTTTCAATATCAGCCATGAATCAAACGTCAAGGTCATGAGAATAAAGGAAATTATAATTAACTGAAGAACCTATTGATTGTTAAACAAATTCTCCTTGCCAGTACATTCGGAAATGTATATAGACCATGCCAGTAGGTAGAATATGCATGCTGATGCTAGGGTGCAAGGGGTTAAAACAACTGTTATCCGTGACAATCTCAAACATTTCGCCAGCCATTCTGGTGCGACTTGAATAAATTTCGTTCTATAATAAATTAAGTAAACGAAGCCTCGTTTGCTGCGTTTTTCCAAACCACATTTAGTCAAATTCTTGTCTTTAATTGCTTTTATTTCAAGCAACTTTAATTACCCTAGGTTTAGTTGTCTAAAATCGAGGCTTCATCTCAGGTAACAACGTCTTTTTATCATTACAAAAAAGTCAGCTTAGTCCTGAAGTGCAATCGGCCAACGGAAGTCTGCTGTCATAGACTTTGGACTGTTTTCTGGGAAACTGAAATAATATCTCGGATTTCGTATGAGTGTTTTGACAGGGCTCATCGCTTTAATATTAGTAACAATCAGTTAACAACAGTTTAAGGCGGTCGTCACTGATGAATCCTCTCTTGAAGAGTCTCAAGAAACAAGTTAGCCGCTCAATTTCTCTCGATACCTACACCGAGCCTAAAACCATATCATGTCTTCACACATTTTGCTGTGAGTGTTTAGAGAGACACGCAATAGAGAACAAGAAACAAGGGAAATTCCGATGCCCCGAGTGTCAGGCAGAAATCGATTTACCACAAGAAAATTGCTTCGACCGTTTGCCTAGCAGCCTTTTCCACAAAAGTCTGTGAGGTGTCCTTCTTGAAGCGGAAGATCGCGAAGCCATCGCGAGGCAACAACGGGACACTTGCTCGCAACATACGGAAGAAAGAGTACGATATTACTGCTCCTCGTGTAAAGCGTGTATTTGTCCGATTTGCGTCACCGAAGACCACCGAGGCCATGCGTTTGAAATCCTTGAAAAAGCAGTGCAAGAGGATAAGAAAAACATTATGTCGACTGTCGAGACCATCAAGGTGTGAAGGCAACTAAATACGTGATCACAAAGACGACACAGCAAGAAAAACAGCTCTTAGAGTCCTTGGAAATAGCACGTAGGAAAAGAATAGAGCGAATCAACTCGGCTAAACAAGAACTGGAATCTCTAATAAAAAAAAATTGACCAAGCAGCTGATGAATTTACGGAGAATCTGGTGCAACGAAGATCAGCTGTGGATATCATACAGAACAAAATCAAATTGAGGCAGAAACTTGAAGAGCTTTGTAGAGTTGAAGTTCCAAAACATCGTTACATTTGTCAAATTTACTGCCGCATCGCAACACAACTTTAAACTGGGTTCTATTCAAGTATCCGAGAAGCCGGCAATCGCAGCTAAATCAACTCTAGAAGGACTGGATCAAACTTTTCAAGTTGGTGTAGAAGCAAAGTTTACGTTATGCCCACGGACATCTGGCGGAGAGATGAGTGACCACGCTGATCTCAAAGATCAAGTCGAATCGCTAATAACACCCGCCAAAGATGTGACGAACGTGACTGTTGATGAGAAATATGACAGTAATGTTAGACTGAAGTTTACTCCCAAAGTACCAGGGGCCTACAGCATTGAGGTAAAGATTGATGGCGATAAACTACCGGCCTGTCCCATCACTGTGCAGGTTGAAGAACGTGAACTTGTCGTGGTCGGTGAGTTGAAGATAATGCTCTTTCCAGGGGACACGCTTGAACGGTTATATGGAGTTGTTGTGAATACAGAAGGCCAGATAGTTGTGACAGATAACCTTGGCAACTGTGTGTATGTTTTTGATAAAGATGGCAACTGTGTGAGAAAAATCGGAAGCAAGCGTAGCCATACAGGACAATTTCAGTTTCCTAATGGCATTTCGTTTTTTAATGACAACAAAGTCCTAATTGTAGACTTAGGCAATTGCAGGATACAACGAGTTAATGTTCAGACAGGAACTGTAGTGAAAAGTTTTGGAAAAGAAGGCAGACAAAAAGGAGAGTTTGGCGGGCTAGTAGACGTTACTGTGGATGATGACGAACGCATTGTTGTAACCGAGTGGGGCAATAATAGGATACAAGTGATGTCAAAGGAGAGAGAGTCTATTTTCGCATTTGGAGACAAAGGCTCAGAGAAACTTCATTATCCAAGCTGCTGAATTCCTTACAAAAAGATGTTTCTCGTATCTGATGCAGGCAACCACTGTATAATGCTTTTGATCAGTCAGGAACATTCCTATACAAGTTTGGCAAAAAAGGGCATCTAGATGGGGAATTTCAAATGCCGCATGGTTTGCTTGTAGACAGCTCCGAAAATCTTCTAGCATGTGACTCTGGCAATAACCGAGTTCAGCAGTTTTCTTTAGACGGGCGCTTCGCCGGCAAAAGTATCACTCGTTTGTCAGACCCCACTTCGATTGCAACAGCACCAGACGGGTGTATTCTTGTTACTAGCTTTGATGAGAACTGAAGTGTACATTTTGAAATAGCTGCTCCTTCCCTGTGTTTTGTTTTATTTTTAATGTAGTTTAAACTGTTAAAGACTCGTCTGAAAGAACTCTTCGACTTTTGACTCGAAGTCATCAGCAAGCACAAGAAGTAAGGTGATAACTGTTTTTAAAAATGGTCATCAACTGGGTAATTACGTCATGATTAGAGTTCGTTACTGATTTTTCAACTAAGCTTAAGTGTTAGCTCTAAACTTTTTTTGAAAAATAGTCTTAGGTTTTGTTCCATATAATAAGGCGAGACAAATTAGGAATGCATTGAATAAATAAGACCTCAAAGTTATTTCCAGTTTGTTGTTATAAATGATTGTAAAATAGCATCCAGTTTCAAATATAAATAACATTTTGAAATAGAAGTATTTGAAAAATGCAATGGGAAACATCACCTCAACAATTGCAAAATCATCAGTACCTTGGTTTCCCTGGAAAATGAAAACGAGTTTATGCCGAGTTTTTATATAATCTAACTATAATTGGCTTTTATGAAACCGGAGCTGAGGCAACAGAACTCCATACCTCTTCGTGCGACAAAAACAGTGATAAGCTGTGGTAGGGAAGAGTCATTAGCGTTGTAAGATTAACCCTCACAAATTTGAACATGTTTTTCGCACCGTTTAAAAGTTTTCATACCTGTAATCGGCTAAACTGCAGCGATTTCATGCCCATATAAACTCGCTTAAAGATTTCTCAATACATGTCCCTGATTGCGCAATAAACTTGACACTCATCCGTGGAAGAAGCGAGTTCACAGGGTCGAGTTTTAAACGTTGGGAATCGCATGTGCCACAACAATCACAGCTCTTGCACGTATTGCAGACCTAATTTCAATTGATGAAAAGAACGCATTTTACATTTCATGTGATGAAAAGAACGCATTTTACATTTCAATTGATGAAAAGAACGCATTTTTCATTTCAATTTCGAGGTTTTCAACGTACATAAGAAAAGTCCATGTACGTTGAAAACCTCGAAATTGACAACTCGCTAAAATGCGTTCTTTTCATTAAGGTAAGCGGTCAGATAACAAGTGATACGCTGTGGAAGTAAGGTGAGATATTTTTATTAAGAATTTGAAGTATTGTTTTGTTCCTTAGGGCGGTCATAAATATTCCCATACAAACTCTTATAATTCCGCCGTGACTATTATTGCGCAAGATGATCACCTCACAGCTGGAGCTTGGGCCGCCTGTGTTCAGATAAACAATATAACGCTACAGAGGGTCAACCGAGCTTAGGAACGTGATTGGCTACAGGCAACCAGCTGAAACAGACTTTGTTCTGTTTTCTAGGAATCTGAAATCAACCCTTCATCAATTTCGTACGTTGCTTACAAATATCGTTTGTACTTACTGTCAATACTGATGGAGTCGCTTTTGGTAAACCTCAAGAAACAAGTTACTTGTTCGATTTGCCTCGATAACTACACCGAGCCCAAAACTATATCATGTCTTCACACGTTTTGCTGTGAATGTTTGGAGAAACATGCAAGAGTAAGCCAGAAACAGGGAAAATTCAGATGCCCCGAGTGTCAGGCAGTGATCGATTTACCAGAAGGAAATCGCTTCGACCGTTTACCCAACAGCTTTTTCCATAAAAGCTTGTTGAGTCTTCTCGCTGTTCGACAGAGTGGTGATGCAAGTAGTATTACTTGTTATCAATGCAGTGCAAACAACTCTCAGATGTACTACTGCTTCGATTGCGGACGATTCATGTGCCCTGATTGTTTCAATGCACATGAACTGCTCCAAAAGTCTTTTCAAGGACACAAAGTCACACCACTTCAAGACTTCAAAACAGAAGATTACGAAGTATTTTTAAAGCGACAACCGTTTTGTTCTCAACAGTTCCACGAGAGAGAAATTACACGGTTTTTTTGCTCGCAGTGTCAAGTTTGCATTTGTCAAATTTGCATAGTCACGGATCATCAAAACCACAAAGTTGTTCTTCTCGACAAAGCAGCACACGAGGAGAAGGATAACATCATGTCGGGCGCTAAATTGATCAAGAAAATGGAAAGCGAGCTCCAGGAAGTTATTAAGCAGTTCGAAGAAACTATTTCTAAGCTGGAAAGCAATTTGGCAACCGCTAAGCGAGGCGTCGAGCAAACAGCTGAACAAATGATCGCAAATATTCGAGAGCGCGAGCGAGAGGCGTTAGAATCCCTCGAGGCAACACGCGTATCAAGACTCCACAAAATTAACTCGGCTAAACAGGAAGTGGAATCCTTAGTAAAACAAATGAACCAAGCAGCTCAGTTTGCGGAAAACCTGGTGCAGAGAACGTCAAGCTCGGATATAATGCAGAACAAAGAAACTTTAAAGACCAAATTTGAAGAGCTTCTGCGACTTGAAGTTCCTAAACATCAACAGACGACATTCATCAAATTCACTGCGGCATCTCAAAAGGACTTGAAACTGGGTTTCATCGAAGTCACTGATGACACCGCAAAGGCAGCTAAATCAACTTTAGAAGGACTGAATCAAACTTTCCAGGCTGGTGTAGAAGCAGAGTTTACGTTATGTCCAAAGACATCTGGAGGAGAGATGATTAACCAGGCTGATCTTAAAAGTCGAGTTGAATTTATGATTAAACCCGTCAAGGAAGTTGCAGACGTGATTGTTGAAGAGAAAGAAGACGGCAATCTAACATTGAAGTTTACTCCCAAAGTACCTGGCGTCTATAGCATTGAGGTAAAGATTAATGGTGATAAACTACCGACCTGTCCCATCACTGTACAGGTAAAAGAACGTGAACTTGTTGTGGTGGGCGAGGTGAAATTAAAGTTCTTTCCAGGGGATACGCTTGATCGGTTATATGGGATTGCTATGAATACAGAAGGCCAGATAGTTGTGACAGATAACATAGGCAACTGCTTTTATGTATTTAATAAAAATGGCAAGTGTTTAAGAAAAAGCAGAGGCGAAGGTAGCAATACGGTACAATTTCAGTACCCTGATGGCATTTCGTTCTTAAATGACAACGAAGTCCTAATTGCAGATTACGGCAATAATAGAATACATCGACTTAATATTCAGACAGGAACTGTAGTAAAAAGTTTTGGGAAAAAAGGCAGAAAAAAAGGCGAGCTTCACAGTCCAATAGACGTTACTGCGGATGATGAGGGGCGCATTGTTGTGACCGAGTGGGGCAATCATAGGATACAGGTGATGTCAAAGGAGGGAAAATCTATTTTCACATTTGGAGACAAAGGCCCAGAGAAACTTAATGGTCCAACCTGCTGCATTTCTTACAAAAACATGTTTTTCGTTTCTGATAGAAACAACCACTGCATAAAAGCTTTTGATCAGTCAGGAACATTCTTATACAAGTTTGGCAAAGAAGGGAATCACGATGGACAATTTAAAATACCTTACGGTTTGCTTGTAGACAGCTCCAATAATCTTCTAGTATGTGACTTTGGCAATAACCGAGTTCAACAGTTTTCTTTAGACGGTTGCTTCACCGGCAAAAGTATCACTCGATTATCTCAGCCTATGGCGATAACAAAAGCACCAGACGGGCGTGTTCTTGTTACTAGCCATGATCAGAAAAAAGTGTTCATTTTGAAATAGACTTTTTCAAAAAGGAACTTTGCTTCTTAAGCCGCTATTTACCTGTGTTTCGTTTTATTGTTAATGCTGTTTTATCACTTTTCTGGAAGAACTCTCAGCGATAACATCAAGACTTACAACTACACTTGGAGACAAAAACCTTTTGACTTAAAGTGATTCAAGCCGTTTTAATCTTCTCCATCCCACTTCACTTGGCCATCCATGTTTCTTCTCGGTTTATTAATATCCTCTTTAATTGCTATTTCTCCGATCTGAAGTTTTGTTTGTTTATTTTTTTTAAAAAAAGGTCAAGGTATTTCTGTGCATCGTCGACAGCGATTTGAATTTTCTAAACCAAGAAATTTGAGAGAGAATCCCCAAAATTATTTAGTGTTACAGAAAAACTACATGCTGTAGAGAAACATTCGACAACGTCGACTATTTTATAGGCTGAGAATATATAGGTGGAAAACGTTTAGACCATGTGATGCTTTTTGAAATCACTGATTGATCAGGATAGATTAGGTTCTGATTTTTCAATTTAAGAAAATATATCTTTAATTAAAGTTTAATTCAAGAACAATTTATAATTGCATGATTTCACATGTATAAGTAATCAACGAGCACATGAAGTAAGGTAACAACTGTTTTTAAAAATGGGCATCTATTGGGTAATTACGTCATAATTAGAGGTGGTTATTGATTTTCTAACTAAGCTGAAGTGCTAGCTTTAAACTGCTTTGAAAAATAGTCCCAGGTTTTGTCGCAGATAATAAAACGAGAAAAATTAGAAATTCATTGAATAAATGAGATTTGAAAGTTTTATCTAGTTTGTTTTTATGAATGATTAGAAAATAACTTTCAGTGTTTAATATAGGTAACATTTTGAAATGAAGTTATTTAAAAATTTCATTGGATACATCTTCTAAAAAATTGCAAAATCATCAGCAGCTTGGTTTCCCTGGAAAATAAAATAATAATTTGTCTACGTTTACAAATATACATGAATAACTATTGCGGACCTATTTCTGCTGCAAACCTTTGGGTCCGTTTGGAGAAATGAGAAGTATCCATAGTTAAGACAACTGAGGATGATCCTCTTTTGGTTGAGATGTACGTCGAATGTGTGAAAGTGTAACGAAATCGTTTTCATATAAACTCACCCACTTCCCGCCTTTAACGGGAAGCGAAATAGACTTGCGGCATGTGGCTAATTTACGTGCCTTCCTGTCTGACCTGAAGATTTTAGTACAAACTCTAATCCGCTCCCGATTTCCGGTGTTATCATGGCCAATTTACATTATCAACGCAGTTGACAAGAAAAAATCATTTTGATACTCTGTCCATTAAAATTATCACGTAGGATTTTTTTTTTAACTGAAAGAAAAATTGAAGCTTTGGTCGTGCTTTTTTTCGTTAAGGACCTTAATGATTCGACAGTTAATCAAATTCCAGGAATTGCCGCCTTTAACGGGAAGCCAAATAAACAAGAGGCATGTGGCTAATTTGTATAAATCAGCTTGCGTGCCTTCCTGTCTGACCTGAAGATTGAAATACGATTCTAATCCGCTCACGATTTCCGGTGTTATCATGGCCAATTTACATTATCAACGCAGTTGACAAGAAAAAATCATTTTGATACTCTGTCCATTGAAATCATCAAGTAGGATTTTCTTTTTCAACTGCAAAGAAAAATTGAAGCTTTGGTCGTGCTTTTTTTCGTTAAGGACCTTAATGATTCGACAGTTAATCAAATTCCAGGAATTGCCGCCTTTAACGGGAAGCCAAATAAACAAGCGGCATGTGGCTAATTTGTATAAATCAGCTTGCGTGCCTTCCTGTCTGACCTGGAGATTGAAATACAAACTCTAATCCGCTCACGATTTCCGGCGTTATCATGGCTAATTTACATTATCAACTCAGTTGACAAGAACAAATCATTTTGATACTCTGTCCATTAAAATTATCAAGTAGGATTTCCATTTTCAACTGAAAAGAATAAATTGAAGTTTTTGTCTTTCTTTTTTTTTTTCTTTAAGAACCTTAATGATTCGACCGTTGATCAAATTCTAGAATATTTAGAAGCATGCGTTAAAAAAAAGGATAAACAGATAAACAGTTGCATGTCACAAACGGAAGAGGTCATGGCAGATTTCCGTTCTGTTTTCTCGGAAATCTAAATATAGTATTAAAAGGCAGCTTTCTAGTTTTTCAAAAGAAAATAATTCATTTTCTGTTTACCGTATCTGAACGATTTCCTCGAAAACATTAGCGTCTTGTCTACACTTTTAAAGTTCTCTGGGAATGACTAGTCCATGCATGATAGACTCCATATAGGATAGAAGGGAAATAGAGTCGAATGTCTCGCCAGGTAAAGCAAAAAACAAGTTTTGGTCAAAGTTGATGAAGACGTTGTGAGACAAATTCCCTTTCATGCTTTCATGAGCGATAGATGGTTGCCACAGACGAAGGAAGGAGGGGGAGAGGGTGGGGAGAGAAGGACTGACCACATTTTAAAGAAATACAAAGGCCAACACATTTCTAAAATGAGCCGTTTATACGCGTTTTGCGATTTTCAGACCCTCGACGTTCCTCATCTAAATATTTTCCTCCCATAACGCCCCCAAGGCTTTCCCTCCAGCTACAATCCATCCAACGAAGTCAACTGAGCCAAGGAACGTGACTGGCCAGAAATAGATCCAGTTAAATGAATAATGTCTTCTTTTCTAGGAATCTGAAGCAAAGGCGAAGTGTTTAAATTGTTTGTAAGGATTATCCATCCCGATGTGGAGTTACGTGCAAAATTTTTTTTCCTCGAAATGCGCATCGATAACAGTTTAAGAACTTCTGGTGCGACTAGAATCAATTTCGTTCTATAATAAATTGAGTGCACGAAGCTTCGTTTGCTGCGTTTTTCCAAACCATATTTAGTCAAATTTTTGTCTTTAATTGCTTATATTTCAAGCAACTTTATTTACCCTGGGTTCAGTTGTCTAAAATCGAGGCTTCATCTCAGGCAACAACGTCTTTTTATCATTACAAAAAAGTCAGCTTAGTCCTGAAGTGCAATCGGCCAGAGGAAGTCAGCTGTCATAGACTTTGCGCTGTTTTCTCCGAAACTGAAACAATATCTCGGATTTCGTATGAATGTTTTGATAGGGCTCGTCCCTTTAATATAAGTAACACATCAGTTAACTACAGTTTAAGGCGATCATCATGAATCCTCTCTTGAAGAGTCTCAAGAAACAAGTTACTTGCTCGATTTGTCTCGATACCTACACCGAGCCCAAAACCATATCATGTCTTCACACATTTTGCTGTGAGTGTTTACAGAGACATGCAATAGAGAACCAGAGACAAGAGAAATTCCGATGCCCCGAGTGTCAGGCAGAAATCGATTTACCACAAGGAAATTGCTTCGACCGCTTGCCTAGCAGCTTTTTCCACAAAAGTCTGTTAGGTGTCCTTCTTGAAGCGGAAGATTGCGAAGCCATTGCGAGTCAACAACTGGACACTTGCTCGCAACATACGGAAGAAAGAGTACGATATTACTGCTCCTCGTGTGAAGCGTGTATTTGTCCGATTTGCGTCACCGAAGACCACCAAGGCCATGCGTTTGAAATGCTTGAAAAAGCAGTGCAAGAGGATAAGAAAAACATTATGTCGACTGTCGAGACCATCAAGGAAAAGGTAAACTTGTTTCGAGCACAGTTAGAAAAAACATCAGAGGATGTGGAAATGATTATCGCAATCGCTAAACAGGAAGTGTCGGAGGCAACTGAACACGTGATCACAAAGACGAGACGACAAGAAAAACAGCTCTTAGAGTCCTTAGAAATAACACGTAAAAAAAGAATAGAACGAATCAACTCGGCTAAACAAGAACTGGAATCTCTAATAAAAAAAATTAACCAAGCAGCTGAATTTGCGGAGAGTCTGGTGCAACGAAGATCAGCCGTGGATATCATACAAAACAGAAACAAATTGAGGCAGAAACTTGAAGAGCTTCGTAGAGTTGAAGTTCCAAAACATCGCCAGGCTACATTTGTCAAATTTACTGCCGCATCGCAACACAACTTTAAACTGGGTTCTATTCAGGTCTCCGAGAAGCCGGCAATCGCAGCTAAATCAACTCTAGAAGGACTGGATCAAACTTTTCAAGTTGGTGTAGAAGCAAAGTTTACGTTGTGCCCACGGACATCTGGCGGAGAGATGAGTGACCACGCTGATCTCAAAGATCAACTCGAATTGCTAATAACACCCGCCAAAGATGTGACGAATGTGACTCTTGATGAGAAATATGACGGTAACGTTAGGCTGAAGTTTATTCCCAAAGTACCTGGGGCCTACAGCACTGAGGTGAAGATTAATGGCGATAAACTACCCACCTGTCCTATCACTGTGCAGGTTAAAGAACGTGAACTTGTCGTGGTCGGTGAGTTGAAGTTAAATTTCTTTCCAGGGCACACGCTTGAACGGTTATACGGAGTTGTTGTGAATACAGAAGGCCAGATAGTTGTGACAGATAACCTTGGCAACTGTGTATATGTTTTTGATAAAGATGGCAACTGTATGAGAAAAATCGGAAGCAAGCGTAGCCATACAGGACAATTTCAGTTTCCTAATGGCATTTCGTTTTTAAATGACAACGAAGTCCTAATTGTAGACTTAGGCAATTGCAGAATACAACGAGTTAATATTCAGACAGGAACTGTAGTGAAAAGTTTTGGAAAAGAAGGCAGACAAAAAGGAGAGTTTAGCGGGCCAGTAGACGTTACTGTGGATGATGACGAACGCATTGTTGTAACCGAGTGGGGCAATAATAGGATACAGGTGATGTCAAAGGAGACAGAGTCTATTTTCACATTTGGAGACAAAGGTCCAGAGAAACTTCATTATCCAAGCTGCTGCATTCCTTATAAAAAGATGTTTCTCGTATCTGATGCAGGCAACCACTGTATAAAAGCTTTTGATCAGTCAGGAACATTCTTATACAAGTTTGGCAAAAAAGGGCATCAAGATGGGGAATTTAAAATGCCGCATGGTTTGCTTGTAGACAGCTCCGAAAATCTTCTAGTATGTGACTCTGGCAATAATCGAGTTCAGCAGTTTTCTTTAGACGGTCGCTTCGCCGGCAAAAGTATCACTCGTTTATCAGACCCCACTTCGATAACAAAAGTACCAGACGGGCGTATTCTTGTTACTAGCTTTGATGAGAAAAAAGTGTACATTTTGAAATAGCTGCTCCTTACCTGTGTTTTGTTTTATTTTTAATGTAGTTTAAAGACTCGTCTGAAAGAGCTCTTAGCGATAATATCAAGACTTACAATTGTTCGTAGAGACAAAAACCTTTTGACTCGAAGTCATCAGCATGTAAGGTGACAACTATTTTCAAAGATGTGCATCCACTGGGTAATTACGTCATAATTAGAGGTGGTTACTGATTTTCTAACTAAGCTTAAATGTTAGCTCTAAACTTTTTTGAAAAATAGTCTTAGCTTTTGTTCCATATAATAAGGCGAGACAAATTAGGAATGCATTGAATAAAGACCTCAAAGTTATTTCCAGTTTGTTGTTATGAATGATTATAAAATAGCATCTAGTTTTAAATATAAATAACATTTTGAAATAGAAGTATTTGAAAAATGCATTGGGAAACATCACTTCAACAATTGCAAAATTATCAGTACTTTGGTTTCCCTGGAAAATGAAAAAGAGGTTATGTCGAGTTCTTATATAATCTAACTATAACTGGCTTTTATGAAACCGGAGCTGAGGCAACAAAACTCCATACCTCTTCGTGCGACAAAAACAGTGATAAGCTGTGGTAGGGAAGAGTCATTAGCGTTGTAAGATTAACCCTCACAAATTTGAACATGGTTTTCTATACTATTTAAAAGTTTTCATACCCGTAATCGGCTAAACTGCATCGATTTCATACCCACATAAACTTGCTTAAAGAGTTCTCAGTACGTTCCTGATTGCTCGGCGAACTTATCACTCATCCCGTGGAGGAAGCAAGTTTTACAGGCTTAGTTTTTAAACTTTGTGAATCGCATGTGCTTCAACAATTACTGCTCTTACTCGCATTGCAGACCTAAGGTGCTCTTTTTAATCCTGCTGAAATGGTTTGATGGATCACTCTTTGCCGGAATCACATGACCCGAAAGGCTTGCATTTTTGTTCTTTCGAGCACTACTTTCGTGGTAGGATATAATTTTTGGAAAAAAGAAAAAAAAGAAAAGTTTGACGAGCAAATGTAGCGGTTTTTTTTCATCTCTTGGTTATGTTTACCCTTCCTAATGAGGAAAAAGGCATAAAAATAAAGTAATAGAAAATAAACAAATAAATTTATCAACAAATTTTAAAAAAATGTTGCATAAACAAATTAATAAAACGTGATTGGAATTAATTGTCGTCCCGTTTCTGCCACTAAACCATCAAAAACGTAGTCGCTTTGTTAAGTAATTGAATCTTTTGTACAAAACTAAATGGAACAAACTAAATTAAGTGCTTATTGAACGGTTAACATGATGGTAAATCAAACCTAACCTCAAATATTTCACTTATGGCCTGCTTCATTTGGTGATCGCATAATTTGTCTCCGTTTACAAGTATACATGATGAGTTACTATTGCGGACCTATTTCTGCTGGAAACCTTTGGGTCAGTTTAGACAAATGGGAAGTAGCCGTAGTTAAGACAAGAGAGTATGATACTCTTTTGGTTAAGAGGAATATGTCCCCAACAATTTTTTTTTTGTAGAGATCAACGTCGAATGCATGAAACTGTAATAACTTCGTTATATAACCCTTCCCACCCCGGTTTTTTTTTAAAATTTGTAAAAACAGTAAAAATATTGGATTGTTTTTTTCTTCAAAGTACTTTTACAATGGGACTTCTTTTTAGCCTCTGTTTGTTACCTCAAAAATCTGTCGCTAATAGTGCAAGGCACTGCAAGGCACAAGCAACAGGTTCTTAAGATTGTGCTAAGTGATCCATTAAGAAAACTGCCAAATTTGACAATTACGTCATAGTAGATTTAAAAACACACAAGGTCATATTCAGTCTGCCATGAAGAAGTTAAACGTCCTTTGAGAGAGTTTCGCGCAAAAAGTATGTAATCAAAGATCGAAATTTTTATCAAGGTTTTTGTTCGAGTTTATTTTCAAGTTACGATTTGCATACACCTTTTTGAAACAGTGAAACTTGCAGTAGATATGATATGAAAAGTTTAATGTAAGGGCAATTCTTACGAGATTGAATATAGATACGCTATTTTGTCATGAAGAAAATGTTTCGTCTTGAATATTTTTAATTTACAACCATATAGTAAGCTTTGAAGCCCTTTTGTCACGTGCGTTGCGTTTCCAAGTTAACTTTAGTTTTAACATCATTGTTTACTTTTTCAAGAGTCGTTGAAAACTTTTATTCACACAGGGTCTCAATTCATGAAATCCACAAAGGGTCATGAAATGTCACCATCGCTGTCGAAGCCCCTGTCTAATTTACACCACAAATTCGTATTCAACGGTTTTATTTGTTTATGCTTCAGTTATGCGTACCTGGTACCAGTACTAAGATGTCCGAAAACACAGAAACGCCACTTCAAAGTCTAGTCGTATATGAGCTGAATCAAAAGGTTATAGGTCATATCGGAGTTAAGCAACTCGAGCAAACTTCCTTCTAGGTAAAAGCAAAGGAAAGCATTTTCTTTTTATTGAACCGTAACCCAGTCACCGTGTGTATCTCGGCGCGACGTTCCTCTTAAAAGACATTATAGTTGCTTACCTAGGCTCACTCGTGTCTATTGATTCGAGATGCTACCGAAATAGATCTGGGTAAGACATATGCCACAAACCTCCTTAAAGAAAATCATCTTCTAATGATACTTTTAAGATCAAAACAGTCGAGTGGTCTTATTCTCAGAGAAAGAGAGGTATCCTGTGTAGACGCACACCAAATGAAATGTACCCTATTTACCCCGCGCGAATTATTAGCTATTCAAAATGGCGGTGCGCGTGAGGAATTTTGCGGTATAAGTTTTCATAGGGATCGAAGCAATTTTGGAAGCTGAAAAAATGGGTTTAGACCTTGACTTGGCGTAAACTTTCTGCTGCTGGTTACAAAAGTATACGATTTTTGGAGTGATCTTGTCCTTTAAACAATGAGAACTGAATCAACAGAATGCAGTGATATTTTATCGACACCATGAACTGCCGCTAAGCAGAAGGAATCTCGAAATGAGAGCGTTCCTTTGAAGGTTAACACCAAAAAGGTAAGAGCGAGGAGAGGAAAAAGGATTCTCTTTTAGTAAGAACAAAGAGAACACAGATAATAAAGAACTTTTAAGGATGGAGAATTTAAATAAGAGCAATTGTTAGAGTTAGGTTAAAAAAAGGTCGACAAAACGTTTGAATTCTAGTTATGTCTGATCGTATGGTGTTCGTTATCACAAAAAAAAGAAATAATACTGATAAAAAGCCACACTGCAAATTATAGATCTATTGTCCCGCTCACTTCAATTTTGCCAACATACATATCATTTCACACTTCATGTAACTGGTTATTAAAACAAAGTTTAACAGTTATTTATTCAAACTGCGTTCTCAATAATCAATCTTCAGTCAAGCAGAAAATATCACCTAAACCTCAAGATTCTGCGAAATTGTTGAAAAGGCTCATGTTTAGCACTAAAAGAAAGAAAAACTCACAGATGATCATGAGGAACTTTCAAAATCAATTGACCGTCAAAAACAGCGGTCCGCGTTTAAATATCCGGCACTATCACTTTTAAACATATGTTTAAATTTTCATAGCTTTAAATTTAACACTTGTTAACCTTGACCATTTTTTTGCAGACTTTCCAAAAATAAAGCTCTCAGACAAAAGGTTAAGACTCATTTCAGATAGACAATATAACGTTACAGAGGCTTAACTGAGCTTAGGAACGTGATTGGCTACGGACCACCAGCTGAAACGGACTTTGTTCTGTTTTCTAGGAATCTGAAATAAACTGATCATTCAATTTTGCACGTCGCTTACATATATCGTTTGTACTTATTGTCAATACTAATGGAGTCGCTTTTGGTAAATCTTAAGAAACAAGTTACTTGTTCCATTTGCCTCGATACCTACACAGAGCCCAAAACTATATCATGTCTTCACACGTTTTGCTGTGAATGTTTGGAGAAACATGCAAGAGTGAGCCAGAAACAGGGAAAATTCCGATGCCCGGAGTGTCAGGCAGTGATCGATTTACCAGAAGGAAATCGCTTCGACCGTTTGCCTAACAGCTTTTTCCATAAAAGTCTCTTGAGTCTTCTCGCTGTTCGACAGAGTGGTGATGCAAGTAGTATTACTTGTTATCAATGCAGTGCAACCAACCCTCAGATGTACTACTGCTTCGATTGCGGACGATTCATGTGCCCTGATTGTTTCAACGCACATGAGCTGCTCAAGAAGTCTTTTCAAGGACACAAAATTACGCCAGTTCAAGACTTCAAAACAGAAGATTACGAAGCATTGTTAAGGCAGCAACCGTTTTGTTCACAAGAGTTCCACGAGAGAGAAATTACACGGTTTTTTTGCTCGCAGTGTCAAGTTTGCATTTGTCAAATTTGCATAGTCACGGATCATCAAAACCACAAAGTTGTTCTTCTCGACAAAGCAGCACACGAGGAAAAGGATAACATCATTTCGGGCGCTAAATTGATCAAGAAAATGGAAAGCGAGCTCCAGGAAGTCATTAAGCAGTTTGAAGAAACCATTTCTAAGCTGGAAAGAAATATGGAAACGGCTAAGCGAGGCATCAAGCAAACAGCTGAACAAATGATCGCAAATATTCGAGAGCGCGAGCGAGAGGCGTTAGAATCCCTCGAGGCAACATGCGTGTCGAGACTCTATAAAATTAACTTGGCCAAACAGGAAGTGGAATCCTTAGTAAAACAAATGAACCAAGCAGCTCAGTTTGCGGAAAACCTGGTGCAGAGAACCTCAAGCTCGGATATTATGCAGAACAAGGAAACTTTAAAGACCAAATTTGAAGAGCTTCTACGAGTTGAAGTTCCAAAACATCAGCAGACCACATTCATCAAATTCACTGCGACATCTCAAAAGGACTTCAAACTGGGTTTTATTGAAGTCACCGAGGGCACCGCAAACGCAGCTACAGCAACTTTAGAAGGACTAGATCGAACTTTCCAGGCTGGTGTAGAAGCAGAGTTTACGTTATGTCCAAAGAAATCTGGAGGAGAGATGAGTAACCAGGCTGGTCTTAGAGGTCGAGTTGAATTGCTGATTAAACCCGTCAAAGATGTTACAGACGTGATTGTTGAAGAGAAAGAAGACGGCAATCTTAGACTGAAGTTTACTCCCAAAGTACCTGGCGCCTATATCATTGAGGTGAAGATTAATGGCGATAAACTACCGACCTGTCCCATGACTGTGCAGGTAAAAGAACGTGAACTTGTTGTGGTCGGTGAGTTGAAGTTAAAGTTCTCTCCTGGAGACAAGCCTGTAAACTTTTATGGAATTGCTGTTAATACGAATGGCACGATAGTTTTGACAGATAACCATGGCCACTGTGTTTATGTCTTTAACAAATATGGCAACTGTTTGACTAAAAGTGGAGGCGAGGGTAGCAATACGGGACAATTTCAGTACCCTAATGGCATTTCGTTTTTAAATGACAACGAAGTCCTGATTGCAGACTTTGGGAATTGTAGAATACAACGACTTAATATTCAGACAGGAACTGTTGTGAAAAGTTTTGGAAAATTCGGTAAAGGAAAAGGAGAGCTAGGTGATCCAGTAGACGTTACTGTGAATGATGAAGGGAGCATTGTTGTAACCGAGAGGGACAATAATAGGATACAGGTGATGTCAAAGGAAGGAGAGTCTATTTTCACATTTGGAGACAAAGGCCAAGAGAAACTTTTATGGCCAACCTGCTGCATTCCTTACAAAAACATGTTTCTCGTAACTGATGCAGGCTGCCACTGCATAAAAGCTTTTGATCAGTCAGGAACATTCTTATACAAGTTTGGCAAACAAGGGAATCAAGATGGACAATTTCAATGTCCGAGTGGTTTGCTTGTAGACAGCTCCAATAATCTTCTAATATGTGACTTTGGCAATAGCCGAGTTCAGCAGTTTTCTTTAGAAGGTCGCTTCACCGGCAAATGTATCACTCGTTTATCTAAGCCTATGGCGATAACAACAGCACCAGACGGGCGTATTCTTGTTCCTAGCTTTGACGAGAAAAAAGTTCACATTTTGAAATAGACTTTTTCAAAAGTGAACTTTACTTCTTGAGCCGCTCCTTACCTCCGTTTGGTTTTATTTTTTAATGCTGTTTTATCACTTGTCTAGAAGAACTCCTAGCGATAATATCAAGACTTTCAAATACTCTTAGAGGCAAAAACCTTTTGACTTGAAGTGATTAACCCAGGTCTCTTAAGTCCGTCAGTTTCAAGCCGTTTTAATCTTCTCCATCCCTCGTCACTTGGCCATCTATGTTTCTTCTCGGTTTATTAATATCATCTTCAATTGTTTTTCTCCGATCTGAAGGCTTTGTTTTTGTTTTTTCTTTAAGTTCGAGGTATTTTTGCGCATCGTCGGTAGTGATTTGAAAAATAATCTAGACCAAGAATTCTAACGGCGAATTCTAAAAGAATTGCTAATATAGCAGAAAAACTACTTGCTCTATAGAAATATTTAAGAGCTAGTGTCAACATACTTCAGACAAACAGCGGAAAGTCCCCAAAATTCGTTTTCTCCCCTGGTTTCATATTTTGTAGCCCAATATGTCCTAATAATTGTGGTGTAGTTTTTTGGTGAAAATATATTTTAGTTTTCGAGAAATGATTTTTTTCGTTCGACTGCTCAAAAATGCAAATTTTTACCGCGAATATTACCCGAGTTGTGTGACTTCTTGTAACGAATTTACTTGACCTCCGGCATTTCTGTCAACATGATCCTTTGTTTTATCATTTAAACTTAATCCCCTGTCATTATTGAGTGGAATATGTTTAAAAAATAAGTTTCAAGGCGACAGATAAACAGTTATAAGTCACAAACTGAAGAGGTCAACTAATATATTGAATGTCATCACTAAAGTCCTGACAGATTTCCGTTCTGCTTTCTCGGAAATCCATATATAGTCGTACAAAGTAGCTTTATGGTTTTTCAAAAGAAAACTATTTATTTTCTGTTTTCAATGAATGATGTCTTCAAAACCATAGGCGTTTTGATATCTGTGCGTTCAAAGATCTCTGGCAATGACTAAACCGAGGATATAGACTTCAAATGAGACAGATGAGAAATATGGTCAAATGTCTCGCCAGAGGAATGCAAATCACAAATGCAAATTATTATTTGGGTTTCCAGCTGACGACGTTGTTGTCAACCAAATTTCCTTTCATGCGAGAAAGGGTTGCCACTGACGATAGAATAAATAAGTCTAAGTTGTAGAATCCGATTGGCCAGAGGAAGTCAGTTGTCATGGACTTTGTGCTGTTTTCTCGGAAACTGAAATAGTATCCCCTCGTTTCAGTGTTTTGACAGGGATCGTCGCTTGAATATCGAATGAGTTTAGTACAGTTTAACTGACGATCGTCATGGATCCTCTCTTTAAGAATCTCAAGAAACAAGTTACTTGCTCGATTTGTCTCGATACCTACACGAACCCAAAACCATATCATGTCTTCACACATTTTGTTGTGAGTGTTTAGAGAGACATGCAAGAGTGAGCCAGAGACAAGGGAAAATTTCGATGCCCCGAGTGCCAGGCAGAAATCGATTTACCAGAGGGAAATCGCTTCGACCGTTTGCTTAACAGCTTTTTTCACAAAAGTCTGTTAGGTGTCATTGAGGCGGAAGATCGCCAAGCCATTCCGAGGCAGCAACAGGGCACTTGCTCGCAGCATACGGAAGAAAGAGTACGATATTACTGCTCCTCGTGTGAGGTGTATGTTTGTCCGATTTGCATCACCGAAGACCACAGAGGCCATGCGTTTGACGTGCTTGAAAAAGCAGTGCAAGAGGGAAAGAAAAGCATAATGTCTGCTGTCGAGACCATCAAGGAAAAGGCAAACTTGTTTGGAGCAGAGCTAAGAAAATTAGAGGAAACTTCAGAGGATGTGGAAATGATTATCGCGATCGCTAAACAAGAAGTGTCGGAGGCAACTGAACACGGGATCACAAAGACGCGACAACAAGAAAAACAGCTCTTAGAGTCCTTAGAAATGACGCGTAGGAGGAGAATAGAGCGAATCAACTCGGCTAAACAAGAACTGGAATCTCTAATAAAAATAATAAACCGAGCAGCTGAATTTGCGGAGAATCTGGTGCAGAGAAGATCAGATCGGGATATCATACAGAACAAAAATAAATTAAGGCAGAAACTTGAAGAGCTTCGTGGAGTTGAAGTTCCAAAACATCGCCAGGCTACATTTGTCAAATTTATCGCCGCATCGCAACACAACTTTAAACTGGGTTCTATTCAAGTCTTCGAAAAGCCGGAAATCGCAGTGAAATCAACTCTAGAAGGAGTGGATCAAACTTTTCAGGTTGGTGCAGAAGCAAAGTTTAATGGCGATAAACTACCGACCTGTCCCATAACTGTGCAGGTAAAAGAACGTAAACCTGTTGTGGTCAGTGAGTTGAATTTAAGGCTCTTTCCAGGGGACACGCTTGAACGGTTAAATGGAATTGCTGTGAATACAGAAGGCCAGTTAGTTGTGACAGATAACTCAGGCCACTGCGTTTATGTTTTTGATAAAAATGGCGACTGTTTGAGAAAAACTGGAGGCAAGGGTAGCAATACAGGAGAATTTCAGTACCCTAATGGCATTTCGTTTCTAAATGACAACGAAGTCCTGATTGCGGACTCAGGCAATTACAGATTACAAAGACTTAATATTCAGACAGGAACTGTTGTGAAAAGTTACGGAAAAAAAGGCCGAAAAAAAGGAGAGTTTCGCTGGCCAGTAGACGTTACTGTGGATGGTGAAGAACGCATTGTTGTAACCGAGAGGGACAATAATAGGATACAGGTGATGTCAAAGGAAGGAGAGTCTATTTTCACATTTGGAGACAAAGGCCCAGAGAAACTTTTATGGCCAACCTGCTGCATTCCTTACAAAAACATGTTTCTCGTAACTGATGCAGGCCACCACTGCATAAAAGCTTTTGATCAGTCAGGAACATTTTTATACAAGTTTGGCAAAGAAGGGTATCAAGATGGAAAATTTCAAACGCTGTATGATTTGCTTGTAGACAGCTCCAATAATCTTTTAGTATGTGACTTTGGCAATAACCAGGTTCAGCAGTTTTCTTTAGACGGTCGTTTTACTGGCAAAAGTATCACTCATTGCTAAGCCTGTGGCGATAACAAAAGCACCTTGAGCCGCTCCTTACCTGTGTTTTGTTTTATTTTTAATGCTATTTTATCACTTTTCTAGAAGAACTTCTAGCGATAATATCAAGACTTTCAAATACTCTTAGAGACCAAAACCTTTTGACCCGAAGTAATTAGCCCAGGTCTTTCAAGTTCGTCAGTTTCAAGCCGTTTTAATCTTCTCCATCCCTCACCACTTAGCCATCCATGTTTCTTCTCGGTTTATTAATATCCTCTTTAATTTTTTTTCTCCGATCTAAAGTTTTTCTTTAAGTTAGAAGAATTTCTGCGCATTGTCAGTAGCAATTTGAATAATTTAGAGCAAGAACTTTAAGAGTAGTAGAAAAACTACATGCTGTATAGAAACATTTAACAAGTTTGACTTTTTTTATAGGCTTAGAATATATAGGTGGAAAACGTTAAGACCATGTGCTGCTTTTTATAACCATTGATTGTTTAGAATAGATTTATAATTGCATAATTTCACATGCAAGTGTTTAACAAGCACAAGAAGTAAGGTGACAACTGTTTTTAAAAATGGACATCTACTGGGTAATTACTTCATAATTAGAGGTGTTTGATGATTTTCTTACTAAACTGAAGTGTTAGCTCTAAGCTGTTTTGAAAAAATAGTCTTAGGTTTTGTTCCACATAACGAGGCGAGACAAATTGGAAATGCATTCAATAAATAAGACTTAAAAGTTATGTACAATTTGTTGTTATGAATGATTAGTTTTTAGATAAAGTTATTTAAAAAATTCAGTGGGAAACATTTTAAAAAAATTGCTAAATCATTAGTACCTTGGTTTCCCCTTGAAATTAAAAGAAAAGTTATTTCGAGTTCATTTATTTTCTAACAATAATTCGCCATCAGGACAACAGAGCTGAGGCAACAAAACTCCGTACCTCAGATGAATCCTTACAGATTTGAACATGGTTTTCTCTACTGTTTAAAAGTTTCCATACCTGTTATCGGCTAAACTGCAGCGATTTCATTTTTTTTCCCGCATAAACTTGCTTAAAGATTTCTCAGTACGTTCCTGATTTCTCAGCGAACTCGACACTCATCCCGTGGAAGAAGCGAGTTTTACAGGATTGGTTTTTAAACGTTGTGAATCGCACGTGCCACAACAATGACAGCTCTTGCACGGAATCACATGACCGGAAAAGTTCGCATTTTTGTTCTTTCGAGCACTACTTTCGTGGTAGGATATAATTTTTGGAAGAAAAAAAAAAAAAGTTTGACGAGTAAATGTAGCAGTTTTTTTCATCTCTTGATTACATCACCCTTCCTAATGAGGAAAAAGGTATAACAATAACTTACTTACTTACTACCCATAATGCCTGTGTGGCACATAGGTCAGCAACGAAATCCTTCCAACCCTGTCTATCTTTAGCCAGTTCTTCAATTGTGCTCCAGCTAAAATTGAGCCCCCTTAGTCTCTTCTCTACTGTCCTGCGCCAGGTTGCTTGCCTTCAGGTGTCCAGTGCATTGCAATTCTGGCTATGTTGTTACTGGCCTTCCGCATCACATGATCGATCCACCTCCATCTTCTCCTGTTGACAAGTGTACGAATATCCTCCTGCTTGGTTTGCCTCAGTAGCTGGTCGTTTGATATTTTCTGAGGCCAGAAGATTCTCAGAATCTTCCTGAGGTTGGCTGTGTGGAAGGATGCCAGTTTTGAGAGGTCCTGTTCTGTCATTCGCCAGAATTCCGAGCCGTAAAGGAGAGTTGACAATACGCAACTTTGATAGACTCTAAGCTTCGTCTTTGTGCTGTAGCTTGCTGACCTCCACACTGATCTTAAGCTCATAAAGGCATTTCTTGCTTCGTTCAATCTGCTTTGTATATCTACACTAGTACCCCCATCTTGGCAGAGCACACTTCAATAACAATAAAGCAATAGAAAATAAACGAATGAATTCGTCAATAAACTTTCTAAAAATTGTTCAATAAATAAATAAATAAAACGTGATTGGAAATAATTGTCGTCTCGTTTCTGGCACTAAACCATCAAAAACGTAGGCGCATTGTTTAGTAATTGAATCTTTTGTACAAAACTAAATGGAACAAACTAAATGAAGTGCTTATTGAACGGTTGACATGATGGAAAATCAGAGCTCACCTCAAATATATCACTTATGGCCTGCTTCATGTGGTGATCGCATAATTTGTCTCCGTTTACAAGTATACATGATGAATTACTATTGCAGACCTATTTCTGCTGGAAACCTTTGGGTCAGTTCAGACAAATGGGAAGTAGCCGCAGTTAAGACAAGAGAGTATGATACTCTTTTGGGCAAGAGGAATATGTCCCCGACAATTTTTTTTTGTAGAGATCAACGTCGAATGCATAAAACTGTAATGACTTCGTTATATAACCCTACCCACCCCGCCCTCCCCCCCTCCTCCTTACCCACGCTTCCCGCCTTTATTTCACAGTTAAAACAGGAGCGAAATAAACAAGCGGCATGTGGCTAAGTTGCATAAATCAGCTTCGTTTTTCAATCGGGACATTTTCTCACTTTCACACTCAACGTTGTAACAAACTTCCTCTACAGAGAATGAGAGGTCCCAGTTCCGTTGCTAGCAACACAGCTGACCACAATGATTCACGTCCTTGACTCGACCCAGTTTCCAAAACACTCCCGAGGCGCTACTAGCGCATAATGTTGCACTCAACTTTGGGGGTTCGGCTGGCAGGTGTTCACCTGCGTTGCAGGAAAGGCACTTCCTGTAAAGCAAAATGTAAAAAAGGACCTGTTAAATCAGTGAAGGCCTGCGTTGTTTTGATTCACTGAGTGATTCACAGGCGCGAGTGACACATCTTTCTTGATAAGCGCTTCTCTGGAGTGTCGGTTATCTCGCGCGTCGAAAGCAGAGCATGCAGCAGATAATTTCGGGAGACAGCTAATATTACAACAAATTTAGCAACGAGTCGGCTGCCTTAACTTCAACACATGAATGAATCATGACTTTATCTGGTGTTCACGGAGCGCTCATACCTGCGTGGAATCTCAGAGACTATCGTGGATTTGTTTACACGAAGGTGGATTTGTGCAAACTCATATCTAGTAAGAACTTTCCGGCAGGTCAGCCGCACCGCGTACAATGACAACTAACGGTTTGTTTGTTTGTTTGTTTGTTTTTAATTTGCAGCTTTTCTTAAGCAACCTGTGGGATTAAACAAGAAAATAGCGACACACGAGTGTCCAAATCCCTATCTCCCAATTGTTTTACATAAAGAAACGCTCTTTGTTTTCACTATAGTCGTCATGTCGTTGTGGTATTTTTGTACAATTTGTAAAAACAGTAAAAATATTGGATTCTTTTTTTCTTCAAAGTACTCTTACAATGAACAAAGGACTTCTTTTAGCCTCTGTTTGTTACCTAAAAAATCTGTCGCTAATAGTGCAAGGCACTGCAAGGCACAAGCTACAGGTTCTTAAGACTGTGCTAAGTGATCCATTAAGAAAACTGCCAAATTTGACAATTACGTCATAGTAGATTTCCAAACACACAAAGTCATATTCATTCTGCCATGAATAAGTTAAATGTCCTTTGAGAGAGTTTCGCGCAAAAAGTATGTAATCAAAGATCGAAATTATTATCAAGGTTTTTGTTCGAGTTTATTTTCAAGTTACGATTTGCATACACCTTTTTGAAACAGTGAAACTTGCAGTAGATATGATGCGAAAAGTTTAATGTAGGGGCAATTCTTACGAGATTGAAGATAGATACGCTATTTTGCCATGAAGAAAATTTTTCGTCTTGAATATATTTAATTTACAACCATATAGCAAGCTTTGAAGCCCTTTTGTCACGTGCGTTGTGTTTCCAAGTTAACTTTAGTTTTAACATCATTGTTTACTTTTTCAAGAGTCGTTGAAAGCTTTTACTCACACAAAGTCTCAATTCATGAAATCCACAAAGGGTCATGAAATGTCACCATCGCTGTCGAAGTCCCAGTCTAATTTACACCACAAATTCGTATTCAATGGTTATAATTTGTTTATGTTTGAGTTATACGTACCTGGTAACAGTTCTAAGATGTCAGAAAACACAGAAACGCCACTTCAAAGTCTAGTCGTACATGAGCTGAATCAAAAAGTTATAGGTCATATCGGAGTTAAGCAACTTGAGCAAACTTTCTTCTCGGTAAAAGCAAAGACAAGCATTTTCTCTTTTTTGAACCGTAACCCAGTCACCGTGTGTATCTCGGCGTGACGTTCCTCTTAAAAGACATTGTAGTTGCTTACCCAGGCTCACTCGTGTCTATTGATTCGAGATGCTACCGAAATAGATCAGGGTAAGACATACCTCCTGATACTTTTAAGACCAAAACAGTCGAGTGGTCTTATTCTCAGAGAAAGAGAGGTATCCTGTGTAGGCGCACACCAAATGAAATGTACCCTATTTACCCCGCGCGAATTATTAGCTATTCAAAATGGCAGTGCGCGTGAGGAATTTTGCGGTAGAAGTTTTCATAGGGATTGAAGCAATTCTGGAAGCTGAAAAAATGGATTTAGACCTTGACTTAGTGTAAACTTTCTGCTGCTGGTTACAAAAGTATACGATTTTTCGAGTTATCTTGTCCTTTAAACAATTAGAACTGAATCAACAGAATGTAGTGATATTTTATCGACACCATGAACTGCCGCTAAGCAGAAGGAACCTCGAAATGAGAGCCTTCCTTTGAAGGTTAACACCAAAAAGGTAAGAGCGAGGCGAGGAAAAAGGATCCTCTTTTAGTAAGAACACAGATAATTAAGATCTGTTAAGGATGGAGAATTTAAATAAGAGCAATTGTTAGAGTTAGGTTAAAAAGGTCGACAAAATGTTTGAATTCTAGTTATGTCTAATCGTATGGTGTTCGTTATCACAAAAAAAAATAATGATAAAAAAGCCACGCTGCAAATTATAGATCTATTGTGCTGCTCACTTCAATTTTGCCAACTAGCATATCATTTCACACTTCATGTAAATGGTTATTAAAACAAAGTTTGACAGTTATTCATTCAAACTGCGTTTTCAATAATCAATCTTAAGTCAAGCAGGAATATCACCTAAACCTCAAGATTCTGCAAAATTGTTGAAAAGGCTCATTTTTAGCACTAAAAGGAAGAAAAACTCACAGATGATCACGCGGGAACTTTCAAAGTCAATTCACGATCAAAAACAGCTGTCCGCGTTTAAATATCCAGCACTATCACTTTTCAACATATGTTTAAATTCTCATAACTAAAAATTTAACACTTGTTAACCTTGATCATTTTTGCATACTGTCAAAAAATAAAGCTCTCAGACAACAAGTTGACTCATTTCAGATAAACAATAGAACGATAAAGAGCCTTAACTGAGCTTAGGAACGTGATCGGCTAAAGGCAACGAGCTGAAACGGACTTTGTTCTGTTTTCTAGGAATCTGAAATAAACCCTTTATTCAAATTTACACGTCGCTTACATATATCGTTTGTACTTATTGTCAATACTGATGGAGTCGCTTTTGGTAAATCTCAGGAAACAAGCTACTTGTTCGATTTGCCTCGATACCTACACCGAGCCCAAAACTATATCATGTCTTCACACGTTTTGTTGTGAATGTTTGGAGAAACATGCAAGAGTGAGCCAGAAGCATGGAAAATTCCGATGCCCCGAGTGTCAGGCAGCGATCGATTTATCAGAAGGAAATCGCTTCGACCGTTTGCCTAACAGCTTTTTCCATAAAAGTTTGCTGAGTCTTCGCGCTGTTCGACAAAGTGGCGAGGCAAGTAGCATTACTTGTTATCAATGCAGCGCAACCAACCCTCAGATGTACTACTGCTTCGATTGCGGACGATTCATGTGCCCTGATTGTTTCAACGCACATGATTTGCTTAAAAAGTCTTTTCAAGGACACAAAGTCACGCCAGTTCAAGACTTCAAAACAGAAGATTACGAAGCATTGTTAAGGCGAAAACCATTTTGTTCTCAAGAGTTCCACGAGAGAGAAATTACACGGTTTTTATGTTCGCAGTGTCAAGTTTGCATTTGTCAAATTTGCATAGTCACGGATCATCAAAACCACAAAGTTGTTCTTCTCGACAAAGCAGCACACGAGGAAAAGGATAACATCATTTCGGGCGCTAAATTGATCAAGAAAATGGAAAGCGAGCTCCAGGAAGTCATTAAGCAGTTTGAAGAAACCATTTCTAAGCTGGAAAGCAATATGGAAACGGCTAAGCGAAGCGTCAAGCAAACAGCGGAACAAATGATCACAAATATTCGAGAGCGCGAGCGAGAGGCGTTAGAATCCCTGGAGGCAACACGCGTGTCAAGACTCCATAAAATTAACTTGGCCAAACAGGAAGTGGAATCCTTAGTAAAACAAATCAACCAAGCAGCTCAGTTTGCGGAAAACCTGGTGCAGAGAACCTCAAGCTCGGATATTATGCAGAACAAAGAAACTTTAAAGACCAAATTTGAAGAGCTTCTGCGAGTTGAAGTTCCCAAACATCAGCAGACGACATTCATCAAATTCACTGCGACATCTCAAAAGGACTTAAAACTGGGTTTTATTGAAGTCACCGAAGGCACCGCAAACGCAGCTAAATCAACTTTAGAAGGACTGGATCAAACTTTTCAGGCTTGTGTGAAGCAGAGTTTGCGTTATGTCCAAAGACATCTGGAGGAGAGATGAGTAACCAGGCTGGTCTTAGAGGTCGAGTTGAATTGCTGATTAAACCCGTCAAAGATGTTACAGACGTGATTGTTGAAGAGAAAGAAGACGGCAATCTTAGACTGAAGTTTACTCCCAAAGTAGTTGGCGCCTATAGCATTGAGGTGAAGATTAATGGCGATAAACTACCGACCTGTCCCATGACTGTGCAGGTAAAAGAACGTGAACTTGTTGTGGTCGGTAAGTTGAAGTTAAAGTTCTCTCCTGGAGACAAGCCTGTAAACTTTTATGGAATTGCTGTCAATACGAATGGCACGATAGTTTTGACAGATAACCATGGCCACTGTGTTTATGTCTTTGACAAAAATGGCAACTGTTTGAGAAAAAGTGGAGGCGAGGGTAGCAATACAGGACAATTTTAGTACCCTAGTGGCATTTCGTTTTTAAATGACAACGAAGTCCTAATCGCAGATAACGGCAATAGTAGAATACAACGACTTGATATTCAGACAGGAACTGTAGTGAAAAGTTTTGGAAAAAAAGGCAGAGAAAAAGGAGAGTTTGGCAATCCAATGAACGTTACTGTGGATAATAAAGAACGCATTGTTGTAACCGAGTGGGGAAATGGTAGGATACAGGTGGTGTCAAAGGAAGGAGAGTCTATTTTCACATTTGGAGACAAAGGACCAGAGAAACTTGATGGTCCAACCTGTTGCATTCTTAACAAAAACATATTTCTCGTATCTGATGGAGGCAATAACTGCATAAAAGCTTTTGATCAGTCAGGAACATTGTTATACAAGTTTGGCGAACAAGGGTATCAAGTTGGAAAATTTAAAGCACCGTATGGTTTGCTTGTAGACAGCTCTAATAATCTTCTAGTATGTGACTTGGGCAATAACCTAGTTCAGCAGTTTTCTTTAGACGGTCGCTTCACCGGCAAAAGTATCACTCGTTTATCTCAGCCTATGGCGATATTAACAGCAACAGACGGGCGTTTTCTTGTCACTAGCTATGATGAGAAAAAAGTGTACATTTTGAAATAGACTCTTTCAAAAGTGAACTTTGCTTCTTGAGCCGCTCCTTACCTGTGTTTTGTTTTATTTTTAATACTGTTTTATCATTTGTCTGGAAGAACTCTTAGCGATAATATCAAGACTTACAACTACACTTGGAGACAAAAACCTTTTGACTCGAAGTAATTAGCCCAGGTCTTTTAGATTTGTCAATTTCAGTCCGTTTTAATCTTTTCCATCCCTCGCCACTTGACCATCCATGTTTCTTCTCGGTTTATTAAGTTCTTTTTTAACTGTTTTTTCTACGATCTAAAGTGTTTACTTTTTTAAAGGTCAATGTGTTGTATTTTTTGTTCCATATAATAAGGAGAGACGAATTAGAAATGCATTGAATAAATGAGACTTAAAAGTTATTTACAGTTTGTTGTTATGAATGATTAGAAAATAATTTCCGGTTTTAAATTGAAATGTTTTTTATCTCTTCCCTTTTTCCAACCCCCCCCCCCCTCCCCCTCCCTCCTGATTTCTCGCGAACAAAGTGCGAGCGAACCGGGAAGCGAAATAAGCAAGCGACATGAGGCTTATTTGCATAGATTAGCTCGCGTGCCTTGCTGCATGACTTTGAATTCTCCTTCCCTCATAATTACCGATGTTGTTGAACAACATACCCTATTCAACAACAAAAGCTACAACACTTGCAACAAATAACAAATAATTTAACTGTCCGTGCATGTTTGATAATCTCACCTTAATTCACAATTGTCCATTTTCGTAACGTGACGGCGTTTCGTTTCGAAAATAAACTGTTTATTAAAGCTATTAAGTATGATTTCCATCATCTACTGAAACGAATAAACTGAAGTAAACAGATACAGTTATAAGTCACAAACTGAAGAGATCAACAAATTCATTGAATGTGATCAGTCAAAACCATAAGCGTTTAGATATCTGTGTTTTCAAAGATCTCTGGCAATGAATAAACCGAAGATATAAACTTCAAGTAAGACAGATGAGAAATATAGTCGAATGTCTCGCCAAAGGAATGCAAATCACAAATTATTGTTTCAGTTTCAGCTGATGACGTTGTTGTCAGCCAAATTTCCTTTTCTGTAAGAAGAGGCTGCCACTGACGAAGGAGTAAGTCTAAATTCTGAAATACGATTGGTCAGAGGAAGTCAGCTGTCATGGACTTTGTGCTGTTTTCTTGGAAACTGAAATAGTAGCTGCTATTTCGTAGAAGTGTTTTTAAAGGGCTCGTCACTTAAACGAAGCAGTTTACTACAGTTTAAGGCGATCGTAATGAATCCTCTCTTAAAGAGTCTCAAGAAACAAGTTACTTGCTCGATTTGTCTCGATATCTACACCGAGCCTAAAACTATATCATGTCTTCACACATTTTGCTGTCAGTGTTTAGAGAGACATGCAAGAGTAAGCCAGAGACAAGGGAAATTCAGATGCCCCGAGTGTCAGGCAGAAATCGATTTACCGCAAGGAAATCACTTTGACCTTTTGCCTAACAGCTTTTTTCACAAAAGTCTGTTAGGTGTCCTTGAAGGGGAAGATCGCCAAGCCAAACAACAGGACACTTGCTCGGAACATACGGAAGAAAGAGTACGATATTACTGCTCCTCTTGTGAGGCGTGTATTTGCCCAATTTGCGTCGCCGAAGACCACCGAGGCCATGCGTTTGATGTGCTTGAAAAAGCAGTGCAGGAGGATAAGAAAAACATCAATTTGACTGTCGAGATCATCAACGAAAAGGCAAACTTGTTTGGAGCAGAGTTGAGAAATTTAGAGAAAACATCTGAGGACGTGGAAATGATTATCGCAATCGCTAAAAAAGAAGTTTCGGAGGCAACTGAACGCGTAATCACAAAGACGCGACAGCAAGAAAAACAGTTCTTAGAGTCTTTAGAGATAACGCGTAGGAGGAGAATAGAACGAATCAACTCGGCTAAACAAGAACTGGAATCTCTAATAAAAAAATTTAACCAAGCAGCTGAATTTGCGAGGAATCTGGTGGAGCGAAGATCAGCTGTGGATATCATACAGAACAAAAACAAATTGAGGTTGAAACTTGAAGAGCTTCGTAGAGTTGAAGTTCCAAAACATCGCCAGGCTACATTTGTCAAGTTTACCGCTGCATCGCAACACAACTTTAAACTGGGTTCTATTCAAGTCTCTGAGAAGCCGGCAATCGCAGCTAAATCAACTCTAGAAGGACTGGATCAAACTTTTCGGGTTGGTGTAGAAGCAGAGTTTATGTTACGCCCATGGACATCTGGAGGAGAAATGAGTGACCACGCTGAACTCAAAGATCAAGTCGAATTGCTAATAACACCTGCCAAAGATGTGACAAACGTGACTGTTGACGAGGAATACGACGGAATTGTTAGCCTGAAGTTTACACCCAAAGTACCTGGGGCCTACAGCATTGAAGTGAAGATTAATGGCGATAAACTACCGACCTGTCCCATGACCGTGCAGGTCAAAGAACTTGAACTTGTTGTGGTCGGTGAGTTGAAGATAGTGCTCTTTCCAGGGGACACGCTTGAACGGTTATTTGGAGTTGCTGTGAATACAGAAGGCCAGATAGTTGTGACAGATAACCTTGGCAACTGTGTTTATGTTTTTGATAAAGATGGCAACTGTATGAGAAAAATTGGAAGCAAGCGTAGCCATACAGGACAATTTCAGTGCCCTAATGGCATTTCGTTCTTAAATGACAACGAAGTCCATATTGCAGACTTAAAGAATTGCAGAATACAACGACTTAATATTCAGACAGGAACTGTAGTGAAAAGTTTTGGAAAAGAAGGCAGAGAAAAAGGAGAGTTTGGCGGGCCAGTAGACGTTACTTTGGATGATGAAGAACGCGTTGTTGTAACCGAGTGGGGCAATAATAGGATACAGGTGATGTCAAAGGAAGGAGAATCTATTTTCACATTTGGAGACAAAGGCCCAGAGAAACTTCATTATCCAAGCTGCTGCGTTCCTTACAAAAACATGTTTCTCGTATCTGATGCAGGGAACCACTGTATAAAAGCTTTTGATCAGTCAGGAACATTCTTATACAAGTTTGGCAAAAAAGGGTATCAAGATGGAGAGTTTAAAATGCCGCATGGTTTGCTTGTAGACAGTTCCAAAAATCTTCTAGTATGTGACTCTGGCAATAACCGAGTTCAGCAGTTTACTTTAGATGGTCGCTTCACCGGCAAAACTATCACTCGTTTATCAGACCCCACTTCGATAACAACAGCACCAAACGGGTGTATTCTTGTTACTAGCTTTGATGAGAAAAAAGTGTACATTTTAAAATAGCCGCCCCTTACTTGTGTTTTGTTTTATTTTTAATGCTGTTTGATAACTCGTCTGGAAGAACGAAGAACTGTTAGCTATAATATCAAGACTTACAATTGCTCTTAGAGACAAAAACTTTTGACTCGAAGTAATAAGCAAGCACGAGAAGTAAGGTGACAACTTTTTTAAAAAATGGGCATCCACTGGGTAATTACGTCATAATTAGGTCGTTACTAATTTTCTAACTAAGCTTAAGTGTTAGCTCTAAACTTTTTTGAAAAATAGTCAGGTTTTATTCCATATAATAAGGCGAGACAAATTTGGAATGCATTAAATAAATATGATCTAAAAGTTGTAGTTATGAATGATTATAAAATAACATCCGGTTTGAAATATAAAAAACATTTTGAAATAAAGTTATTTGAAAAATGCATTGGGAAACATCACTTCAACAATTGCAAAATCATCAGTACCTTGATTTCCTTGGAAAATAAAAAAAGAGTTTATGGCGAGTTCATTTATATTCTAACTGTAACTGGCTTTCATAAAACCGGAGCTGAGGCAACAAAACTTCATACCTCTTCATGCAACAAAAACAGGGATAAGCTGTGGTAGGGAAGAGTCACTATATTAGCGATGTAAGATTAACCCTCACACATTTGAACACGTTTTTTGCACCATTTAAAAGTATGCTTACCCGTAATCGGCTAAACTGCAGCAATTTCATGCTCATATAAACTCACTTAAATATTTGTCAGTACATTTCCTTGATTGCGCAGTGAACTTGACACTCATCCCGTGGAAGAAGCGAGTTCACAGGGTTGAGTTTTTCACGTTGTCAGTCGCATGTGCCACAACAATCACAGCTCTTGCACATATTGCAGACCTAAGTAGCTTCTCTTAATCCTGCAACAAGTTTTAGAGAGTAAATGTAGCGGGGTCTTTTTTTCATCTCTTGGTGATAATTACCTTTCCTAGTAAAGAAAAGGGCATAACGATAAGGTAATAGAAATGAACAAATAAATTTATCAACAAATAAAAAATTGCGTGGAATAAAAAAATACATAAAACGTGACTGGAAATAAATGTCGTCCCATTTCTGCCATAAACCATCAGAAACGCGGGCGCATTGTTCAGAAATTTAATCTTTTGTACAAAACTAGATGGAACAAACTAAATAAAGTGCTCATTCCACAGAGGAGGCGAGGTCACAATTCCCTTGCTGGCGACACAGCTGACCACAATAACTGACGTCCTTGACTCGACTCAGTTTCCAAAACACTCCCAAGGCGCTACCAGCAAGCAATCTTACGTTGAACTTTGGAGGATTTGGCTGGCAGGTGTGCGCTTGCGTTGCACGAAAGGCACTTCCTGTAAAGTAAAATGTGAAAAAAAGGACGTTTTGAATCAGATAAGGCTAGCGTGGTTTTAATTCGATTAAATCAGGTGCGAGTGATTTCTTCTGAATGAGCGATTCACACATCTTTTCTGATAAGCGCTTCTCTCGAGTGTCGTTTATTTCTTGCGCGTGTTTCTGGCATTCCTGCCGAGCTCATGTTAGTTAGGCTAATTTTGTCACAAGGGTCTTAACGGAAAGCAAAGCATGCAGCGATTTCATGCTCATATAAACTCGCATAAAGATTTCTCAATACATGTCCCTGATTGCCCAGCGAACTTGACACTCATCCCGTGGAAGTGGCGGGTTCACAGAATTGGTTTTTAAACGTTGATAATCGCTCGTGCCACAACAATCACAGCTCTTGCACATATTGCAGACCTAAGAAGCTTTTCTTTATCCTGCAACAATAGTTTGATGTATACCTCTTTGCCGGAATCATATGACCGGAAATTTTTACATTATTGTTCTTTCGACCACTTCTTTCATCAAAAAATACTTTTGGAAAAAAAAATGAAAAGTTTAAAGGAGTAAATGTGGTGCTTTTTCCATCTCTTCTATATTTGCTTATTTTTATTGCGTTGTGATAAATCGGAAAAAAATTTCACTCCCATTTCTTCCACCAAACTATCAGATATGCAGACACATTGTTCATTAACGGAAGCTTTTTTGTAAAACTAAATGGAACAAATTAATGATTTGGTGATCAGACAATTTGTCTGCGCTAGCAAATAAACATGAATCACCATTGCGGACCTATTTCTACCGCGAAACTTCTAGTCAGTTCAGACAAATGGGAGGTATCCATAATTAATATGAATATATCAGTGGACATTTTCATTTGTTGAGATAAAGATCTAGCGCAAGAAAATTTAAAAGAGTTCGTAGTTCGTTTTAATCTCTCCACTCGCTCCATACCCCCTCCACTCTGTTACGAGTAAATTGAAGTGTCGTCTTGTTATTTCTTTAACCTTCGATTCACTTTTCGCTTCCCAGTTTTACAAATTGTATTTCGCTTTAAGAGCCTCAATGATTCGACAGTCAATAAAATTCCAGGACATTGAAAGGAATACGTTTAAAAATAAGATTCAGGGCGACAGATAAACAGTTGTAAGTCACAAACTGAAGAGGTCAACTAATCTATTGAATTTGATCAGTCGTGTCATGACAGATTTCAGCACCGTTTTCTCGGAAGTCTAAATATAGTGGTAAAAAGCAGCTTTAGGGTTTTTCAAAAGAAAACTATTTATTTTATGTTTTCCAATTGTTCTCAAATTTTTGAATGAAGTTTTCCCTTTAGTCTAAATCCACGAATTCTTTTATCCTTTATCCAACGGCAGATTTCCAAACATTTTAAATCTCTTACCAAGACAACTGTAAATTCACTTCAATCATATCGCAATAGATAAACAGTCTAACTTTACAATAGAGGTCAACTGAACCATGAAGTGACAGCCTTAATTATAAATAAGTTGACGGCTGACTTAGTTCTGTTTTCTAGGAATCTGAAACAAAGCCGGTTTGTTTGAATCTTTTTATGCACTGTCCATCCTTTTGTAAAGCTACAGGCAATTAATCATTTCTTCCACGGACTCCTCGAAATGCACATCGATGACGGTCTAAGAACTAAGAAGAACAATCTCACAAAAGATTTGCGGTCCTATTGTGAAACGACTGAGTTCTAAAAACGTTCGGGTAGAAGTGGTCCTTAACCCTTTAATCCCTGAGAGTGATCAGCATCTGATTTCTCCTTTCAATATCACCCATGAATCAAACATTAAGGTCTTAAGAATAAAGGAAATGATAATGAACTGAAGAACCTATTGATTGCTAAACAAATTCTCCTTGCCAACACATCAGAGACCAGTATGGAGAATGTGCATACTGATGCTAGGGTGTAAATTTCCTTTTATGATAAATTACACGAAGATTAATTCGACCATTCACTTTAAATATGCGAAAAAAAAGTATTGTTTGCTGCGTTTTTCCAAATCACTTTTATTCCAAATCTTGTCTCTAATTCCTTTTATTTGAAACAACTTTAGTCACCCAAAGTTTAGTAGTCTAAAATAGAGGTTTTATCTCAGTCAACGAGGTCTTTTTATCCTCACAAAAAGGTCAGCTAAGTCCTGGAATGCAATTGGCCAAAGGAAGTCAGCTGTCATGGACTTTGTGCTGTTTTCTCGGAAACTGAAATAATATCTCTGATTTCGTATAACTGTGTTAACAGGGCTTGTCGCTTGAATTACGCATCAGTTAACAACAGTTTAAAGCGATCGTCATGAATCCTCTCGTGAAGAACCTCAAGAAACAACTTACTTGCTCGATTTGTCTCGATACCTACACCGAACCTAAAACTATATTATGTCTTCATACATTTTGCTGTCAGTGTTTAGAGAGACATGCAAGAGTAGTGAGCCAGAGACAAGGGAAATTCCGATGCCCCGAGTGTCAGACAGAAATCGATTTACCAGAGGGAAATCGCTTCGACCTTTTGCCTGACAGCTTTTTTCACAAAAGTCTGTTAGGTGTCCTTGAAGCGGAAGATTGCCAGGCCATTCCGAGGCAACAACAGGAGACTTGCTCGCAACATACGGAAGAAAGACTGCGATATTACTACTCCACGTGTGAGGCGAGTGTTTGTCCAGTTTGCGTCACCGAAGACCACCGAGGCCATGCGTTTGACTTGCTTGAAAAAGCAGTGCAAGAGGAGAAGAAAAACATCATGTCGACCGTCGAGACCATCAAGGAAAAGGCAGACTTGTTTCGAGCAGAGTTAAGAAAATTAGAGAAAACATCAGAGGATGTGGAAATGATTATTGCAATCGCTAAACAAGAAGTGTCAGAGGCAACGGAACGTGTGATCACAAAGACGCGACAACAAGAAAAACAGCTCTTAGAGTCTTTAGAAATGACGCGTAGGAGGAGAATAAAGCGAATCAACTCGACTAAACAGGAACTGGAATCTCTAGTAAAACAAATGAATGAAGCAGCCGACTTTGCGGAAAACCTGGTGCAGAGAAGATCAGCAGCAGACATCCTACAGAACAAAAGCAAATTGAGGGAGAAACTTGAAGAGTTTCATGGAGTTGAAGTTCCAAAACATCGCCAGGCTACATTTGTCAAATTTACCGCCGCATCGCAACACAACTTTAAACTGGGTTCTATTCAAGTCTCCGAGAAGCCGCCAATCGCAGCTAAATCAACTTTAGAAGGACTATATCAAACTTTCCAGGCTGGTGTTGAAGCAAAGTTTACGTTGTGCCCACGGACATCTGGAGGGGAGATGAGTGACCACGCTGATCTCAAAGATCAAGTCGAATTGCTACTAAAACCCGCCGAAGATGTGACAAACGTGACTGTTGATGAGGAGTACGACGGAAATGTTAGCCTAAAGTTTACTCCCAAAGTACCTGGAGCCTACAGTATTGAAGTGAAGATTAATGGCGATAAACTACCGACCTGTCCAATGATTGTGCAGGTAAAAGAACGTAAACTTGTTGTGGTCGGTGAGTTGAAGCTAAAGCTCTTTCCAAGGGACACGCTTAGATGGTTATGTGGAATTACTGTGAATACAGAAGGCCAGATAGTTGTGACAGATGACTTTGGCGACTGTTTATATGTCTTTGATAAAGATGGCAACCATTTGAGAACAATTGGAAGCGAGGGTAGCAATACAGGACAATTTCTTTCTCCTGATAGCATTTCGTTTTTAAATGACGACGAAGTCCTAATTGCAGACTCAGGCAATTGCAGAATACAACAACTTAATATTCAGACAGGAACTGTTGTGAAAAGTTTTGGAAAAGAAGGCAGAGAAAAAGGAGAATTTGATAGGCCAATAGACGTTACTGTGGATGATGACGAACGCATTGTTGTAACCGAGTGGGGCAATCATAGGATACAGGTGATGTCAAAGGAGGGGGAATCTATTTTCACATTTGGAGACAAAGGCCCAGAGAAACTTTTATGGCCAAGCTGCTGCACTCTTTACAAAAACATGTTTCTCGTATCTGATTTGGGCAACCACTGCATAAAAGCTTTTGATCAGTCAGGAACATTCTTATACAAGTTCGGCAAAGAAGGGAGTCAAGATGGACAATTTAACCCGCCGCGTGGTTTACTTGTAGGTAGCTCCGATAATCTTTTAGTATGTGACTCTGGCAATAACCGAGTTCAGCAGTTTTCTTTAGACGGTCGCTTCACCGGCAAAAGTATCACTCGTTTATCTAAGCCTGTGGCGATAACAAAAGCACCAGACGGGCGTATTCTTGTTGTTAGCCATGATGAGAGAGAGGTGTACATTTTGAAATAGACTTGTTTTATTTTTAATAGTTTTATCACTTGTATAGAAGAACTCTCAGCGATAATATCAAGACTTACAATTCCACTTGAAGATAAAAACCTTTTGATTTGACTTGGTCATCCACGTTTCTTCTTGGTTTATTAATATCCTCTTTAATTGTTTCTTCTCCGATCTAAAGCTTTGTTTATTTTCATGTAAGGTCAAGGTATTGCTGCGCATTGTCGGTAGCGATTTGTTTAATCTAGAGCAAGAAATTTAACGGCGAGTCCTGAAAAATGTGTAAAGGTAGCAGAAAAACTACATGCTGTATAGAAACATGTAAAAAATTTTACTATTTTCATAGCCTGAGAATATATGGCTGGAAAACGTTAACACCATGTGCTTCTTTTTGCAATCATTGATTGGTCGGGATAGATTAAGTCCGGGTATTTGAATCAAACAAAATATATCTTTAATGAAGCTTTAAATGTATTATTCATAAACATTCAGTTAGAGGGGCTACATATTTAAGTACCTCAATTACTTTGTGTCACTAGCTTATAATTTCTCCTTACAGTATTACCCTTACATTAAAAGTTAAGGTCATGAGAATAAAGGAAATGATCACCAGCTAAAGAAACTCTTGATTGTTAAACAATTTCTCCTTGTCAGTACGTTAGGAAATGTTTAGAGAACAGTATGGAGATTATGCATACTGACGTTAGGGTGTAATGGGTTAATAAGCTAGGCACTGTGCACTGAGTAATAACCTTTTTCAATTAGCTTCAAATTAACTGTTAGTCTTGTGAAAATGGCTGGATAAAAGACAGACTATAGTTTGGAAATTTTTTAAGCTACCTGGCTGTTTTATTAGTATCTTCTGTCAACAGCAATTTTTGTTAGCACTTAATTAGTAGAAAGGCAGATCAAATAAAAAATAAGAGTATTTTCAAAAATTAACTATCACAATATGTTCCTATGTTTGATGAATGTGGTAGTCAAAACTTATCTGTGAATATAAGCCATATCAAAAGACTTAAAACTGTAAAACAGTAGATGCAAGTAAACTGCTCTTTTACATGAACATTTAACACGATAATGATGACAATTATGAATAACCAATAAGTGCAATTAAAAAAAAAACAAAACAAAACAAAACAAAAAAACTATACTGAGTTTTCTCCTCATGCTAAAACAACAGATAATGATATTGATAATAATAATAATAATAATAACAACAATACTAATAACAGAGAATTGATAAAAAAAGACAAAATAAAACAAAGAAAAACACTAACAAACATTAAGAAATTTTAAAAAAATTTTTTTCTTAATCACTTCTGGTAATCTGTGAAATTCAATGTGACATCCCTCCTTCAAAACACACATACACTGTGCATTACTTGAAATTATATAATAAGGTGAATTATGCTGTATTTTGATTGGCTCTTGCTCATGGTTCATGATTTACTGGAGAACAGATGCATAGATGACCTAACCCTTAAAAAAAACTTTTGCTTTGTTTTAATATAAAACCAATAGATTTTATGTTACTGTGAATCTGCACAGTAATAGATCACAGATGACATCAGAAGGTGGTGGGAACATAAGTGACACACTACCCTGCACCTCATATGCCACTTTTCTGTCTTCACCAGATTTTGACATCATCTGTGATATATTTCTGAATAGATGTACATCTTCACAGATGGAGGCCAAAAAAGAATGCTCTTTAATTCATTAATGTAGTGTAAAAACAAACATAATAACAACTGGTAATCAGAGAATGGCAGATACAATAACAAAGAACCCAGAATTCAACATAAGTAAACAACCTAAACTACAGGATTAACTAAGCCCTGATTGGTTTTACATATACAGTCATGTTACATCTGATTGGTTGAGTGAGTGTTACATCTGATTGGTTGAGTGAATGACACAAGTTTTGTAGACCACACAAATGGATTCCTTTGTGCACCAAGTGAAAATTGCTCCAACACCCATCTAGAGAGAGAGGCACAAAATTACTGATGCAAAAGGCAGATTTACCAGTGACTACAAAATTGTATTTAAAGATAGCATGAGCTTGATTACATTTCACAATATTCATGAACAAAAATTTTTGCAAAGTCTACTTCTTCTTAAGATTTTCAAATCTCCCAGCAAGATCTTCAAAGTCTACATCTTCACTGCCAGCACTGCTTCCCCCTCGAATACTGTCAGGCAAGTTTGGTAAATTTGTAGGTACTGCAAGGTCTGGGAAGCTGGAGCCTGATGAAGGGTGTGGTGCACTGGTGGGAGCAGGAGGCTGATGAGGAGCTAAAATGAAAGAAGCCATGTCATCATTTTCTCAATATATCCCATAGAAAACAATAATGACGTTGTACCTATTTAACTTCCAAAATCTAATAACGAATTTTCCCTTCTACAATCACATAATTACAGTTGAAGCTGTATTAAGCAGCACTGTATAATGTGCCCATCCTGTATTAGCTGGTCAGCTTTTAAAGTCCGAACCCCCCCTCCTGAACCCCCCCCCCCTCCTCATCCCTTTGATTGTTGGAATTTTAACCTCTATTGGACAGTCATGGTCACCCTTAACTGAGTCTTAATGGCCTGTTTGTATTGTCTTCCACTTGCATTAAACAATCCCTTAAAGTGCAAACGCTGAAGTAAAACTAAGAGTAATCTCTCAAGTAAAATCTAATCCATGTTTATCCCCCAAATCAATGTTTATAGCGTTCTATGCAAGTTTTTGTGCACAAAGTGGTCAGTTATAATATAAAATGTGGTTTATTATTATCATTATTATTATTATTATTATTATTATTATTATTTTAATTTATTTTTTATTTTTTTAATACATCTATTCTGTGAAACCTGTATTGAGCAGTCAACCTGTATTATGTGGTCACCTCACCATTCCCTGGGGGTGACTGCATAATAAGGGTTCTACTGCACTCAATATTTTCTTGTAACTTTAATGAGAAATTAGGAGTCAGTCATTATTAGAGGTTTAAGGGTTAACTCCTTAGCTAAAAAGTACAAGAAACCAACACTGTCAACACGTACCTGGTGGGGAGGGGGCAGTATTCTGGTTGATAAGAGGGCCCCCAGAGTAGGGCAGGAGGGTAGGACATTTCACTGTTGTGTGAAAAAATGGCCATGTGAATATTACAATTTTCATATTTGACAAATTATAACAAATTATCTTGTAAATGTTGTGTGGTATTTTGAGTGCCTTTATTTCCCCAGTTGCATGACTGAGTACTATGCCTATGCTATGTTACCCCATCTTATGGTGAAAACCTCCAAAAGCGCTTACCATCAATATCAATCATAACAACCATATTTAGACTGGAGGCTCTAACAATGTTTCTTCCTCTAAACACAAGCACTACAGTCAATATCAACCCTTTCACTCCCATGAATGACCGAGGCAGAATTTCTCCTTGCAATATCAACACAACATCAAGCAGACAAGTGATGAGATGAAAGGAAAATATGAGCTGATCCAATACCAAATTCTCTTAACTAACAATAAGAGTTGTATGACAGTAAGGAGAATTACTAAATGAGATCCTGGGGTAAGAGGGTTAATATAAAGTACATCATGTAATATTGCACTAGGTGCCTTTTTTGTGTTCCAGAATTGCATGGCACAGAAACAAAGCGAAAAAGGCTGCATTTGCAGCCCTGAGGAATTCTCTCATTTTCAACAAATTTTTTCCTAATGCAATTGCACAATGCTGCATTAAGAGCAAACGCTCCTGATCAATGAGCCACTTGGCTCCAAAACATACTTAACCGTTTCCTCGTTCAACGGGAATTCATCACATTTGAGTTTGGCAAGTATCTTCTTACTCCTATCACTGATGGGTACACCATGACTGCGAGCAATCTCGATCAAAAAATTTTCCACTCACATCTTTGGTGGTGGTCTAGGATCAAGTTTCAGGATGAGCTACAAATAAAAGAAATTTCACAGAAAAATGTTTCAGATTTGAAACCTTTCATGGTGGCAAAACTATATACATGGAACACCTGCGACCAGTGAAACTTATTGTTTATTTGCAGATTTTAGACGGCTGCAGACTTCATTTATCTTAGACTAGAGCAGGAACAGGATTCCAAAAACTTCATTACTGATATCATCAATTGAAGTGTTACTTCATGATTAACCAATTATATTAAATGCCATAAAACCCTTTACATTATCACTCTGTGCCCATGTTATGTATCATTTGAATGACATAGTCAAAAGATTGATACCAAAAAAATAAGGTTACTGATAATGTAATCTGATTCCAGAACTGATAGTATGTTGGACTTTATATAATTCCAAAAAGAGCAATGTGTGCACAACCATATATATGATGACATTTCACACTGGACACCCATCCATTCTCCACACTTTTTCTTGAATCAAGAGATATCTGTAGTTTTCAGCTAAAGTACTCTGCCTGGTAAATATCTCATTTTTTGTTCTGGATAACAATCTTTCATAGTTTAAAGCCAGTCACTCTTCTTCAGTGAGGAATTTTTTCCTTTTTTAAATTTTCTGGTTTAAAGAAACGAGATAGAATTCAGTATAAAGAAACCTACAGTGAAAAGCTATCAGTAATTTTCAAATTACAGTCAAGTTAACACTCACTCTTTGATTCACTGTGCTATTGGCATTGATTGCAGCTTCATGTACAAAATGTTTGCCATATTCAGTCTTAGCTAGTCAGAGATCTGCATGAAATGACAAATTAAAACCAATAATAAAATTAAATTCATTGAATAATAATTGGCAAACCCTTGCGAACTGAATTCCCAGTTTTCTGGGAATTCCTAGGAATTCCTAGGAATTCCTAGGAATTCTCAAAAATTCCCAATTATGCAAATGACCCTTGCAAACTGAATTCCCAGTTTTCTGGGAATTTCTGGGAATTCCTAGGAATTCCTAGGAATTCTCAAAAATTCCCAACTATGCAAATTAACTCTGATTTAAAAAGCTTGGAATTACTGGGAATTTCTGGGAAAGG